CAAAAAATGCCTACAGTCTAACCACTACATCTTGGATCTAGTGGTCTATCTCACTTACTTTTCTGGGTGTATTTAGGACAGGTGTCTGTAAATGTTTGAGCTCGTTACTTTGTTGGGCTTTTCCAACATGTTCCTCTGCCCTTGGTGCAAATCTCTGAAAGTAAAATGTTGGTTTGTAGCATATCTTTATCCTGATGAGAACTGTAGCTGGACAAGACACCATGGGAGCATGCATGCAGGCCAACACATGCAGCCCTCTTTTTAACCTAAATGAATGACTAAGATTTTATTTTGATTAATGAGTGAATGAAGTTTATTAATTTCGAATATGTTCAAAAGGGAAAATTAAGAGAAAAATACAGGATGATAATGATAAGGGAAAAAAGGGAAATACAACATATTTGAAAAGGAGTGGGAGGAAGTAAAACTTATTAAGTCCAGCCCATTTTCCATCAGCTATTCTGCTTAAGTGCTTCCATATGTATATATTTTTTTAATACAAATAAAAACAATTTATACACTATAATTCAGTGGTCTTTTCAAAAAACAAAATAAAACAAAAACAAAAACAAAAGCCAACATAATTCTTAATTTGGTGCGATACCTTCTGTTTAATCCCTGTATCTACAGAATATTTTATTTTTTATAGATTTTGTTTAACTTCCTCAAGTCTGAGCATTAAAAAAAATCTTATTCAAACCATGAAACAGTCTTTACCAGCAAATATCTCCACAGGTTTCTCATGCCGAACTCTCTCTCTCTCTCTCTCTCTCTGTCTGTGTTTGTGTTGTCCTTACACTGAAATCTTGATGTGCGTGTGCTGTGATCAGAGAAAGTGTCGAAGCAATGAGAACAGCTGCCAGTCACACATCTGAGCACAAACACAACCACAGAAGATGACCTCTGTGAGAATCTCAGTGATGAAAGAAAAAGATTCACACTGTTATATTTGAACACAGTGACAGAGACAGCGTGATTCTGTCTGTGCGTAAAAGAGAAGAGAGACAACTTTACAAATGAAAACAGACTCATGAGCTGATCGAGGAAGAAGATGAAACTCAGCATGAAGCTTGGTGTTTTTTGATGAGTTGATTAAGTTTACACAAAATAAAAAACAACCCCACATATGGACAGTCCTTCAGAGCTTATAACCTTACTGTTCATGTAGTCCACCAGTACAACACGATATGAATTTTAACAGTATATAGACTACCCTCACCCTCAACGTCAGTGAAGAGGAAAATTTGAGATTTTTTCCAAAGGCAGGGTGTTGTGTGTCAGAAAATCGATGTTCAAAATGTGAAAACTGTTCTTCATGACCAGAGACCATCATATGTAAAAAGCTTGTAGCTCACTATAATCAATCAATCCGTCTTTATTTATACAGCACTTTTCATACATAACATGTAGCACAAGTGCTTCACACGGAAAAAATAATAAAAGAAACAAAGAATACCCAAATCTACCCCAACCCAAGATTAAAAGAATACCCAAATCAACCCCAGCCCAACCCCTCAATCCCACCCCACAATCTAATTGCAACAGAAACAGTATTAAAATGCATAAACTTAAAAAGGGCTTGATTTCTTGGAAACAGGAATGAGCGCGCTGAGGAAACATCATTTTAAAACTCAAGATAAGGAAACACTGGAGGTTTATGTTAAAATCTAAAAACAAAGAAACAAAGAATGAAATTCAAGAAATAAAAAATAAAATAAAATGAAAACAACAATAAAAGATACTAATACCCCATCAGAACACAGTGGTCCCAATATGCAGGCCTGCATTGTTCCTTGAGTCTTTAAAAGTGGTCCTGGTGGTAGAGCTTTCAGCTATTAGGCCCGTCTCAAAGGGAATCAACTACCAGTCAAGGTGCAAGGTAGACACCCTCAGTACCTGTAAGACTAAGCTTAAAACCTTCCTTTTTGGTAAAGCTGGTTCAGGTCTGGGCCAGCTCTAACTATAGCTATGCTCCTATAGGTTTAGACTGCTAGGGGAACTGGCACTTCTTTGACCTGGAAAAGCTCAAATATATGTATATACCTTACTACCAGAGTGGACCTCTATCACTCCATAAATGCTTCATCATGCTTTGACATCCTTGACAGACTTATTGCGTTCAACCAGAGTGTAACTGACATGGTAACTTACATCCACAGTGTTGGGCCTGGTAAAAACTGACTGCAGTTGCAGATAGCCCTAATTTTGTTTACTATGTCTGTCTGTCTCTCCGTCTTTCAGTCTGCCTGTGGATCTGTCTACTGAAGTTAGTTTAATTTTTGACCTGCCTGTCATATTAACTTAAAATCTGAGGGTCTGAGTCTGATGACTGCCGAATGCTCACACAGTGTGTGTGTGTGTGTGTGTGTGTGTGTGTGTGTGTGTGTGTGTGTGTGTGTGTGTGTGTGTGTGTGTGTGTGTGCGTACGTTTGTGTGTATGCTACCTTATTGATCTGTGTGCGCGCTGCACAGAGAAACAGCAGTGGACAGTGGCGAAGGGACAGAGCACTGTAGGATGTAGGATGAGTCAGCAGTATAAAGATTACACAGAAACTCACAGGCTCAAACACACACAAACACACACACACACACACACACACACACACACACACACACACGGATACTTCAGGCTGAGATGTATCTCTGAGATAACCAGACAAATTGAATTACTGAAGAAGAGGAGCCTGATTTAAATAAATCATTTTCTCAGAATGTCAGCCTCTCAGATCTATTTTGTTTTAAGTGGGTACTGCATGTTTGTGAGTATATGTGTGAGAACACCCCCCCCCCCCCACACACACACACACACACACACACACATACATATACACACACGCGTAATGATGACTCATTACACTGTATAGTTCATACAGTGTGATGTGTGCAACGATGTGGTAGCTACAGTGTATCATGAATGAACACTGTTTTCACCAGCAGCCACCATGACCATCATCTTCTGCATAGATTAAAGAGAGGGAAAATCCCTCTCAACACCTCACACAACAGGATAATCTGGCAAGATAATCTTAAAACCATCCAATGATCTGGCTTTTGTCAGAAGGGGGGAAATCAGGCCCAAATCAGCACTGTTATCTTGTGGTGTCTGCAACTCTTTCAGGTGACAATGAAGATGAAAAGTTTTTTTTCTTTTAACAACTGCCCAAAGACACCCTGATGTACCACACTGTACTCATCGAGCTAACGCATAAATCAGCTCTGTGAAATAGTTTGACTGATGGGCAAGTTTATCTGCTGGTATCAGTGGTTTTGGTGTAAAATGCAAGCACAACATGACCTGAAGTCGATTTTAAAGTGGATTAAGAGATTTGTATTCTCCTTCAGGTGCATTTTGCTTGATTTAAGAAGGGTTTGTATTTGAGTTTATGTAAAAAATTGACAGCACCTGAATTTAATTAATGCCTGAGATTCATTAGGCTAGCTGTTACGTTTAGGGGGAAAAAAAATTGTTTTAAAGTTTTGATTAGATACAATGGTGACGCTCAGAAACTCAAAACGATCTACAGTTTTTAATGACCCCTCTTTTAACTGCCATGACAGATTGATGTGTAATAATTTGCACGATTGAAAAGCACATGCCTGATCTATGAAAGAGAATTAGGGAGAAAATAATCATTACAGAACGGAGGTTAAAGTCAAAATTGAGGGAAAAAAATGTAAATTTAGAGATTGAAGTCGAAATTTTGAGATTAAAAAATTGAAATTATGTCAATAAAGCCGAAATTTTGAAATTAAAAATTGAAATTTGGAGATTAAAGTAGAGATTTTGACATTACAGAATGTCATGAATAATGTTGAAATTTCAAGATTAAGGTCGACATGAATAAATTCAAAATTTCGACTTTAATCTCGAAATGTAAATTTAAAAAATCTCCCTCGTGTAATAATTTTTTTCTCTGTCCTTGTGGCCCAATCCTCTTTTGTACTAATCTGATACTTTTTTTTTAACTAAGCAAAGCAGCTTGTTTTCTTGTTTTAGCATGTGTGTAAATAACTGTGTCATCTGCGTACATCTGAATGAGGACCTCTGGGGCAGATCAGGGGCAGGTTATTTCTATACAAAGTAAACAGAACTGGTCCGAGGATTGATCCCTGTGAAACTCCAATATTACAGCCAGTCAAAGATGAGTATGTGTTGTTGATGCTTGTGCTCAAGTTCCATGTTAGTGCATCGTTTGAAAAGTCAGACCTTGACAGTTTGGACAAATGTCAGAGTTTGATGTTACAGGATCAAATGACGCTGTCCCTGAGTGGCCTGTCTTTTGCCCTGCAGGTGTTGAAGATGCTCCTCCCTGGATTACACCTCTGTCAAGTTGATGTGAAAATCAGTCTTCACCTCACTCTATACAGCCTGGAGGTGTGACAGCACCTGATCCAGGTCAGGTTGTAGTGAATTTTGAAGTCAACGCTGAGCCTCCCCTGTGATATGTTGTCTCATACTGTTTGCATTTATGGAGCCATATTGATAATGACTCATTTGAATCATCAGTCTTCATCTATAGCATATCTACAGCTTCTCACACTGTCAGCTCTATGTATTTAGCGCTCCCTTCTACTTAGTCTGTACAAAACTAGTCATGGTGCACACTGCTATCTAGTGTCCATGTTATGGTAGTACAGCACATTCCTGTGAACTCAAGTGCTTAAAGAAAGTAATTACTCATGATACTTCATCCATTTACCTATCAAATTTCTTCTCCTTATCTTTCAGATCAGTCCACAGGGGTAGCAGTCTGAGCAAGTTGACCCAAAAACTTCATCTTAGGCTACATTTTCCAGTAGGATCCTGAGGTGTTCCTAGGCCAGGATTGGATATATAGTTCTAGCAAGCTTTGGGTTGACCCCGTGACTTTAACACTGCTAAAGAGGCATCTAGGAGGAATTCTTATCAAATACCAACCGCAAGTGGTTCATTTCAATGCAAAGGAACAGTGGTTTTACTCTGTTCTGTCTCTGGATGTCAAAACTCCTGGCCCTCCCTCCCTTGAATTTCACTTTGGGGATCAATTAAGTTCTTCTTATCGTATATATCCAAGGCTGAACCCAGCTACCCTTTGAAGACTCATTTCAGCCACTTGTATCCAAATTTTTCATTCTTTAAGTCACTATCCAAAACTCTTGACTATAGGTGAAGGTTGGGACATAGATCTAAACGCAAACTGAAAGCTGTGCCTTGTAGCTCAACTCTTTCTTCACCACAATGGTCAGGCACTGACTGGTGTACTACTACATCTTACAGTTTCATGTCCTTGGGAACATCTTGAATTCTTGTTCCTACATGAATAAGCTTCATTGAGTGTGATGAATGTGACACATGAGTGTTGAACCAGTTTATTTGGTTTCAATTTAAAACAAAACAAAATGAAGTCAGAGTAAAGAGGTTTGAACATTACAAAAACTGCAAAACAATAAAGTTCTCATTCAAAAGTTCCTCTTTGAAGGAATCATTGCTAACCCTCTTATTAAACCTCTGCAGTGTAATGTGATCATAACATAAGAACAGTTCCTGGGTCAGCTCCATATGAACAGAAATAAAGTAAAGGAGACAGGAATCACTCTCAATGAAGGTGAAACAGCTCCTCAGTCTCTCATGTGAGCTGGCTGTTGTTCCTGCCTCCGTTCTCTGTGATCTTGCGTTTCTTCTCCTCCGTGGTCTCTTTGAAGATGTTGACCCTGTAGAACTGCAGCTCTTTGATACTCTCCCGGATGTCGTCCAGCGCTCTGAAGAACACAAAGACCTTTAACTGCATGCTTTGGATGACTCACCTGATATAAAACTACTCAATACACTCTGATTAGCTGAGAGAGCAGATGGAGTCTGAAACATGTTTCTAAAGTAGATGAATGGTTTCTATGCAGCACTGTTCATTTACACTGTCAACAGGAACAATAGTGAGTGCAGCATTTAAGGTGTGGTTTCCTTATGGAGGAAATTCCCCCCTGGTTTTTGGATGACAAAATGGCTGCATGACTTTTATGAAGTTTGATATTTGTTCATCCTTTAACACTGATGAATCAGGGTAGAAACTGGGGGTCCCTGTTTGGGGTCCCTTTTTGGTATATTTTTCATTTCATGAAGCACCTAATGATTTTGGACAAGTACGGACTGCAGGCAGGTCAGTTTAGCACCTGGACTCTTCTTTAACAGAGCCATGCATTTGTAGTTCCTGCAAAATCTGGTTTGGTTGTCTTGTTGAGTGAATTTATTGTTCAGCATTAAAGGTGCCTTCCTAAATGTGTAAGCTACCCATGCCATAGGCACTTGAACATCTACATAACATAGACATTATGCTGTTAACAAGCCAGAAGGTCCTTCTCTCCTCTTAAGAGCAGAGGACACAGCCAATGTGATTTCCAGAGGGAGAGTCAAACTTGATTGTCAGACTACAAAATAATTCTCCACTTCACCTTAGTCCATCTTAAACAGACCCGAGCCCAGAGAAGTCTCTGGTGTTTCTGGATGATGTTTATTAATGTTTCCTCTTTGCATGGTTTAGTTTTAACCTGCATTTATGGATGCAGTGACAAACAGTCTTTACAAAGTCATTTTTGGAAGTGATTTTGAACTAATGTGGTGATTTCCATTACAGAGCCATGTTTGAATTCAATATAGTGCTGCCTGAGAAGATCACAGCCATTCATCATTGGTTTTCAGCCTTGTCCTTTTTGTACAGAGTTTTCTCCAGTTTTTTTAAATCTTCACTGATGTTATGTACACAGATATTGAAATCTTTGTTTACTTCGCAATTTTATGCTGAAAAAAAATCTTATTTTTACTTGCGAGAGACTCAAATGTCTCAAGTTAATCCCAGCTTTTATCATTGAATTTAAAATGACAATAAATTTGTTAACATTTGGCATGTTGTTTTTCCACTGTTTTCAATCCAAATATACAGTTTAGATTGTTTGCAAACCATCAAATCCAACTTTAGGTACTGGAGCTGTATGTAATACTGGAAATATGGCAACAGACCGGAGTCAGAATAATGCAGGACACAGTTCACTAAAGATTTAAGCACCCCTGGGTTGTATGAATAATAATCAGATAGATTTCACAGACAGATCAACTTTCCTGTCACTTTTTATGACTTTTTAACTTTTCCATGTTTTCAGTTCTTGTTTATGCAAAGTGTAAACACGCATATCATTAAAAAAAAAATACCAGTATTGGAGTCAACCTAACCCTGGAGATACCCATCCCTATTTGTGATGCTGTCTAATGTATACTAATCTAAGGCTTCTGAGAGGAGTTTTGTGTTGAGGGGTTGTCAAACAGACAGAGGTTAATAATTATTTTACTTGATTTTCACAATCTGAAAACTTATGATGTAATCAAAAACTTTCTGTCTTCAAACTATAAAACTAAAGTCAATAATCAGCCCTTTTCACATATACATACACACATATATATTCCCTATAAATTTCCCTCAGCAGTTCTTCAACATGTCCCAGATGTCTAGTGAAGCAAAGTCTGAATCTTTGTTGATAGTATTTGTCTCTCTTAATGCTATATGTAATTGGACACATAACAGTATATGGGAGCAAAGGAGATGATCAAGCATCTTCATTTTGTGCACAATGATGACACAAACATCATCTCCTTCACTCACTCACAGTGAATTTTCCTGATTTCAACTTGACTTTTTTGGTTGAAACTTCACTACGGGGCTCATAGAAAACAAGGCCAGGCGAAGCCAGGTCTGTTTGTGTTCACACAAGCAGCTTACCTGGATCAAGTCTGGACATATTTTAGGAGTTTAGTACATGTGTAAAAGGGGCTGCTCTTGTTTATTCTCACTGTGTACCTGTGGGTTCCTTTCTTCTGAGGTGTCATCTTGTATTCTTCAGGAAACCATCGTCTAAATATTTGGAAGAACAGACAATGTTAGCCTCATTAGCATTATCATATACAGAGGATGCTGGAAAATAACTGAATTATTCTGATGTCATGCTGAGTGAATCTACTTTAAAAGGTCTTAATAAGATGAGCAGGATAGACACCATCAACCAGGCAGGAACAGACACTAATCTAATTACAAAGGCTTTGTTCATAGACTGTTTCCAAATCAGAGCTCTACCTACACACACCACAAACAGCAGGTGTGTGACAGGTGGCAAATGCAGGTTCACAAACACAATGTAAGGTCCTCTAAACAGCACAAACACACACAGACACACAGACAGTGAGAGTGTGGACACTAGCCTGCACAGCTCCTTGATGGTGCTGACGTCAATGATCCTGTAGTGAAGGTGGTACATAAACTGAGGCATGTACTTGTCCAGGAACCTTTTGTCTGCGTGTACAGAGTTTCCTGCAGGAGGACAATCACAGGACACCTCTGTAGGATAAGTTATTTCACAGTGATGCTGCAGGTGTAAAAAAGTCACTCACCGGCAAGAGGACACTGTCCAGGAGGAGTGTGCTGTCTGATGAAGGACAGGAACTCATACTCCGCTTGCTCCAGGCTGATCTTACTGTCCCGCACAGCCTGGGTCAGTCCTGACTGAGACACAGCCACACAGAGTCATGAACATGCTTTATACATGGACCCTCAAACACAGCTTCATGAGAGGGGTTAAGGGGAATAAACTCAGCCCTCCAGAAGAGACACTACAGCTGTGCTTACATTCACACAGAGACACACAGCATGCACCAAGTCCTGTCAATCCATCCTTGGAGGAAAATAAAAAACTGTTTTTCATCAAAGACACTTCACTTTTGAGAATCTAAATGTCCCGACAAAAAATTCAGACAAGGTTTTGTTTTTAAATATTCTTTTTATCTTCTCAAAAATCATTGAATCAGAATTGGGACTTGATAAGAACTGGGATCAATAAACAGAACCAGATTCATAACCCGAATTAATTAAAGTGAAATAGTGCCTTATTTTACTCATGACAAGAAAACTTTTCATCTGAAAACGTTTAAAGAATTGATCATCATCTGGTGTATGCTTGTGACGACAGCCTGGTAGAATCCGGCTTTTTAACACTTGGTACATGGACCATGAAGCATTTTCACACACGGTCGCTAATTTTTCACCCTGACTTCGAGGTGACTTTCTCCTCTAGCCTCCTGTGAACAGTCAACAGAAAGTCAGTGTGAGCTGATGTGTGAACACACAGCAGGTAAGAGTCTAGATCATTCATGACAGGCACATGGGCAGGGCAATAACCTTGTTTATGGGCAGAGTTTCTCTGCTGTATCCTCTTCACTGCTTACTACAGTTGATTGTATGTTTTCTACTGATATGTTTGTGTTTTGAATCTGTATACTTATTACAGTGATATTAACACACACACACACGCACACACGCACGCACGCACGCACACGCACACACACACACACACACACACACACACACACACTTTTACACCAAACATAGACTGATGCATGTGTGAACATGTTCCTGAAAAAATAAGGTTCTGAATTTCCTTAAATTTGAGATCTGTCTGATCTGAATCCCTGTCCCTTTCCTCTGCTCTCTGTTTATCTGCAACAGACAATGAAGACTTAACAACCTTCCTGCACATGTTTCAAGACGGGTAAACATGTTTGTGAATTCTTACAAGCATCATTGCTGAGAAACAGTCAGAAAATTGGTTCTCTTTTTAGTTTTCCTGCATTGTTTACTTAACTGTGGTTCTTTCTTTTCACTTCATCTCTATGTCAATGATCACTGCTGCTTGCTTTCTCACTTTCATTGATTTATGGCAGCTCCTGGATGAATATATGTGGTTTTTTGTCCCATTTACTTAAGTGCTTTACTTAATATGGAACATAAAACGACTAATATTGTGTTGTTTACAGCACACGATATTGAAAGTGTAAAACTATTGAAACTTTAGGGTTACTTTAGCTGCAATGCACACCAGAGGGAGCATACCTTCTCTGACATCACTCACTAGGTGTGGCTGCAAGTGCGTGTAGAAATCATACTGTGGCTGTATGAATTCACACTTACCTTCCCATGATGCTCCTGGCACCATTCTGACATCTCATCCAGCAGTTTGTCCGGCTGCTTGATGATCAGGTTTGGCCCCTGTGGACCAAGAAACCATTATTTATCTCAGTGTGTAGACAGAGGATAAGTCTGCTGATGGTAATGTGTGGGTGATACCTCAGCTAAAATGTTCAGGTCAGAGTCCGTGATGATACAGGCCATCTCAATGATCTGATCCTTCTCTATATCCAGCCCCGTCATCTGAAACACACACAACCACACACACTTAGATCTCCCACAGTCACCTGTATTCAATACATCACATCATTTAGACTCAGACTGTACACCTCTCAGTGATTAATAACATCACTAGCTCTGCTCCTGTGGGTCATCATCATTGTGTTTTTAGACCTGTAGCGAAACCAGAACCACCTGGAGCTGTACCTGATACAGCTGATCCCAAATCAGCCTCTCAGCTCACAGTGGTCAGCTGGTTGACCCTGAACTCACTCTGCTTTCTGCGGCTGCGCAGTTCACTTTCACTTTGTCATGTCAACATGAGACAAAACCATGTCTTCTGTATTCACTGACAGTTTTATCGGACTTGACTGATCTTCAACGTTAGAGTTCACAGGTAGTTCACCGTTATCATACATGTGTAGGATAACCCCGGCGGTTAGCTCTGTGTAGCCTGAGCTAACCGCATAACATACAGCCCCTTTGAGCTAACCAGTACAGCTATAGACCCCATACTCACCTCCAAGTCCACCCAAACCATCCTCTGTGACATGGCTGAAGACATGCTGCCGCTCCTCCTCAACAGCTGGACCTGAAATCCTGGACTTAAACGTGAGATAACACCGGGGCCTGGTCCCGGGGAAATATACCGGTTTATTAGGGGGCTTGGGGGTGTGTTTATGTGTAGATCTCTCCAGCAAGATGAATGCCGCCCTGCGTTCGCACCCCGGAGGACTAACTGTCTCCCCGCGCACAGAAACTTCGAGAGAACCCGCGCTGAAGCTCGTGAACACACCACCGGCATCCTAAAGCCGACTTCTGAGCGCAACTGTCGTAAATATAACCACTCCCCCTTCCTCCACCCACACAGTCACCACCATAGATGTTGCGGCACCAACACAAAAATAGATATGTAAGGAACATTTTTTTTAATTTAAACAAATTTAACAAGATGGAAATACGTTGTTATGATATACACTAAATTGGAATAAAATGGAGTTTCATAGGACAAAAAAGTCAAGGGTTAGTACATCAGAAATATTCAAATGAAATACAAATAAAATAAAGGAATTACAAAAAATACAATACAACCAATTGAATTAAATACAATAATTAATACAGAATGAAAAATAAATCAAAGAAAACAATGCAAAAAAACCCACTATACACTGATAAAATCCAACAAAATAACAACATAAATGTCCCTCAACTTGAAATTAAATACAGGTTACTAACTTCATTTGACATCAGTCATATTTTTAAGAAATCCCTCCAATAAAAACAGATCTCCAAAAAAATCTTTTGAATTATCCCTTTGTTGATCAATAAAGTCCATGTATTGTATTTAATTGTAAAATAAATAAATAAATAAACATTAAAAATAAAAAAAATAGAAAAAATCAGTACCCTCTGAATTTTTTTTTTTTAATGGTATTGAAATCAAACTTATCTTAGAGTGCATGTTGACCCCTCTCGACGTAGAGAAATATTTTTGCGTGGGTTTAAAGTAATTTAATGTGGGTTATTCCAATAAACGTTATCATTTATGGTAAATACAGAAAAAAACACTTCCTCACACTACAGCTAGGTGGTGGTAATTGCTCATGTCGTCTGTTCCCAGTTTAGTTTAGCTCATAGAAGAAGATCAAAGGTCGCCTAAGGTAGCTTGTTAGCTCAAAGGCTAATTCTGACTCTAGTGCAGTGCAGTGTCAACAGCCGTCATAATTAGCTCTTTTGGTAATTCTTCTGTTGGCACAACAGTTTAGTTTCAAAGTAGTATCCGCTACCATGTGAAGTCGCTGATATGTTAACAGTTGCCATTAAGGCTTTGTTTGACAGCAGTTGTTACTGTCAATAGTCGTGACAGTTAGCTCACAGTTAGCATCTCCGCTAGCTCTGACAGCAGTGTCCGCTGTCAGAAGGAAGAGCCACCATGGTCTCTGTTTTTGTCGGCTAACATGTTAATAACGCTGTGCTACGTCTACCTGTGGGTGCGCTTCCACAGGTGTTACTCGGTGCTGATCCGGAACAGTTTGCTCAGACTGAACAGGAGCCGCTTTAGCTTCACCTTCAGCCTGTGCTCCAGCCCGGCCTCAGCTCCGCAGCACTCCGGACTCCGCACTGCAGCGCGCCGGCTGCCCAGCCTGCAGCCCCCCGAGGACCAGGAGGAGCGGGTGTTTCTGCAGCTGGGGGACAGGGCCGTGTACGTGACTGAGCCGCAGGTAGGTGCTGCAGCACGAGTTTGGTTAAACATGTGGAAACACAGTCCTCTAAGGCGTGGAGGAATGAGAATACACAGCCTTAACAGTAACTGTGTGCTAAGAACCAGGACCACAGTTTACCAAGCTTTAATGTTAACAGATCAAAGTAACACTAACGTCAAAGACTGCTTTATCTGATCAGGTGCAGTCTGTCTGCATCCTGCAGACTTGGGCAGCACAGATGTTGAACAAACACATGGTAGGGCTGGGTGATATGGGAAAAAGTTTATCACAATATATTTTTTTTGTCATATCAGTCGATATCGCTATATATCACAATATAAAAACTTAAATTAAACTGCTTATTGGTAGCATGTCTTTTGTAATACGATAAGCTACTGCATCTGTGAGGTCTTTGTGTCTCTTCAGCGTTTTTTTCCTGAGGCGTTGTGCTGGAGAAAGCGGACAGAATGGTCGTCTGTTTCGGCTGCACAGGCGCCATGGTCTCCTTGCTCCACGTGCTCAGCCACATGAAACTGCTTCAGGTGGTGTAAAAGATTTGAGGTATTCCACGACTTTGTGGGAACATGTACTCGACATAATTTGCAGTGCACATTACTCTGCTACATGTCCTACCTCAAAAAAACGAAATACCTCCACACTACGGAGGTTTTCGTGCCAGTGTTGTCAACGATGTCTTCATCAGTTGGGCCTTCATCTGCATTTCTGCCGGGGGTAGCACTCATTTTCATTTTTCTCACCAACAATGCTGTCAGCTTCACGTGTTAAAGTGCTATGGTTGTGAGTAGCTGCAGCCTGCGACTACACAGTGGTTTGCTACTTGGTTCTAATTCAGCACATGATTGGTTCAGCGCACAGCGGACCTGGAGCAACTCCCTTTTTCATTGGCTATTTGTAAAGTCTATGAAAACATGGTAGAATGGCGACTGCCGGAAAGCATTTTACACTGATATTGGGGGAAATTTATTTTTAATATATCGTTATCGTTTTATCGCCCAGCCCTACACATGAGTATGTTGAACGGAATCTTTTAGTAAAGTTTATTTGGTATATCACATAGACTGTGTATACAGTCCATGGTGTAGCACCATTTACAGAGCATCATTACAAAATGCTACACAAGCATGTCAAAGATATGGTTGGATGCCTTGATCATGGATGGTTTTACAGGTTCATATAAGGGTATTAAAATGTATTCCAAATATGATTGACAGTCAGTGTAGAAAGAAGGTGATATCAGATATTAGAGTGACTAATCAAACTCCTGGAACTTCAGGACTTACTTTATGTCCAAAATGTTGCTGCAATACATAGTTGCCAAACTTTACTGTCAGACACCTTTCTTCACAGGGTCCAGCTCATGCTCCAGCGCTGTATAAAACAACCTTAGTAAAAGTTTTGATACTTTATCTGAACTCACCTGTTCATCACTCCACTATTTATTTTCAGTACACGTGAGGGCTGCACAATTAATTATCCTAAATTTACTATTTGCTATACACCACAAACTGCAACAGATCAGGCAAAATTTCGTATAAAAAATTAATGTTTTCTTCCTCAGCAGATACATGATGCTCAGAGGATAGAAGCCTGTGTGTTGTTGTCATGCTTTTCATCATTTTGCTGCAGTCAGATGAAGCTTTGGCCAGCTTTCAGCTAATCTCAGATAAGTTGGTGATAACTAAGTGATGAAAAAAACGCCTTTTGAATGTAGTAAGGACTCAGGAGAAACATGTTGCCAACAGGTAATATGTGAAACATGCAGCACAGAAGTGAAACAAGATAAAGTAAATTATTCTTGCTAAGTAAGGTGCAATATTTATTATATGTTAATTTGCCACATTTCATATATCACAATTATGTTAATAACATTATGCAGGTATGGTGTCAAGTCTGCTGTTAAAGGTGGAAAAACAAGAGATATGTTTGGTTTTGTTAGAGGAAAACAGGATTCAAGTCACAAATTATAAGAGATGATTTTAATTTTTTAATATATATCTGCATAGAAAAACAGACCAAGTGTAGATTGTTTCTTTTCTTTTCGTCATATTGCTGTTAAAAAAAAAAAAACATGGAAAAATGGCTATTGCAGTGTTTTCTCTATTATTGTGCAGCTCTAATATGTATAAAGCATTAAAAAAGAAACTCAAAGTAAGATTTGCATTTGACAAGCAGCCAAACCTGATAGTTGATGCCACCCCTGATGCCACCCAAAAATCCTAAACTTTGATTGGGTCTTCCATTGTGGAGGTGGGACTATTGTCAAAACAACTGGGCCATGTTTAAACATGCCTGTTGATTTGCATTTCATTGTACAGTTTCGTTTTGCATGTACTTCGAATTGTGACTTTCAGTACATACAGATTACTTTCTGAGTACATTCAGAATCAAACCTAAACATAGACTGATATGTTTCTGCTCAGACTACATGATACGTAAAAAATATGTTGTATATATTGTCTCTTGTGAGAGTTGGTCCAAGCTCCCTGCAGTCCTTAAAGCTGTTCAAATCCTGTATGTCTGTATTCTCTGGGCTTGCCTCAGATTTTGTGATTGTGTACTGACCAACCTTTATTATTAAATATAAAATCTGGAGAGTTACTTGTGAAGTTGATGCCTTATGTTGTGGTCTGTTATTAAGCTTATCTGTTCAGGCACATGTTTAGTAAGTCACACTTTTTGCTTATGCAAAAATCCAAGTGAAGAGTGTAAAAATATGACACCATCGATCTGATAAATCCTGTGTAATGAGTTTCCAAGAGCCGTCTGTGGGAACACCATGAAGAGGATTATTAAGTTTGTCCACTGGAATAATTTATATTTTTTGCCCTTAAAAAAAAAGTGTGTGTCACTCCCACTCAGGCACAAATAAGCACTCATTGATCTCAGGTTGGTGCTGTGACAACCAAGATTAAATGTGGACTGTTCTCTCAGTTTTGTCATCATTAATCTCAGTAGTCGTCTGTAGATTTTCTGCTCTAACATGTCAAATACTGCAGTTTCTTTCTGCCAGTATATGTGTGTTGTGATCTCTCCACAGCGTGTGCATGACCTGACTCTGACTGTCACTAACGACTAATCACTAAGTAGTAACAGGCTTGTAGTGCTGTGAGTTACTACCACCTGTCTGTCTCTGCTCTGTGCCGTCCACAGGCATGTGATGACCTCAGCAAATGGACGGTGCTGCTGGGCTCCTCTCTGATCTGTGGTCCTCGAATAGAAGACATTTCATTCATCATAGAGGCTACAGGACACAGAGTGGGCTACCATTCTGCTCACAAGTCCGATAAGAAAGTAGGCACCACACATTGACTTACTACCACAACAACCATCAGTGTCATTTCACAGAACTGACTTAAGGTAGACACATTCATCCTGACACACTATCTAAACTCTGTGCTAACTGACCTAGTTAGATATGACTGCAGCACCTCCTGTCTGGTGCTGCTGTATGATTTCATACTTTACAGGTCTGATAACATGTCCTGCATCTCTGTGGCCATTACAAGATGCAGGTATGATAGTCTTAAGTATCTAGTTTGCAGTGTGTGCTGTGTTTGCATGTGTTGATGACATGTGCAGAGTGAACATGTGGACCAGTTACTGCTGGACTTCATTTAGAGAGCAAACAGGTTGAGAAACACGCTGCTTCAGGCCCGGATAATCTCCATTCATTCACAAATATATCCTTTAAGCCTGTTAATTCTTCTGTCCAGGTCTAATCAATAGTTGATTTGTCACATGAAATGTTCATAAAAACAGAATTTGGCAAATCATTTAACCCTCTTCAAAACTGAGAGTAATGCAAAGACAACATATCAAATATTGATGCTGGAAAATGTTATTGTTTCAAGAAAAATATCAGTAAATTTTCAATATGATGTTTCAGTGAAGTGGGGCCAGGGGTATGTTTACCATTTTGTTGCATTACTTCTTTTTTTCTGTAAACATATGGGAGCCAAGGAGGTCTGTTTCTGGATTTTAAGAAGTAGAATATTATCCCACTACCTACTGATGTAGGAATCCAACTGTTTTACACATTGGTATTTTGTTTGTTTGTTTTTTTGTTTATTTGTTTTATTTCATGATGTGCCAAATATATCTGATTGCTGCTGACAAGTCAGGATTGCAGTCAAGCCATTTAGCGCCCAGACTCTTCTACTGTGGAGTCATGTTGTAATATATGCAAAATGTTATTTGGCAGTGCCTTGCTGAAAACTGCAAGGTCTTCCTTGAAAAAGCCATTGTCTGAATTGCAGCATTTGTTGCTCTAAAACCTTCATTTACCATGGGTACTTATGCATCCTCATACCATTAAGGATGCCTGCTTTTGAACTGTGTACTGAAAACTAGCCAGGTGGTCCTTCCTCTTCCAAAGCAGCATCTATGATTTCCAAAAAGAATGTCAAATTATGATCCACCAGGCTTGACAAAATTTACCTGTATTACTGGACCATGTCCTTTTTTCCTTTTCTGTTCACAGACAATGTTTTTTTGATGTGATTTAAGCTGGGATTTCTACAACAACGTTACATCTGTTTTTGCTGAAGATCATGATCATTCAGCACTGGTTTTCAGCATTGTTCCTTTTGCACAGAAAGTTCTCCAGATTGTATTTGATGAAAACTGCAAATTTTTTGCAATTTTATGCTCAGGAAAAAAAAATTCTGAACTATTTGATGAACTATTGATGAACTATATGATCAAGAAGTCTCGTACAGAGTGAGGACTCTCTTCCCACCGCTACTCCCAAGGATCAGAACAAGCTCTGATCTTTGAGATAGGAAGGGAGAAGCCAGTTGGTACGTGGAACTGCTTTAAGTTCTTTTTTGGAGGTTAGACATTGTCAGGTGTTGTTTAGGCTGAGCACATGAGTTTCACTCTGGCTACAACAATAGGAGAGGCAGTTTGCACGTGTGCACCCTCTATTTTTCGCCACAGTGATAACAGCTGGGGATGTGTGCAATTAACTTAGTTGTGCACTGTGGCATTTCTGGTGATATAAGTGTACAGACTGCTCTGAGGCATCTGTGGAAGCCCAATACAGGTCCAAGCCCTGACAGAAACTTGGATATGTCCAGAAAACATTGTAACACCAACTGCCCTATCAGCTGATGCAGTGTTCTCTCTTACAACTCGCTCTTCTGGCTAAGGAATAGTTTGTCATGTGGTGCAGACATGATCTTTTCTGATAACTGGAGCTTCACTGGACATGTCACTCATAGACATACCTGATATTGGCAAGAACATCTACTATTTAAAGCCCAGGCAACTGATTTTATTTCTCTGCTGTCCTCCTTTGACCTAAAACAGATTCCAACACGCAAAGTTGGCAATACACTGTGTACCGAGCTGTTCCACACTCACAGTGGTTTTCCCCTCCTAATGTTAAATAACCGGCGTCTGTGCTCCGGTGGGCAGGGACGCATTGTACGGCGTCATTAGCGTCATCCGCCGGGTGGGGCCAGTATAAACATCCGTGCCTCTTTTTCTGTTTGAGCATCCGTGTGGCTGGTAAGGGAAGCCGGAACCATCAGTTCCATAGTTGCAAAAGGTTCGGGGAAGTTTAAACTCTCATAGGCTTTAAACCTCTGTTCCTCCTCCATCTCCTAACTGCCTACAGTGGATATCTTCTCTTCAGTTAGGATCTTCAAAAACAAGGAGAAAGTTTACTGACTAACCGCTTTACTTTCGTTTTCGTTTGAGTGACAGGCCGGCTCAGATTTGTGAGTATGCGTCTTTTCCTTTCTTCCTTTTTTTTAAACAAAATTTAAAATGAATATTTAAAGAAAATCTGACCTGATTTGCATTTTGCACTGTTAACAAGAAATTGAACTAAACGGTTGGAATATTTACATAGCTTAGTTAAAGAGGTGATTCAGGGCTCCCAGGTGTCACGCGTGTCAATAAGTTTACATTACATTTCTCACGCTGAGAAGTGTTAAAACCCACTGCACATCAGTAACTGTAAATGAAATAGATTAGTAACCCTGTGAATGGATGAAGCGAAGGAAAGAAGAGTGCAATGCTTGAATCAGCAACCTATCAGCCAATCAGAAGATAGTATCACGTGTGCCAAACGCGCAAATGCTGACCTTTTAGGCACACGTGAAAGACGAGCTGAGGACCGAAATCGACGTGGAACGGCAGTAAATCTAAAAGGCTCGTCCTATGGATTAATTGAGTTTCTGTTTTTAACAAGGACACATAACTGTACGCACGCACAAATGCTGTCTGCATGTTCAGATTGAACCTCCTTTCTTTTGAGGGGGGGTGGGGGAGAAGTTTGTTTCAGGATAATTTAAATTGAGTTTAAAAAAAAAGGAGACAGCACGAAAACATCCCACATAGTTTCTCGTGTTTCATAAACAGTTATTGCAAAAAAATACATTGATGAAGTGATCCGCTGATCTCGGGCTTTCACCTTCAGCTCGAGTGCAAGGCGTAATTAGGCCGCCGTTACTTCACCTGGCAACAAGAAATACTATTTTCTGATTGGCTGATGCGTTACAGATTCAAGCAACGCAGTCTGCCGCATCTATCCACAGGATTACTAATCCCTTTTATATACAGTGATACCAAAGTGAGTTTTATCACTTCTCAGCGTGAGAAAGATCATGTGTGGCGTGTGAACTTAATGAAATGCGCGTGTCTCACGTTTAATGCGTGACACTTGAGAGCCCTGTAGAAACACAGGAGTTAATGAATGCAGCCAATGAACAGTGCAGTTAAAGAGGTCCCTTTTGGCCAAATGTCTTTTTTCTTGTAGTTTTTTTTTCACCATGCCCCCCTTCACTACAAACTAAGTTCGAAACTATATAGCCCTGGATGCATTTTTTAGACTCTATGCTTTCTTTCTAATACCTGATTTTTGATTTCTGATTTTCTTTCTGATATATGTATCTACGTGCTTGAGAGATGTTCTTCCAGGTGTTTTAACATTACGCAATTAGTGTTTTTTGTCCTTATCTTGGTTGTTTTTATACATTTTCTTCAAAGTTTGGCATCAAACCTAAAATGACCTACTTCTTTTAAAAACAAACTTGGACATTTTAAGTTCCAACATTTGATATGTTGTCTCTGCACTATTGTATTGCCAATTCAATATGGGTTTCAGATGATTTGCAAATGACTGGAATCTATTATCAGTATTTTTTGAGGGTTGTGATTAAATCACAGTGAAATCTGTTTATTTTTAGCTTTAGTGTACCCTAGCCAGATATCAGCTGACTTGAGTGTGACTGGTAAGTCATAGTGAAACTGAAACTCTGATGGACAGGCACTGGTGGTTAGTGTCCCTTAGATGAGTCCTGGTACTGAACCTAGCTAACAAGTCATCAAACTGGGCTTAGTCAGCCGTAGGCAGCTGTGAGAAGCAGGGTTATAGTTGGTGGAGCAGGAGGGGACATAAACTCAGATCTTCTGCTTATGTCTGTGGTAATGGTTGGAGCCTTGTTGTTAGAGCCGGATATGTTACAATGACCCATAATGTAACAATGACCTGAATTTATTTTAAAAAAATGTAATAATTTGTCAATAGTTTAACAAAAGTGATGACCTGGAAATGTAATAAAAATTATGTAATAAAACCCGAAATGTAACAAGTTGCTACATTTTGGGCTCAGCATCTTGTTACAGGTATCACATTTTTTTTTATTAAATTTCAGGGCATTGTTACATATGGGGCTCTAACAAGCCTGCTTTTGAGCATTGAGAATAAGCACTAATCAGTTGCATGGAGTCAGACTGATCTTAGGTATCAACGGATTTTTGTTCAACAACAGCCGTCCTCCTCAGTGACAATTTATTAAAATCCAGAAGATGGCACCTCTTTGACCCATGTTTGCTCAGATGTTCATAAGCTGGAGGTGTTTATGTAGTCCAATGGCCTTCATGAAGTTTACACTCTCTTCTCGACAGATCAGTATACAGCATTGGCTAATACATGCTGTGTGTTGTGTTGTGTGCAGGTGCTGAAGTGGTCTGACTACTGTCTTCCTCTGGCCTGTAGTCCTGGTACGCCATACAGGGCAGTGGCACAAGCCAGTGTAGATAACTTCAGTCGACTGGGAGTCGCTTTTATAGAAAATCGCCTTCAGCTGGATGACGGGCTCCTGCCGTCAAAAATAATCCGTAAGTGTCTCCAGTTTGACCTTATAGCTGACCTTCAATCAGATAATCTGCTGTATGATCAAACATACATGAGCTTTGGGGAGGAATCAAAGGAGATTGAACGTTTGGAAACTGGGGGTACAAGTGGGTTTTAAATAAAGTTGACGTCTGTGTATATGTTGTTTAAAAAAGGATGTTTGTCGTATTTGATTTAAAGTCAGAAAATTAAAGTCCCTGTTTTGCTCTGACATTTCGTTAAATCTGTGTCCTCAGCTGTCTTCCTCAAAGAGTCTGCTCTCAGTGAGTTGTTGGAGAAGCAGTGTCCACAGACCCCAAAGACTGACAGGTTACTGTGTGTCTGTAACACTGAACCCTCACCTCACCTCCTGTCAGCTGACCCCCTGCATCAGTGCCGTAAAGGCAGCCTGCTCCTCCCCCAAGAGGCGAAGAGAAGGTTAGAGGAGCGCCGCGGGTCAGAGCCGCTCCGCAACACCCAAGACTTGGGACCTGTAGGTGATATTGAGGACCACTCCTTAGGGAACCACCGCCACATGGAGGGCCACGGACACCACCTCCACCTGTCCAGCTGTAATGAGTGTTTGGAGCTGGAGAACAGCACCATCCTGTCAGTGAAATACGCCTCAGCCGAGAACATTCCTGACCTTCCTGATGATGACTCTGCGGTGCTGGACAGCGAGGATCTGGACTCAGAAGAAATCACAGGGGTCGGTAATCCAGGCAGCAGATTTGAGCGTAACAGCAAACCGCCAAATTTACTGGTGTTCACAGGAGGCTGCAAGGAGCGCTTTCAGACCCTCAGTCAGCTGCTGTCAGAGTGCATCAACACTGACAACTACACCGTCTACCACCTCCTACCACAGCAGGCTCTGACCGACCCCTGGATGGAAAACACCAGGCTCCTGGTCCTGGCAGAGGAAGACACACTGACCCCTCAGCTCCAGACACGCTTTCTCACCTACCTGAGCCAGGGGGGTCGGGTCCTGGGCCTGGCCTCCACCCTGTGCCCTGCAGGCCTCAGTCTGGAAGACAGACAGAGAAGACAGGGGCAGGTTAGCAGGCTGAGCTTCACCAGAGAGGACAGCACAGAGCTGGAGCTGAGCGTGCTGGCCAGCAAGAAGGTCTACATCAGGGACAGTCAGGGAGGAGGGAAGGTGGAGCTTTGGGGGGAGCTGAAGGGGGACATCCCGAATCAGAGAGACATGGTTATAGTGAGGGTGACCCATGGAAGAGATGGTGGAGAGGCTGTCCTGTGTCAGGTAAAAAAACACTTTATGTTACTGCATGACGATGACTGTTGACATTATTATGGTGTTAAGACATAAATGAACATTAACAGACACAGTCCTGTAGTCTTCACTTCAGCTGTAAAAACAAAGATCTTCATCACTTGAATAGATTTTTTAAAAACGTTTTACACACAATATGAAATCAGATCCCTGCCAGTAGACTGCTGCAGCTTTCTAACGTTAATTGTTTTACATGAACTTTTAAAAATAATAACGTTATACGTCTAAAAAGGCATCACAACAATCTTTGTGTGCCACAACTTTCCTGCAGGATTTTTGAACACCTGTAAATCACTCATAATGCAAATTCCTTGTGTTTTCTCACTGTATAGAAGATGAGAGGCAAGGTTTGCAATACAGTGAGGGCTGAGGATAAAGTATAGCAAAGATAAGATGTTAGGTACTAAGTGTCGATCACCTCCACCATCTGCATTTTAACCTGCTGTCTGTACTTTTGTGTAGGTCCACTTGGAGCTCTCTCCTGACTCCCCTCAGCTGACCACAGGAGGGTTTGATGAGCTAAAGGTGAGCAACGCTCTGCGCTATGAGGTCCTGACAGAGATCCTCTCCTCACTGGGCCTCAGCTGTGAGCTCAGCCAGATCCCAGCTCCCACCCCAGTCCACCTGCTGACCACCTCACAGGTAACTCTTGAACTTTCCCCTAACCCTTAACTTGAAAAGTACTTGGCAAGGGCAGACAGTGATAAGCGTAGCTGTTTCAGCTGCAACATTGCAGAACTGGCTCTTGATAGCCTTCAATCATGTTCCAATATGAAACAAGGGAACCCCGTTAACCAGGTCAATGCTTAAAAACTATAAAAGTCCACATAAGATTTGAGCACACATGCTGGTGGGCTCACCACCAGTGTTGTTGAGCTATATCATAAAGTAGGGCGTGACAGAACCAACTCAAATGCTTGACACCAGGTCTGCGCCATAGACTGTACAGGTGCTGGCCAGTAAATTAGAATATCATCAAAAAGTTGAATTATTTCAGTAATTCCATTCAAAACGTTAAACTTGTATACTGTATACTTTCCTTCCACACATAGTGATATATTTCAAGTGTTTATTAATTTTCATTTTTATTATTACAACTGACAGCTAATGAAAACACCAAATTCAGTATCTCAGAAAATTAGAATATTCTGAAAAGGCTCAATATAGAAGACACCTGGTGCCACACTAATCAGCTGATTAACTCAAAACACCTGCAAAGGCCTTTAAAAGGTCCCTCAGTCTTGTTCTGAAGGCTCCACAATCATGGGGAAGACTTCTGACTTAACAGTTGTCCAAAAGACGACCATTGACACCTTGTACAAGGAGGGCAAGACACAAAAGGTGATTGCTACAGAAGCTGGCTGTTTGCAGAGCTCTGTGTCCAAGCACATTAACAGACAGGCGAAGGGACGGAAAAAATGTGGTAGAAAAAAGTGTACAAGCTCTAGGGATAACCGCACCCTGCAGAGAATTGTGACGACAAACCCATTCAAAAATGTGGGGGAGATCCACAAAGAGTGGACTGCAGCTGGAGTCAGCGCTTCAAGAACCACCACGAAGAGACGCATGAAAGACATGGGATTCAGCTGTCGCATTCCGTGTGTCAAGCCACTCTTGAACAAGAAACAGCGTAAGAAGCGTCTCGCCTGGGCCAAGGACAAAAAGGACTGGACTGCTGCTGAGTGGTCCAAAGTTATGTTTTCTGATGAAAGCAAATTTTGCATTTCCTTTGGAAATCAAGGACCCAGAGTCTGGAGGAAGAGCGGAGAAGCACAGAATCCACGTTGCATGAGGTTCAGTGTAAAGTTTCCACCGTCAGTGATGGTGTGGGGTGCCATGTCATCTGCCGGTGTTGACCCACTCTGTTTCCTGAGGTCCAAGGTCAATGCAGCTGTCTACCAGGAAGTTTTAGAGCGCTTCATGCTTCCTGCTGCTGACCAACTTTATGGAGATGCAGATTTCACTTTTCAACAGGACTTGGCACCTGCACACAGTGCCAAAACCACCAGTACCTGGTTCAAGGACCATGGTATCCCTGTCCTTGATTGGCCAGCAAACTCGCCTGACCTTAACCCCATAGAAAATCTATGGGGTATTGTGAAGCGGAAGATGCAATACGCTAGACCCAACAATGCAGAGGAGCTGAAGACGACTATCAGAGCGACCTGGGCTCTCATAACACCTGAGCAGTGCCACAGACTAATCGAGTCCATGCCACGCCGCATTAATGCAGTGATTGAGGCAAAAGGAGCCCCGACTAAGTATTGAGTGCTATACATGGGCATTCTTTTCATGTTCATTCTTTTCAGTTGGCCAACATTTCAAAAAAAACATTTTTTTTCATTGGCCTTTTCAATATTCTAATTTTTTGAGATACCAAATTTGGAGTTTTCATTAGTTGTCACTTATAAATATCAAAATTAAAAGAAATAAACATTGGAAATACATCGGTCTGTGTGCATTGCATGAATATAATGTACAAGTTTCACTTTTTGAATGGAATTACTGAGATAAATCAAGTTTTTGATGGTATTCTAATTTACTGGCCAGCACCTGTATATAGAATGGACCCTGTCCACCTCCTCACGGGGTGAAGCCACTCTGAGAACAGCACCCTCTGGTGACAGGCTGCAGTATAGGTCATAAATCCCGCCTCTGCCAGCAAAACTTATGGAGCTGTGGACAAACTTTAGAAATTAATGGTTGTGGTTCCCTTTCAGTCGATTCACTCGGTACAACACATATAGTATGGGATATCACGCCCCTGCGTGACCTGACTGAAGACACCTTTATTCACGCCTTTAAGGCAGATGATCTGTGGTGATGTCTGGGAGGCTCCGCCTGCACATATATACGTGTAACACCACAGTCATCCTTCAGTTCTTACGCTCTTCACCTCGCTGAGAACACCTACACCGAGTCGGGCTAACTAGCTGCTGCTAAATTAGCCTGGTCTTGTCTCTGGCTACTGCTTGATCGACTTTAGCTCAACTGCCCCTGTTGGTGTTAGCCTACGGCTACCCGCGGAGCGCTAATTTCGTTCAGCTTTTGAGTCTCGTTATGAGCTCTAAGCCCATGAAGGTGAAGGCGAAGTCTTCTGTTCGCCCCTGTCCTCAGGGGTGCGGCTTCTCCCTTCACGAGAAGGATCTTCACGAGGCTTGTCCCGTTTGCCTGGGGATTGTCCACGCCAGGAGGGCGTTGACTGAGCCCGAGTCGTGTGAGTCCTGTCACCGGCTTCGGAGCTCAACCCTGGGAAGGCGGGTCAAGTTTGTGGAGAAAATTCTTGGAAAAACCGCTGTTGCGCTGCACGACCCCCTCCTTTCCGAGTCCAGAGACCCGGCTTCGTCCGAGTCCGGTGGTGAGGACTTTCTGGTCGAAGGCTCAGTTGGAAGCTGGGCAGACCATGTGGAGTGTGCTGACGGGTCAGCTGGGTTTGAGCCGGGCCCCTCCGAGGGCGCTGGCCAGCCGCTATCCGGGCTAGCTTGTTACCAGGAGGACGATGACGTGCTGGACATCGGCCTGGACGTGCAGGGTTTTTCGGAAGATGAGCTGGAGCCGTTGTCTTCAGGTCAGTATGCCGCCGCTGCTGCGCCGGTCGATCTGGACGACACATCCTTCCTCTCACTGTACCGCCGTGCAGCTGAGAAACTGGAGGTAGAATGGCCCTCTCCTCCACCAGCTCAAAAACCGTCGCGATTCACAGGGTTTTTTCTCCCACCCGAACCGACGACTGTTAAGAACAGTTTGCCCATGTTCCCGGATTTTGTCGCGGAACTAACCTCGACATGGAACAAGCCGCTGTCCACCCGCGCCACAGTGCCCGGTTGTGGACAGTTTCTGGATCTAAATGGAGCTGAAAAAGCTGGATTGGTGAACCCTCCGCCTATGGAGGTGTCCCTGGCAGCTTATCTGGCCCCGGCCCAGAATCACGGTGTCGGTGGCCCCATCACGCTCCCATCCAAGCACTGTAGATTTTCAGCGTCACAGCTGGATAAAATTTACAGGACACAGGCAAATACGGCTCGTGCACTGAGCTCCGTCACTATGCTTCAGACATATCAAGCTATGTGTCTGGCAGAACTCGGCTCGCGTATGCCTCCTGACAGTCCGCTTACTCCTCTCCTCAATGAAGCTAGGGTCGCCACAGATTACATCCTCCGTGTGTCCCGCTGTGCAGCGCTGTCTCTCGGTAGAGGCATGGCTTCCACGGTGGTGGCGCAGAGGCACCTGTGGCTGACTCTCTCCGACGTTCCGGAGAGGGACAGAGCGGTTTATCTGGACGAGCCTGTGTCGGCCAGCGGTTTGTTTGGGCAGTCCCTCGACGACATTCAAGCTAAGTTTGAGCTGAGGAAAAAACAAACCGAAGCTTTGAGAAGCATCATCCCCAGGCGTGATGCGAGACCCAAACAACAGGGTTATCCGCACAAACCGGCACCAGCGCCTCCCCCTAAGAGGACTGCAGCGCCCGCCAGCTTGGGGCCCCAGCCGGTGAAGCGACATGTACCCGGTCAGAACCCACGCCCTTCGGCTTGGAACAAGGGTCCGCCATCGAGCTTCCGGAGGGACTCGGCGCCCAGGAAGAAGAAGCAGCAGTCATCCTGGCTTCGGGATCGACTCGAGAGGGCCAGCAGCACGGAGGCACTGCCGCCCTTCATTTTCTGCCGCCAAAGAGGCCGCGTTTAAAGTTCGTTCAGGGGTCCGGTCCCGAGAGGCGCTGCACTCCCTTAACACAGTCTCCCAAGCACAACCCCCCCTCACATACACATGCCCCAATAATGGCGCCTGTTGTTCACTGTGTGAATGTCACAAATGTACGTTCTTTGAATCAAATAAAGGTTTCGTTTTGTTCTCAAAACATCATGAATCAATCAAGTCTGGGCGAGAAAGTGTTGGGCACGCTAGGGGGCGACAACCCCTCCCCCACAGTACTGGAGGTCAGTCGACTGACTGTTCGTCTCTCTCGGTGGCGCGCATGCGCAGTCTCACCGTGGGTAGAGAGAACTGTTGCCATCGGCTACCGCTTACAGTTCAGGGTCCGGCCGCCTCGCTTTCACTCTGTAATACACACAGTTGTAGCAGAGGAAGCAGCAGCAGTGCTGAGGGAAGAAATAAACAACTTGTTGAACAAGAGAGCGATACGAGTTGTTCCCGCTTCGGAAACGAACAAAGGTTGGTACAGCCGCTATTTCGTTGTTCCGAAAGAAGGAGGAGGGCTCCGTCCTATCCTAGACTTGCGAGTGTTAAACAAATACCTACGAACCTACAGGTTCAAGATGCTAACACTCAGACAGCTACTGGGCGCGATCAGACCGGGAGATTGGTTTACAACTATCGATCTGACAGATGCTTACTTTCACGTAGCAATTCATCCGGACCACAGGCAGTTTCTAAGGTTTGCATTCGAGGGCATAGCCTACGAATACCTGGTGCTGCCGTTCGGCTTATCACTCGCCCCCCGAACATTCACCAAATGTGTCGAGGCGGCATTAGCTCCGCGACGGGAGAAAGGTGTTCGCATCTTAGCCTATCTGGACGATTGGGTGCTAATCGCGAGCTCCAGAGAGCGAGCAGCGGCTCAGCTGTCATTGACCCTATCCAAACACTGGGCTTTTCAGTAAATTTACAGAAAAGTTCACTGACTCCGAGTCAACAGGTATCATTTCTCGGGCTGGAAATATGCTCCGTTTCAAGCCGAGCACGTCTGTCAGAACGCAGGGTGGCTGCGTTTCACCGCTGCCTTGCACAATTTCAGTTGGGACGCAAACTGTGTTTCCGGACGATTTTACAGCTCACAGGCATGATGGCATCTATGATCGCTGTAGTGCCGCTCGGACTGTTAAAAATGAGAGCGTTTCAACGCTGGACTCAGTCTCACCGGCTGTGCGCGCAGCGTCACCTCCAGAGGAGGCTGACGATAACTCAGTCTTGCATGTCGGCTCTTCTCCCGTGGAGAGAACCCGGTTTCTACAACAGGGATCTCCGATAGGGAGGGTGTCTTTTCGCAAGGTGGTGTCCACAGACGCATCCCTGAGGGGTTGGGGGGCTCTGTGCGAGGGCGCAGCAGTGAGAGGTGTGTGGACGCCAGCACAATGCAAACTCCACATCAATTACCTGGAGCTACTAGCTACCCTTTTAGCTCTGAAGCACTTTCGTCCCGTTCTGACAGGCCATCATGTTCTGATCAGGACGGACAACACAACCGTGGTTTCTTACATAAACAAGCAGGGAGGGACACGCTCTCTTCCCCTGTTAAAACTGTCTCACTATCTGTTGCTATGGTGCAGTGTTCATTTTCTGTCCCTCAGAGCCACACATATTCCGGGTCACTTAAACCTTGGACCAGACCTTCTCTCCAGGGGGGGTCCTCTTGTGAGAGAGTGGAGATTGCACCCACTAGTGGTGGCTCAGATATGGGACCGCTTCGGCAAGGCAGAAGTAGATCTTTTTGCCTCCAGAGCAAATACTCATTGCCCCCTGTTCTTTTCCATAACAGACTGCAATGCTCCCCTGGGGATGGATGCGCTAGCTCACCCATGGCCCAACACGCTGCTATATGCTTTTCCCCCAGTGGAAATGATTCTGCCCATTCTGGAGAGGGTGCGCCAGCAGGGGCTCTCCCTGATCCTGGTGGCTCCTCGCTGGCCGGCGAAGTCGTGGTAGGCAGAGATAATCAGTCTGCTGGTAGCGAGGCCCTGGCAGCTCCCTTTTTGCAGGGACCTCCTCTCCCAGGCGGGATGAGAGGTGATTCACCCGCGCCCAGAACTGTGGAAACTACATGCTTACCTGTTGAAAGGTCCAACTTAATGGCTCAGGGTCTGCCCCCAAATGTGGTGGCAACAATCCAGAGTGCAAGGGCATCATCTACTAGGGGCCTATATGCCTATAAATGGCGGGCGTTTGAGCAGTGGTGTCAGGACCGAAATGTACTCCCATTTCAGAGTTCTATTGTGGATGTTTTAACATTCCTTCAGGACCTGCTGGATAAGGGTCTCTCTTTCTCAACAATTAAGGTCTATTTGGCGGCTATATCTGCATGCCATGTTGGCTTTGATGGTGTGACGCCAGGCGCTCACCCTCTTGCTATGCGCTTCCTAAAGGGAGTCCGCAGGCTAAGACCTGTTCTTAAACCCAGTGTTCCCTCATGGGATTTAGGGTTGGTGCTTGAGGCTCTTGGTGGACCCCCATTTGAGCCTATTGAGTCAGCAGACATGAAATTTCTTTCATACAAGACTGCACTGCTACTTGCTTTGACGTCTGCAAAGCGAGTGGGCGACCTTCATGCTTTGTCTGTGCATCCCTCTTGTACCCAGTTCACTCCGGATGGATCTAAGGCTACATTGCGTCCAAACGCGGCGTATTTACCTAAGATTATCCCCACAGCCTATAGCTCTATGAGTTTTGAACTGCTGAGCTTCTGCCCCCCTCCATTTGCATCTGAGGAGCAGAGGAGGTTGCATTCCTTGTGCCCTGTGCGTGCACTACGCACTTACATAGACCGCACTCAGAGTGTGCGTTTATGTGACCAGTTGTTTGTCTGTTTTGCTAATCCAGCCAAGGGCAAGGCGCTGTCTAAGCAGCGGCTTTCCCACTGGATTGTGGAGGCTATCTCCTTAGCATACGGCAGCAGGGGTCTCCCGTTGCCCCAAGGTGTGAGGGCACATTCAACCAGGGGAATGGCGGCCTCTTGGGCCTTGTTTAAAGGGGTTTCTGTGAGTGATATCTGCACTGCAGCCAGTTGGTCATCACCGCACACTTTTGTTCGGTTTTACCGTTTGGATGTGACAGCACCTTCGGTGGCTCACGCTGTCCTTTCTGCTGGGTCTACAATGCATTAAAAGTTTTGGAGGTTTGACTTCGGTTCGGTGGCTGCTCTGCGGGGCGTGTATATATGTCCCATACTATATGTGTTGTACCGAGTGAATCGACTGAAAGGGAACGAAATGTTATGAATATAACTTCTGTTCCCTGAAGGAGAGGAACGAGGTACAACACTGGGTTGCCCCGCTGCGCGGCAGAGCTCGGTGAAGAGCGGCTATCGAACTGAAGGATGACTGTGGTGTTACACGTATATATGTGCAGGCGGAGCCTCCCAGACGTCACCACAGATCATCTGCCTTAAAGGCGTGAATAAAGGTGTCTTCAGTCAGGTCACGCAGGGGCGTGATATCCCATACTATATGTGTTGTACCTCGTTCCTCTCCTTCAGGGAACAGAAGTTATATTCATAACATTTCGTTTTGATATGTAGTTACAGTAAGACTGGTTTGTGCTCAAGTCCACTTCTTTGATTGACACCTGATACAGCCTATAGGCGTTCAGGGATTGCGTAGCTCACCCTGGGGATACACTGTTTGACCTGAGCGTCATCACAGCGACTCTCGGTGACTCTCTGGCCGAATGCACACAACACTACTGCGCAGCACTGGTTTCAGGAAATAAAGAAAAATCCCAGAAATACCAAAAGCTTTTTGGCTTCAAATCCGTATACAGACGGGAGGCGGAACCAAGTTGTCCATAGTATAAACAGTCTATGGTCTGCGCCAAACACTGAGACACACACACACATTGTCTGCTGTGTTTATTGAAATGAATTATGATAGCAGCACAATTATTCTCCATGCTTCACATGTGGAAACAGTCAAATCTTCTTAATGTATGTAAATCCATGATGATAATGATGATGTCTGCAGTAAACCTGGATCTGGTGTTTCAGACATGAAACTAGCTTCTGTGGGTGGGTTATACGCCAAGCAAATTTGTGCTACAAATATGAAGTAGAGGGATAAACACATCGACACTGTTTATAGATCTGTGCTACATATTTAAAGCTATATCAGTCTGCTCTTATTGGCTAATAGTTTGTATCTGATACCGAATAAAACCTGTACAAATTGAATGATCGAAAAGTTTGTGTACTGGTGGTTTAACATTTTAAATATTATTTAAGTGAGCAACTTTCTCTTAAAAAATACATTATAAACTGTAACCATCTTTCCTTTGACACAGATTAAAATGCATCAAATAGAACTTTTTTTTTTAAGTATTGTTTCCCTAAACTTCAAAATAAAAAAAAGGCTTATAGAATTATAAACAATTGTTTAGATTTTATCATTTAAAACTGTCGTGTATGGGTCAGTCATTGTGACACACAGTAATAAAGATGATCCTCTGTCTGCTTTTAAATCATAGGTTGGTTATTTTTTTCCAACAATCTTTGCTGAAACCAAAAAAGCCTTCAGTCATTTTTTTTTTTTTTGTCAACCAAATACTTGAAACTATTAATACACTGACTTCAGTTGGATGTCTGCACTTTGATCTTTCACACCAAACCTCAACAGACTTAAGCTGATTTTAAACTGAACTAACACAGGTTCAGTGACACTTTGAGTCTGTCTGGAGATAATTTTTGACATTTTAGTGGTTAAATCTGGATCTGCTGACCTGAACTGTGAGTCTGAGTGTTAATCACAAGTTTTACCTTGTTTTATAGAGGCTACAAAGGTTAAACTCTTATAATACAGGGTCAGCATTTTTTGCCTTGAAGCACACACTGTAACTATAATGGTGGGAGAAAAGGATCATAAATAATTTATGAGACGATAAACAAGACAATGATTTACCTGTACAATTCAAAAGTATGCTTTTAAACAAGATAATAGCTGGAGCTTCTCTTCTGTAGACTATCAGAAAAGATGTCTTCACAGGTAGTGAGTTTTTTGTAGTACTGGGGGGTGACCACTAAGGGGAGTCAGAGGTCCAGGCTGCACAGATAGGCGAAGTACGGGTCTTTGTAGTTTCCTTGAAGTATCATAAGGCCGAGTTATTGACCTCATTGCACCTCATATCAGCATGCCTCCTGGGTGATGGAGTGACAAGTGGGCAGTTTTAATTTCAGGTGTAAACATACCGAGGACACAGTCAGGAGGTTTTTGGATCACCCAGGATGCAGAAGAAGGTTAGAACTGGATTTTGAATCTGCAAACCATTCTCACAGCAGCATCTCACATGGGGTCCTGACTTTTTGGAGTGGGGTTTTGTTGTTTATAATCAATATTAGCTGAGTTAGCTGATTTTGCCTGTTGTATATTGTTGTATAGTTGGGTTGCTGTGTGACCTTTGACCCTGCTGTCTCAGTCACTTTGTTCTAACAGGCAGGAGGCTGATGAAATGCGGGTCTGCAGAATAGTTTCCAGATTGTTGTGTATGCAGCCAGGGAGGGAGTCCAGCATGTGTTTGTTTCTGCTCACACCGAGCCACACTCTGGTAGCAGGATGATCCAGTCTTTACTGGATCAGGATCAGTATAATAATTGCCCCTGTTCCTGACTCTCAGCAGGTACTTTTCCTGAGCAGGACTTTAATATCAGGGGATCTGAAGTCTGTTAGCGTGCTAAGATAACTGTTCTGCTGTGCTAACAAAAGGGAAGACACAGGGACTGTAAGGTGAACTCGCTCTGCTGACTGAGTCTGGATCAGATCAGACAAACAACATGTTTGGCTCAGTTGAATTCCTGTGGGGTCTGATGGGTAATAATGTTCATTTGGTTTGAGTTTATGATTAATCATGGGAAGTGTCAGTATCACTCTGAATAAATCACAACCTGTTAACACTCTTCAGAGTGACTTCATGATTGTGTCACTTCAAATCACATTCAATCAACCTTTATTTACACAGGCAGAGTTCTTCCCATCATTACATCACATACACAAAGAGAATAATACAATAGAATGAAGTGATCAAGTTGATATAATGTGTGTGAGAGCTCAGGAGCGAAATCTAGTGAATAAGAGCAGACGGAAACAGAACAGAGCGGACTGATCGCACTGTGTCATTGATTAGACACATTTACTCCAGATATCCATCAAACACATGAGCGCTGTGATTCTGAACAGAACAGTTCATGCTCAGAACGTTTATATGTCAGTAATTATAATTGGTCCTGACACACAAACTTGCAGAGAAAAATCACAATGTGTTGTTGAACGGATAACGGAACACTGACTTAATGTAACCAGCAGCAGTATGTTAACTTTTTAAAGATATTTTTAAAGTTTTCCAAGTATGAACTATAAAATATCTAATTATCATTACCAACCATGGCACTGGGCTCTGTCACAGTCACTTAAATAAAAATCTATCCTTTTTTATGTACTAAAGTATATGTATTTTATTCCTTTAATATACACTAATTGAACCATACTTTTACATATATCCCTGCAATTTGCACCCGCACTTTCAAATACAAGTCCAATACAAGTATTAAAGCTGCCAGGATACCAGAACTTTAAAATTTGTATCAACACCAAAAAAGATCTTTCCTCTAATTTATCACCCATTTTCCAAAAGACGTGTGGCGAAATGTGCCTCTGAAAAGACTGAATGTCATATTTACAATGGTGTGAAGCTCCTCGTCAACAGTCTGCAGGTCAGAACTGATGGAAACATGTAGGAAGCAGGTGACATGGCTCTTTGTTCTCTGCTCTCTCTCTGTTTGCGACATAAACCCAACGTGTGTTTTTATTTGATGTTAAAAGGACTTTGTGAGGTTGTGAAGGAGGGCGGAGCAGAGACACACAGTGGACAGGATGAGGGCAACTTTAGTGGCAAACAAAATCCTACATCTTCTTGTGTAGATGTTTGAAACAGTGAATGTCAGAAACATTTTTAAAACATAAAGCATGGCTGTGAAACAATAAAACGCTTTTCTACATAACAATTCCATCGCTGTTTGCTGGGTTTCATTAGATTGGATAAAGTTATAAAGTTAGATCCAGATAAAGTTATAGCTGGTTTGGGTCGGATTAATTCAGCCCTGTACAATCGTCATAACCAGAGAATTGAGCAGAGGAGAGTAAAATTGATTCTTATTTTAACTGTAAACTATTATTTTAACTTAGCTGTAAAGCTGAGAGCGGGCTTACTTTAAGAGACGCCGTCTAGTGAACATTTCAGGAACTACCGATTTTGAAATTACATACAGTTCATTCGTCAACAACAGAGGCCACCTCCTGGTTAAAATTGATAATCTGTGTTTACTTTTCCTGTCTCACTCAAAATTACAGAGGAAAAGTCAAATATCTGTATCTAGATTGCAATGCTGCCACCTGGCGTTTGGGGGTCTGAACTCAAGATAAACCTATGATACAAATCTGTGTCCAGTTCTTCTCTATGTGTACAACAGCTGATGTGTGTTCTGGTCCCTCTGTGTCTCAGGAGGTCAAGTCCATGTTCCTGCAGTGGCTGCAGACACGCACTGATCCAAACGGCCTGATCAAAGGGTGTAAGGCTCCTCTCAGGACTGTGTCTTGGTCTGAGCTCCAGGATGGGTCTGATCAGCCTCAAGACTCTTTGGCTCTGGTCACAGACCCTCCACAGTCTCAGAGCTGGGCCCACTTCAATATGGAGACCTACAGACAGAACCTGAAGACCAGCCTGTTGGGTCACACCCTGCTGTACGCTGAGGTGGTCACATCCACTATGGACCTGTTGGAGGGGTAAGATCTGTCTGTTTTATGTTTGAATCATGGTGAGGTCACAGTGAAGCAGGTCTCATGCTGTGGTAGGAGTGCAGCACATTACAAATCTCAGTCAAAGCACAACAAACACCTCGGATCCTCCTCCAAGTTGATTTATTTTTCAATCTTTTGGCCTTTTTCATACACTTTTGCAGCATCGTGATTCTCTTCTCCTCTTTCTTTATTCTCTTCTTCTACTTGAATTCTCTTGTGTCTGTTCATCCTCCTCTTCCTGAGTGCTGTGTTCATTTGTTCATCCACTGATGACGCACATAGATCAGACCATGAGGTCAGAGTTAGTCAGTGTGCTGATGGTTTACATGTCTGATGCACTTTAGTTGACCTGCGTTGTTGTGGAACATATTCAACACTGACCTGCCCTCCAATAAGAAGACCAAACCTTAGACCCTCTCCTGGTCCCTGGTGTTCAGACCAAGTCTGACCTGCACCTACGAACCCCCCTTTCGTGTAATAGCAGAACGGCAACTGTCCTCCGTTCTCTTTTCTTATCTTTCTCTTCTCAGCTGATCTTTATGAATTAAAAATCGTCTGATTGTAAAGATCATTTCCTGACACAATCCCCCAACACCTGTGTAACACCTGAAAGTACTCCCTGATATGAAATAAAAATGTACATAAAATTCGGTCTTTAATCATATAGGTAATAAATTTGACTGATCAAATTTCAGGTTAAGAGAGAAATATAAACCAGCAGGAGCCGAATAGATTTTATTTAATACAGAGTCAAACAGAAACTTCTCCTCTGCAGATCCTCAATCACTCATGACGGGGTTTGGGTGTGTGTGTGTGTCTGTGCTGTGAAATTACCACACACACACACACACACATATTAATGCAATAAAGTTCACACTTGCACATACGTGTGTGGTAGTGAGGTGTATATTTTCTGGCCCTCTACACACACAATCTCAGGCTGACACAGTGTAAATTGGACACACACACATACTCACACACACACATAGGCACAGCGTGTGCTGGAACTGATTATGGTGGTGTCTGACCTGGGTGCAGCAGAGCAGGTCTGTCTAATAGAGCCTTTGTGTGGACAGAGCTGGTCTGTGGGTGGAGCTCTGCTCTGGCTGCAGGTGGGAACAATTAAAAGTGTCATAAAGTTTGAAAAATGGCCGGTGGAGCAGCGCTGAGCTGATTGGAACAGACACTGTTGTCATTTAGCTTCCACACAAAGTGAACTCCCAACCTGTGTGCTAATATTTGACTTTCCAGATGTTTCTGAGCAGCAGCTTGATTAATGTTATTATGAAGGAATGCTTGTTTTATTTCTGCAGCACATGTGTTGATTAGGCTCTAAGTATGATGGAGAGAGATCACGAGCCATGAGGTGGAGCTGACAGTCTCCGAGTGGAGCAGCTCTGATTTTAACCCCCTGCAGCTCTCCAACATTTAATCTTGTGTGTGTTTGAATATTGAAATCATACACTTTATTAAACTCCTGTTTGCGTTGGACTGTGTGAAGCTGTCTGGATCCTCCTCATACGGAGTCTGATCCGTCGTACTCGCACCTCTGAGGACAGTTTGTGCACTCAGAGTCAGCGCTTTCATTCATGCCTTTAGATGAAACAATATTATGATAATCAGCATTTGTCACATAATGAAATCAAACCTTTGATTACAGTTCTGAGTGGAGTTGTTGTAAAGTTCCAGCAGTGTGAGGTCAGTTATCGTCTATGATGAGGTGAATATTATCAACATATGCATTTGTATATAATCCAAAGTCAGTTTGTAAGAGATGTTTTCATAGACACTCACGTCTATTCCTATTATTACAGGCAAGCCCTACATATAGGGAGTCTACATAGTTTGATTCCCACCTTTTTCCCTGCTCTCTCCTGCAACTTTTTCTCTCCGTCGTACGAACACATGAGGAAGACCAAACTAGTAATCAGAGATAAAGTTAGTAACATTAACGAGGGTTTAGTTTTAGTGGTTCAAATGCTCTCTGCATGTTATGATGTTGGTGTGGATATCTTAGCCTATAAATTAGTTGTTTTATCAGATAGTGCTGCAGGTCGAATATTAAAATTAACCTCTGAAATAAGAAATTAAACAAATTATGTATCCGTTCATGCAAATGAAATGTTTGATTTTTTTTCTTTTAAAGACATAAAATTACATTTTGTTTTAGTTTTTGTCATTTCTACATTTTAGTGTCATTTTTTGTGAATTTGAAAAACAGTCCTGAATACATTTTTTTAAAAACTTTTATTCATTTATTAATTTATCAGGTTCTGTTTTCTTGATTTAATTTAATTGAAAGAACTTTTTCTTCTTGTCCTTTAGCCCTACAGAAGGATATGTTAAGTCTTTATTTTTAGCGATGGTTAAATATGAAGTGGAAAACTATTTTTTTGTTTTTATCTTGTAAGGATTTAAATGATTTTGGCTAAATAAGAATATGAACTGCTGTCTGTTATAAATATTTAAAACCAGTGAATCCCTGGACCTTCCTAGTTAAAGGCGTATTCCCCTACAGCCCTCATCCCTACAGTCCTCATTGCTGGTCCCTGGTTCAGCTCTCGGACACGACCTTTTACTATAAGTAATCTCCCGCAATCTGTTCCCCACATTTTTGCGCTGTCAGGCCCCAGAAACACCGGTGGATGCCTGATTTCATATCTTGAACTTAAAACTTGATCAGACCAGCTCACTGAGCTGCTGTAATGATGTAGAGATGAACCTTCTCTTTTATTAAGTCGTATATTCATCATGTAGAGCTCCATATGTCCTCATGGACTCTGCAAATTACCACACAAACATTCCTTCATCAGTGTAGGTCACTGGTTTAAATAATTTGACCTTCCTGCACTTAAATTAAAGTGACAGTAAAAATACAGCAGCAAAAAAAACAAACCACATCAGATATGGATAAAGCAGGTATCAGTGCATGCTAACAGTCAAAGTTCCTGTTAAATCTTAATACAGATCGCACAGATGTACACAGACCTTTACTCTTTTTATTCATTACATTTCTATAAAGTTTGGCCCCACAGTGTCACATCACATGACCTCTCTGTCAAAGCACAGGAAATGAAATAGGCTGACAAGTAATGTATTTGATCTGTTAGACAGTCTCAGCTCAATCTGTATGGTTATTTAATTCATCATTGATTTGAAAAAAAAAAACATAATGTCTGTGATTGGCTCATCTATGTATGAGAGGCATCTACATGAAATCATCTGTGTTCAAATTCATGAGTGAAGAATCATACATGACAGAATACCAATCACGATGTGTGTTAAAGACTCTCATGGCGCAGGTTTTCCTCCTTCCTCACTGTGTTACTTTCTTCTGAGTGAATTTAACGGACTGAGAGAGTCCTCATGTTGTCACATTCCTCAGCCCGTCATCAGTGTGCATAGAGATGCTTATGCGGTTAATCAGATGGTCAAACAGATGTTGATTTCAGAGCAGAGAGTTATTAGAGTCCTTTCAGACCACACTGACGGCTTCTTTTCTCCAGTGTGGAGGATGAATAAAGCTGAGAGAGCGAACAGAGAGCTGCTGCAGGTCAGAGCTGATGAAAACAGCCTCAGAGCAGAGGATTGAGGCCGAGGCTGAATGGACGGCTCACTCACTGTTTGTCCTCAGTATTAATGCTTTGTTTGGCTGTGCAGGCTAATAATAGCAGCACAGAGACACAGAGGGCTGTTCTCACAAGGTCACACCTCACTGGAATCTCAATGACCAGCATCCACACACACACACACACCGCCGCAGTAACACAGGCCGTTCATTGCACTGCAGGGGCCTTTATTCACACTGTTAAAACTCATTTATCCACTTTTCTGTTCAGAGTCAGAGCAGAAGATATCCTCTGTTTGAAACACAGCTAGAGCCAGAAGCTGACCAGCTTAGTCTAACACCAAGAGTGAGGGAAGGACCAGCAGGAGATCTGATCCCTTTCCCCTCATGATCGGAGGAGAAGCCTGGTTTGGTATCAGTGCTAGTATTCTGTTTAGTATTCTGGTAGGGTGATGGTTTTTTACAGATCATGATTTAGGGTGAATTACATTTGCAAATTTTATTTTATCGGGATTATTCCCACTGAGATCAAAAGAGTGCAGACTAATTTATGAGTATTTGACATCCATCAGTAAATTAACAGCATTTAGCAATAAAACACAGCATACACCAGTCAAATGATCCTCAATCTGGGTTTGAAATGTTCTCTGTTGGTAAAAAGATGTAGTCTCAGATGAACTTGTAGCTTAGACCAGGAGAAGGGAGCAAGATATTAAAAGCAGTTTCAGCAATCGTAGTGCGAGTCAGAAATGGTGTAGTCCATGAGAGTGAAGGTCACAGATAGTGACGGTTGAGAGCCAGTAAAGGACATAAAACAAGAGTCCATTCATGAAGTTTAGGCTGAGAAAGAAGTTATACTAACGCTCAATTCCTCTGTTGTTAAGATAGACCAATTTTGGTTTTCAGGCCTGAGATAGTTAGATAATAGCGATAGTTAGAGTGACAGATAACTGCTATTTGGAACTGATATGTACAACAGTAAAAGTTAAAAATTTCAAAAGAACTTTTAATACAATAAGCTCAGAGAATCAAAGCATTCTTGATGCTCATAAGTTAGTAAAGAATGATAATGATAACAATAATGCATTTTATTTATAGATGCCTTTCTTGACACTCCAAGTCACCCTACAGCATTAAAACAAACTTTTTAATAACAAACAGAATAAAATACAATTTAAAACATTTTAAAAGAATGGAGTTGTTCCAAAGTTGATCTATTTTAAACTAAGGGTGTCAGCAATAACAGCTAAACCTGAGGGCATTTTTATACAGATGTTGAGCACTGAAAACACTGAACTCTATCAATTAAGAAGAAAAAGAAGCCGTTGGCAGTGACAAAATAAATGTTATTGGACACAGGCTGAAACCCTGACCGTATAAAGACAGTTTGAGCTTTTTCAGTACAACTTGAAAAAATATCCTGAGTGTTTTTCTATGTGTTGAATTTATGTTGGTTTACTGCTGTGTCTCCTGTTTCATGTTTGTTATTGAAGGAAGTAAATTTAATTTTTTTAATTAATAGACATTAATAGAGTTTATTTGAAAGATGCTGTGGTGTTAACAGAACAGAAAGCAGAGTCACTCCACGCTCTTTTATGGTGAATGCAAACTGTGCGTGTGTGTGTTTTAGCATCCCACTGCAGTGTTTATGTGTGAACACCTTATAATAACAGAGTTTGGGGGGGTGCGGGATTCAAGCAGCACTTCGCTGGTCTGAAGAACATAATGATTCTTTTCCTGCTCGGATGAACTTGATCCCCACGCCTGCAGCTACACACTTCCTACTTATTGACTTTTTCTTTTTAGAGCTTCAGGCTTAGACCTGAAAACCCGAGGGCCCACTTTCACTTCACTATTCTTACCCCCCACCCACCCTCCCACCCACACACACACTTATTTCTCCCTCTGAGAGGCTCCGAGGAAAGGAGAAGCAGCCGTGGATGTAGATGTAGTTCTGATTATTTTACCTGATACATGTGGTCAAACACTTTCTGTTTTCCATGCTGTGTGCACATGTGGAGAGCACGCTGCTGCACACACACTTATTTCAAACACTGTCATGGCTTTCCTACAGTGCAGCACCTGAACCTAAAATCAGGCTCAGTAAAGGAGTGTTGTGGTGCGAGCTGGTCCGCAGAGTCTGCTGATCACTGTTTGTTTTCACAGGTAATCCAATATCCAAACTGACACTGTATGAATTAGGGTCCTGTTTCCTGTGAAAAATACAGCCCACTATAACCACGGCAACAGGTTCAACCATAAAAATCTAATTGGCTCAATTGACCTTGCATGCTCCACCTGCAATTATCAGAGATTGTAAGCAGATGCCTGACCGGGGGAACATATGGAGCCATGTTTGACCTGAACCAGTCCACTGGAGGCTTCGCTACACTCTGCAGCCCTGAGACCCCCTCTGTCAGGGAGGGCCCCACAGCCCCACACAGGGGCCACAGACTGCAGCGCCTCATTTTAGCTGCACCTGAAGGGTCTGATGGGACTAGAAACAGGACTGCCCTAGGACCTCAGAGGGGCCTGTGCAGTCAGGGCACCAGGCCTTCAGGGGCCCACACTACAGGATACCATGTACTCTCTACCTCCTGAATGTGTCTCGTCACAGATACTGTCTCATTATAGGATGAAATGATCATGATTTTTTACAGTGATCGCCTTATACACCAGATTAGGGAGGTGAAAATCCTGTAGCTTGTTAAACTAAAGCCCTTTAAATAATGTTGGACCTTCCAAGAGTGGAATAAATACAAATTACCTCAAAACAGACACAGACAGATTCAATTTAGACAAGTATAAACAAAAAGGTCTTCAACTGCTGTTTAAAAAAGTCCTCAGTTCCTGTTGGAGACAGTTCCAAAACCAGTACAGCTCCTAAGGAATCCTTTTGTCTTGATATTTTTGCTGAGTTCCCCATGCTACTCTTGTGGGGAAAAAGGGGAATCTGCTAATTCTCTGGATTCTAGGCGCCTGAGAGACACAAGTGAACTCTGTGTTCACAGTCTGAATAGCCTAACCAGTCAACATGCATAATGACATGAAAATGTAGGGTTTTCAGGGTCGTCCCAGCCAACATGCTTGTCTGTGTAAACTGCCAGGCTGCAGATTGCTGTGGAAATGTTAGTAAGATCAGAATTTATCATACCACTAAACTGTGGTGCACCAAATCAGACCACCTGGTGAAAAACCACCATCAGGTACTGTGGAAGGAGCAGATATAAAGGAAACAACAGTGGGCCCAAGATTGAACCCTGAGGGACACCAAAAGACAGGTTTTGTTTTAATGAAACCCTGTGGGTGGGTTGATGTTGTTTACAAGTTTCTCTGCTTTGTACTCTTCACTGCTCACTTTAGTTGTCTGGTGTTTTCTAGTGTTTGTTTGTTTTGTGTAAAACTCCTTGTTCATGTAGGAGGGATGTTACATAAACAACCAAAAGACATCACTCAGTGCGTCTCCTTCTGGTTTATCTACACAGGCTCCCCTCCTCACTTAAATCAAACTGAGTTTCTCATGTTGCGAGAGCATCTGTTAGTGAAATCTACCACTGTGAGCTTTATATGTGAACAGCAAGTGCCTGAAATACCAGGGCTCGAATGTCTTGAACTGATCCAGAACTATTAAGGAGCTGATGTGTAAAAAAGGATGAATGTTCGTACAAACCCACTGAGTGCTGTCTCAGACTGAGAATTTTGACTGCTCTGATAGCTGCTGACAGGAGGTAAGAGCTGGGCCCCTGCTGTGATTTTTATCACTAAGTGAACGCATGAGAGCAGAGCGAACACCTGAATGTCTCTGCAGCTGAATGTGACCGCACTCCAGAACCTGAGCCAGACCAGCAGCCAGGTCCAGACAGGCAGAACAAGGTCAGCGAGTGGAGCATCAGCTGCCCTGTGCTAATGGAGCTCCCTCTCTCATTGATCACCTCCAATAGTGCTATTTGGAAATGATCATTGGTGCTGTCCCTCAGTAAACAGGATTAGCTCAATTAATCACATTTACAGATTAGTTTGTCCTCTCGTATTGATTAGCCCCTCCATGCTGCTGAATGATCAATGCAAACACGCTTATGCACCCAAAATCCTGTTTGAAAAATGAGCATCGACGGCAGAAATAATCTTTTAATCTGAGATATTTTAATCTGGGGAGTGAGAGGGTTTGGGTTTGGAGGATAAATGGCTTTCAGGAAAATGATATTGTTCCTGACAGCATCAAACACAGCCGCCTGATGAGTTAGATTATGAATATATTAGGACACATCTGTACAGGCTTAGCAGCTTTACTGTATACACTAGTAAACACATCAGTGACAGGTTTTACTACACCTGTAACTCCAACAGAAACAGGTACTTTATGCTTCTCCCATGTGTCTGTTAGAGACAGGTACCTGCTGTTAGAGATGTGTTACTCAGTGCTAACAGTGATGCTGTCTGACAGCAGAGGAGAGACTGCGACATGCACACAGCTTATTATCACACGTCCTCTGACAGGTCACTCTGCTGAGGGGGGGCTTTATCCTCTTGACCTGTGGTATCTGCAGGGTGGTGACCCCTGTGGCTTAGCTGCCCCCTAAAACAAAGAGACCTGAGCGAGGATTTAGAGGCCCATGCTCTCCATCAGTAACAGCGTCTCCTCTTTCTCTCTTTTCTCTCTGTGAATGGTTGCATTTTGTCCGTCTTTGTTCAGTTGGTGTTGAGATGAGTAGAGGACAATGGGGGGCTGTGATCAGAGGAGATCAAACACATCTCAGCAGGGAGAAACACCACAGAAGATCCACTTCTTCTGCCTGTGTGGTTCTCATCCCTGTCTCTGATAAATAACGTTTCTTTTCTTTTATAACTTTAAGTTAACTAAGCTTCCTCTGTTGTCATGTAAAACCTCAATTATAAAAGAGATTAGCTGCTGTGTAAGATCTAGATAAAACTAGTTGATTATTTACAAGTCTGTTAAACTCTGTAGTTAGTTGAAAATAGGAATAGGCAACAAACCAGATATTGAAATTGAATATTTTATTTTTGTTTTTTAAATTTATTTATTCTCATTTAAATGTGATGCCAGCCACATGTTTTAAAAAAGTAGGAACAGGCATGTTTTCCTACTTTCCTTTATGTTTCATCACCTCTTGACCATTTTTAAATCTGTAGTTAAAAGGCTGGAGTTCAAACTCTCAGAATGTCTCTGTTTTAATTGATGTTTCCTCTCATTTTTTTCTGTATTGAGTCTGTGTGACTGTTTGTTGTTACTATGTATTGCACACTGGGCAGGTCTCCTTGCAGACAGATCTAATGGGACAAACCTGGTTAAATAAAGGTTAAATAAAAATTTAAAAAACTCTTCTTTTAAAGACACCCTGTAGACACTAAGGGACACGGGAGAGCTGTTTGAGTTTGAGACTCCCAGCTGAAAAATAGTTTTTCTGGAAATGTAGACCCAATCCCTCTCGCAGTCTCTCACAGAGTGACGAACCTCTTCCCATCTTTGCACTTCAGAGACTCAGCCTCTGTGGAAATGATTTGAAAACCTTATCTGTTTTTACATTGCTTTTGGAATCAAGGTTATATAGTGTATAGTGAATTAAGTCTTCTCTGTTATTAGGTTGTGCATATTTGCTCTCGCTGCCTCTCAGTTTACACACCATCAGTAGTCTCGTTTTTACGTTGCAGATCTGGAACAGCATCATAATGAAGCTGATGAGACTCTCAAATGTCAACCATAATGTCCGACAAGCTAAACGTAACTTTTATGCTGTCTTTATTCAACTCCTCTTCTCTGAGATTTGCAGTTGACGCACCTTTCAACACAAATTAAGATGTTGTTCATATCACTTCTGCTCATAGTTATGTTATTTTGCGGAGATCAGCTTGGAGGTGCACTCACCAGTTTTCTTGCTGTTGCCTGGATTGCGGGACAGGATGTTGCTCTAGTTTCACATATCAAAGATGGTTGGGGCCCAGTAGCTCCTTAGGTTGCTTTCACACCTGTGCCCCACTAACTGTCAGCATCTCCCCACATTCAAAACCGATGACTGATCGAACAGTTTAAAGAGAAAAAAACGCACTGATCAAAGTCTTATTAGCCTGACTTACTGATTTAAACTGGACTAAATCTGTAGGAGCAAAAATGTCTTCAATGTGACCAAAACTCAGCAGCATCTGGAAGACTGGATCTCAAATCACAGCTAAAAGTCACAGTGCTGGAGTGAGCTTCTCTTGTATGCAGGTGAAATACCAGCAGAGAGCTCACAGACTTCCTGTTTCTCTGATGGCCCTAATAGACTGCACCCCCAAACCCCCCGATACCTTTAATCAGGACTAGCCAGCTTCTTGACTTTACGCACCCTAAACTTCACTCTATGGTGAAAAAATGTGATACTCAGCTACAAGTCTTTGTTCAGTCCCATGTTTCAACCCCAGTATTTTTAGCAGTAAGTCTGGGTTTTGTCTTGAATACTGAGTTTGTATTACTGATCATAAGTTGGCAGTAACTTGGCCGCAGTGAAACTTTACAGACAAAATTTCCTCCTTAATCAGCGTCAGTTCAGCCAAGGAATTCCTGAGGCTGAGCCTTTCTGTGATGTTCAAGTTATTTTTCTTTACACGCCTGACATGTTTGCACAGCCACACACATCTGGCAGGCCAATCTGCATAAATTAAAATATTAGGGAGTGAGGTTTTTAGCGTGCTTTGGGACATTTTCCTTTAGTTCAGATTGGACAGATTGGAGGCTAACTCAGACCAGAACTAAACCCTCCAACAGAAGTGGTCACTTGATGCACACATCATTGTTTTTATGTCATTCTCTATAGTATTTTAAATGCTTTTTTAAAATAAAATTCAGATCTCTAACGGATTATGATTAAAGTGTTTGATTTAAAATTCCATTATTTTGCACCTTAAACAGTTTTTAAGTCCACGTTAACAATATAAAGCAGTTCTTAGTAGAGTCCTGATCTCAGATTCAAAAGAGTACGATGAAACATACTCTATAATCTTGAATTTTCTATTTATTATTTAAAGAAATTCTGCACTGCTGCACCAGGGGAGTCTCAAACCATGACTCAGAGGGAGGAGGCACTTATAAGTGTTTTCATCCACAGGTCTGCGGTGATTCACAGACTCCAAATAGCACTTTATTGGCTTTTGTGATGTGGTCACACAGACATCAGTCATATTGCTGCACCTGAATGCTTGTCTCATGGGTGGTAGCTCAGACTCAAAGTACTTTACAAATATTTAAATTCTGTTTTAGACAGAATGCACATTAGTTTTCACTTGTCTCCTGGGCTGTCTGGTTTTTTTTTAGGTGATGTTCAAAAACAGTAAATGTTATTATTTTAGTCTTTTGCTCTGCAGAACATCCAACACAACAAACTGACATCATCTACACCTTTACTTAAAAATGAGTGAACTTATGCATCAGGTACTCTTGTAATTTTTCATCAGTTTGATTGTAAAAGAAAACTAAATACTGACTTAGCATGGATAAGTATTAATCACATCATGATGGAGAATCCTAAAGTGATCTTAATGTTAGGTAAATATCAAAGTGCACTTTAAATACAACAGTCAGTGTATTAAACCTCCTGAGGTTAAAGTGTAGGCTCAGTTTTCTCTCTCTTTTATGAACACACACATGCACATCAGGTGTGAATCTCTCATGCTGAGAGTGATTTGAAGCTCATTAAAGGGGACTTATTTTATATCACAAGAGCAGAAACACTGCGCTCTAACACTGGTAGCTCAACTCTCTGTGTTTACAGAGTGATGGAGGGTAGTCAGCCTGTGTCTGAGGATCAGCTTTAGTTTCATCTGGGGATGAGAGGATGTTTCCCAGCAGACTGTTGAGACAGTGATAATAGTCAGCTGGTGATTCTACTGTTTATTTAGTCTTAACATGTGTTCAGTTTTAACCACTCAAACCCTCCTGTGCTGATCTCCTCCTGCAGACTCAATCTGCACATACCAAGAGACGCGGGTTTGATTGCAGTGGCTACTCGACAGACCAAGGGCCGAGGTGAGCACAGTGAAAACCCGATCACACACGTCTCATAGGACTTAATCAGAGTACCAATCACACATATCAATCTCTGCGCATTCATTGCCCACTAAATAAACTGCCAGTTTCATATGTCCGTGTGTGTTTGCTGTAGGACGGGGTGGGAACGCCTGGCTCAGCCCTCTGGGTTGTGCAATGTTCACTCTGAGCATCCAGGTGGACCTGAGCTCCCAACTTGGTCAGAGGATCCCCTTCCTGCAGCACCTGGTTGCTCTGGCTGTGGTGGAGGCTGTTCGCACACTTCCTGGATATGAGGTAGCAACCTGAACTTGACCTGTACAAGTTTATCATCAGTTTATAAAGACCTGCACATCACCTGTAACTGACTGTTATTTCAAGTTAAGTGGTAGTATTGTGATATGGGAGGGGAAGGTTTGTTGAAAAGGGGATAGTTAAAGTGTTAGTCTTGATAGTTACTTGTTTATCTGTAGTTGAGTAGCACACTACATGTTTTAGTGTGTGTTACAACATTTTCTCAGCTCTGATCTGAGTCAGGGAGTCTAAACTGCACTCTGTGAGAAAGTGAGGGTTTAAGATGACAGTGCATTTTATGAACAGCTCATCGTGTTTTTCAGGACATTGACCTGAGGGTGAAGTGGCCCAATGATATCTACTATAGTAGCGTGATGAAGCTAGGTGGGGTCCTGGTGACGTCCACTATGATGGGATCAACCTTTCATCTGCTCGTAGGTAGGAAATGAACTAAAACCTTTTTCCTTTATCGCATTTTAAAAGGTGTTCCACTCACCAAACCTGTTCATGATAATATGCGCCTATGAAGTATGGCTTCAATAGTGCCCATTTCAGTGCATCTCAGCCATATCTGTGATAATCCTGCAGGAATATATCACTCTGTTGTTCTCTGCAGGCTGTGGGTTCAATGTGACCAACAGTAACCCCACGGTGTGCATCAATGATCTGATCCACCGCTACAACGTGGAGAACGGCTGCAGCCTGCAGCCGCTCAGCTGCCCCCAGCTCATCGCCCGCACCGTCAGCTACCTGGAGAACCTCATCAACAGCTTTCAAAAGGGGGGGCCTGATGCTGTGCTGCCCACATACTACAGCAGGTGGATCCACAGGTGAGTTCTAACCGCACACCTACCTTTCTATGAAGTCAGGTTGCTATACAACGGGACCCTAATTCAGACACTACATGCAAATGAGAGACTCACTGATCCCAGTTCAGCTCATCATGATGAGCTACATGCATGATTAGTGTAAGGATTTAATAACTTGTATAATGAGTAATATCATCCCTTCATGGTTTTAGATTTTTTTTGAATGTTCCTCAAAGCTCTGACTTTTTAGTATTTAATTATTAGTATTAATGTATTTCAGTTAACATTAACCTCCTCTTTTCCTTCTGTTCTCAGTGGGACTAAGGTCCGTCTGTGGAGTGAGGACGGACTGGAGGTGGAATGTGTGGGTCTCGATCAAAACGGTTTTCTGCAGGTGCACAGCAGAGAGCAGGGCCTGGTGTCAGTGGAGCCTGATGGGAACTCATTCGACATGCTGAAGAACCTGGTGGTGATGAAGCAGCGTTAGGACCAAACTTAACCAAATCAAACTCCAGTAGATCATGTTCAAACAGTGTTTCACAGAGGAGAGGATTGGCTTGAAAGGCAGCTACAGAGACACCTTCATCAGTGATGTCTCAGCAGGTAACATCACTGCGTTTAGGACCACAGATTAAATTTAATCTAACAGCCTGTAACCACACAAATCATTTAACCTGATGTAGGACGAGAGCAGAGATCTCTGCAGCTCCCTCTGTTCATCAGTGCAGCGTAATAAAGATTTACACTGAAACATGTCGCTCACTTCTTTAAAAGAAACCAGGCCATGTTCACTTGCCCACGTACAGAACATTTACTGTTCACTGAATTCTGATCCTGATCCACAAAACACCAAACCTGGTCATCAAAATGTAGATCACAATATTCTCAACACGGTTCACATTCTCCTCTATTCCAGTTTCTTCATTTTGACAACACAGCTGACTTGATGTCTGTCTGGATTACATGTTGGGGTACGTTGAACCAGCTTCATAGGCCCATCCACAGAATACTCAGCCTGGTTCACTACACCCTGATCACAGTCCCCGAAATTCAAATTCTGATCCTGTCTCCAAAACCCTGGCACTGTTTTCAAGATTAACAAAGAAGAGTTTGTTTGTCAGCACTTTTTGATCGTTAACTGTGTGTGAGAGAAGAGCTGTGGTCTGACTGTAAAATAAATGTGTATGATTGAACCAGGATGTTTGTGGATCCTTAAACATTCATGAAACTTAAGAACTTCCTTAATGATGAATCTGAGATGGCACTTTGATATGTCTGCATCAAATCTATGCTCCCTATGAAATGACATGATTATTTTTAATAACGCTATTTTGTGTATATGCTTGTTTACATGACTGTTATTTGCATTCATTCTGAGGTCTCATAGGTGATTCTTGATTATGAAATTTTTCTCTCAATATGTGTTATATTACATTTTAAAATGTGTAATCCTCATGATTACCTTTAGGCTCACTCCTAATTCAATACAAAGTGATCAGTGTATTTTTCAAAGCCAGGATTGCTGTGACACTGGCATTAAATTTCATTTAAAATGGTTTGAATAGACGGTTTGAAAAACTCTTAAATTGACCTTTGAGGATCTCGGGAGTACAGGGTAATAATATGTCTAAGTTGTGTCTGATATGTGGTGGGTTTCTTCAGTAAGATCCCACTGAGTCGGTCGGGGTCTACAAGTTTCCTGTCAAATGTTAATGCTGTGTTATTTTGTGAAGAGGACTGTCAGTGTAACTGATAAATAATAAGAGTCTCTTATGACTGAGGTGAACAAATACTTTAACCAACAAGAGCAGCACTCAGGTAAGAGCGCAGGAACGTAGGTAAAACAGACTGTATTAGCTCATTCATAGTTCTGTAAGGCTCTCGGCCTCACAGTACAAAAGTTGACCAGCATGATGCACAAATAAAACTGTTTTCTATTAAAGCATTTTGCATCACTTCAGATTTTTTTTTTCTATGTGAAGAAGATAACCATTACACAGAAGCACTTATCAAGTCCACCAGCAGCAAGTGTCAGTATAGCAGCAGCCAATATACCACTAGCTAACATGGCATAGACAGGACCTTTAGTGGGTGCCAACAGCTGACCTTAACCGTTTTATATAAAAGTATGACTTTCAGGATATTTTGTGACTACAAAACAGTAGGGATAAGTACACCCAAGAGCTATATCTTACTTAATGTAACTGGAAGAAGCAGCCACAATGCAGTGCATAGCAGCTGAAATAGAGGTATTCACAGTTGCTGATATTTAGGCTAAATAAGGAGGTTTATAGGCTGAAAATCTGAGGTACCCACTCAAGTGTATCAGACTGACATACTAAATGGGGAGAATGAGAATTGTATGTCTCCTTTAAGTGACATGGATAGTTTTGTTGTTAGGGCCAAAGCTTTATGTACCATCTACAGGTAACTGAGCTGCTGATGGTTTTTTGAGGTGTAGATATCTTCTCAACTCAGGAAAAACAGAACCCTTTTTCAATTCAAAATGTAAGATTTAGGCCTACAGGTATTTGTGTTAAAATGTAGGTGAAATGTAGGTAAAATGAGGTAAAAAGTACAACAATGTAAGCAAGGACTACTTGTTGACCACTGCCCAAAAAGGAGATTAAGCTCATGACCATCTGCTTAAAAACTACAGAAATGCCCTCAAATCTGAGAGTAGAGGTTCAATTTGGAATGCCACCATATCAGCTAAGGTCCGTTGTACAAGTTGGATATCAGGCTTGTTGGGGCCATCTCCTTATATATCAGGATATGCTGAAGAATATAGGTTCTTAGCCTCACCATATTCTGAGGCCCACTAAGTAAAACATTCAGTGTCAGGAGCATAAAAAGACACCGTACATATGAACAAATACAACAGAGGCAGAACTCATTGAGTCATTTTATTAATGTTGTTTTTGGCACATTACAGATCTGACTGACACTTTGGTTTCAAGCTGCCTGCTGATGGTTTAGTTATAAAACATCACATCACATAAAGAAAGGCTTTTAAAAGTGCAGGTAGATGATGAGAGAGCTGAGAACAAAGTGCTGATGTTGAAGTTAATCTTATTTTATCTTTATCTCAATAGAACCTTCAGTTTCTGTTAGAAACCCTTCATAATGACTCACTTATTGCTTGGATGGAAGAAAAAAAATGAACAGATTGAGAAGCAGCAGCATAAAGGAGATCAGATGGGTTCAACGCAGAAACACCCGAGAATCAGGTCATTGAAATAATCAGGACAGCGAACTGATCCACTACTTCCCCTGGAGAAAAAATGAACCCTAAACTGAACTCAGGAAGGCATCATTATTGGTGTGAGGATAAGTTTTATCTGACCCTGATTGGCTGGCAGGTACCTTTGCCATCTTTCTACTGATGTACATGTAAATGGTTGGATGCAGACATGTTAAAAGTGCTTTGTGTGATCACAGGACTACAAACAGCTTTGCAAGCAGCTTTATTTGGTAGATCTAAACCAAAACAAGTGTCTTTGAAATGTTGATACTTATTGCAGAGTAAACTGTGTACACCTTAGCAGCTCCACTATGTAATCTCCTGTCACAGCTAAAAAGCCCAGATTGTGATAAAACTGCTGATTTAATATGAACTCAGTTTTATTTTACAGCTGATCGACAGAAATCAAAGAAATGTCTCCACGTCAACTCAGTCAAGAGTTTGGGGTTATGTTCCTTTTAGCCCTCAGGAGCCTGTGTGGTCTTATAGACTCTCCACTCCATTGCTTAATATTCTGAGTGTCATTTTTTCATTAGTAAGTGACTGAGATTATGCTTTAAATATCAGTTTAAATAAATAGTGCATCAAAAAAAAGTCAGTCTCCAGCTTCCTTTCTTGTTGCATATAATGAAAAGTCTGATGCTATAGCAGCTTGTGATTGCCAGCTGTGTCTACCTCATCACTAAAACAGTCTAACCACACAGTGTTTTGGTTGGCTTGTTGTATATTCTGCTGGGTGTTGAGGTGTGTTTGAACTTTGTCTTAAGCCAAGCTTGTTTTCCCAATTAGTTCCAATAGAATCCCATTCAGCTGGGAGAACACAAGCTAGCAACCCAACCCAACTATTAAATAAACCACCAGCTCAGACTGTGAAGCTATCAAAAGTAGCATTCATCAGCCTCTCACTTCAGCTCCACTCTCTCAACTATACATGGTCAAGTTTGGCTTCAGAAGTCTGCTTTACCCAAAGCATAACCATAACTGTCACAACAAAACTCAAGGCTCGGAGGTGCAGAATCAGAATTGTGGTCCTAAAAATGCTGACACGTGGTATTGGCTTAAAATTTGGAATCAGTTAACCTGTACCAAACCCAAAGTTGCCTCAGACTGTCCTGACATCTCTTGGCCACCTCTACAGAGGGTTTTTGTAAAAACAAAGTGTGAAGGCCAGTACTTAACAGACCAAATATGATTCCAAATGTGTCAGTCTCCCTTTAATCATGGGCCCCGTTGACAGACACCATCATCTGTGATTCTGAAAGGTTCTTGGCCCCATTCTTGACCTGCATTTTGGCCCCAAAATACAGGTCAACTAACTCAATGATCATGAGGCAGCAGTTTCACATGAAGAAGATACCTTACATCTGAACAGGGCATTCTTAATAAAGCCCCACCCTTCTCCCAAACTCTGTGGTCCAAAGTGTTGAAGCTAACTTGAACCCCTGGCTCTCAGTATAACTGTCTAAACAAATACAGATGAGTACCATCAGAGGTCATCTGTCACAATCAAAATGATGTGGCTCTCTTTTGATTACACCAACTCATCATAAGTGGATGGCGGTGCTAAGACTGGTCCTCCCTTTAAACTCTGTGTCAACCTCAAAACTATCAGACCAACCTTCACTGAGAGATAAGGTGACCAGATTCCAGGGACAGTCCCCAACAGTCCCTGTTTTGGATGACCTGTCTCTGGCTAGGTCTGTCCCCGGAAATTTCATGAATGACAAAAAAATGTTACGTGTAGACTAGAACAACGATTATCAGGGTTGCAGAGTAGGTAGGAAGCGCAAGTAAGCATGTTGCGTGCAGTCCTGAACAGGGGTTATTATGGGGGGTTATTACGGGGGCTGTGCACTGCTACTAAGTAGTACCAAGTTGTTGTCTGTGATCACACAGCTGATGCCCAAGTCACATTTTGCTCAGCACCCCCCACCCCCTGGATGTCCCTGGATTTCATTACAGAAATCTGGTCACCTTACTGAAAGATCTGTTGGTTCAAATATTGACGTATTTTTCTGACCCTTAAATCAACAACTTAGTGTGTCCAGACAGCCCTGTGTTCAAGTTATGTTTGAGCTGTAATGAAAAATAAAGGTGCATTGCGTGTATTCTTTTAAACATGTCTCAGCTGATCTTTTGCATGTTGGACATCATGGAAGAGAGGAGAGCTTACAGCTTATTGTCCTTCTCTCCTGTAAGAGTGCAAACTGTAGAAGACAAGTGACCCCGACTTGAGTCTTTGGAGGATTTAGAGTCTGACAGTCTCCTGACTTCCAAGTCTCTTGAGCTCCTGTCCTGGGTCACCTCTCATTCGTGATAATGACAGATGTTCCGATGTAATGTGGGACCTCTCTGTGGCTCTCAGGGGATGAGCTGGAGCTGGGGCTGTAAGAAGCTGTCTCCTTGGTGTGATAACCATGGCTCTGTGTGGTATAGGGAGGGTCTAAAATGGAGCATGGTTTACCAAAGACTGGAAGTCCTGCCCCAACCATACTCCCTGGTTGTGCCCTTCTATCCTCTCCAGCAGATGTGGGCTGCAGGTCCTTGGTGAGTCCACATCGTTGGGGGACATCAGTCAGCAGGGGATAGTCTCTAGTTGGGTAGCTATAGGGAGTCTCCATCATACACAGCCTCCTCCTCTGCTCCATTGCGAAGTGCACAGGGAGGGACTGACCTATGCTGTGCTCACCTTTACCCCGAACCAGGCCACGGAGCAAAGGACAGGCTATGACCCGATCACCTGCAGGTCCCCTGGAACCTTTGGTATTTAGATGGAAGTCCTTGTTTGGTGGTTTACTGTCCTTAAGGAGATGAGGATGTAGATATACCTCAGACAGCTCAGTGCGTACTAATGCATAATGTTCGTTGGGTTCCTCCTTCATCCCCCTGATAGGATGTAGATTTGCACTGCTGAGACAGTCGTAGTAGATCTCATCAGAATGCCTTCCATCAGCTCCCAGCCCCGGGCCTGAGGATGGACACAACAATAACAATCTGAAATAATACCACAACTTTCCAATTATCATTCAGGGTGTGAATACTACTCCTTTTAACCATATTTAAATATAACATTTTTTTTCATGTACAACTACCATTATGCTCACAGATGAGAAGGTGACCTTAACCCAGAGCTGAGCACCCTGGACTTTAGATTGAAGCCTCCTACACAGCCTGAAACTCAAGATTAATGTCATGTAATGTTGAAAATGGCCAAAGATATCTGCTGTGGAGCACTGGTTTGACCTTGCTGTTAAATTGGATGCCCCGTGCACAAAGGGTTTAGTTCTCAAATGGCGCATTTCCAACAAGGGCTCTGCTTTAGTTCAGTACAATATGATACTGTCCTGTATGATACACCCTATTGGAAAAAAATAATATTGCGATTTTTTTCAACCCTGCGATATATATTGCGATATTAAAAATACAGGAATTTTCACCAGATGACATGAATAGCATTTAATGTTATGCTGCACTGCTGAAATCTTGAAGACAGTTACCCTGCACTGATCTTACCTCTTTTTGTGAATGTTAGAATGGCTTCTGTCTCAGAGATATTTTTAGCTTTTATTGTGCTGGGACGTTATTGTGGCAACAGATTAACACAGAACACGTGTTTTGGTCGACATAATCCTTCTTTTAACCGAAATAATTCCAGATAACTGACTTTCCTTTTCTTCATTTTCGGTGGTTTTCGCTTGTTCGTTGCTCATTTTGCGATCGTTGTTGTTGTTGTTAACGGTGTTGTGCCGAGAAACGCATGTCCTCCGAGAATTGCATGCACCTCGCAAAACGCGCACCGCTTATAGTAGAGTGGTCCACGGAAATGTACAATTTAAAACCCATACAGTTCTTATTTGTTGGGCTAAACAGTAATGAGTAAAGTTCCGAAAGTAATTCTCAGCGGACACACGTCTCCCTCCATGTGCAGAACATGTGCAGGGGTGGGTTTCCTCCGCTCTGATTTTGATTGACAGCTGGCAGGGTAGTCTGATTGGCCACTGAGAAGTGAGTCTGATTGGCAACTGAGTTAAGGACGAATGTGATTGGTGGATCGCTGCAAAGCACATGCAGAGTCACATGCAGTGTATCTCAGTCGGTTACCCTTGAAATTAAATGAGTTCATTCACCTCCAATATCGCAGGCTCTGCGATGTGACTATCGCACACACGTACATCGCGATGACGATAGTCAAACGATATATCGTGCAGGCCTACTGTCCTGTATGGTACACCCTGATCTTGTTTGTGTTGCTACAGCAGACTATACCCCACTCTGGTGTCTCACAAAGAATGTGTGTTGGCTTGTGACGTACCCAGAATGACTGGGCTTTTGGCGTACATGAGCAGTGAGAAGTGCACCCGTTTTTTTTTGTTTGTTTGTTTGTTTGTTTTGTTTTTTCAGCTGTTGGATACATTTCCAATATTTGACAATGGAATTGCAAAAAACTGTATACCACACAGTGAATATGCACCACATGAGGATGACTCAGGTGTGGTTTCAGCCTCTCAGGATTATCATCTCCTGCTGTCTCTCCTCAGTTACCTACTCAATCCACTGTCCAATCAAAAAATTACATAATGGAACAACAAGAGCTGTGTTCCACAACAGAGAGTTGTGGTTTGGTACAACCAAATAATAAAAATCAAGAAATAGATAATCTGTTAATGAGGTTTAAGCATTTTACTTTGACATAGTTAGATAGGAGGTGTACCTGTGTACTTGTTGGGTCCTGGGGGGCTGCTATTGTTCCATCCAGCAGATCCTCTATGCTGGGAGCCAATGAGCTGTTGAGACACCTGAGAAGACAGACCTGAGCGAGGCAGCTGACTCTGATCATCAGGACGTTGGGGTTGGTAGGAACAGTGGAGGTTCAGGTTGTGAGTACGGCTGCAGGACATTTGGCTAACTTCTGGGCTCAAGCTGGAGCGCCTCTCCCTGGAGGGTGTCACCTGGTACAAGGACCTCTCCTTCCACAGGTTCTTCTGTCGAGAGCAGCCTGGGTGGTCAGACTGGCAGAGGCCTGGAGTCTGATGCAGACACAAAAGCAGCAAGAAGGTTACTGCAATACAAGTGTGTTTACTGCTGCAAACACACTGGTATTTCCTGTATAAATCTTTTTTTATAAGAAATTTTAAGTTTGAGAATATAACCGAGGAAAAAGAAATTCATTTTTCTGAATTTTGAATACAAGAGTGAATGTTGTTTTAAGAGAGATGTCCTTTATGAAATGAAATACATTATGGAACCACAAGCTTTGTGATAAATCGTGTGCATTGTGAAAAGTCGTGTTTTGTTATATATCGAGTTCAATAAAACCAAAGTTTGCCAGTAATTATAGGTTGTGAAACAAGCTTTGTACAATAGTGTTTTTTTAAATCTTGTTTTCGACATTCAGACTGTCTCTCCACCCAGTATCATATTCCACATTTACAGGGACTGACAGGGCAGATAAACACACTTCTTTGAGAAATACTGCTAAGCAGCCCACGTGCACATGGACTTTCTAATTCATTGATTTCCACTCGGTATCACATGGAAGGATCATAAACATTTTCAGTTATAGCTGTGTGAACACTCAGGTGTATATTCTGTTCAGATATTATTTCCTGCTGGTAAACTGAAGTGGTACCTGTGGATATGGAGCTGCTCGGAGTCTGCTCTTCATCCGGACTGCTTTTACTCGGTGCTGTTTGTGGGGGTCCTGAGGGGGAGACAGACTCAGGCCAGGCTTGGTGGCTCGACTCTGGTCTGTCGATAACTGCAGCTCCTTACACTCAATGTCACTGTGTGAAATGAATGAAGCAAACATCATTTGCGCACCAGTGTATCTGTTTGTGAATTTGATCAGAAAAATCATGGGTAGAGAGGACTCACGTAAGGACGTAGTTCACACTGACGATACAGTGAGGTCTGGAGGAGCGGCTGTTATGGACGATAGTGGCGTAGCTCTGCACCCACACCCAGCCTCCATGCTTGGATAACATGCGGTAGTACTTAGTGGTGACCTGACCCTTCACCAGTACTGCAGAGAGCGTACATGTAAGGATCAAAGAGAGAAAACAGTGGAGTCTGACATCGGACCCTTGGTTACAGGGGGAGTTATTGAGCAACATTTTCATTTGTCTGAAGATGTGTTTTCGGTCAAAGACAGTAGGTCCGGTTTAGCTCTACTTCTGGTACCTGAGATTTCTGTTGCATGCTTTCTCTCTGCTACATTACCCCCTCCAGCTTTAGTTACACTGTTAGCACAAATCCATCGTCATAAGTCCAGATTGGTATTAGAAAGTCAGGAGGAATGAATGTGAATGTTTTTGTAAATTGTACTGAATTTGTGCATTTGAAAAGGGATTTTAATCTAAGTCCTACAGACACACCTCAGTCCAGACACTGTTCACTCTGTTTAGGTTTAAAAGTGTATTTCATGTCAGCCTAAATGACAGCTCCTCTCTGAGTCCCTGTCCACTTTTAACATTTTTGTCATTTACAGCCTGGTTATTAAACAGAAATAACATCATGTTATCTCACATAAACAATAAAGAAACCATTAGGTGATGGTAATGTTGCAGGACTTGAAAAAAGGTTTTGATGTTGTAAACCATAACCTACTTTTTCTTTAACAAACTCTCACAGCTAAACTTCTCCTAACGATCTCTCAGCTGGTTTGAATCATTTCTTTAAAGCAATGTGTTTAAAAAAGTCAGGTTAATATCATTAGTTCAAAACTGTAGTTTGGGTATACCACTAGGCTCCATTCAAGGGCGACTGCTTTTTATGCTTTCACTTTAACCCTTATGCTACTAGACATCTGTAAAGCTGTTCTTTTTTCCAGATGTCCATTCATGGCCCATGGAACTTGGAATATCCTACCATCACAACAAAGGACACCTGTGAGCAACTACATGTTTGATTGACCACTGTTTTTTTTTACGTATGTGACTATCTGTTTTATATCTTCTTTGATTGTTAGCTTTTATGTTGCTGCTTGTCTTTCTGCTTTAGTTGTTGATTTAATGTCAATTCTACATTGACATTTTTTAACAACAGTGCACTTCAGTCATAAAATAAGCTGTACTCAAGACACAGAGCATCTATCTGCAATGATGACAGCATGAATTAGTATGCCTCCATTTTTCCCCTCATGAGATTTATCCAGCAGCTTACATCAGACCTCACAGGACTTTCTGTAAGCTGAGCTCCCTGACTGAAGAGGACACTGAGGAGGGTCTACAGGCTCGGTTCCAGCTCTTGGGTCAGGACCTGAGAGTGTGTCTCAAATGTGTGTCTGGAAAAAGAAGTTCTGGCAAATACCTTGCTTTTTCTAAATGATGTGTTTCCAATGACACTGCAGTAGTAGGGAAGGTAGTTCACACTCCAACACAGCAGGTGGCAGTTATGCATCTTCATGACAAATTAAAGGGCAGATCTGACTAATTTTGGTCATGATAGTTATTAATGAGGTTGTGGTGGTCCTGAGCAGACAACAACTCGCAGTCCCAGTCTACCAGAGGCAAAAGCGCCTTACCCACATATACACCCACTTAAAAAAGCCCATCGTTACAGCACAAACATGTTTACAGCCTGGTACAGATAAACAGAGGGAGGGGGACTAACTTGATTGACAAGCAGGAACACTGTAGCTGAAAGTGATGGGACTTAGAGCCCACCTCTGCTTCTCTATGATTCAAAAAGTGAGGACTCCAAGGAAAAGATGTTGGGAACTACTAGTTTAGAGGACTCACAGAGATGATGAGCATATCTTAGATGGAAGACATCACAGCCATGGACATGGTGGTAGAGCGTCTTCTCAATCAGGTCCTGAGGCTCATATCCTGTGAGGTCTGTCACTCTGAGGAGAGAACCAAAGATAACTGTTAGGACTACCTTAGATATCATAATCCAGTTCTGATCAGCTAACTGTCAAGCAGTAATTCAGCTGTTTCATTACCATGGATCAACTAATAAAAGTTTGTAATACTAAGTCTGTCTGTTTTTCCACATTTTTTCCACTTGGTTTCTATAACTTTAGATCCACACAGAGATCACAGATGGATGACTTCATCATAGTTTGCTCTAATAAGTCATCTTTCTACATGTCTGAATACCTGGTATCTAAGAAGATGAGCTTAAAGTCGAGGCTGGCTCTAAACATGAACATGTTGCTATGTAGTTTGATCTCAGTGATCCCGCTAGGAGGCAGAGAATGACCCACTGCCACCAGACCCACGGTCTGATAACAGGACTCATACAGGGCCACGTCCATCATGTATTGGCGCACTTTCAGATAACCGCTGCAGTGGATCACCTGGACAACAATGACACACAAAAAGTCATCTCACAAGGCCGGCCAGGAGCCACATGTTAAAACCTGTAGTATCATGTGCAACCAAACCAGTACCTTATATCCTCCACAGGTGAGTCCTGCATTTCTCTTGGCTAGAACGCACTTCATCCTCAGGAAGAAGGAGCGCTCCACCTCGTACTCTGTCAAACACATATACACAGAATACAGCGGTTAAGTGTTGGACGGATTTCCATCAAGCTGTTAACTCCAGGGCTTAAAACTAAAGCCAAAACAAAAGTCCCTATAGCTGCATTTCCTTCAGTGTCCACTAGAGGCTGTCTCCAAAAGTGGGTCAATCCCCATGGAGCCCTGTGTTCAAATGTCCAACTTGGCCAGCAGAAATAAACACACTAACTGTCAAATAATCCTAAACATTTTTGGGTACTAGATGTAGTTTAGCTACAGTACACAAAACAAACTGCAACAAAACCAAAACTCCCAAATTTCCAAGGTTACTTAAGGGTTTAGGCTGAAGCTGGAGCTCTGACCTCATAATGAGATAACATCACAATAATCTGTTCATAATAAGAACAACACAGATGCATTATCATACTTGACATCTAATACACATTAACAAAATTTTCCAGACTGTTTCAAAATTAAATTATTCTTGTACTTATTAATTTTATCCTCAATCAATATGGTACATATTTTAACACTTATAAAACTCCACAGGCTTCACAGATGTTCATACCTTTGGTTTCCAAATGTGAATTTTCCTCTCAGATTGTTTTGACTAACCCTCATTTTAAACAGCCTCTGGATACTTTGAGGTAATTGTTTTTTTCTGGCATCATACACTAATTGTATTGTATTACAATCTACTAAGTCTTTAAATTTTAGTGCATTGAACTTAGTGAATGGTGGATTGGTTGGCTCGTGGTAGGGTTTTTTTCTTTTTTTTGCTGATAAAAAAAGATAGAGTACTTTATATAATGAGTGTTTCTCAAAACATCTACGCAGTGAGAAAAGTAAATAGTAGAGAATTCAAGCTCATAAAATCTTGAGCTTTATACAGAGTTACAATGGATTTTTACATTATGGCCCTGACATGGTTTACGTGTCGTGTAAAATTTTAGATTCAGCTATTGTTTCAATTTTGATTTCTTTAACTCTAGTTTTACAACGAAAAAATTTGAGGCTCAATTCCAAAAAGGCAGATCTTCATTTATCATTTTTTCTATGTGCTGGTGCCCCATGACATAAAGCAGGTGTCCTTTTTTTCACCCCTTCCCCTTAATCAGACCAAACACACCACTGGTCTCTTCCATGTTTCTGTGTATCACATGATAAGCAAATGTGTGTCATGTAATGTATGTGTTGCATGCGATGATGCCATGTGACACAGGTGTAGCATACCTGCAGAGAGGTGATGGTGTTGGGGCTGACACACTCCCAGCACGGCTGTCATCTCATCGTGGTCTGAAGGGTGGATGTATTCAAATATACTGTTTCCTGTCAGCTCCACCTGCAGCACACACACACATCTACAGTTTACCTATGTCAGGTCAAGTGCTGTAAACTGTCCTATCATGGGGGGGTCTCTTACCTGTGACAGGCCCAGGTGGACCGAAGCAGTCTCAGAGATGTACATGATCTTTCCATCAGAGGCTACGACAAACACAAAGCCATCTAGAGTCTGAGGAGAGCAGAGGATCAACTGTTACACACTGTCAGGTACTGTATATATAGGTGTTTTACCTGTACAGACCTGCAGAGTTCAGCAGTACATCCTGACATACTGTTTAAACTGCAGCCACTTTAAACTATGGTTGAACTATTTACTCAGTGAAAACTATAAATTTACAGTTAAGACCGGTTTATTTGGGGGTTTATATGTAACAATCATCAGTAAGTAAATCTTGTTTTTCTCCATACTGAACAACAGTGAAATAAGAGCTTACTTTAAAGTGAGGAGCTGGTAGAAACACAATACAACCAAAGGATCTATAATATTTTTATCAATCAAATAGAGTCACAGAGGCTTACTTGAAATTTTCATATGACTGATAAATGAACCCTGAGAGTGCAGCAGCAAACTTAGATTTGTTTTGGGGCTTTTGGGCCTTTATTTGAAAGGACAGGACAGTAGAAAGAGCAGGAAACAGGGAGAGAGAGCAGGGAGTGACATGCAGGAAAGAAGCCAGAGGTCAGAATTACATCCAGGCAATCTGTGTAGATGGGGTACACATAAACCACTAGGCCACAAGGCCTCAGCAGGAAGCATTTTAACTTTCACTGCAGCGACTATCTCTTCCTGCAATGATTCATTAAAATGTCAATAATCTCAACCAGCATTCTGCACAGTTAAAAAGTTAATACATGATGTAAAAGTCTGGGTTACTTTGATTCTACAGCACAGACACCACATCAGTAAAGTTATCAATCATTTGTCCAGCTCTTGATTCAAGTGCTGAACTTTTTATATCCACATACAGAGTAGAGACAGATCTTAAAACTCTTTTGAAAGAGATATTTATGTTTTCCTAAGTGTGATTATTTGAGGTACTGGTCATCTAGGCTAAATGTATTATACACAGGAGATCTCAGTCAGCTTGGCCCTTTTGTCAGGAAAGTGGTCCAAGAACCAGGACAGAAGCCGAGCTATCAGCCTCAGCAAACGCGGTCAGCTCTGCCACATAATTGAGATAATTTTAACCAACTCCAACCAAAGCAATGCTCTCAGTGTAAGTGGAAAATTTCAGAGCTTTACTTTGCTGTCAGAAAGTCTCTTTGTTTGGCTCTGTTTGTATGTCCCTCTGCCTGCAATTTTCAAACATAATATTTGTTTTGAGACTGAAGAGAGTGACGCAGTTGATAAATGTTGGAGAAGCTTGCTGTTTCAGCTCTTGGCTGTGTTGAATGTGTCCTTTAAAACTTGTCAAGCTTTTAAAACTGTGACATACACTGCAATATTATCAGAATTAACTGCAGTATTTGATACGGCAATGACTGTAGTGGTATTATTAATACAGGCGTATTAATTGTAGTAGTATTACCAATATAGCACAAATAAAACTAGCAAAAGAAAAAAAAAAATCACTTACTCATCTCAGACGTAAGATTTATAAGACAAGATAGGAAAAATCCACATATGCAAATTCTTGGAGACCAAACATTAAACTGATAAAACTAACTAAAGTAAAAAAATTGTGTTCAGAAGCAGGAGACTGACAGAAATATTATAAAGGTACAAATATTATGCAACATGAGAAATAACATTAGTGCAGCTAAAAGGTGATTAGTAAGGTTTAATAAAACTATCAGTTCATGCTATCATGTTATATCAGTTGAACTAGTTTATTAGTTGAATGCTGTGTGTGTGTGTGTGTGTGTGTGTGTGTGTGTGTGTGTGTGTGTGTGTGTGTGTGTGTGTGTGTGTGTGTGTGTGTGTGTGTGTGTGTGTGTGTGTGTGTCAATAAAGTTAATAAATATCTACACATTTTCTATTATTATTATTATAGTATTAGTAGTAGTAGTAGTAGTATCATCATCATTGTTATCATCATTACTACCTTGTGGACTATCTGGTACAAAATTAGCTTTTCTCTGTTCTGATTTATAATCAATTATCACGTGTGATCATGTTGTATAAGAAAATAATTAAATGTATTAATTGAATTGTGACACAAAATCCCTGTGTATATAGTGTCAAAAGGTCATTAAATAAAACAAAACAAACTCATCTTGGAAGTCCTGATATGTGTTTCATTCTGAGATACAACAATCTAACACTTGGACCTGAGTAGACAATATAAAAAAAATCTAGCTGCTGGTGCATCAAGTCAGTTTGAGCTGAGTTTATTGAAACAACACTGCTGTACTTGAAGCTGTTTATAATTACTTCAAAAGTAATCAATGTTTAATTTTTTCTGATTATATCTGAGAGAGAGAGATGTTATGTCTGGATTTGTCAGGTTAATTTGTTATATTTTAAGCTGAATTAAATAGTGTTATGTTAAATCAAAGAAATGCAAGATTTTTAGTTTTTTGCAGACTTGGCCTGTTTACCCCAACTGTGTAACTGATCTGAGATGAGTATCAAATACAGTCAAAAACACAGAGAATATATTAGAAAAAAATCTTTTTGTAAAGGGCTGTCAGTGTAGAGGGTAGGTTCAACAGCCTGTTTTTAAGTCTAAGCTTAGCTCAAAAAATAACTTAATAAGCCACAGCTGGTACACATCATCTTAAAACATTAAGAATATTTTAAATGTTATTTGTATTTAGTTAACCTGGCTTTAATGCCCTTTTAATGCCCTTTTAATGCCCTTCAGTTAGCCGGCTTTAATGCCGGTGTAGAATACCTACTTAGTGTGTCGGCTAACCAGAATATTCTAGTGTACAGCTCGATCTGCTCTGACTGAACTCCATTCATAAAATCAGTCATTTCAGCTCACAGAACATGGAAGCCACTAGCGCTGTGATGATCAGTGAGTCTGTGTGTGTGCGGACCTTAGTGTGTTAAATCCTTTTTGGAAGGTTGTCAGACACTAAAAATAAAAAACTGTGAGGCACAAAAACAAGAACATTTAGCAGACACACTTAGAACCTTTAAGGATCATTATTAAAGCCTGTTTACCTGCCTCAGGCTGGAATACCAACATTTGAATGTTTCCTTACCTGCAGCAGGTGAGAGCCCAGGTCTTTCGCCACGCTGTCCAGAGGACTGAAGAGAGACGACTGACCCCAACCATCACCCAGACCTAAACACACAAATACACACAGAGCTGATTAACAGCTCGATCCACGCGTGCTCTTTATATTTTCTGTCATATTCACAGATAAGCTAAGTTGTTTTAGGAGAAAAATTCACTTAGTGTTTTTCAGTCATATTATGAAATAAAAAAACACATATTTGATATTGTTATAATATTGATTACTAATTATTATTGAGCTATACTGCACGGCATCTCCTTAACCTTCTGTCAGTGATCTGAATTTGATCCCCTCGCCAACAAAGCCCTTTGAATTACACTGAATAGGAAGAAAGACAAACAAATATGTATACATACAGTAAAAGCAGAAAAAACAGCTTTTTTAAGCATCAGTTTATTTCAAGTTGTTTGTGTAAGACAAGAAATCTTTTAGGTAAATAACCCAAAAAGACTGTATAACTTGTTGCTGAAGTTTAATATCTGGTGCTGACTAAACTATATAGTTTGACACTAAATTATCTGAATTATAAACCTGTTGAATCACTTATGACAAAAAAAACTACAAAAATAAACAAATTAACTTAAATTTAATTTATTGTTAGTTTGATAAGTCCAACTTTACAGTTTAATAATGACGTGAAAAAATAATTCACTTTAGTTTTGACGTTATAATTTTAAACAATCCATGTGTTTGTTTTCTCTCTGTTTGAATATGTTGATTATTTCAGCTGTGATTTGATGCTCAAGCTGAACTCATCTCATCTTACTGAGAACCAGCGCTTCTTTTCAGTGTTGTTTCTCAGGGAAACTTATTGTTTTTACTCCAGACAAATACTTTGGACTTCACCAAATTCCTGTGAGTATTTCTGTCCCTCACTTCTTTTGCTTTGAGGTCAGCTGATGAATTTTCTGTCCAAAAGTCTAAAGACAATAAACTGTGTTTGTTCTGAGTGTGGTTTGTTGAAGTGGTGTTGTTGTCCCAGTACTCTGCATGTCTCCAAGGCTGAACAATCAAATGCAGATCAAATTCTGTTTCTTCTATTTTGGAGCTGCAAATCTGGAGATGTGCAGCATGTGAGTTTAAATCATGTTTTCTAAATCTCACTTCTGGCTGCAGTTATAACTGCTTTGTGGTAATGAAACAATGTTTAAAGATGATTTTGAAGTGGTTTCAAAACTTCAGTGTTTTTCAAAGTACTTCAACTCAAAAAGTATTTAACTAAAATCACCTTTACTGGAGTGATTTATATAATCTGACTCAAATAATCAAGCTGGGCAATTCAGTGAAATCCAAATGTAATTGATAAATTGATAAATAAAACAGTAGTGTGATAATACTCAATATTCAATAAAGATCTCTCTGTCACACATAAATGAGGGCGTGATATTTAGCTGCAGTCTGATTAATGTGCTGATATCAGAGTTTGAACTTGGCTCTTAAAGACTCATGACATTTCATACACATACACACTGTGCAAAATGTGTCAACACACACACGCTTTCTGTTTTTGATATTTTCAATATGACTCACCCACAGACTGTGTAATCACGTTTAAGTGTGTATATCAACATGAATACAGTAAGTGCTGTCACAGAAGTATGTTTGAAACCCTAACTGAGTTCATACCAAACAGCAGCTCTGATCACACACCTGAAACAGCATATTATTAAAAAACGTAGTGATGCTGAACACACACACATACTGATATACTGCCAACAGGGTATAGGAGTAAAGTGGGTCTACACAAAGCTTTTAAAGAGATTTAACAATATACTTTTAGAAAGTAAATCGGAATTTCTTCGGCCTCAAACAAAGAAGGTCTGTTTCCTGATGAACTGAAGGCACAAGTCTGGGTGGGACACTGAGGAGCTCGATGTCTGGCTGGAAAACCTAAAGTAAGGGTTTAAAGTGATCAGCTGATCAGAAGACATATCTTGAGCTCTCTGTTTTCATCTGGTCAAAAAATGCAGCAACATCTTTATTTAGTATCTGTAGCTATTATTAAATAATACATATATAAATATGTGTCTTATTTTAAAAGCTACTGACTGTACTCTGACTAATCTCTGAGTTATGAAGGGGATTATGAAAAATGTTATTACTGTTTCCAGTCCCAGCCAACCGACACCAGACTGCTAAATTCAACATAGAAAGATAAATGACGATAACTCAAAAATTCTCTAACTTCAGGAAAGTGATGGTTAATTCCTCGAGTTCTATCTCCACACTAAAAACTGAGTCTGATGATTGTCATTTCATTTGACTATTTTCACTGATATCTGAAGTTATAATGAGACATTCCCCATCATCAGGAGTTGCCCTGGTATCAGTCAGTTCGTGGTCTAAGTATAAAATCATCTGCTTTGTTGTTTTAAGCTGATCAGAGTAAATGTGCTCAGTCTCAGTTTTTACACTCTTACACACAAACCCACAAACACACACTGAGCAGCAGTCTCCAAACTGAATGTTTCCTCTGTGAGAAGAGTTCCTCCTGGTCTGCAGCAGTCTGATGTAAGCTGTAAACTGTAACTAAACAACATCAACTCCTGAAACTTTTCACCTGCAGATTATTAACACTGATATTTAGTTTATGAGAGTGACTGTGTGAGTTTATTTCACCTGCTGTCTACAGGTTTACATCCCTCTAACACTCACCATGTCTGTAGTTCTTCATTTGTTTTAGTATTTTTGTATTTTGTTGTAACAATAAACTGATTAAACTATGAAGGACCTGTAGGATCAGACCAACAGTTTCCCCTGAATTGCTTTGGCACTGAGGCTTACCAGATAAAACCAGGTGTTTTTGTCTCTTTAAAGGCAAAAACAATCACCAGAATACATTTCCAGCTGTGTTTAGAATAAATATTTACAATCTTATGACATGTTTGAGTCTTTCTTGGCTAAATAAAGGTTGAGTAGTAGTTTTGTATTCAAGAGATTAAAATTCAAGCTGCTGAAAAATGCATCAACTTGTGTTCATGATTGTAAAAACAGAAAAACTTTCTGTCACACACACCGAGGACTTCTTTTACTTGAGAACTTTTGCATTTATAATGTGGTCTCGAAGAGAAGGGGGGTGATGATTTCAGTGGGGAGGTTAATATTAATGCGTCTGCCAAACAAAACATCCATTACTAAATCTCCCTTTCACCACACGATTGCTTTTGTTTGTTGATATCACAAGATTGATATTAGCCAAATAATAAATGTGCTGAAATCCCACAATAAATGATTTAACTATATCCTCTCTGACTTTTTATAAGTGTTATGGTCAAACATCCATCAAACGGCTTTTCCTCTGGCAGACTTGCCTCATGGCTCAGAGGTACTCCTGAAAGGGGAGTGGGGGGTTCATAGTACTTTTTTCAGGAAGATGTTTTGTTTTTATACATTTAAGGTAAAAAAAAAAAAAGTCACTTTACACTTGTGCAATGGATAAGAAATTTTGCAATGTGACATGATTTTAATTAATAAATAAAAACAAAAGATGCCTATTGTCAAATTGAGAAATTATTCCTAAAATTATTCCTAAATTTAGCTAGAGCTATGTGTTAGCTAGCATGAAAAAACTTTGTCCAGAGGTCAGGCAGGGCTGGTGGTCATAGTTAGGCTTCTTCTTACTTTCCCGAAAATTTCTTTATTTCTTTATTTTGGCTAAATTTGTTCAGGAAGATAGTCAGTTTGGCAAAGTCTGTGCTTATTTGTGGTGCAGAGATGGACATTTTTTAAATGGGTGTGTATCACAGACTGTATATAGAATGGACAGCCTCCTTGCTGGGTGAAGCCACCCCGAGAACAGCATCCTCTGTTAATGGGTTGCAGTATAGGTCATAAATCCCAATTCCGCCAGCAAAGCTTATGGGGCTGTAGAATAACTTTAGAAATTTAATACACAGAATATAGATTTTTCTCCCCTCTGCTTGTGATGTTGACATGTAGTTACTGTCAGACTGGTTTGTGCTCAACTCCTCTTTTTTCTGTACAGCTCCATTTTTTTAAAGTTATTAGAGGGTTCATGTTTTCTATGATTGACACTTGATACAGCCTATGGGTGTACGAAGATTGCGTAGCTCACCCGGGGGATACGCTGTTTGAGCTGAGCGTCATCACAGCGACTCTCAGTGACTCTCCCGCCAAATCCGCACAATGCTACTGCGCAATGTTGGTTTCAGGAAATGAAGAAAAATCGCAGAAATACCGTGAGCTTTTTGGCTTCAAATCTGTATACAGGCAGGAGGCAGAACCAAGTTGTCCATAGTATATACAGTCTATGGTGTGTATTTTGTTTCCATTTCTTTTGCAGACAGTCTCAAGTGGATGTTCAAAGAACAGTTTTAGCACACTTTACTAGAAGTTGCCTCTTGATTAGAAATAACAAGCCCACAAATGCAAAACACAGTGAAGAGCGGAGTAGAGACTTCACTGATTTAAAAAAAAAGTTTTGGTGTCTTTTGAAAAAAAGTAATTGATGGTTAATATCTAGCTTTTAAATGAATGTACAAGAATGAACAGTATACGCTTTTCAACACAAGACTCCACTGAATCTAGAAGCTGCAGAATGTTGACCTGTCTAATTCAACAGAGAGTGAAAAGTGTGACAACCAACCCCGGTCTGCCCTACTGGGTGATTAAACTTAAGACTAGTCTAATATAAATGAAGCAAAGTGTTATAAAATAAACATTGTAGATTATTCCTCATTACTGCTCACCCCTACAAATAACAATTAGGCTTATATTGGTTTTTTGCGCATTGCCATTGGCCACATTAACGAGCGCCTTTCCTCGGGGGAGTCATTCTCGGCGGGTGGTTGCCTGTAACGCGGAGAGGACGGGCTCCATGAGTTATTACTGTGGTTTCACCGGGGTATTAACGGGAGTACAAGACAAACAGAGAGAGTTTAAACTGACCCTGACTGTGTGGAGTCTTTGAACATATCGTTAAGGTTCAATCAGACTTATCAACAGACCGCAGACCCACTGCTGTTTCCTCCAGGTGAAGGACATCCCGGTCACCCGGTGGAGACTCACCGTCAGTCCAACATTTAGACTCCCCGGTCGGTCCCCCCTCCCCTCCCACAGTCTCCCCGGGTGGCCGTGCTGAGTGAGGCCGGGTGCTGATGAGTGCTGACGAGGAGGAAGGAGAGTGTTTTGCTGCCCTGTGAGTGTGCTTAGTGCTTAATGTGTGTGTGTGTGTGTGTGTGTGTGTGTGTGTGTGTGTGTGTGTGTGTGTGTGTGTGTGTGTGTGTGTGTGTCCAGTCTAATGAAATAATTGCTGGTGATGAATGAGTGAGGAGTTTGAAACAGACAGCAGCTCTCAGCACTCAGACTCTTTATACTGACTGACACACAGTTAAAACAAGCACCCCAATCACACACAGTCAGTCCTCAGACTGACTTAACCTAATAATATTCATAATATTAATACATTTATAGGAATACTATTATTTCACAATGATACCGTCTTTTTATGTGGGCCTTTTACTATAAGGAAGGACACAAACTTACAAAGTCTGGTGTTAGTGACCTATAAGTGTCATTAATAAAATCTACTATTCAAAGTCAGAGTTCGTACCTATTACCATTAATTTGCAGTATAAAACAAAGCTGCTCACAGTATGTCACAATTCATCAGGTTGCATCAATACATTACTAATAAAGGTTAACAACGACATTCATGATCAACTCTAATGAAAAACTCACAAATAGTTAAACTGGCGCGCGCACATATACAGAGTGTGTGTCTGAGTGATGTAAACTAAGCTGTGTGTGTGTGTGTGTGTGTGTGTGTGTGTGTGTGTGTGTGTGTGTGTGTGTGTGTGTGTGTGTGTGTGTGTGTGTGTGTGTGTGTGTGTGTGTGTTATTGAAATGGACAGATGTTTCAGCTCAGAGCTTCAGCTTCATGTCGACAGGTTCAAATATTTTCATGAGGGACAGACTGCTTTGGACACAAATACCACACACTGAATAACGAAGGAATGGACTGTGACTACTGTAGGACACCTAAAGTTTATAAGTCCATTTGACTTTTTTAATCCACAACATTTAACCTCAGCAGGAGTGTCATGTCACTGACTTTGCTGATGTGGTGTTATCAGAAGAGAAGTAGCCCACACATCATAAAATAAACTACACTAAAATGTTCATGACTTGGAATTATTATTAATATTATTTGGGTAAAAACAAACATTAAAGGTAAATTTGTCATATTTCTTTTCTATTGATCTATTTTTGTGAGGTGTTTCTGTCCAATACAATAAAAAGTGTTAAAAAAATTTCGTAAAGATTAAGATTACATTTTTCTAAATTAATGAGTAGATATCTTGGAGAATTCGCAAAAATACTCTTTTATGCGTTGATAGGTTATGGGCCTTTGGATTGCTTCATATATAAATATATTACAAAACTCGAAATCACGAAGGGACACCCCATCCGCCCTGCTTTTTCTGTATATTTTGTATTTATTTCAGTGTAGGCGAATTTTTGTCTCTACAGAGATCGTAAATATGAACTTGGATTGTTTTCTTTAACCTTCCTCTTGCTCCGTTTTGTAGTTGTTTTCTAATTATTTGGGTTTTGTAATTGTTGTTTTTTCTGTTTTTGGATAACATCAAAAATATCATTTTGTGCGCTGAAGAATTGGTCCATCTCTCTACAGCGTACGTGTAAGTTTGTCTCGGTTTCTTCAAATACGCCAACATAGACTATAATTTATCAAAGACTTTAATTCTTGAAGTGTCAGTGTGTTCAGATACTGATAAACACCGCGCATTTCTTCATGTTTCTGTAGGCCTGTAGACTACAGACATTTATATACTTGATTAAAAATAATACCCTGTCTTTGTCTGAGATTTATTTTAAAGGTGAGGATATTTTTATGAGGAAATAGGTGTTTATTTTTCTTGATGATCGCATTATTTGCTATGTAGCCTCAATATGAAAAGCCCACCTCTTGACTGACTGTGCAGGAATGACTGTGCTCCATTCCTTTTTCATTAAGTTACTGCATTTTTTTTTTCATTTTAGCTTCTAGAAATGCAGCTTTACTTCTCTAAGTTTGATTTTTTTTTCTTTCTTAATGATTGTGATTTAAAGTTTCCGACCGCCGATTAAAAGGAGGAAGACACATCTATTCTGGTTTATTTATAATGGGCCATTGAATTTTGTCTGTTTAAAATGAAAAAAAAAACCTTATTCAAAAGGCCGTAACAGTCTGACCATTAGAAATAGGCTAAGTCTCCGTGTGTTTAAATTGAATTCATTATGAAAAAAAAAATAAAGTGACAGTATATTTTAGTGTTGATTTTTAAAAACAATACGCTTAAGTCCTCTAACTGTATCACGAGCTGTATTTTTATATTTATAAATAGCCTTTAAAAAGCTTAATTTATGAGCAAAACCTTTCATCTACTTGCATCATCAACTCTAAAAACGGATAATAAGTGTTATTGTTAGTCCAGTTGTGTTCACTGACCGTCGGGGAAGACGGCCCTCATCCGGAGGTAGGAGCTGGTCAGCCGGATGATGGAGGCCTTGTCCAGCTGGGAGGTGATGGCCGCGGGCAGAGGCAGCAGCTTGGCCAGCTCATAAAACTCTCCGTTCTCCTTCTCCCTCCGAGTCTTAGCAGCGTTTTTACATTTCTCCTTCATTTCTCCAAGTTTCTCAAACCACTTCGCACACTTCAAGAGCAGACAGAGGACATCAAACTTGAAATAACCTTTAAATGTTTGAGAGGAGGAGCTGTTTATAGAGAGCACTCAGAAAACAAACTTTAGAGATCCTCTGAGATGTTAGGAACAAGGAGCGGGAATCTGAATCCTTGAATCAGAGCAGACTCCTCAGACTTTGTTCAGACATCCACACTAACACCTTCACGGCTCCGGACATCTTCAGATACAGCTCCGGAGGGCTGCAGGCTCCCTCCACGTGTTCACCTGTTTGTCCCCCGGGTTCACCTGTTCATCCGCCGGGTTCACCTGCTCCTCAGAGGCGGTAAGAGTCAGACTCAGTCGACGGTGGAGTTCCCCCAGGTACGTTCAGGGTGCTCTCAGTTTAGTTGAGCAAAGTTTATCCATGTTCGAGTTATTAATCCGGTTTGATCGACCCGAGAGGGAGAGGAGGGAAAATCTGTCACATGTGAGGAGAAGAGAGAAAGTCGTGCTGCAGAGAGCACAGCAGCAACACACTGAAAACACCCAAGACACACACACACACACACATACACACTCAGTCCCCCAGCTCTCTCTCTCTCTCTCTCTCTCTCTCGCTCTCTCTCTTTCCCCCTGTGTCTGTCTGTCTGTCTGTCTGTCTGTCTGTCTGTCTTTCCCTGACTAGCATGTTAAATCTGTAAAGTTAAATCTGGAACACTGACCAATAATCTGATAACTGTCTCCCTGTTTAATCTGTAACATTGAACGATAATTTTAAAATAATGAGATTACACATAAAAATCTCTGTATCTTAATCTAGAACTTTAAACCAAAAATATGTAGATAGTATCCAGTCAAATCTAAAACACCAATGTGAGTCACGTTTAATCGATGACTTTTGATCTGTTATACTGACCAGTCATCTGATAATTAGCCTATGTAGGATTTGTGAATTTTAATCTGGAATATTAAGCAATAATCTGATGATTTAATTCAATCTGTGTGAATTAATCTAGAATATTGTATTTGATAATTATGTCTCTAAAATCTGTGTAGAATGGACAATTATCTAAAACTGAACAAATTGTGTAGTTCAATTAACACCAACCAGTTATTTTATGATCATGTATTTGTGTAGTCTAATCTAGAACATTCAATAGCATAACTTGAAAATGATGTTAAGAATATGTAAAATAATCTCTAATACTGAAAAGTAAACTGATAGCTATATTTATTCAATTTAGCTGTGTAGATAATCTGTTAAATCAGATTTCAATACTGAACAGTAATCTGCCAATTATGTCTAATCTGTCTAGTTGACTATGTGTAGTTTAATCTGTAACATGGGACAATAATCTGAGAGTTATGTTTAATCATGTCTGCCTCCATGATGTTTGGATGATCTGATATCTGCTGTGTTGTTACAGTACACTGAATATTAATGCACTCATTGATATGCCGCTGCTTTTCAGCCACGCAACACTGTTATCTGGAATATGTAGAAGACCAGGGTCTGCTGTTACAGTAAAATTAGAGGTCCATTCATACTTTATTCCAAAGGACACAATCAGGTATAATCATAATCACTCTATTTCTATTTTTACTCCAAACATGCTCCTCTAACATCAAAGCTATTTTAATCATCAGGCAGGTTTCACATATTTAGAAAACATATGAATAAAAGTGATAAAAACATGTTGTAGCTCTGAAATTTCAGAGAGAAACTGCTCCATTCTGATCAGTGTTCTGTCTGTGTTTCAAGTTTTACTATGACTGTTTGTTAGACTTACAGTCTACACTGAGGCGTAAAGTTTAAGTGTTGAAATATCTGTCATTTAAATAATAATTATCAAAACTACAGACATGATATTACTAAAACTTTACATTTCACCATTTATTAAAACATCTTTGGGCTTTACTGTCCAGAAAATAATACACAAATAAACATTTAAAGCTGAAGTGTCTTGACCTGGCTGATTTTAATCCTTTTGTGTAATAAAACAGAAGATAACACAATGGGGTTCAAAACCATGAGATATAACAAAAAGCAAGAAAAACAAGAGGCTCACCAGGGTGAAATCACTCTAATCTATAAAACATGATGAATTAATGTAAGTTAATGAATATTAAAATCCTAAATTTTATAGCACAACCTTAAATATAACTCTGAAAATAACAGGAAAATAAATAGCTGAACCCTTAATCTCACATGAAATGGTCAGATGGAAACTGGCCTAACGTCACATCAGGTATCAACATGAGGAAACAGCGCCCTCTGGTGTCTATAAATATCACTGGGATAACCACACCGCTCTCCTATGCTCTGTTTTCACCTCTGTTGAAATATTTCAATAAATCTCTGCTTTAAATTTATGAAGGTTCTGATCTTCAGACAGAGATATAAATATGAATCTGTTTTTCTGAGATTACAGATGATTCATGTAAATTACAGATTTAAATTTATACAAACCCGATCAGGTAAATCCTGCAGTAATCCATTAAATTATAAGGGGAAAAATATAAAATATTGGTGATATACGTTTATCAATACTCATATTTGGTGATATAAAAAATCTCTTAAAAAATGTATAAAACCAAAGTACAGTTAGAAATTGTGATTTAGATACAAGAATATACTGTATCTTTAATTTGATGCATTTTTTTTCTAATTGCTATGGTGCACATTTAGTCAAGAATTACTCACATTAATGTAAAGTGGAAGTAAAGAGGTGATTTAAATGAGTAGAGGAGAATGATGTGCAGTCAGGTCTCTCCTGATTTGTTCTGGTATAATCACAGAGTGTTTTCATGTGTTATTTTATTTATTTATTTATTTATTTATTTATTTTTTTGCAGATGCCATCATATCAGCTTAAAGGTTATTATTAATTCTTATATTTTATCATTATATTATTTTATTATATTTTAAGTTGATAAACTAGAGAAAATACTTAAAATATTCAGATCAATTTTACACTACCAAAAGCCTCTCAATTGTACTATTCATTAAACTTTATTTTAGAACGACTTCAATAATCAATATTCCTTTTGTTGTTTTCATACAAACCAAAGCTAAGCATATTTTAAATTTAATTTTAAGTTGTACTTTTTTAGATTTTCTTGTACAAATCTGATTCTGTTGAACTTCTCAGCAGGTTTATCTCTTCAAACTCAGCTTAAGAGTCAAAATAAAGGCAGGGTCATCCCCCAGACATGTTCCTATATTGCACTTATTCCTCACAAAAATGAAAGAGTTAGTCCTAATGGAGAGAGGGAGACAAATTAACAACTCATAAAAGTGACCATTTAGTTAGTTTTTCATCCAAATGAGTACAACTGTACTCGGGCTATGACCCAATTTTATTGTCCCCAAGATTTCATTTACCAAAAAAGGAATTTCAAAGTCAGATACATTTTCTATCTTGTGGCTTTTGAAACAAAAACTTCAATGCTTGTCAATTATTACAGTTTTTTTACAGTCGGCCTAACACAGACTCCGATACATCTGACACATTTCCAAAACTGCTCACACACAAACACACCTATAACACACAACTGACAAACATGATAGCTTCATTCCCAAAAGCTCACACTGTAAACTAAACACCTACACTAGTTTTCAAAATGCAAGATTACACCAACACTATACACCAGATCAACCAAACACCAATTCTCTTCCATCAGAAACCTTTAATTCTAGCACCAGTTGGATTTAGAGAAACTACATTATGTTTCATGTCTTAAACATAATGAAGTGGAGTTAGATGCATAAATAGTTTCTTCATAGCAAACATTCAGTGAAATTTAGTTTATGAAAAAAGACAGTCACAATTGCAATGGAATTGTTGCAAAGGTTTTATTCATGTCAAAAATTCTGCAAGCCTGCAAGAAAAAAAATCAGTGTGGATACCAACAGAAAAATGTGCAGAAGAAATATGTAGTATGAAAAAATATATATATTATTGTTAGGAAAAAAAGACCATAATCTGCCCGGTCTTCTGCACTGGACCACATGGCCTCATCAGCATCACACCGGACCAACTCCTCTCCCTCAGCCAACTCTTCTTCGTTCTGCCATTCTCTATTGTCTTGTTTCTTCAGACCCAAACCGAAACACCACACCAAACTTTTTATGTATTAGCTGTGATTGTAGTCAGCTGTGACTTCAATTAGTTGACTAATTTACATCAGCTGATTTTCAATGACAATAAAAAAAAACAAGAGATAATTTACTGTCTGTGAATCTATAAAGTGAACTGCTTCTCACTTCAACTTTAGCCTGTTGGTTACATTTAGAACACAACGTTGTCTATTCTGACATACTGTGTGAAAGCATTTGTAAATTTGTGGGTTTAAGTCAATTGTTTTGGCCTTGGTAGAGCTTGTTTGTTTAAAAAAGTTAAAACATTTTGTATATGTGTCCACTGTATACAGTTTGTGTCAAACAAACAAGAAGTGTTTTAATTGTAAAAGCCGCATAGGCTGATGTTGTGCAAACTGTGTCAAGATTTTTGGAAATATATCAGAGGTTTTGGAATTTGTGTTAGGACGAGAGTAAAAAACTGTAATGTCTACTTTCAAGCTGATCAGTCTTTGTGCTTCTGCCATGTCTGCACACTTTGTGGAAACAGTAAAATTCATGCTCGTGAAAACAGTGAAATACATTTAATATTTTTTCCTCTGCTTTCAAAGCTGTGTTTTTAAACAGTCACTAAGAAATAGAGAAATTAAATGACCACAAAGTGTTGTAAGACAGGCCTTTGTTGTGGTGGTTGGAGCTGCCATCCTTGAGTGATTTGCTCAGGGGTTTAAATCCACTTTTGGGACCAATGTAAAGCAAAAATGAAATACTTTGTTCACATGGAAATTTGATCTCAGCCCCAAAAGAATAAAATTAAATGGTCAAATATTAAGACTAAGATGGCAGACAAGGTCAGGAAGGCTAGTGGTGGAGAGGTCAGAGCTGCTGCTTTTAAATGAAATGGTCTTCGGTTCAAATGTGCCAAGTGTGTGGTAAAGTGGGGTAAAAATAAAATTCTTTCCCCACTCTATAGACAGCAGCACTTTAAAAGTTTTGAGAACTTTAAGAAATTAACTAAGTGAAACAGTGTGTGCGCTAAATCTGTTTTTAGTTTTCTATTGTTGAATTATTAGACATTACAGATTTAGATCCACTACAACATTTCTGGGGAGGATTTTCTGAGCAGTCATTTAAACAGCTAGGATAACAAATGAAGACGCAAAATGTTAAATAAGTAAACATCTTCCCCAGAATATTTCATAATATTATTTTATAAGTTTCAAATCTTTGTAAGAAATAAACCTGATTAGATGTGACTGTGTGAAATAATGAATTTCTGGAGTGTAATTTTGCAATAAGTCTGTGCAGTGATGAAGGGATGAGGGAAAGGACTGAGTTATAATTTTAAAGGTTTTGTTCCTGCAGCTTGATTGTGTGTTGTACCGATTATGTCTCTGAGGAGTGAAGTGTTTTATCCACTCAAGTAAAGAGTGCATACACTTTATTAAAAATGTTCTTGGATTAAAACTCACTTTTTCAATATTAAGCGTTAAGTTCAGCAGTTCAGAGTACGTTAGCAACAGCCTTCACACGGCCTGATCTGTGTGTGAGCATGTGCAAATGTGTGTGTGTGTGTTTGTATTGGCCGAAGCAGAGCAGATATCACTTTCTGCTTAGCTGTCACTGCTGATGGATGGATATTACTCTGCATAGACCCTCTGTGCACTCTTTAATCAACATTTATACACGCTCACACAGTGACCATGTCACACCTGAATACTGTATTATATTCATAAAGTTTATCCACAGGTTAAAGTCCCTGCAAACCACTCACTCTGTTTAATAAACTGATTTATACACTCTCTGAAAGTGACCATGTTCTGTCTAAATACTGTTTTATTTTATTCATGCAGTTTACTTTTGGAGGAAAATGTCTGCAGAGCGCTCAGTGCGCAGCCTTCAATCTGAGAAACGTCACTTTCCAAGAGGTTTACGACCTGAAACTGTCACTAATATGATGATGTTGTCAAAGCGTGGTCAGTTTTTTATTTTAATTTAGAAAAATAACACATATTATTTAGTTCATTAATACTCTTGTCAGATGAAAGTTTTAATCCCTCATTAGGAAAGTCTGTAACCAGGGTTGACAACTTTGTCAGTTGGGACAAAATATTTGGTTCAGAGCTCAGTGCAATGATGCAACGATGTGGTGTATAAACAAGAAACGTATTTTGATCTACGGTTTTATTTAAACTACATTATTATATTAGTTGACCCCTTAACTGAAAAATTATAGTACAAACCTCCGTCTGAGAACATCTTTAGATATTTTTACTGCGGCAAATGGGCAAAACCACGGCCAAAGATTTCATATTCTGTCACCGTGTGATGTGAAGGAGGACCCCCCTGTCCCTTCATTGACAGTCCCTGGACTTCACTTTGAGAACCACCCAATAAAACCTTAAAATGAATAATATTATTCACAGGTTGAAGCCTAACAATAAAAAATGGATTTAAAATCCAACAGAGCCATGACTCACCAGGTTCACTTTTACATGGATATTTCTTACTGCTCTTGAAGCTTCAAGCAGTTTTTCATTCCTTTGCAGAACCAAGGAGAAGTCCTCACGTGAAAAGTCACAGTTCACACATATTTAGAGTTCATTTTTGATCAGCTCTGTGCTGCATCTGTTTCTTTAGTCTGACCGTGCCATGTACATCAAAGAGAAAACCCTCTCAGCAAAGGCATTTGGGTCTGGCACACTGACAGTTATGAGCAGGCTCACCTGTGCTGAGGAAGGCTGCTGTCTCTTAATGAAAAGATTCAGGGTTCAAACCATGTGAACAAGGAGTAAAATGCTGTTCTCAGTTATACTTCAAATATGACTGATAAATTAGCTCATGATATCAATACTGAAGTGTCCGTCCTTCATCTCACTGGAGTTCAACACTTATATAAATGCCTTTGGAGCTGTGGTTACCAATAGCCTGTTGATATCCTGTAAAACTCTTTCTTACTTTATTTTTGAAGAATAAGACGATCACATCCTCTGTCTTTCCATTTCATAAAAAAATGAAGAAATTCTTCAGCCCCTGTATGTGGTTTACTGAACAAGTCAGAGCATGTGGGTGTTTAACAGAGAAGGGTCCAGTTTGGAACTTTGGGGAACTCCAAGTCTCTTTTGCCTGCTCAGAGGTGTTATCTATAAACACAAATTAGTCACCATCCTTTAGGTGGCTCAGACCAGAAAAACAAGTTATTCCGTGATAAAAAAAAAAAAATGACAGGATGATTTTAAGTGATTTACAACTGAACACTAACTCAAGGACAAGAACAAGAAAAACAGGATTTGATTGTGTGTTTTTTTAACCTCTTTTCAGCTCTGTTTTTATATATACACCTTTATGTCAGTGGGGTTACAGCTTTAGTCCACACTTCAACACAGTAGGTGGCGGTAATGCACCGAAAAGCTGAGTGTCACCCACCATGAAAAGGGAAAAAAGAGCAAGAGGGAAAACGGTTGTTTCGAGTCGGACTTATTAAGTGAGACACAGCAGGGTTCACGTGTAGCCGTGCGGGGTTCAGCAGACAGGTAAGTGAGTTTGAACCCGCACACCTCAGACAGCACACACTCAACACTGGGAACTAATACAGGCTACAGACTGTACTGAGTACACCTGCTGCTCTCAGCTGAGTGTAAACAAAGCTGTGTTACACCATATTTGTGTGTCTACAGTAGTAATAAACACACACACAGCCACTCTCTCTCTCCCTCTCTCTCTCTTTTTTTATAAAAAGCTCCCAGTAACTTTTAATCACAAAGGCAGTGTTTCAATCTGTAAATAGACTTTACAGATGTGTGTACAACTCGTACAATCTCAAGATAACACACGTTGTGAATGTTGGGTCTTTTACTTTTGATTCAAATCCAGTTATCAAGATACAGATTCAAAGTTTTCTGGAAGTCATTAAATTCTTCTGGTTATGATTTTTTGTGGACAAAAAAAAATTCTTCATGACATGTCAAAGCAGCTTATGTTATCAGGTGGTCTCAAACAGAAGATGAGACATTGCATTAATAACAATGACAGCAGGGGCTTGATACCTTAAGGCAGTGGTTCTCAATCCAGTCCTCGAGCTCCCACTGTCCTGCATGTTTTGGATGTTTCCCTGCTCCAACACACCTGATTCAAATGATCAGCTCGTTATCAAGCTCTGTAATGGCCTAATAACGAGCTGATCATTTGAATCAGGTGTGTTGGAGCAGGGAAACATCCGAAACATGCTGGACAGGGGAAGCTTGAGGACTGGATTGAGAACTACTGCCTTAAGGCGACATGGAGTCAAGGTTTCATGATAAAACTTGAGTGTCAGATTGAACTGTTGCACACTCACTGTGACTGTTTTAATACTTTTAATTCATAAATGGAATAAATAACCAGACCGTCTGTCAGCTGTGTCCACATCCGTCTGCATGCATACATCAGTATTATTCATTCTGCAGCACACAGTTTAATGTGCAACATTATGCCACTATGAACACTGCAGCTACATATAGTCTGTAGTCAAACCTTTGTTACACAATCAATGTTGCTCGAAGAAGGGACAGGTAATGAAGTTTGAAATAGTCTTGCTTTCACACACATGTACTGAAAGTAAACTTGTTCTGTTTTGCTCCTGATAAATTATCTGACCCCTCTGCTCTCTGACCTGAACTAACAGTGCTCCCTGTTGGTTGTCAAATTGAAGTTACAGACCAATAATGTGTTTTTAGGAAATAAGTCTTATTTTTGACTGAAACTGTGGCATTATATGTAGAAGATCATATTTAAAGCTCCTATGAGGATTGTTCTCTTTGTGTTGATTCTGGCAACCCTCTGTGTATGGGGCATTCTTTGTTTTATTTTGTCTTGGCCTTTTAAAAAGTGTATTATTATTGACAAAAATCTACCCCTGTTGTTTATCTATTAAATATGTCTCTCAACGTGAGCTTCAATCTGTTTTAATGAAACATTTTGATAAATCAGCACTCAAAATACTTTTAAATGAGCTTTTAAGAATGATTCAGATGAAAATTACTGATTCGTCTTCACACCAAGCATCAGAATGGTGCAGCTCTATGTTTCACATCTGTAGAAATTGTCCTGATAGTCCTCTTTCTGTTCTGAATATCTCTTTTAACCTTTAGAGTCATCATGTTCGCTGTGACTCTCTGATATCCAGCCTGGTTTCACCGTCTCTTTAGATAAAAATGCCAAAGAAAAGCAAAACAAAGAGGCAGAGCGGTGAAGATGAGCAGCTCCCTCCTAAACAGAGCCGAGTGGAGCCCAGCAACCCTCCCTCCCCTCTCAACTTCCACAGTCCTGCAGACCTGTTCAGCAGCCTCCTTCAGCCTCTGGACTCAGAGACCTTCTTCAGGGAGTTCTGGGAGAAGAAACCGCTCCACCTGCAGAGAAGTGACCCCCTCACAGCGTCGTACTACAAGTCTGTGTTCCAGCTGTCAGACCTACAGGCTCTGTGCTCTCAGGGTCTGCAGTATTACAGAGATGTCAACGTGGTCCGCTGCATCAAGGGCCAGAAGAAAGACCTGAACCAGGAGGGGCGAGTCAAACACACAGTGCTGAATAAGAACCTGGACCAGAACAAGGCCACCATCCAGTTCCATCAGCCTCAGAGGTTCAAGGTGAGGCTCATGCTAATACTGGTCTTTCTGTGAGCTGGGTGTTTAGAGTCCCAGGTACCTCCCATCTTCTTCCAGTTCTTGAAATGCCCCTAAAGAAGACAAGGATGCGAGGGCAAGGAGGCACCTGAAGGAGCTCAGAGAGAGGAGAGGAAATTATTTGGCCAAATACATGACAGTATGACCTTTGACCTCTGCACAGATCATCAATAATAAATCTATTATTGTTTGATATGTTTTTTTCTCAGGATGAGTTGTGGAAGATCCAGGAGAAGTTGGAGTGTTTTTTCGGTGCATTGGTTGGCTCTAACATCTACATCACCCCCGAGGAGTCTCAGGGTCTCCCAGCTCACTATGACGATGTTGAGGTACCTTGACCTGAGACACCTGAGTGACAGAGACCTGAATCCACTGAGCCAATTACACCCTTTCTGTAATATTTGCTTCATCTCTTACTTAAGAGGTGAACTGTGAAGCAGGTTTACATTAAGAGTCCAAGTTCTCATTATCCTCCATACAAATGGGTGTTGATCATTTATATCTTTTCCGGCATCAAGTTTGAAATTGAGGGAAAATTCTTGGAAAACAATAACTATTCAAAGAATTTTCTTTTGAAGCTCTGTGAATACAGACACAGATGTTGTGTTTCCATCCAGGTGTTTATTCTTCAGCTCGAGGGACAGAAACGCTGGCGTCTCTACAACCCCACTGTTCCCCTGGCAACAGAGTACTGCGTGGAACCAGAGGACAGGATTGGCAGCCCCACACACGAGATCACCCTGAAGGTAGAGAGACTCCGTTAATCTACGTATGTGTTTTAAGCATTTGTGTTTACATAGAGATAATAAAGGCCTCAGGATTCTCCCACATTACAGCTTCCCCGTCTTCACATTCAGGGTCAAACCAGAGTGAACCCACCTTATCCTCTGGACACTCAGAAAGCCTGACAAAGAAACAGATCCTCAGTTGATCCTTCATGACTAAAACTGAACCTGGCGCAGTTGCCAGTCTGTGCGCTGTTAGAGAGCAGTGATAGTTACTAGAAAAGAGCAGTGACACTGGTTTGTTAAGTAATTACATGGCTATAGATTAATGATAGTGTGTAGTGATCAAGTAGCTTTGCAAGAGTTTTGGGTTCAAACTTCTGCCAACTTCTCAGAATACATAACCGCCTGTATTATGGAGAAAGACTTAAAAGTAATCAGTAAAACTTCCTGTTCCTGTGTGTGTAACAGTGTGTTTAACTTTAGTGTATCAGGAGCTTCAGACCAGGTTAATGTTAGTGTAAACAAACACTCACAGCTGTGATATCAGATAAAGAGTGTAACATCAATGTTTTTGTGTGTTTGTCTTCAGGAAGGAGATCTCCTGTACTTCCCTAGAGGAACCATCCACCAGGCCAGCACTCCACCAGGAGTCCACCACTCCACCCACCTGACCCTCAGCACCTACCAGAGAATGTACCTGACACCTCATCTACCAAACACTCACCCTAAAATAAACCATGAAGCTTTCAAATCAGTTTTAATGTCACAGGTGAAAAGTCCAGGAGTGCTTAGACAGGTCTGATCTGTGTTTGAAGGAGGGTTTAATTGTTCAGTGTTGATGAGCTGCAGACATGTAGAGATTCCTGACTGACCCTGGTGCAGTCACATGGATCTAAATCAGTGGAGCAGAGCAGGTGCTGATGATGCTCCTGACAGATGTCAGAATAAAACAGGACTTCAAAAAATAAAACATGAAAACATCTGATTCGACAAAAAGACTCACCTGCAGTAACCTGAGCTCTGATTGGTCAGTTTCTGACTGATATATTCTTCCTCTCACACCTGTCCTGTACCCCTGTCTCTCAGGTCATGGGGAGATCTGCTGTCAAACGTAATTCCCAGCATGCTTTGTGACCGCAGCAAGACTGATGTCAGTCTGAGAGAAGGAATGCCCCGCCAACTCCTACTGGTAAAAAAAAACAGTTATCCTGTTTAATCCATAATTTGGTGAGACCTAAACCACACTGGACCTCTGGAGGTGTGCTGTGGTATCTCTGTTCTATGTGGAAGTCTGTTTATTTAAATGTATTGGTCTTTGTTTTTCATATATTTTAAATACTGCGAGAAGTGAATACTCACCCTGGGCCAGAAGACCCACCCACATTTTAACGTGGTTCTCTGTGGGTGTTGACTCACTTGAGGAGACAGCTGTTCGAGGAAACTTTATGAACTGCAGACTTTGGTGCTTCTGCTTCATTTTTTGTTGTGTGTATGTGTTCAGGGCAGCAGTGGGAGTGAGGACACTTGCAAGCGTCTGGCAGCTCACCTCAGGGCTCTAGCCGATGTGATGGACACAGGTAAACAGGAAGTGAAGTGCGCTCACCTGAAGAGAGACTTCATCATGAACAGACTGCCTCCATACAGCCAGGAGCTCATCCAGCCCAGTGAGAGTCATTTTCATCATCTATAATCTGACATCCTCACTGACTGTACCACATGGTGAGCTTGTTTGTGTGCTTTTGTCACAGTGGGGAGGATCCCAGCTCTAGAGGACCTGGTATGTTTGAGGTTTAAGGATCACATAGTGATCACAGTGGAGCCCCCCCAGCAGAGAACAGTGAGTACAGTCATTATTGTAATACACGTGATTCAAACCATAGAGCTAAAGATGAACTGTCACATGAGACCAAAACACACTGTGTTTGCCCCTGTACTGATTAATCAAACTAGATAACACACATCTCAAGTAAAACACTGTGTATTTCTGCTTTTGATTCCAACCATGAAGAACCGGTGGAGCCTTAGCTTGTGCATAAGCAAAAACTCCACATGGTTTTATTATGTGTGAGGGAAGCAAACAATGTTTGACAAAAGTTTTCTAAGCAATACTTAAAGCCTAAAATATTAACATATAGTGGAAAAAAGTTTTTTTTTTTTCCTAAAGTGACATCAGTAAGATAAAGTTCATACATTTAATATTCATTGCATGTGAAGTTTTTGTTCTGATTTTATTGCGGCTTTCCTAGTATCTTTTTAAAAAAAGTCGCTTGAGGCAGAGGATAGGTCCTGTATATTTGTGTGACACACAGCTACTGTTCCAAAGACACAACCACAATTCATTGAAGTTTTCGGAGCTTTAATAACATAAAAAAAGGCTTCTACAGCCACCAATGATTTACACACACACATCAGATATAATATGTGTACACTTGGTGACGTGTATCATTGCAAACAAAGAACATAAAGCGCGGTCAACAAAAATTACAGCTACCTAGGCTCACCTCTCCACCCCAGTGCAGGTAAGACCGCCCCTTATATGACCTACAGCGAAACCAATGGCAACCAAAAGTAATTGAACACAGGATAACCGATCAGTAAAGCAACATTATGGCTCCTACAGATTTGATCGTTTGGTTTATAGCTGGTTTAATCAGAAATCCAGAATCTCAAAATATCAATCAAAATAAACAAATTTTGACAAAACAACACGTGATGGCCTCGCAGATGCCCTGAGTTTCTTATTCATAAGGTTAAAAAGTTGAAATTAACTATATGTTATATGCATGTGTGTGTGTGTTTCAGGATGAGGAGACAGAGCAGGTTGTTTTTGTCTTACATTCGCTGAAGAATCAGAGAGAAAATCACATGATGGGAGAAGATGAGGAGGAGGAGCAGGAAATCTCCAGGGTGAGACACTCACACACCTCTCTGACTGGACCTGTCGCTCCCACTGTCTCATCTCTACTGTCCTTCAGCTGGTTAACCTAAAAGATCAGTATAAATCACAAGAGATCAGGTGGACAGATGAAGAAGTGGACCGTGACAGACTGATGTGAAGGTGTTATTGCATATTTTAAACCTTTTAAAAATAGGAGTATAGAGAACAAAACAGAAAAATCAAGGAGGAAAACTGTAAGTGTAGTCCAGTCAGAATGACATAGGATATTTAAGATAAATACCTTTTTCTGTGTGTGTGTCTCTGCAGGGTCTCCAGTTCCCTCTGTCCCACCTCAGGGCCCTGCAGCAGCTACAGCAGGAGGAGCAGGTCTCAGTGGCCCAGCTCCAGCTGTCCTCTCAGGAGGATAAACTCAGTCTGGTTCTAGCTCTATGGTCTGAAAGCCTACTGGAAGCACTATAACTTGAAAAATAAACCACCTTCATCAAGAAGTCAGAGCCTTGTTTCGTAGTTTAAGTGAACCTCTGTGTCTAAGTGTGATGATTTTAATAAAGCTGACTCACTTCCAGCTCTGACTTTCTGTGTTACTGCTTCATATCAACATGAACAGAGTCCTGACATCACACCCAGATCCAACCATAAATGCTTACCTACACATTAAGGACATTAGATGTGATTCAAGTACAGGCTCTGAGAGTGTGTAGTGGGGCCATTAAGACTTCACCAGTTCCTGCCCTACAGGTACAATTAGGTTAAAAGCCTCTAGAAATGTGGAGAAAGCAACTGATGACGAACTACTGAGGAAATTTGTAAGGGCGCATTGATTATCATCCACGAAGGGAGTCTTGCTGGGAGGATGGGAAGAGCCAGGGGCAAAGCTTTGCTAGAGAAGCGAATAATATTGCTAAAGAATTTGGAGGATTCAATTTGAAAGAAAGTCCAATGGTACTCTACCCAGAATGTGGCCCCATGGATGCTTGTGTGGCCTGAAGTTGTCTGGTGTTTGTTAGAGACTAAAAGGAAGGAAAAAGGTAAGGTTGATTTGGTGAGTGAGTTTAGATGTCATGTAATGACAGAGTATAGTGATTTTACACATGTTTACACAGATGTTGCTTAACAACCTGAGACAGGGGTGACGGGATTTGGGGTGGCAGTACCAGCAAAAGGAATCGGGATTAATAGAAGAACCTCCGATAAGTGAGGAGTGTACAGAGTGGAAATGGTGGCAGTGCTGGTTGCAATGCAGTGGGTGGAGAAAGTGGGTCTGGATAAGGCATTGATATGTTCAGATTCATCATCAGTGCAAGCGAGTTTAAGGTCATTCCATTCAAACAGCCGTCACGACATACTATACTCAGTCCTTCAGTCAATGACTAGAATAGTTCATCAGTGAGGTCAGGTAAAGTTTCTGTGGGTTCCAGTGCACATAAATGTGAGGGGGAATGAGAGGGCAGATGAGTTGACTAAGAGAGCTTGAAATGAAAGCAAGTGTAGATATGCAGGTCAGTATAAGCAAGGCAGAAATTAAAAGTGTAATCTGGGAAAAGGCAAATGTTATGTGGCAGGGAAGTTGGGATGGAGAGGAGAAAGATTTGGGTATTCTTTTAATCTTGGGTTGGGGTAGATTTGGGTATTCTTTGTTTCTTTTATTCCTTATTCTGTGTAAAGCGCTTTGTACGACATGGTTGTGTATGAAAAGTGTTATATAAATAAAGTCTGATTGATTGATTGATTGATTGAATTTGCTTTGGTTGAGAGTCAAGGACAGGAATAAGGCTTAAAGTCTACTGTTTGAACTGCACTCCGAAACAGAAGGTGGCGGTAATGCACCAAAAAGCAGAAGCAGAAGAAGAAGAAGAAGCAGAAGAAGAAGAAAGCTGTGTACATGGAACAGAACTTTACAGAACATTTGTCAACATTTCTGAATCTCGTTGAGTTTTTTTGAGTGGAAGGAGAAAAAAAATAGAAGTACAGTGAGTAAGTCCACCGACATAACGTGTTGCCGTCAGATTGTTACTGATTCTGCATCTTTATAGCCTGTTAATATCAAAACATGTGTGTTTAGAAACACTGAATCTCTTATAAAACTCTGCTAGCTTTGGCTTTGCAGGCTAGCAGAGTTTTATCAGAGGTTCAGTGTTTCAGCCACAAAGAAACGTGGTGAATAAGGGCCACCATGTCATGCTGCTCACACATTTATTCATACTATCTTCTCCAGAAACAATTGTTTTATTTATTAATATCTGTGTGTTTCTGTGTGTTTGTGCAGCCATGAACAAGTGTCGCTGGTGTGATATTTGTTCAAAGGAGAAACCTGGGAATGCCTTACCGGATGATTTTGAGGTTAGGATGAGGTATAGTAGATGAACAGGCAGGGAGCATCACTCCAGGAATAATTCATTCTGACACAATTATTGATACAGGTAGGGGAGAGCGGGGTAAGTTGAGCCAAACGGCAGGTTGAGCCACCCCCTGTTGCTTGGAAATGGTAAAAGAAATTGATCATGTGACCAAATATTTAGAAGATGGGCATCAATTCATGGAGTCTATGAGGGTTTGAAGCACATGGGTGAAGGATTTATTTCCAAAAAAAACCATTTTCCACTCTTGAAAGTGAGTTTAGTCTGTCATTAGTTTTATTAGAATTGTGTTCAGACCAAAAAAAGATCATGTTAAATTTGTTTTATACATCACTTGTGGTATCTATGAGCTACAACATCAGGTCAAAAATCTAACATAGAAGTCCACCATTTTAGCTTCCAGGACTAATGAAGTCATCATAGTAGTTCAGGGGTAAGTTGAGCCAGTGGTTCTACTGAGAAAGTAAAGAAGCCTGATGAGAGGATCAGAGTTTCAGTTCAGATTGTTGAAATGTGTTACTGTTTCTTTTCAAGAATACAGCTGTGAATGTTCGGAATCACTTAAAGGCAGAGATGGGAATTGTGGAGTCACCAAGTCATCTCCATGCCATGTATTTGTTCTGCTCTGTCACTGAACCAGCTGCTTCCAATGAGCAGCCAGGAAGGTGAGCTCATTAGTGAAAGCACCTGGTTCAGTAACTGAGCAGAACAAATACATGGCATGGAGATGACTTGGTGACTCCACTATTCCCATCTCTGCTTAAAGACATTCTCATGTTAAAATGGCTTTCACAAAACAGCTTTTTAGCAGATATATGCAGTAATGATATAATAGATAAAAATACACATGAATGTGAAGAAGTGACTGTTATTTAGGGAAAGAGAAGATGAGGGAGGGCTGGGGTGGTGGTAGGGATATGGCTCAACTTACCTCGCTCCTATGGTCAACTTAACCCATACATAGGGTAAGTTGACCGTAGGAGACCACTTTTTTTGGCATTCTATATTATTAAGAAAGTTATGTTTACACTCATCCTGTTGATTTGCAGGGATGCACAACATCTTCAAATATATGCAGATACACTAGTTTGAGACAATGCTATGATTGCCTTGATGTAGTGATCCAAAATATGAAAAATGGCTCATCTTACCCCACTCTCCCCTATTGAAAAGTTGAGATTAGTCTTCCTGTTGATGGTGCATTGTTAGTTATGTTGATGTGTATTAATCTCTCAATGACATAAATGTTCTTAAATTATTTAAATATAGCAACTTTTGCCTGAGGGCTACTGCCATTTATTGTGTATGCACACACCAATGGAGGAGAGCGGGTTCACAGCCTATGTGAAGCTCCAACTCATTACCAGAGAGGAGGCAGAGACGTGGTTAGAAGACTTCCAACAATCCTCTAAGGTGACCTTAAGAGTGGCTAAAACCTATCCCATCACAGAGGATGCTGTTCGGCGTAACAGCTATCGAGTAAGATTTGCAAAATTCATGCTTCTTTTCTTAAAAATGTTTGAATCGTCAGAGCTTTACTTAAACATTTCTATGTTCAAAGGTTGACTTGAGATGCAGACACAGTAGAGGGCAGACTGCTCACTCACAAAGAAACACGCACTGTCCAGCAGGGGTCTACCTTGTACTGAAAAAACAAACACACAGTCAGAAAAGGAAGTCCAGGTTGGTTATTCCATGTAACGGAAAAATATTTCATTGATAAAAGTCATGTCAAATACTCATGTTTTTCTTTTCATAATTTATAGATCTAGTGATGCCCATATTCAGGAGGGGTTACTGTTGCATGTGACCATCAAGCATCACCATAACCACCCCCTTGGGTGTTTTGAGGTCTTACAGCAGCGGGATGTGGGTGCAGGGTTCAGCAGACAGGTAAGTGAGTTTGAACCCGTACACACCGCAAACCTCAGAAGGCACAGACTACTGAGTACACCTGCTGTTCTCAGCTGAATGTAAACAGAGCTGTGTTTCAGAATATTTGTGTGTCTGCAGCAGTTATAAACACACACACACACAGACTGTTTTGTCGTTGATAAATTATCTGATCCCTCTGCTCTCTGACCTGAACTAACAGCGCTCCCTGCTGGTTGTCAAACTCAAGTTACTGACCAATAACAGACGTATGTGTTTTTATGAGATAAGACTTATTTTCGACTGTAACTGTTGCATTATATGTAGAAGATAATATTGAAAGCTCCTGTGAGGATTGTCCTCTCTGTGTTGATTCTGGCACCCCCCTGTGTACAAAGCACTCTTCGTTTTACTTTGTGTGGTCCTTTTAAAAGTGGAATTTATCACTTAACATGAGCTTCAATCTGTTTTAGTAAAACATTTTGATTAATCAGCACTCAAAATATTTTTAAATGAGTTTGTTTCAGATGAAGACTGAAATAAAAACATACCAGTAAATATGAACTAAAGCCAACATTATTCCTGATTCATCTTCACACCGAGCATCAGAATGGTGCAGCTCTATGTTTCACCTCTGTAGAAACTGTCCTGATAGTCCTCTTTCTGTTCTGAATATCTCTTTAAACTCGTAGAATCATGATGTTCGCTGTGACTCTCTGATATCCAGCCTGGTTTCACCGTCTCTTCAGTTAAAAATGCCAAAGAAGAGAAAAATAAAGACGCAGAGCGGTGAAGATGAGCAGCTCCCTCCTAAACAGAGCCGAGTGGAGCCCAGCAACCCTCCCTCCCCTCTCAACTTCCACAGTCCTGCAGACCTGTTCAGCAGCCTCCTACAGCCTCTGGACTCAGAGACCTTCTTCAGGGAGTTCTGGGAGAAGAAACCGCTCCACCTGCAGAGAAGTGACCCCCTCACAGCGTCGTACTACAAGTCTCTGTTCCAGCTGTCGGACCTACAGACTCTGTGCTCTCAGGGTCTGCAGTATTACAGAGATGTCAACGTGGTCCGCTGCATCAAGGGCCAGAAAAAAGACCTGAACCAGGAGGGGCGAGTCAAACACACAGTGCTGAATAAGAACCTGGACCAGGACAAGGCCACCATCCAGTTCCATCAGCCTCAGAGGTTCAAGGTGAGGGTCATACTAATACTGGTCTTTCTGTGAGCTGGGTGTTTAGAGTCCCAGGTACCCTCCAGGTTCTTTCAGTTCTTGAAATGCCCCTAAAGAAGACAAGGATGGAGAAACAAGGCCTCTGACCTCTGCACAGATCATCAATAACAAATCTATTATTGTTTGAAGACGCACATTCAGGGATTATGCTTCGATTCATGTATCTCATAAGGTCTAGTGTGGATAACAGGTCTTCTTTAAGTTGTGTTCAGGTGTTAAATGTTGTCACTAGAGGTTACCACTCCTCGTTTGTCTCCTTTGTGTGTGTGTGTGTGTGTGTGTGTGTGTGTGTGTGTGTGTGTGTGTGTGTGTGTGTGTGTGTGTGTGTGTGTGTGTGTGTGTGTGTGTGTGTGTGTGTCAGGACGAGTTGTGGAAGATCCAGGAGAAGTTGGAGTGTTTTTTTGGTGCATTGGTTGGCTCTAACATCTACATCACCCCTGAGGACTCTCAGGGTCTCCCAGCTCACTACGACGATGTTGAGGTACACACCTGAGCAACAGAGACTTGAATCCACTGAGCCAATCACACTCTTCCTTTAATATATGCTTCATCTCTTACCTGAGAGGTGAACTGTGAAAGGATGTTGATCATGTAGTTTGAAATTGAGGGGAAATTCTTGGAAAGCAATAACTATTCAAAGAATTTTCTCAACATTTCGATCAGCTCTTTGTGTCTGGAAGTTTTGTGAATACAGACACAGATGTTGTGTTTCCATCCAGGTGTTTATTCTTCAGCTCGAGGGACAGAAACGCTGGCGTCTCTATAACCCCACTGTTCCCCTGGCAACAGAGTACTGCGTGGAACCAGAGGACAGGATTGGCAGCCCCACACACGAGATCACCCTGAAGGTAGGGAGACTCTGTAAATTGACATAAAGTGGATAAAAAAAGTCTACACACTCCTGTTCAACTGCCAGGTTTTCATGATGTAAGAAAATGACAGCAAGATAAATATTTTCACAACTTTTTCCACCTTTAATGTGACCTATAACCTGTACAGTGCAAGTGAAAAAACAAACCGAAACCTTTAGGGGGAAAAATAAAAAATAGAAAAGTTAAAATAACCTGGTTGCATAAATATGCACACCCTCAAACTAATACTTTGTTGCAGCACCTTTGGCTTTTATCACAGCACTCAGTCTTTTTGGGTAGGAGTCTATCAGTGGCACATCTTGATGTGGAAATATTTGCCCACTCTTCTCTGCAAAAGTGCTCCAAATCTGACAGATTGTGAGGTTATCTCCTATGCACAGCCCTCTTCAGATCACCCCGCAAATGTTCGATGAGATTCAGGTCTGGGCTCTGGCTGGGCCATTCCAAAGTCTCAATCCTATTCCGGTGAAGTTATTCTTTTGTTGATTTAGATGTGTTCTTTGGGTCATTGTCGTGCTGAAAGATGAAGTTCCTCTTCATCGTCAGCTTTCTAGCAGAAGGCCGAAGGTTTTGTGCCAACACTGACTGGAGAAAGACTTAAAAGTTATCAGTAAAACTTCCTGTTTCTGTGTGTGTAACAGTGTGTTTAACTTTAGTGTATCAGGAGCTTCAGACCAGGTTAATGTTAGTGAAAACACACACTCACAGCTGTGATATCTGATAAAGAGTGTAACATCAGTGTGTGTGTGTGTGTGTTTGTCTTCAGGAAGGAGATCTCCTGTACTTCCCCAGAGGAACCATCCACCAGGCCAGCACTCCACCAGGAGTCCACCACTCCACCCACCTGACCCTCAGCACCTACCAGAGAATGTACCTGATACCTCATCTACCAAACACTCACCCTAAAATAAACCATGAAGCTTTCAAATCAGTTTTAATGTCACAGGTGAAAAGTCCAGGAGTGAGGTCTGATGTGTGTTTGAAGGAGGGTTTAACTGTTCAGTGTTGATGAGCTGCAGACATGTAGAGATTCCTGACTGACCCTGGTGCAGTCACATGGATCTAAATCTGTGGAGCAGAGCAGGTGCTGATGATGCTCCTGATAGATGTCAGAATAAAAACAGGACTTTAAAATAAAACATGAAAACATCTGATTCTACAAAACAAAATGACTCACCTGCAGTAACCTGAGCTCTGATTGGTCAGTTTCTGACTGCTATATCCTTCCTCTCACACCTGTCCTGTACCTCTGTCTCTCAGGTCATGGGGAGATCTGCTGTCAAACGTAATTCCCAGCATGCTTTGTGATCGCAGCAAGACTGATGTCAGTCTGAGAGAAGGAATGCCCCGCCAACTCCTACTGGTAAAAAGTACTTCTCAGTTATACTGTTTAATCCATCATTTGGTGAGACGTAAACCACACTGGACCTCTGGAGGTGTGCTGTGGTATCTCTGTTCTATGAGGAGGTCTGTTTATTTAAATGTATTGGTCTTTGTTTTTCATATATTTTAAATACTGCGAGAAGTGAATACTCACCCTGGGCCAGAAGACCCACCCACATTTTAACATGGTTCTCTATGGGGGTTGACTCACTTGAGGAGACAGCTGTTCGAGGAAACTCTATGAACTGCAGACTTTGGTGCTTCTGCTTCATTTTTTTGTTGTGTGTGTGCGTGTTCAGGGCAGTAGTGGGAGTGAGGACACTTGCAAGCGTCTGGCAGCTCACCTCAGGGCTCTAGCCGATGTGATGGACACAGGTAAACAGGAAGTGAAGTGCGCTCACCTGAAGAGAGACTTCATCATGAACAGACTGCCTCCATACAGCCAGGAGCTCATCCAGCCCAGTGAGAGTCATTTTCATCATCTATAATCTGACATCCTCACTGACTGTACCTCATGGTGAGCTTGTTTGTGTGCTTTTGTCACAGTGGGGAGGATCCCAGCTCTGGAGGACCTGGTGTGTTTGAGGTTTAAGGATCACATAGTGATCACAGTGGAGCCCCCCCAGCAGAGAACAGTGAGTACAGTCATTATTGTAATACACATGATTCAAACCATAGAGCTACATACGAACTGTCACATGAGACTGAAACACACTGTGTTCCTGTACTGATTAATCAAACTAGATAACATACATCTCAAGCAACACACTGTGTATTTCTGCTTTTGATTCCAACCATGAAGAACTGGTGGAGCCTTGGCTTGTGCATAAGCAAAAACAAAAGTTGGTCAACACAATGCTTGATGGCCTGGCCCTAAGTTTCTTATTCACAAGGTTAAAAAATTGAAATTAATTATATGTTATATGCATGTGTCTGTGTTTCAGGATGTGGACACAGAGCAGGTTGTTTTTGTCTTACATTCGCTGAAGAATCAGAGAGAAAATCACATGACCGGAGAATATGAGGAGCAGGAAATCTCCAGGGTGAGACACTCACACACCTCTCTGACTGGACCTGTTGCTCCCAATGTCTCACCCCTACTGTCCTTCAGCCGGTTAACTCGAAAGATCAGTATAAATCACAAGAGATCAGGTGGACAGGGGAAGCGGTGGACTATGACAAACTGATGTAGAGGTGTTATTGCATATTTTAAACTTTTTAAAAATAGAAATATATAGAACAAAACAGAAAAGTCAGGGAGGAAAGCTTTACGTGTGGTCCAGTTAGGATGATAAAGGATATTTAAGATAAATACCTTTTTCTGTGTGTGTGTCTCTGCAGGGTCTCCAGTTCCCTCTGTCCCACCTCAGGGCCCTGCAGCAGCTACAGCAGGAGGAGCAGGTCTCGGTGGCCCAGCTCCAGCTGTCCTCTCAGGAGGATAAACTCAATCTGGTTCTAGCTCTGTGGTCTGAAAGCCTACTGGAAGCACTATAACTCGAAAAATAAACCACCTTCATCAAGAAGTCAGAGCCTTGTCTCCTTGTTTAAGTGACCCTTTGTGTCTAAATGTGATCATTTCAATAAAGCTGACTCACATCCAGCTCTCACTTAGTGTGTTACTGCTCCATATCAACATGAACAGAGTCCTGACATTACTCCCAGATCCACCCATAAACCCTTAACTGCTCATTAACCTTGACCCTGTAGTAAAGAAGAAAGGCTAAATTTAACTTAAACTTCATAAAGTGAAATTAAAGTAACAAAATATCTGATAAGGTGAATCAAAACTGCCATAAACCTTTGTACTTGTATCATGCGAGAGTCTAAAAATGCATTTGAATCAAAAAGACCACAACTTGTGATTGTAAAGACGTAAATTTGGCACTTTAAATTCTCAAAGCTTTTATTCTATGGGTGTCTAACCCTCTGAGCACCAGCAGAGGGCAACCTGCGCAATACACAATACTGAAATCTCGCAAGAGGAATAAGCGGAACCATCGGGAGAGCGTAGCAGACCTCCGGACGGTTATCACAGACGGACCGTGCAGGTTCCATGACGGACAGCAGTTAACAACAACACTGAGGTAAAGAGATAATTTAACCTTACTACACAGGTAATGCAGACCGGTTTGACGGGTAAATGAGTGTGATATTAAACACAGACAGACAGCCGAGCGTTAATGTGAACGATACGAGAGAAACAGACAGCAGCTTCATCCTGCTCAGATTATTATTGAACACTGATCCTAACAAACGAACCCACTCTGTGTGTCAAATGAACAAACTCTATTTGAACTCATCACTGTCACACTGTGTGTGTATGTGTGTGTGCGCGTAAGTGTTCATATTAAAACATGTTAACATCAGGAATAATCTCAACAAGCGTGTAATGTGTTTCAACAGAGACGCCGCTTTTCCTCACAGTAATGCAGGAGAAAATGGATAGCAGATTAAACCAAGAGTGTAATTTAGTTCTGTTATTATCAGGAATACAGCTGAGATTAAGGCGTGTCTGTACAGGGGCAGACTGCAGTTTAATTCACTTTAACTCAATCAGCATGAAAGTCAGAACATCATCAATATAACACATTTAACAACCTACAACATCATGAACTTCTGCTATATTTAATAATATAATCATATCATTAGCGCCTTTTGAAATAAGACCAGTCAAGTTCGTTTTTATAGAATAAATGAAACACAATTAACAAGAAAAAGGCAGAATCTGTAATAAAAATGCTTAATATTTAACGGCTATTACATCTATGTCAATCAATCAATCAATCAAATTTTATTTATATAGCGCCAATTCACAACAGTCGTCATCCCAAAACGCTTTTCAGAGAACAAAAGCAGGTCTAGACCACGGTCATTGTTTGTTGAATTATTAAGACCCAACCTAAGATGGGATTTGGCCCATCTCATCTAACATAAGTGAAAGTGGCAAGAAAAAACTTCCTTTTAACAGGCAGAAACCTTGGGGAGGACCAGACTCATGCCAGACAGCCACCAAGCCACTGCTGGGTTGGGGAGGAATGTAGAGGGATAGGGGGAGAGAGAGAGAGAGAGAGAAGTGAAGAGAGAGCAGGGGGAGCGAAAGAGAACAAGATAGAGGAAAGGAGAGAGAGAATGAGTAAGGGAGAGGGAGGGAGGGAGAGACAGGGGACAGCAGCAACATTAAAACAACAGCAACAACAAAATGTGAGAAATGTGTTTCTCCTCAGTTAAAAAAAGACAAAAGTCCTCAGACCTGTTCTTTTTTTTATCTCTATATTTTTGCCAGTAAATCTGGTGGTAGCTTTTAGCTGTATCCACTTCATCTTGCTACATCAGTGTGGATTCAACACATTAATATTATTAAACTAGAATTACTTTTATAGTCAAAATTGTCACAAACTTTTTATCATTATTGTTGCAGAAATTGTTATTTTAGCAATCATTATTATAACATTGTTTCCTTTACACACATTATTTTTACTAGACATTATTATTATTATTATTATTACATATCATAATTATTATACACTTAGAGGGAGTGTGAGCAGAGTCCCAGACAGCAAAGGTGTGTCACTGTGTCTCCATGTCATCTTCTCTCATCTCTGTCTGTACATCCTTCACTCCTTTCCAGTCTCTCTCACCTGCGATTCGAGAGGAGATGAGTTCACAGCACAGTCTGACAAATAATGGCTTATCATAATCAAACTACGCTTGAATTATAATATAGTTTATCTACTGTTGTTTGATTATAATCCAGATTAACTGCAGCAAAATCAAAGTTAGGAAAAATTACTGTAAAATTCCAGTCCAGATTAACTACAAGAAGATTGTAACAGTAATAAATTACAGTGAGATGCTAATCATGATTAACTATAGTAAGAGAAACTCCAGATTAATAAGAGTTATATTGTTATCAAGTTCAACAACAGTCAGGTTATAATCTAGTACTATAATATAGCCTATAATAATATAATAATAGCCTCAGTAAAATTTCAGTCCATACTATCCATAGTTCAGTTATACTCTGGATTAATTTAGTAAAATCAAAATTCAGGATAACTGCAGTTAGTTTATAATCCAGGTCATGTTAAATTCATTACTCATTTTAACCACCTTTAGATTATATTGTATACAAAAATCTGTTTTAGATTAACCAAAATTTTACCATAATCCAGATTACTGAGATTGTTATCTGAAAACTAATACAGTATTATCAGATAGAGAGACATCTCAAATAGACCAGCTTGTGTCTCCAGGACATCCTGTCAGGACAGACTTTTTTCTCTTTTCTCTGTCATCCAGTTGATGTTGGACTCTCTGTCCGCCATGATGTCCCACGGTTTTAAGAGCAGTAAGCAGGATTTCACCTTTGGACCCTGGAAAGTGACAGCAGCCAGGAACCACATCATGAAGTCCAAAGACATTGAAAGGTGAGAAGGTCTAAGCTGCACTTAGACAAAGCAGTAAGCACAGTGGGGTGTGATCAGTGAATATCTAAGACCATGTTGTTTTGTCTGTGTGCGCTGCAGGTTAGCAGAGGAGATGAACATGCCCTCCCTGCCTGAGATGTTGTTTGGTGATAACGTCCTTCGAATCCACCACGCAGACGGCTACGGAATCGAGTTCAACGCCATTGATGCACTGAAGAGAGTCAACAACATGGAGGATGCTGTGAAGGTGGCGTGTGCACAGGAGTGGCAGGAGGGCAGGTAAGACACGCCCCTCACTGAGTGACAGCAGGAAGGAGTTAACTCTCGACCTGCAGCAGGAACACAGTGAGAGGGTCAAATCTGTAAAAACTAAAGCAGCTGAACAACTACTGCAAGAGATACACACACACACACACACACACACACACACACAGTGAGAGCAGCTCATAGAAATGATAAGGGGTTGTTTTCATGGTGCATAATACATGTATGTGTGGTTCCATGTCTGCAGAGCGGACTCTGAACACTCCAAAGAGGTGGTGCGGCCGTATGACTGGACCTACACCACAGACTACAGAGGCACTCTGATAGGAGAGGATCTGCAGATGGAGGTGGGTCTCTTTCATTTGCCTCAGACACATCACTCTTTTTGGTGCATACAGGGTTCATGTTTCTATGTGTCTCTCCTTCCTCTGCAGGTGGTAAAGACGTCAGAGCGGATCGACCTGGAGAAGCTGAAGGCTCGGGAACAGATTATGTTCTTTGACGAAGTTCTGCTGTTTGAAGACGAGCTACATGACCATGGAGTATCGATGATCAGTGTTAAAATTGTGAGTGATTACAAGCTGATCATCACACTAAGGATCACTGTGTTAAAACTTTAACCTTGAGAAGTAACATTAAAGCAGCAATTACAGGTCTGGTTTGATGCTGCGCAGTATGGCACATGACCATGCATGTTTTTTTTTTGCACTCTTATTGTGAAAATCTGGAAAAGGTCTCCATATAACTGACTTGTTCTTTTCTACTTTTCTGACCCCCTTCTGTTGGGGTACAAAGTGTACTGATCTGATTCTAAACCCCAATGATTGAGAAAGAGGAGGGGGAGGAGAGACTGTAGAGACATATTTTTCCTTACCTGGTCTTATTTGTTTAATAAACGTAGCTGTTTAATGTTTGAATGGAGTATAGGTTTATTATTCTTATCAGGAAATGCTGCTTTCAGCTGTTTGAATTTTTATAATCAGAAAAATTGGTTAAGGGGCACTTGTAATGCTGTTACTCTGAAAAGGCTTATCTTTTAAACTAAATGCCACAAATCAAGCTTTTCAGAAGATGTCCTGCAGCTAAAAGCTTCCCATGTGAAGCACCAGTGCAGAGTACAGTCTGCTGTGAAAAAAACAAGCATAATCAGAGTAAACCATAGTTAACTGTACCAAACTGTATTTAACTAAACTGGACTCTGGTTGGAAAACCTCAAATCCTCGCCTCATCTGTTAACACCCTGCATATTTGCTGGATGCACTCTCTTGTGTGCCCTCAAGGTACCTCAGGTATCCTCCATTATCACACACAGTGCAGCCAAGCACAAATTTAACTCCAGTCTCAGTGTGCATAAACAAAACAATGAAAAAAGCTGCTGTGTCCTCCTCCGTCCATGGCAAAATTCCGTCCCTCATATGTTTGGATAGTTACTAATGAGTGTGTGTATCTTTGCTCACAGAGGGTGATGCCCACCAGCTTCTTCCTGTTGCAGCGTTTCTTCCTGCGAGTGGACGGAGTTCTGATCAGAATCAACGATACTCGGCTCTACCATGAGGTCAGCTGCAGGCTTTGTGATCAACACTGTTACAGTTTAACCTTCATTATATTACACAATGTGGTATTTATCAGGTCATACAGTGTGATATGTGTTTTAATACAATATGGAATATTTAATATTATTCCCAGTAAAGTATGAGTAATGGCATAAGCTGACTGTGATAAATGAGGTAAGTGTGTGTGTGTGTGTTTTCAGGCTGGAAAGAGCTACATGCTGAGAGAGTTCAGCACGAGGGAGAGCAAGATCACAGAGCTGAAGGTGAGATCACATTACATCTACTATAAGCCACAGTGTACCTGCGCAGGTATGTTCAGGAACTGTGATATAAACTGAGAAAAGGGGGTATCAGGTCTATATACACCTACAGTTATGTGAACATAAAGCACCTTTCTCTCTGACACACACTGAGCATGTGTTCAAACATCAGTGAAACCTTCCTCCCCAGGTTTTCAGGTGATGTGTGTGTTTGATTGCCTGTTTACGTCATAGCCACGGTAACACACCTGACCTTCCCTCCCTTTCTCCTACAGAACGTCCCGGCGGCATTGTTCACTGATCCTAATGAGATCGCTCAGCATCTAACCCTGAAACTGACCGAGTGTGAGCGTCTGGAGCTTCCTCTCCCTCACTCAGCTGCTGATGATGAAGAGCTTCAGTGAGCTGATGAGCTGCATGATGAAGAAACACACACATACACACACCTGTGTACAGTTCAGTTTTATATGTAAACCCTCGACCGTGTGTTTCATTAGACTGTAACAACATCACCATCCCTGGCCCCAGTAACTCTTTAAACTCTTTTATTGAATAATTTCACCTGCAGATGACCTCTGTTTGACCTAAAGCTCTGTAGGATGCTACCATGTTTGTATCATTAGTTTATTAATAATATGTTTGTAAAAAATCACTGTTAATATTTGAAGTCAGTCATCAGTGTGTCTGTAAATATGTCTCCTGTATTTTCTACAGTAAGTCAAACTGCTTCAGAATCTGTGAAATGTTATTAAAACAGCCAAATAAAGTCAGTTTGTGCATAATACAGAAGCTTTGTTTATTGTCTTCAGCAGTTTTCTGTGGTTTATTTTTATTTGACTGTCAACAGTCAGCGGTATGACTGCTTTTGTCAGGAGACTCTGTTAGAGCACATAGAGGACACTATAAGTGAAGACAGTTCTGTCCACAGGGGGCGCCAAAACTGACACAAACTAGAAGTTACTCACAGGCACTTACATTTACATAAACACAGGTATATACAGTCAGTCACACATATAGTCTGACTGAAGACAAAAAAAAGGGTTGTACAAACTCGTAATTGTCCACTCTAACATTTAGTCTTCCTGTGTCCCCCACTTGGGGAGGATGCATCAAACACAAAGATGCAAGATCTTAACACCATCAAACGGCACCAGAGCAGTGGATTAAACATGTTGAATCCACTGCTCTGCTTTGATGTTGACTAAAACCACAGGAAATTACACAATTTTAACCTGGAAACGCCATAAAATCTCAACTTTTTACCTGATTAGTGCATTCAAAGTTATTTTTAACATGTTTTTTAACCTACCTTGAGGTATATTTGAGATTAATGTTTGACAGAAATGTAGAGTTCTTCAACACAGAGGCGTACTGCATTTATTTGAGGAAAAAACTGCTCTTGTTTCCTGAATTAACAAGAATTATATCTCAGAATTAACTAAAACATTTCCGGGGGAAAAAAAGTTCTTTTTTTATATAGTTAACAAAAAAATCATGTTAGAATTAAAAGATGAACTACAATTTGTAAAAGAAAACATTCTTCCCAGTTTTTCTGTGTTCAAAGATTGGTGTCTTAGCTTTAAAGGAATATTCAGAATAAAAATAATATCCCTTTTTCTCTAAAATAATGACATAAAGCAGCCTTATTTGTTTTTATGATCTGGATATAGCACACACCATGTAAAATTTTAGCACACGGGTGTCTAAATTCAGGTAAAAACTGCAAACATAGCTAGGGACAAAATAAAATGTCAAATAAAATCTTCAAAGAAGCAAGCAATATTTAGGATTGATACCACTGAAACACAGAGGAAAACCAAATGATCATAAAGATTTATTTTGAGTTTTTAAAAAAAATAATCTAACAATTCATTTCCAATTCACTGTAGCGTGTGATCAGCACAGCTGATTTGTTACACTAGATAAAACTATTGTACGACTGTGTACATTATTTTTTTTATTAAGATACAATATTTCAGCACACCTTTTCAATAGCATTTTATTCATGGTCCAGGTGATACATCTGTCCGTACAGACAGGCGGTCACCAGTCCAGCAGTCATGTCTGAGTGTTTTAAAGTCACTCTTCCATCTGCAGATTTGTCAAAATGCTTTACTTCCTCTAAAACCATTTGACTCGCCAAAACTGACGGGTACACATATCTGGTTCCAAACTTCCCCACCATCACAAAGTCCATTTTGGTCTCAGCTTCTTCTACTCCTTGTCCACAGGAGCTTGGGTCCGACCCTGCACAACGGACGAGTGCACACACCTGAAGAAGGAAGGATACAGGTGAGACATGTTGTAAAGGACAGTGTCTATATCCATAAACCCTTTAGTTCATACCTGCAGGGATAGGTCTCCATCCAAAGTGTGCAGCCCAGCAAACGCACCAAATGCATACAGCTCCTCACTGTCACCCTGTGAAATTCGCTCGTACTGCAGGTGACAGTAAAAGGAGCCATTGCACACCTTCACCCTACCCTCTTTTTCATTTAGGAGGACAAATGTGAACAGGTCACCAATCATGAATGATGTGAATGTGGCTGATGATGAAGGGACTGAAGATGCATCAGAGCAGCTCTCACTGTGACAGAATCCAGAGTCTGTAACAGGGAATGAAGTGGACTCAGACTCCAATTTCTCCTCCTCTGTGGCCACCCTCTGCCCCGACCACTCGCCCGACCGCAGAGCACCACAAAAGGTGCTCTGCTTATGGTACATTAAGATAAGACTGAGACTTATGATATAAGATTAGAATGAATCTTATCCTACAGTGATGTTGGCATGACATAGAACTGATTTATAACTCCACTTGCATACAGATATGTGAATAAGGATGTCAGCTGCATAAAAAAGACTTTTTTATCCTTCACACAATACTGTTAATAAATCAAACATGATTAAAAGGTCTTTCTTTCTTTCTTTCTTTCTTTCTTTCTTTCTTTCTTTCTTTTTATGTTTTCGCTGAGTGTCAGAAGACACAGGATCAGGATCATTCATGTAACTCAGAAAAAGCTCTGATAAAAATAATGATCATGAGGGCAAAGTTGCTTCATTTTTTATCTTCCCTTCTTCTTTTATTTTCTCCCTCTTCTTTGTATCTTTCTTTTAAACATTTCTTTCTTCTTTCTTCCTCCCTTAATCCATGTTTGAATTGTTTTTATTATCACGAGTAGTGCCTAATACTTCTGCCAAAGCAGTTTACCAAACAATTAATTACCTTTCTATCACAAAATGTTTAACTAGGATGAAGACTTCTAGTTTACAGTATTTGATAGATAAAGTTGATCATATTTTTTTTTCTTTCTGTCCTTCTTTCTTCCAGTTCTTTTCTTTCTTTGGTTATAAATCATTTTGTAGTTTGGCCAGTAAAGGTGTTGAATAATCAGCAGAAGAGACAGGATTCATGCCTTCTGATTACTAACACAAGGAGCTTGAGTAAAAATGATTATAAGTGTTTAGGCTTTTTTTTTTACCCCCCTTCCTTCCGGCCATCTGTCCTCCCTTCTTTCTTTCTTTCTTTCTTTCTTTCTTTCGTTCTTTCTTTCTTTTAGTAACTCCTGTTGTGGTTTCAGCCACAGTTTTTTTAACCCCTAACACACCTGAGAACTATGACGAGTTTTTCTTTCACCTGAGCTGACCCACAGTGCTGACATAATAATAAAGACTGTTTAAAAGCATACTCAGCACTAAACATAAAGCGTCCTCTAGTGACTGTAACAAACCACTTGAGAATAAATCAGTTTGTATTTAAGAACTTAGTTTTACAGCCTCATCAGTCTTAATATTTTACTAATCTTGTGTTTTTCTGAACTCTTCTTTTCTTCTTCTCTGCACATATGATATGGTATCCAATACAAATAATTTAAAAAGCTGTGAGGAGACAGGCTGTAAGTGTGTGCAAAGGGTTCAAGAACTTTCATCTTTCGAAAACACAACTCACGTTTATTTATATAGCACATTTATAGGACAGGCCAGAGAAAGTGCTTTACAGGAGAAAAAAACATAAAATAATAAAAGCTACAAGTATGGCAACATTAAAAGGGCAACATACAATAACAACAATAAAAGAAAAGCGTACGCGAGTAAAAGCAGGTGACAACTCAACCAAAAGCTAGGGTAAACAGGTAGGTTTTAAGGTGCATTTTGAAGGAGGTGAGGCTGGTTGCAGAACGCACAGACTGAGGCAGGGCATTCCACAGAGTGGGAGCAGTAACTGCGAATGCCTGATCCCCTCTGCTTTTAAGCTGGGTTCTCGGCACATCTAAGACCATCCGGTCAGCAGACCTCAGGGATCTCTCCTTCCAGAGTTTCTTCTGTCCTCTTCAATCACCAGCTGGATAACTGCTGTGTTAGGAGGCCACTCTTACACTTGTTAAACTATAATGAAAAGACAAAAATATTAAAATACAAAATCCTTTGATATCCACCAAAGTATGTAGAGACCAATCTTTAAGAAGTGATTACATTCTGAAAGAAAAGAACAAAGGATGCAGTCAGTGTACCTTCATGCCCTGAAACTCTTGTCCATGTTCACCGTCTTTGCTGCTGTTCTCATCTTATCTTCTTCTTTCGGCTGCTCATCATCTTCACTTTCATTATTGCGTGTGTCTATTGTATAGAGATAAATATAAGGAGATGAAAGATGAAGAAAATGCAGGTCAATAGAGCAGCACACAAAGACAACAGTTTAATGAAACAAACACATTCATCAAACTTTACTTACTTTACTTCTCCACGTTGTCTTGTTCATCCAATCTCCTTCTGCATCACGGAGTTGGACGTCATCTTTGGCCTCCTCTGGAGTCATTTCAGGCGTTTGACTCTTTGAAGTTACCTGAAACAAACATGAATTTCAGCCCTTCAGTTAAAATTGTCTATTTTTTTTCTTAAAAGCCGAACCTTTTAAGTATTTATAGAGTTATTCACCTTCAAATTCCCAGAAACACACAGTACATCCGTCATTCATCTTTCCTTCGTCTCTCTCTTCATGGGCCTGTCTCTCGTATGTTTGGTCCTCCTGCGTCTTCTGTCTCGTGCTCGGCTCTTCTGGGGGTTTCTTCTCAGTTGAGGTCCTTTACCTAAAAAAAAACAAACAGAAAATGGGTCCTACACTGACTTTGTTCCATGTTAACAATTACTCTGGAGGAACCAAACTCACCTTTAGACTCACTTACCCACTAAGTGAATAAATTAAGTAAAGAGGTCACGCGAAAGGACATGACACAACACAACACAACACAAACACACACACACACACACACACACACACACACACACACACACGACACAACACACAGAAGAAAACAACACATCACAATACGAGGTAACAGAGCACATAACAACACAACACATTAAAAAACAAGACATCACAACATAAACACATGCATGACAACACAACCCATGAAACAAAAAAACACATCACGACACTATACTAAAACTGCGCCACTACACAAAACATCCCAACACATAACATCAAAATAAATAACCACACAACACAACCAAGGACTTTTGAAGTTCTGCCCAATAAGTCCAAGGTGAAGTCGTTTTTTCTGCCTTTAATTGAAACTTTGTTTTTTTAGGAGCATGTGAGAGGAGGAGCTGGAGCGGAGCGAGGGATTCGTTGTCGTTGACTAAAATGCAGAGCAGGATGCTGGAGGCTTTCATTGGAGGAGGAGAGGAGATGCTGCTGAGGAGCTGAAGGCTAACTAAGACCGAATTATCAAACAACCTTATTTGTATTTTTAGAAGAGAAAACTTAACTTACTTTAACTTATCATAACTAAAACTTAACTTACTCTAACTTATCATAACTAAAACTTAACTTACTCTAACTTATCTTAACTAAAACTTAACTTGCTCTAACTTAACTTATAACTAAAAAACTTAACTTAAATTAACTTAACTTATCTTAACTAAACAACTTATTCTAACTTAACTACGGCACAACGTGACCCCCAAAAGGACTCTTGCTTGGACGGTTGTTTTTCATCCGTCCAGCAGGCCTCTTGTGAGTCACGTTACACCACTGGAACCTGATCTTCATGAGGCGCTCAAGATTCTTCTTCCACTTGGGCTCAGGACTGGTGGAGATGAGCTCGGTGGATGAAGGGAGCGCAGGTTCCTCCTGAGTGGTCCTCAGTGGGGCCATCCACCGTCTCCTCTGTCTGGAGAGCTCCTCTGGGTCCTCAGGCTCCAAGCCTGGCCACTGCGCCTCCTCTGACATCAGAGGGGGGAGGCAGGGGGAGGGGCTGCGGGTAGGTCCCGGTGACCTGGCTGGAGAAGAGCACAGAGAGGAGCTTGGGGGAGGAGAACGTGGAGGGCCGTCCATCGGTGGGACCTTCCTCAGTAACAGCCAAGGAGTGGACTCATCCTGGTTCTGGACGAGGCTGTACTGCTCCACTCGGACCTGAGACAGAAAAAACGACGAATAATAAAATCTGAAGTCTGCAGAAATGATTTTTCCAGGGGAAGGTTTCACATCTTTGAAATAAATTAATGAATATAATTCAGTTAAAGAAAATTAAAATTAAAAAAGACAAATTCATAAACACATTTCTGTAATTAAAATCATTCATGCAAACACAGTACATTAAAATGGTCTTTGGTTCCCAAACTGGAAATGTCCCCTTGCGGGACAAATAAAGGAGTATTTTCTCTATCTTACCTGACTTCACTGGTTTTTGACTTAAGACTCCCCGTCAAAAACTCTTCAAATTATTTTGGCTTGTTATTCCTAAAACAAACATAAAGACAGTTAATGATCTCTGTTTGTGGAGAATTCAGCTTATTTAATTATAATCTATGTTTAACAATTTTTTCTCACCATCTTCTCGTAGAAGAGAAGATATGCTGACTCCTCTGATCTTTGGCATACATCCTCTCTTGTCATATAGGTGACCATGGAGTCATTATAATTCAGCCAAAGATCACTGGCAGTCTGAGGATCCACATCAGGGTGCAGCCCGCTGCTGATGTAGTGTCCTAACAGGAGAGGAAGAAGAGTTTGCATCAAATGTTGGATAAACCCAGCTGAACAGAATTATAGCCATAAACATGTGAGTCTTTCGTGATGTTTGTTGTTTGTTTTATGTGTTGATGTAAAGACGGTCATGGAATAAAAATTTTCCGTTACTGTGAGCAAACATTTGATCAAAACTCCAAGAAGTCAGGGTGAAATAGTCAAAATGCACTGCAGGAAAACTTGATTAATAACAGCAGCCTACATTTGTACATTATAGTGACAATTAGGTATTATTGCAGTCAGCCACAGGGGGCAGTAGTGGACATGAGCGCAGAGCAGGTTTGACTAAAGAACCAGAGTAGAGTTAATTTCACAACTTGGCTTAATGTCAAAAAGTTATTCTCTTGTAAAACTGATCACACAGATTTTCTCAGATGTCTCAGTATTTTCTCTGAACATTCAAGGTAACGCTGCATGATGGCTTAAAGACAAATCTGGAGAGTGAGCCCATGTCTGCAGACACAGCAGACTCTGGGATCTCAGCTGTCAAAGAGTAAATCAAGTGATCTCACCATCAAAAGTTGTTCTGCTTTGTGTCATTTCATAAACTTTAACAGTTAGTAGGCTCTCTGAATTTTTAATACAATGAATTGCAAAGTCTAGAACAGTGTTGTACAGTAAGTACGTAGCATTACTTAAATATAGTACTTGAGTATAATTTTGAAGTGTCTGTACTTTACTGTAGTTTTTTTTGTGCCCGCGACTTTCACTTTTATTTGGCTGCATTTCTAAAAATAAAAGTATACTTCTAATTCTAATTCTGGTGCTTTAGCTTACATGTTAAATTATGTGATTATAAATCCTAAAAATTGGTTTATAACAAGTTTCTTCAAACATTCTTAGGAGTTCAGCAGTTCTTTGAAAGTAAAATGATGGAAAATGTTACCAAGATCCAAGAGCAGGCTGCCCTTCTGCTGAATGAGACCGATCCAGTTACTTCATAATGTTTTATCTTTCTTACAAAGACATGGTTTGAAGGCTAATGTTAATTTGATATTCCTGAGACTTTAAAGACTCTAGTCTTTGATTGGCATTTATCTATCTGTTATGTATCTGAGGACCTTACAGAAGACTGCACTGGCTGATCTGACCCTCACTGGGTGAATCTTTTACCTGCGTTTCCTTCACTGCCTAAATGACTGATGACACTAACCAGACTGTACCAGCTCGTAGCCTGAGAGCAAACACACAGAACAACTGTTAGAAACAAGCACACACACACACACACACACACACACACACACACACACACACACACACACACACACACACACACACACACACACACACACACACACACACACACTTCTACACTCACACTTTGGTGCATAAGTGTCTTACCTGGCTAGATGTCACAATCAGTTCCCTGGTGAGGTCCACGGGGTCGTGACGTTTCACAAGCTCGTAGGACTCAGTGAATTGGAACCTCTTCATTTGGAGCACCAAGAAACTGTGGAGAGCAGCAGAGAGGGAATGACCACAGGATTATTAAACTGAGGGAATTTCTGTACATGAAAATACTGAGGATAAATTAACAGAAAATAATCTGTGCATGTGTCTGCAACAGAGGGAAACAGTGAGTCTGGATGGATGTAACATCACCCACTTTGGCAGGGTTGTGAAGGTGGAGCACTGTGCTGAAGTTGTGCCTCCACACTCGCAGTTGAACTCCAAGTCTGTGTCCTGCAGAGAAAACATGCTGTCAGATACTGTGTACATTAAACATGGAAAAACAACAACCAAAAATAACCGCAGAGTGAAACATTTGAGTGGCTTCATGTCAGACAATGTGGATGTTGATTAAAGAAGTCCAGCTTCTTTACCTTCTCATATTCCTGCAGCATCTGCTGCACCGAACCCCCAGGAATCAGGTCCAGAGAGAGATTCAGGAATTCTTCCTCTCTCACTGAGGCGGAGCCACATCTGCACGTTAAAAGGACAATACATATGATTATATACTGTAGTTATACAAGTTGTGAAAAGAAAATGTAAAGATAAAAGAAAAGATTACTGTAGATTTGACCTGACTTGATAAAAATGAGCAAAAAATTAAACACATTAGTCAAACTGGAGGTAAATTTGTCCTGCAACCATCTGTATGTTTTTACCTCTTGCATTTTCTGCAGTTCTGCATCCTGAACAGCAGGTTACTTTCTACAGGACATCTGTAGGACCTCCCCAGGATAGCGGCAACTTGCCTCAGTGGCGCAGCCAGGTCCCTAATCTGACCCAGAACTGCAGTCAGGAACTCATGGGCATCCTGAGCAAACAGAAACACAGGTTTGATTGGATAAGCAGACAAGGAGCAGTTAGTGAAACTTTAAAGAAAATGAGCTGACTTACTTTCTGATGGTGGTCCGCAAACTCTGGGGCCTGGATAGAGAGAAGCCACTTAAATTTACCCAGAGCACTAAGTTTTAGGTGAGTGTCACCACCGTCACGGAGACGAACAATGTCCATGAAATAACTGCAGAGGAACAGAGAGGAGCTTGTTTTAGTTTGATTTAAAGATTTGCAGATAAACTGAAGCCTCATGTCTCAGCAACAAAAAGTTCCTGACATCCTGAAATGAACTTATCCTTGGCAAAAAATCGGTCATGAAATAGTTTAACATGGATATTATCTCTTCTTTTAATGGGTCAAATCTTGTAAGCAGATTTACTGTTCATTTATATTAAATGTTGAATCATTTTTAGACTTTAAAAAAAATCTCTTTTTATAGTACAGGACAAAAAATAAGTTCAAAGCCAAAAACTGACATAAAATTATACATAAATATTGTTTTCAACTTATAATGAATCACATTTATTTCAGCAGCTTCAACTTTGTTTATAAATATCAAATGATAAACAATTTCCAGAATTGTAACCCTATGCCAGTCTACATACACAATGCATTGAAAAAAAAATATTGTTATCCAACATTTTACACTATGAGCTAACATAAAAAAAAAAAAACAATCAAACTCAGATTGGGACATTTTTGTGATCACCAGTTAAAATGATTTGGGGTATGTTAGTTTTTTTTAATATGTCAGATTTAAAAACCCATTTAATTACAATACTTCATTTGAATTATCTGACATTGACATATTTCACAAGTTTTTATTATTTATTATTTTTATCTTTTCCTCAGTTTCAGTCCTGTATATTAATACCTATTATTAATAATTAATCATTAAATGCTAGTTCATTAACACAATAAACCAGATTTTTCATTTTAAAAAAAGACAAAAGCTTAATACCAAAAAAAGCTTTGGGTCAATTTTGAATAGCAATATTAATTTTGATGTATTATTCCTTTTCTTTCTTGTATTTCAGTTTTTAGTTTACGTCAAAAGTTTGACTCGTAGCTTCAACAACACGTTCTGTTGTTGAAGCTGTTTGAGAGCATGTAAAGATCACAGTTGAATTTTAATCCAAGCCACGATCTTTTCTGAACCAAACCAGATAAGGTTGGTGTACAAAACTAACAAATCAGAGACCATTTCTCAACGTAAACCTTGTACTTGGCATGTTACGTTTGAAATTATTCAAGGATAGTTCAGGTGTTTGAAGGCGATATATAATAATCTAAAACAAAAATAAGAATATACATTTTTGACTCAAAGTGGTGTAAGTTGCTTCTTGTGACCCATCTGCAGTGCATAGCTTTGCTTTAACGTAGGAACTCCCGCAGACAGCTATGCTGGCTGTTATCTGCGGTGTGTACCACTCTTACTCATGCAGTCTGGCATAAAACAACCTAACCCTCTACTTTAGTCATCTTTTACACTTATTTTAACTGTGTGTGTGTGTGTGTGTGTGTGTGTGTGTGTGTGTGTGTGTGTGTGTGTGTGTGTGTGTGTGTTTACAGATACTACACCTCATCAGCTGGGCCTCTGGGATCAGACTCCAGACCTCCTCCTGGCTCCTGATGTCCCTCACAAACCGTGTGAGCGTGAGCAAGCTCTGGAGGCTGGAGTTCATGTAGCAGATCTGGGCTGGGTTTGGAAATCTGACACACAAACACAACAAATGGAATCATATCTTAATATCACAGCTCCAGACACAAACTGAGGATTGTTTTTATCAAAATGTAGCTGCATGGATTTAAGTGATGAATCCAGAAAATCACGTGTACTCACCCAAGGTTGATCTGCTGATAGGCGAGACTCAGTTCGCTCTGTGGCACGCTGCTCTGAGAAACCTCGTCAGTGCTGCAGTGAGACAAAAACAAACTGTAAATAACAATGAACAGCAAAGAGCTACAAGTGTGTGGAGCTAGTAATCTACTTGTACTGAATCATATTTTACAGTTGACCTCATCCATGGAAAAGAAGGTTATTTTAGCAAAAATCAGTATTGATTTAGTATTGAATCAATACTGATTGATTGATACACAACACTCAGAGTTTTTAATTCACATTACCAGCACTGCCAATAATCCTTATTGACTTTCAATGCCAATCAAAACATGTCCCAAGTAAGAACATAAAGTTAAAAAGGGGATGAAAGCGATAACCTCAAGCTAACTCAAACCATAACTTTCTTTATTGAGATATAAACCTCTACATTAAATCTGGTACAGAAAGTGTGTATTAAACTGCTCTTTTCATTTAAATTTAAAGTCAAAAAATCAAGTTGGCTATTCTACAGCATTACAGCGCTTCTTGATATATAAATAAATGATTCATAGACTGAGGAACAGACTGTGAGTGTGTTTCAAGGGGAAAAAATAATGTGTCAGGACATATTTAGCAGATATACTGATTTTCATGTACAAGTGACTTCATGTTAAAGCTACTGTGGGGAATTTTCAACTGATTATAACTGACTGATATTGATAGGGATGCCTCTGTGTGGCCTTAAAAAGCAAATCAGACCACCTTTGAAGGGTTTGTTCATCTCTACAAAGTTATTTGTGAGGTTAGAAACTGTTGTCAGGGGTGTAGGTGTCAGATGATTTAGCTAAATTGAAGCTTTTTAAAAAGGCTTTTTCAAAAATATCTCAGGTGAAGATGACCAATGACTTTTAAAATTGAGCAGGGAGATTTTTTGTTTGAAAACAAGACTTAACACAATTTGAAAGAGAGGTAATGAAAGAAGCATAAGAAGCAACACAAACCAAAAATTCCTCACGGGAGCTTTAAGAAAGAATTGATAACACCTGATTTGTGTCACGTGATGATTTAACTCATCAGGTGACACCAAAATTGATCCATCCTGTGAACAAAATGAGTTTGTTACCTTCTCTGGAGTTCCTGAGGAGGCTTTCGCTGATCTTTAGGATCAGAGAGAGGAGACACACGCTTTTCTCTCTAATGGAGTAAAAATAATTTTGATTTGTCAGTAACAGAATCAACTGAAAGATAAACCAAAACTAATGCTTATAACAACACTGAAGTCCAGACTGGTATTCCTATGCTTTACTTACTCTAGAGCACTTCAGAAACCAAGAACAACCCCATTTCTTCTCCTTTGGTTTCTTGATTTTCTCCCCAGGTGGGGGTGCTGTGGAGCCAGCCAGACCGTTGGAGGTGACATCTCTGCAGACACAAGCACACACCATTACCGTGTGGTGACATTTGTTTTAACAACCTGTAGTGATGTTTTTAAAGGAGTCTGCAGTGACTAGTCAACATTTATCAGAAGCTTTTGTGGCTGCACAAATAAACAGCTGATTGTTGGAGCAGTTTACTCACCTCCGCTGATGGCTGATGAGACTTCTGACTTTTCTCTGTGGAGTAACAACAAATATAAAAATGAAAACCCACTGTGTCAAATATTTTTAGTGTCTGATTTTAAATGTCACACTTATAAAATGATCTTATTTTAACAGCTCTGAAACATACCAGAGGTTGACCAAACAGCCTGTGCAGCCAAAAGTTCTTTGGGCAGCAGGTTTCTGCGTTAGAAGCCTCTGACGCAGTGTTACTGGTCAACACAGAAACACAGGTTGGTTATTTTAATGAACAAAACAAATCCATAAACAGAAATATCTGCAGAGACACATGACAGTCACACAGACTCAAACCATGGTGATATTCAGACGATAAAATACAATAAACACGCACTGGATGGTCTTTGAGGAAGTATCAGAGTCAAACTGAAAAAGTGTCTTTATGTATCAAAAATAATACAGCACACTCACAGTGATTTAAAATACCTGAAGGTTATTCCCTGTTTCTGTGTTGTTGTTATTGATAAATGAACCCCCTCTTTGTTCACACTTATTCATTAAAAACCTAAGTGCTGAATCTCTTGAAGTTGACACAGCGTTTTTAAAACAAAGCTTTTTTAATGCATATTATCCGGGAAAGGCCTCATACAAAACATGTTTTTCCTTCAATTTCAAACACAGTAAATTAAAATGGTCTTTGTTTCCCTAACTGGGAATTTCCCCTTGTGGGACTAATAAAGGAGTATCTTATCTATCATACCTGACTTTACTAGTTTTTGACTAGAGACTCCCAGTAAGAGCAAACAATGATAAAACTTCTTTATTTCGTTTAGTGTTTTTACATATTTCCTTTGTCTGACTGGTTAATTGATCAGTAAATGTCTTATGTGAAGCCTTTGAATTGTCTTATTCAGCTAAAATAACCACTGAAATGTATAACATAAATACATGTGTCTTGTGACAAAAAGAGTATGAAACACAGTGTAAGTCCAAAATCAAATCCTAAATTTGCGAATCTTTAGATTTTTGCTGGCACTGTCACAGATTTAACTCTGAACTGTCTCAGATTATAATCTGCTGGGAGGTCTCTGTCATGTTTCAAATGTTACACTCTGCATATTAAATGCAAAAGAGGTAAAAGATTGTTTTAGAGACACATTGTTAAACTACTGTTTAATATCACACCCCTATAAATTTGAGTTTGCATTTTACTGTCATCATAAGTTAAACGTGTTTCTTACCTCATGTTGAAGCTCAACCAGGCAATTCTCTGAGCTTCTTCACTTCCAGGAGTGGGTTGACTCCTCTGTGCAGATTTAAAGGAGAAATAAGAAAGCATTGGTTAGTATAAAAGAAACTGTCAAATAAGTTTCAGACTGACGGTTTTAAATAGCCCAGAAGACATAAAAAATCTCTTATAGAGATTTCTCACAATAACATGAGCTTTTCTGCTCTTAAGCACGAAGAGTCTTTGACATGGTGGGCAGGACTTTCATGTGATGTCAATGCATCACTTTTAAGATAACCATCCCAACGTCTCGACTTTAACTCGCTGTTGTGGCCACATTTTTTGGAGTACAGACATGAAAAACAGATCATTGTATTCATGAAGGGCGGAGGATTCGTTTTCATTCTGGGATTTAAAGAAATCGTGCAATGTGAAGAAGTCCAGAGGCAGCTTCTCATTCAAACAGTGGGTCAGTTAATGCCTTTGATCTCACAGCTGTTTAGGATAAAATCATTAACGAGACACACACACACACACACACAGTCTGACAATGTGTGTGTGTGTGTGTGTGTGTGTGTGTCTGTGTCTAAAAGACCTGCATGTACACACAGTTAATATGTGTCTGCATCACCACCTATCTCCACCCACAAACTTTGAGCAGAAACTATTCTGGGCTTCAAAAATTCAGCTCATTGAGGACATTATGGGGTGTACTCAGTATTTTATTCATTTAACTTTTCCCCACTTTAAAATTATTCTCATTATTCATGCATTATTAAATTCGTCAGACAAATCCACACTCATTCAAACTGATTCAAACCTTTCTGATACTTCAAACCTGTTTAACACTTTAGGACTTTTAATTATTTAAAAATTTTTCCCACTTCAAAATCATTCTCATTATTTATGTATGTTTTAATTCTTCAAACAAAATCCCAGTTCTACCACTACAATTACTACTTCTATCACTTTAACTTGTATCTTCACCTCTACCTACACTGCTCATGCTTCTCTTAATATTTTTTTTACTTCTACTCTTACTTCTACCACGAGCTCTACTGCTTTGACTTCTACTTCTTCTATTCTAAAACTACTTCTACTGCTTACATGACTACTTATATCACTAGTGCAACTACCTATTATCATACTTCTTCTAGTACTTCAACTTAAACTTATGCCACTTCTTACTTTTCTGTGTTTTAAGGTAATTTTCTTCCTTATCCAATTTTTTTTTTTTTTTGCAATTTCAGACAGTTTTTCTAGCCTTATTCAGCATGAATGCAATTTTAATTTATGAAGCACATTCATACTATATGTACTTTAGCGATTTTCACTTTCATCTAACTTCTACTTATCTTTCTCCAGCTCTTTAACCAAATTTAACATTTAAACCTTCCTCCATTTTTTTTTAGCAGTTTAGCATTGCTTTTTCAGCTTTCAGCACTCAGCATTTCCACGCATTTTCCGCAAGGAAATGCAATTTTTCTAGTTTTGATAATGCCTGTCACATTAAAGTCATAAACACTGTAAATATCCATGCACACATTTAATCCTTGTCGATGCATCGCTTAACCATCACGAAAGTCTCGACAGTAACACAAGTTTGTATGCTAATATTGTCATGAAATCTTACCGTCTCCATCTCGTAGATGTTGTCCTCTTTGTTCAGGTGTTGGTTAGAGGTGTTTGTCGGAGTCCTTTGTCGTCTGGTGAGGATTTATTTTCGATGAAGCCGTCAAAAGTTGTAAATTCGTGAGCCACTTAAGTTTTTCGTGCTGTTCTCTTCAGATTTGATCTTCAGAAACGACCGCTCTCTTTGGATCTTAATGATTTAAAGTTTTTACATGGTTACAGATTACCATGGAGATTTAAAATGCCGTTTACTTTAAAAACCTTCCTTATTTCGGTACAAAACGACAACTTTTTGAAAACTATAGCTTAGTAGGCCTATGTCTCATAGGTAACCCAACAAAAACTGGAAACTTTGTGTTTCATTATAATTTCCACTGAAGCCTTTACTTCAATTAAATTCAGTCGATTTCCTTTAGAAGGCTACTAAAATAGTCTATATATACTCCTATCATATCAATATTTTAGAGCAGTAACTACATCTGTAAAGCACTTTGTCTCCCTGTTTAAAAAAAAAAAAACCCAAAGTTGATCATTGTTATTTGACAAAGCCCATTATAAGGCATCAAAAAGGCCATAAAGATATCGAATTTTGAACTTTAAAAAATAAAAATATTACATCAGCTCTGAGCCAAAATACCTTTTCACTTGAGTAAAAAGAAGCATATTTTCATGTGATGGTACTTTATACTAATTCACACATAGAGTGAAGTAATTAGATGCTTTTATTAACTTGAAAAATCTTTCTAAATCGGCATAAATAATAGTGCTATGGAACACAGAACAATTACTGTTCCTATTCATATAGATGGGACAGATGGGCAATAAAGTTCCTGCTATGTCGGTTAAATCACAGGCTCTTATGTTCACAGCAACTTTTATTGCCATGTTTTAATTTAATTTTATTTTCACAGCTCAAAGGTAAGTGACTTGCAAACTAAACTCAGTCTTAATCAAACATTGATGTTCAGCTGGCCAATAAGTTTAGACCATGGTACATTATATGATTATGCACTATTATCCTGTATTGGTTACGTTAGTTATGCATCACAGTGCTTCAATCGATGTAAAATGCGATGGCTGACAGTAGTGTTACGGATTTAAGCGCTTTAAAAAAATCACAAACTTCTCCAGGACCTCGAGTAGCAGTACTCCGGGAAACAGCCCCTCTGTTCGGTCAAGGAGGGGCACTTCCCACCAAAAACGGAGACGAGCAAATGCGTCAATACAATTTTTTTTTATAATAGTCGGCAAATTCAATTAAACTGTTGATTTTTCCACACTGAGCTGAACACCGCTGTTCAAAATGCTATTTTAATAAAGTTTTTACCCTACAAAAAGTAATTCGCAGTAATATGGCGCCCACTCAGCGCCTTTCTTCTCACACAATGGACCAATCAGCTCTCTCGACTCCTCACAGGTGACCAATCAGCGCTCGTCCCTCCTCACGGCGGACCAATCAGAACGCGCGCATCAGGCTGACAACAGTTCAACATGGAGAGCACGGTGGAGCGGCTGGAGGCGATGGTGAGCGAACTGTTCAACTCTTTTCTTCGTGTTTTCGTCGCTCTGAAATGGAATCTGATCACTTTTATAAATTACTGAGACATTCAGCAACTCATTTATTATCATTCAGTTCAACAAACGAGCTGCCTGTCACGGAGAGTGGGCAGGTGGTAAAAAACATATAGTGTACAGAGGGCCCTGCTAACGATGCAGCTCACTATCAGTTGTGACACCGTGTGATAGTACAACTATGAGACACATAAACACAGAGTTATAATGCATTTTATCGTTATTCAGTTCATATAGCACTGAGTTAAACATACAGTATTACAACACATGGTGTTATAATAGCATATTATTACAAACACAGTGTGCTTGTGTGTATTATTCAGCATAGAAAAGAGGAAATAACACCCCACACCCCATGAGTTAAAGCAGAAGCATTAAGTTTGAAATGTAGATCCTGTTTTTGACATTTATTGCAGGTTTTAGATAAGCGATAGAACATAAAGTTTTGCTACTGTGTTGATCCTGAAGCAGTAAAACGGGCTGTAATACTCGTTCCCTGAAAGTTGTTTTATTCCCTTACAGGTTTAGATGGTTGTTTTATTTCAGCTGTCTGACAGAGGCTCTATAAGAGATAAGGGATGGTCTTGTGTTGTTGATTATTTTGATTTTGCTGTTTTGTTTCGGTGTTGTTGTGAGGCAGAATTTAAGTGTGTCTCAGGGTTCCCTGATCTGTGTTGTTGTTGTTATTGTTCAGTGACAGATGTGTCTCTGTCTCCCTCAGCTGTTGGCAGCTGCTCTGACTTCTTTGCACTACTGTATGAGACAGCGAGCAGTGCAATAGTATTGTCAAAGCATCTGACAGCAGCACACACACACAGACGCCTCCTATAGCCGTTGTACTGAGTCTAACTGCACTCCTTTTTATGAAATGTGTTTTCATTTCTGTATTTACCTAAAACAAACTGTAAACATAGACCTAATACAACAGAGCATTGAGAAATGCATGTGCGAGGGGTTGACAGTGATACAAGAACACGGGAAAAAAAATAAACGTGAATAGAAAAATATTGCACAGTCCCAGGGGACTTCTATCTGAAATTATTAAGAAAGAAAAAATATACAAGGTATTTATTGATATCATTATTTAACTACACTATTCCATCCATCCTTACTTCCATCATACATCATATATTAGACAGTACCCAGTGGCTAACATAGATTTGAAATGCTACTACTTTTAAAGGCCTTTAAGGAGACCAGCTTTTTCAGATCCTAAATCTCCTACAGCAAATTCAAGGCTGGAGGAGCAGCATACCTTCATCTCTCTTTACTCCATGTCAAGACACGCTTAGGGACAAACAATAAGTCATGTGACTGGGTCACAGAGCAAAAACTTTCGCTGGGACTATTTTTCATATTGATAAAATGACATAAATAAGAGGCAAGAGATGAAATGTGATTTTGTCCTTGAGTTGATATTCTTCTGTCACATGATTTTATAAATTTTGGATATCCAACTCAATCCCATCAAGTCTTCTCCACACCTGTTGTAAATTATGTGACTGTAACAACCAGGTAATACCAGGTACCTGATCCACAGCCAAGGATGAGGAGGAGGGTCAATCCTCAGCGTTTAAATGTGTGTTTGTGTTTTCAGTTTTTAAAGTCAGAGGCAGACCTGGAGTACATTGAGAAGCGTCTGAAGCTGGACTTCATCAATAGACCAGCAGAGGGCACCTCTACTGCAGAGGTAGAATACTTGTTACTCAAATCTGTTCACACAGATAGACTTTCTTTTACTGACACACTTACAGATACACTGAGACACAGTTGAACCATCACAAAGTGATGATTGACTGAACACTGAACACTTCCTGTGATCACCTGAGCCAGAATATTCCAGAATAAACCTTCAGAAGCTGACCTGAATATAAAAAATTAAAAACACCCTAAAACCTGGTCAGATCATGACAAATAAAGACATAAATCAGCAACAGTCATGTGCTATAGTCTTGTCTGTGTGGCTGTTCCTGCAGGAGAACCCTGCTGTGATGCTGGAGAACCTGAAAACCATCAGATCCAAACACTCTGAGCTCTGCACACAGTTAAAGGAGATCTCTGCTGCTCACGGCGAGTCTATGAACAACCTCAGATCCGGTCTAAGCTCAGTGAACAGCATCATCCAGAACCTGCAGCAGAACCAGGATCTACAGGTACACAAACACTGCTACATGACTACAAAACACGAAGAAAAAATCACTTCCTGTGGTGCATCAGGAATGTTTTAGAAGTAAAGAGACAGAGACAACATGATGTGATTGTAACTTGCTGCAGGTGGAACCGCTAACACAGGAACAGAAGGAGGCAGCAGAACTCCTGGAATCATTTCTAACAGAGAACAAATCAAAGGTGAGGGTACATAAATCACAAGAGAGAGTACATGAATCACAGGTGTGAGTGCATTAATCACAGGTGAGAGTGCGTTAATCATCAGTTAGTGTGTGTTTCTCACAGGTGAGAGGGCATACTTATCGATGTCTGTAGGGTCTGTAAGAGTTTACAGCAGCACAGATACTTCTATCTCCATCATCAATACCACCACTCCTGTCTGCTCTGACATCACACCTTCTCAGCTGTGACATCAGACATGTGGGGCTTATGGGAAATGGTGCTTTTTGACCATGAATGTGATCAGTTGAAAATCTGAGGCTGCAGCTAAACGTGATTCTCCGATGAACATTTTGATGTTTTCTTTCAGATTTCTCCTCCAGCGTCTGAAACACAGCAAACACAGCGTGAGTCTGATTTCTAAACCTCTGAAATAGTCTTTTTTAAATCTCTCATCTTTACAAATTTTGTAAAACTTACAACCTCGGTTCCAAAAGAGTTGGAACAGTAAAATACTGATTTCTTCAACAGCCAGAAAGGCTGAGTCTGTCAGAGTAAAAGATCTGAAGAGGTTCATCTCTTGCAGGCATCACTGCACCAAAAATAGACATGACTCTGTAGTGGAAGTCCTGCATGGGCTCAATGCCCCTTAACAAAATGTCTATGAACTCTGCCTGCATCCACAAAACAGGTTGAGGCTGTACAATGCAAAGAGAAAACCTTACTTAACATGATCCTGAATCGTTCTCTTTGATTTCTGTTCTGTGTGCAGCAGCTCCCTCGGGCTGCAGACGATGAAGATGAAGGTGAAATGAAACTGGAAGTTTGGAAGAGCCCATCACTTGATGCAAAATGAGGGGAAGGCTGCAGTGCATGTCTGTCTGCTGGGGGATCCTACTGATCATCATCACCTGGAGTTTGAAGAGAGAGGGGTGGGTCACTGAGACTGCAGGTAGCAGTCAGACCCCCTCCTGTTTCATTAACTCAACGCAGAATCAAACACCATCACACCACCAAACTGTCAGTTTGTGTGACCTCCTCTCCTTTCCTTCCTTTTCCCCTTGAGGATTGATAACCCCAGCAGATATGCAGTGAAGTGACCTTTGTCTGTTCATGTTATTACTGTAAATACAACTGAAGTCAAGTGTCTGATGAATGTTTCCCTTAAGCTGATAGTACCTTCTGTCTTTTTCTTCTTGAACTCATATTTAATATTTCTATGATAACTCATCATTTTAATATTTATGACAAATAACATCATATATGTCATTTTACTTCATGTCTGCTGACATTCAGAAAGCTTGGTTTGTAAGGAGTGACAAAACAACACGTGGAGATGAGCTTTATAAATATATAGAAGATTGTGTTCTTATAAATAAAATGGACAGAGGGAACAGCTCCTTTAAATTTTTTATTTTTATGCAAACAGCATGTTGTGAAATAAAACTTTGGTCACAGTTTTGTTTGTCCTCTTTTTATGAAAAATTCAGAATCATAACGTTTGAAAACTTGACTCAAAAATGAAGTTTTGCACAAAACAGATAATTATAACAAACATTAGTGAACTTTAGTGAATCAAACATGAAAAAGTTTGACATGTTGGATCATGTGAGAACATCTGGCTCCCTCAGTCCGCCTGTGTTGACAAAAACAGAAGAACAGCTCAGACATTCACCCAGAAAAATTTAAACCACTAAAATCCAGTGTAACAGAGACACCTGTATGTTAGATGTTTTACTCTAATTTATGGTAAATCCCTGAAAACAACCACCCCAACTGAATTTATTTTTGTCTTTATGACAGTCTGACAGTCCCCCTAAGTCTGCATTTAGTAAGAACAAGATGATGATCTGTTTGTTGAACACAGACATACAGTAAACAATTAAATAATCAAAGAGGAAGGACATAAAGAAGCTGCCCTGTTATACAAGAGGATTTATATCACCTGTTCTTTAACTAACAGATGATCACACAAGTAAGCTCTGGAAATGAAAACTTATATATCCCCTTTGAAGCTCTAATATTAAGTTTAATCAGTCAATAAAAAATGTGTTTTGAACTCAGTATCACAGTATGCTTAATAATCATTGAAAAATTACAGGGTTCAGTGTTTTTGAAGCATGGTTGTTTTGAGGTACAGGTCAATAGTAGGTATATTATAATGTATAATCTGATATCCACACTCCTCTCCAATCAAAGCGTCTGCAAATGGTTTAAATAAGAAAAACCGAAAGGCAAAATACAGATCAATAAATACTGAAATGTATAGAGCAGTTATCAAAGAAAAGGTGTCAGTAGGACACTGAACAACAGAGAAACCGGAGAGATCTCTTCCTAAAACCATCACTATACAGCAGCTTAGTCCTTTGAAAAACTGGAAAGCATTGACAGCACAGAGCTAACAGCCTCATTTACATAAAACCTGACAGCAATCAGCACCTGCAGCTAGGACCACACTGAATTTCCAGTTTCTATTGGTTAAAGGAGAGCTCCTGGATTAATTTAAACAAAGTTTAAAGGATGAAATGAAACCTTAAAATCAGCTCACTGTCATTCAACACACTTTTGTATGTCATCCTGTAAACAAGACATTACTTTTTCAGTTACTAAAAGTTAGACCCAGTCATAGCAGAAGTAGAGCTATACTTGAAATCAGTAGTAACCTTCAGCTCTCAGTTAGATGTGAGGTAACACCCAGGCCTAGCTAGTGCACTTTGTTGTGGGTGTACATCGTGTGACAACTAGTGTGGGTGTGTGTGTGTTTAAACTCCACAGTATAATAAACTTCACCAGGTGAGTGGATATGTCCTCAGTGTGTCACTTCAGCTGAATGTGCTGCTGTCCTGCTTGGTGTCCTCCATGGTCACCTGTCTGCCCCCCAAACAGAGCACACCTGTACATGCACACAGAGCAGATAATACATTCAGACCTGATATGGACTGTAAATAAGAAGTACACTCGATGAATCAATGTCAACATAGTATGAAAATACTAAGATGTAGAAGCTGTCCTGTGTGTTATCCCCTGTATGTTATGTGTAATATAATGTCCTGTTATAACAGGTGCCATGTTTCTGAACAAGCATAACTGCACACTATGGCTGCTGGAGCTGTTCCATCCAATCATGTTCCAGCAAAATGTTCAGTGAATTTTTGTAAACTTGTTAAAGTAGAGCAGGTTTCCCATCATTAAACTCTGTCACTGAGTTTATCCCATCTGCTTTTATACGACCAAAACAAAGTCATTATTTACAGCACCATTATCTGCGTTAAATGTGCACATCAAAATGTTAGCACAAGTTTAATTGTGTGTGCGTGTGTGTTGTTACAGTAATGCAGAGCTCTCTTTAACATGTTGCTCCTGAGTGCACTACAGTCATCTGTTGATGAATCACACGAACTAAACTTCCCCAAATGGTCAACCTGGGTGTGAACTCTACTCAGACTTTGTCCTGCCAGCCTTTTCTAAAATGTATGAGTGAGTTGATATGAGACTGCAGCAGGTTTTATTCTGCGCGAGTGTGCAAGGTGATGGCCTTTATGCTATATGACCAGTGTGAACCAGAAAACATCCTACAACAGGATGATTAGACACACAAGGTTGAAAAAGAAGAATCAGCAACATATAAAAACAAGAACAGTGAAGATATCTATAAACAAGGAACTCTGGAAATTTGATCCTCACAGTGTCCTGACATGTCCTGGACTCTGTGGGATCTCCTTGCTGATCCGCTCCTGCAGGACATTGTCCAACCTGGAGTGAGCTCTGGCAACACAGCAGAGAGGAAAAGAGTCTGTTTTCAGTGTCACTCTGCTTAAAACAAATCAAGCAAAGACAAGTGCTGTAGCTCACTGGCAGATCAGGTCATATTTCTAAGTATCAGAGAGAAGCCTCGGCCATCAGGACATGAATGTGCAGTGAATGAATGTGAAAAGCAGCATTAATACACTTGAAGAGGTCAGAAAACTAAAAAAAAGGGCCATATTTGCACAATACAAGGGAGTTTACCAACAATCCCAGCAGTTTACACATGTAAAGCTGTACAACCATGGTGTGTTTGTGTGTGTAGCTCCTGTTTCGCACCGATCAGTGTCTTCTGGTAAACTGTGCTGTGACTCCATCAGGTGATCTTTTTTCTCCTCTGAATCAGGCAGTGACATCGCTCCATTCTGATTAACAAAAAACAAACAAAAAACAAAAGCTCTACAAACAAATGATGATGTTTCAGCAGAGCAGACCTCTGACTTTGTGTAACAGGCTTGTGTTACCTCCTTCAAACATGACGTATTAAATCTAATGAAAGATAAGTCTATTTTACTTGCATTTTATTTTGTGGGCACATTTTTTTTCCTTAGATCTCCTGTTAGGAGTTCATTATATGCTCATAAACAGACTGATTAATCCTATTGTCTCTGCATGGGCTATAAATTACATCACACCATCAGACTGGAGAGTTATTATTTTAATATAGTCATTCTTAATGCTTGAAACCTCCACTGGGGGATTGGTGTTTGCAGAGGCTCTGCAGTATGATGTATACACAGTGTGTCACTCTAACTGCACAGCTCCTCCTTTTAATACTCTCACTGTACAAGTGCCTGCTTTTTTCTGTACGCTGAGGGTCTTTGCTGCTGCTCTACCCGCCTCGGCTTTTCGTGTTTACGAATTAAATAGAGAGGAAGTGTTTTACTAACTCATGCTTTGGTATTTCACATGTACACCTGGAAGGGAAGGGACCTCTCGGAACAGGATCATACTGCCAAATGAAACTTACTGCGTACAAATAAATATTCTTTGACAATGATAGTCCTGACTGAAATATCAGTTTAACTGAGGATGTAAACTGCCCCTAAAAGAGAATGTCATGATTACTGAGCACTGTTCAGCTTCATTAAAGCTAGGCTCTGATCATCATTTTCTCCAGACCAGGCAATTTTTGTTGTCTGACACTCAGTGGGTGTTACCATGGTTACTCCACTATGTTCTAAAAGGGCCGTATGCCATCACTGACCTACAGAGGTTACATTAAAACTACAGCTTGTGTGGATCAACGCCTGTTCAACTGTTCCATTAAACACACCTGGACCATACTCACCTCTCTGTAGTTCACATACACCACACTCCTCTTCATCATTGCACACTTTAACAGCCTCCTCTTCATCACTGCATACTTTAACAGCTTCCTCTTCATCACTGCACAAGTTCGCAACCTCCTCTTCAGCACTGCCCTTTACACCTCCCTCTTCATCGTTGCATCCCACTACCACTTCTTCTTCATACTCATATACTTCAACACACTTCTCTTCAAAACTGTACTTGTCACGCTCCTCTTCATCATTGCCGCCTTCAAAGTGCTCCTCCTCATCACAAAACTCCCAAACACATCCCTTTTCATCAAACTGCTCCTCCTCCCTCTCTCTACCCTCCTTTTCCTCCTCCAAATGTGCTTGCGGCTGTCTGCAGCTGGACACTTCCTCTTCCTCCACCTTTTTTTCCTCCTGACCCCCCTCTTCCTCCTCCACATGTACCTCCACATGAGGATGACTGCTGGTTCCATTATCTTCTTTCTCTTTCTGTTCCTCCTCTGCATGTACCTGTGCATGTTTGCAGTTGGTCCCATCATCTTCTTCATCTTCATCTTCTGCATGTACCTGTGGATGCCAGCAGATTTCTCCATCATCTCCTTCCTCTTCATATACCTGTGGATGCCTGCAGCTTTCTCCATCATCTTTTTCCTCTTTCTCGACCTCTATATGCACTTGTGCGTGTTTGCAGCTGGTTCCATCCTCTTCCCTCTGCTCTAGCTCAGACTCTCCTGCTGTCTCCCCTGCCTCCTCTGGTCCTCCTCTGTCTTCCTCTTCCTCAGTGCTGTGAACAGCAGAGGGTGGAGATAGGGTGTCTTCCTGCAGTTGGGCAGTGATGAAGGTCTGAGGGCTGCTGAGAGAGTCCACACTGAAGGGTGGAGGCTGACAGCTGCTGAAGCCCTGAGAGTTCACAGATGGAGACCCAGTCAGCTGTGAAGACAGAAAGTATCCAACATGACCTGTCTATGGTGGCTGACGAGGACAAACAAGATGCATTAACACCACAACAAACATGCTGCAGATTCAAAAGACATACTCCAGAAATATCAGAGACACTCTGCAGAAGTGCAAATATTTCTGCTGTATATCTTTAAACAATGAGACCTGATGACATAACAGATCACACAGCATCTGCAGTAGAATTAAAGCAGTTAACCCTTTATTGGCCTGTTTGAATTACTTTGAATTACTCCACAGTGTTGGTGTGAACCTTTACTGAGTTTCCTCTCACCTCGTTATAGCTCCTCATCTTTACAAGACTGAAGGACCTACATGCAGGGGATTGTGGGAGATTGGCCTGGGTGTTCTTCACTTGCCAAAGAGGATCTGTCAAAGAACAATAACATTTCAAACCCAACACAACTGAAACTGGAGTAGAGGATCCAGAAGTCCATGAAAAGACGTAACTTCAACAGATTTATTTTTCTTCTAAAATAGGGACAGTATATTTTTGGTTGCCTTACGTTAACAGGAAGGTTCAGAAATGTCACAAAGAGAGCCGTTTCAAATGTTTCTGGATACAAGAGCAGAAAGACCTCCAGAGTCTGACGTAGCTGCAGAGCCGGCCCAATCCTCAATGGGGCCCTAAGCTAAATTTGATTTTGGGGCCCTCTATTTCTGCCAATAATATTGATGCAAACATACTTTTATCTTGGCTTTTTTCCTCTTCTTTCTCTTTCTTTTCTCTGCTCCTGAAAGATATATCCATCTTTGTGACATTGGTTTGCCCCATAACTACCTGCGCTTTGGATGCTCAGTGCACATTGCACAGCAGAAGGCACATAACGGTACTAGAGCTTTGACATATCAGCAGTAAGAATCATAGGCCTGCATCAGCAGCAGCACTAAAATGTTTTTACTTTATTTTATTTTTGCCATAATATCTATTTGGTTATACAGAAAGCATCACTCATACATGCAAAAAATAAAAAATTATTATTATTTTTTTGATTGCTCTTGGGGGCCCCCTATTGGCGCTTAGTTCACTTATGCCTTGGACCAGCTCTACTTAGCTGGTCTCAATCTTTCTCTTTCTTCTTTCTCGAGTGTACAATTTCAAGAAAATCTACAGGCTGACAGTAACAAGAAAACCGCTTTTGGACACTTGGGACAGGACCTAAAAAATGTTATCAACATCTGGACGAATGTATGATAAAACCTGTTACTTTGGAATTGGTTTACAAGTTTACAGGTCTAAAACTTTCTCCTGAGCATCATTATTTACAGACTTATACATATTACTGTACTGATACAGACCTATCTTGTTCTGGACTGAAACCATGCAGAGCTGCTGTGTGTGTGAGTGTTACCTGGGCAGTGAGGGGTGCTGTTATATGGTAGGGCTGGTGTGTTTACAAAGGGACTACGGCGCTTCTGCTGAAGGTTAGCTGGAGAACACATGATGCTGGACAGTTCGGCCAACAGACCCGCGTCTGACCTGGTCCTGACACAAACACATACAAATTAGAGTAGGATCAGTATAAACTTGATTTTTTTGATTTAAGTTTTCTATGCTGAATTACCTACTTAAAAGATTAAATGACACAAACTGAGGACTAGATCAAGAGAAAAGGTTAAAAAAAAAACATGATAGAATAATCCAAACTGGTCGGTAATTTTTCTTTTTTTTTTACGTCCTCCTCTGTAAAGCTGAGAACTCATACAAAGATCTGAAATTTATCCACACACCTAGGGCCCAAGTCATAAAATCATCCCACAGCTAATATCAGGTATTATACTTTGTAAGTCTGAGGCTGTCTGTGACTCAAATCCTTTTATCTGGACTTACTGCTCTTTGCAAACTAACTCTGTGAAGAAGGAATCTGAGTCATATCTGCCATAAATTAACTCCTCATTAAACTGGTGAGAAGTATATCCCCTCAGTGTTTGATCTCCCTCAGTATGATGGCACACAGCACAGCTTGCAGAATTAATGGGGGACGCTAATACTTAAGCTGCAGTACTTAATGGTGTTTATGTGACTGAATATTGTGGAAATCTGTTCTGTCTAATGAACCCTATAATCCTTCAGACAGCAAATGCAGATGCATTATTCAAGGTGCTGTTAGCACAACCTATTTTCATTGACTGAATCATGAGTCTTCAGGTGCACAGTCTCAGGTACGTCAGTGTGTTAAACACATGCTCAATACAGGGTCCTTACATGTTGGTGTTGGCTGTGGATTGTTTGTGACTGACAGCAGCGTCAGATTCACTTTCCTCACAGTGTTTGGAGAAACTCTCATACTCTGAGGAGGCAAAAAGAAGCACTGTCAGCATTTTACAGCAGTTTGCAGACATGATCCAGTTCACTTAAAACAAGGGGACACCAGTTCAAGTCTTACTGGTGTCAAAAGTATCCTGCAGATGAGTCCCAGTAGCTGCTAGTCTGCATACCTCCCCTGTTACATCTGCTTCATCTTCTGAGCTAGATGTCTGCAGGACACAAACCACATGTGGATTCTGAATGAACTGGGCCTTTAGTTTCATTTTGTCTCTATTTTTATCTCTTTTTCAAGCGATATGATAAGCATTAATCCAGGCAGGCCACAAAGTGGGCTCAGCCTACAGTACAGTACATCTGATGTTCTTAACACATGCCCATAACGGCAGTGGTGGGAAGTCCATACCTGCTGCTTCCTCTTAAACAGGACACTAGTGTCCACAGCTGAAACATAGTGGCTATCCCTCTCTGAGGAGAGACTCAGAGGAGACTGGTTCTGCTCAGTTTGCTGCTCGGGTGGACACAGACTCAACCATGAAGACAGCTCCTCCTCACTCAGCAACTGAAAGACTCTGCTCTGAAGCTGGGAAACTAGGTTCTCTCTCCAGCTCTGGCCACTCCATTGAGGAAGGAGAGTGTACCTCTTCGACGGACATCCAACAGCAGTACTGACCCCACAGAGATCTGCTGAGGACATGGAGAAGGGGTCCAGCTGATCCTTCCCTCTACAGATCAGCTGGTGGTGTTCCTCCACTATGTCCAGGCTCTTATGTGCCTGCTGCAGCAGCTCTTTGGACACCTTGAGGTTTACCAATATTGTATTGATGTGCTGATCCTCAGTGGACAGCCTTAGCTCTTCAATCAGCTCTCTATCAGCGCTGCCAGAGTCGAACTCTTCCTCAGCACTGCCAGATTCAGACTCTTCATCAGCTCTGTAAGATTCAGACTCTTCATCAGCTCTGGAAGATTCAGACTCTTCATCAGCACTGCCAGAGTCACACTCTTCATCAGCACTGCCAGATTTAAACTCTTCTTCAGCTCTGTAAGAATCAGACTCTTCATCAGCACTGCCAGAGCCAAACTCTTCCTCAGCTCTTTCTGATTCAGACTCTTCCACAGCACTGCCAGATTCAGACTCTTCATCAGCACTGCCAGAGTCAGACTCTTCACCAGCACTGCCAAAGCAGAACTCTTCCTCATCACTGCCAGATTCAGACTCTTCCTCAGCACTGCCAGACTCAGACTTAGTTGATAGAGGAAGGTTTTGTGAGTAACAGTATTTGAGCATGAAACTTCCTGCGTCACATTTGTATCTGTCTCTGTCCAGCTGTGTGTCTTGCAGTGTGTCCAGTTGTTCCTCTCCAAGCTTGTGTCTTCTTGCCTCTGTGCTTGGGGCTGTGAATGATTTTACAGATGAACTTTCACCTAGAGAAAATAGAGTGACCCCATTAATCATCCATGCAAAACTACTCAAAACAGAAACCAACTTTACTCAAACATTTGAAGATCAAAATACACAAAACCTCTTACAGCTACTGAAAAATACAGTTGTGAAAGTCAGGGCACCCCTTTAAAAAAAGCAAAGTTTATTTATGAATGCACAAGGTTTGTGGAGATGAAACCCCTTAAATTGGCACCAGCTGGCGCTCCCTGATGAGAATTGTTGACACCTGCTTCACGACTAACGAGCTGGTGAAAGTCTGAGCTTCTGAAAAGAATCTTTAAAGACCAGACACTTTAAAGCTCTCAGGGTGCCCTGACATTTGCACATGCCAAAAAGATTTTTATTTTTGTAATTTTGTACTTTTTATAAAATAAAAAGTGACTGTGCATTAATGATTTCTGATAATATTGTCTTTTTTCCTATTTACCAGAGAGACTATAAATATCAAGGTTAATTTTTTAATAAATAAACTATGCTTTTTTTTAAAGGGGTGCCCTGACTTTCACTGACAACTGTATGTTAACTTTAAACATGCAAACAATTGCAAACAATTTGTAATACCAAGATCAGATTAGTTAACTAGATAGAATGTGGTCACTGTGTCATATGAGGTGATCCCAGAGTCACAAATTTCCGCTGAGACCTGATGGACCGCAGAAAAATCAAACATGCAAGGCTTTCTAACTAGAGTTTGTGAGGCGTCTCAAGCGTGGCCTGTATTATTTTTCACTATGACACACCTCACAACATAAAACAATCAATTTTCCTGGCTTCCTAAACTTGCCAAACTAGACTATAAAACACATGGTCTGACCTGTTTATTTAGACTTGCTGCTCTATCACAGAATGTTACCCTGATGAGGGTCTAGGACAGGGGTGGGCAATCATGTGCCATGGAGGGCCGAGAGGCAGCAGGTTTTCTTTCCAACCCAAAACTCCACCAGGTGATTTCACTGATTACCTTACCTCCAAGCAGAGAGCGGGGACTAATCAGTGAAATCACCTGGTGGAGTTTTGGGTTAGAAAGAAAACCTGCAGCCTCTAGGCCCTCCATGGCCCATGATTGCCCACCCCTGGTCTAGGACCATAGACTGTATATAGAATGAACACCATCTGCCTCCTCGCTGGTTGGAGCCTTTCTGAGAACAGGACCCTTTAGTGACAGGCTGCAGTATAGGTCATAAATCCCGCCTCCTCCAGCAATCCCTATGGAGCTGTGGACAAACTTTAGAAACTTATTACACAGAACATAAATTTTTCTCCCCCCTGCTTGTGGTGTTGACATGTAGTTACTGTAAGATCGGTTTGTGCTCAACTCTTCTTTTTTCTGTACAGCTCAATTTTTGAAAGTTATTGGAGGGTTCATGTTTTCTATGATTGACACTTGAGACAGCCTAAGGGCGTACGAAGATTGTGTAGCTTACCCGTGGGATACGCTGTTTGAGGAGAGCATCATCACAGTGACTCTCCTGCCCAATTAGTACAACGCTACTGCTCAAGTGGTGGTTTCAGAAAGTGGAGAAAATCCCAGAAATACCAAGGGCAATTCGGGTTCAGATTCGTATAATGACGGAAGGCAGAGCCAAGTTGTCCATAGTATATACAGTCTATGTCTAGGACCTGATTATTGCAAATGGATTCCTTTTCTGAAAGTTAGGCAGAGTGGGGAGGGTTGCATTTCTAAAAACATACAAATAACATTCAATAAATCTGAGATGAGTGATTGCACAGCTTTTCTTAATCTGCATTCAAATGAAAACACTATGTAAGTGTGTCATTCTCACTGCCACTCTGAACTGGTTCTTCCCCTCTGGTATGCTGGGAGGTAGTCTGGACTCCAGGATCTGGTTCTAGAGTAGCACAGATGCAACTCCTTGGCTGTTCTTCCATAGAGCATTTCTACACAGTTGGATACAAACACATAATTATAAATATCAGTAAGACTTCATTAAATTCCAAAAGTCACCTTGCTTCCTTTTGCAGGGTGTGTTTCAAACACTACAGACCACTCATACTTAAATATAGAGGATGGCCTGTGTTTAAAGAGTCACCTTGATTTCCTGCTGCAAAGTGAATCTCAGATTCTGCAGGCTGCAGGTTCGGTTCTGGGGCTCCAGCTGCAGACCAGTGAGGACTATTTTATAGTGTGGCTGTGGCAGACTGCTGTTTACTGCAAGGGTCTGACCTGAATCCATTGCCGGTTTGATTCTGTCAACCTCCACTGTGCTCCATGGTTCTTCATCTGAGACAATGTTAGACACATCAAATGCGAATGATCTTCCATTAGAGAAAGCTGACACCTAACCAGTATCCTACAGACTGAAGTGCCCATCACCTAAAGGGCAACAGTACCAGGAACCAATGCCCAACTCATGAGAGATCTTACTACCCAGACAACAGTGCTCAACACTGTATAGGCATCCCAGCATTCTCGCCACCACAGAGATGAAGGTGTGAGACACACCTGTGTACAGCTCCAGGATCAGAGCACACACACTGTAGATGTCAGCCTCCTCCCTGCAAGGCCTCTGTTTGATAACCTCAGGAGCAGCCCACCTATACAGGCAGGGAGGGAGGGCCATGTGGTGGGGTGGTTGAACACATGTGTTTTCACTGCTGACAAACACACACAAACATAGAACCTCTTTATAACAGAGTGCAGTGAAACATGCTGGTATCACAGTATTTTTGTTTTAACAATATTTACAGAGATCAGGAAATCATAGGTTCTGCTGTGAAATGTTAAGTGTAAACAGAACTGGGAAACTTAAACACTGTGTATGCTGACTAATGTATAGAATATGCACCTACCTACATGTTAAAGTTTGACTGATTGAGTACGCATTCAGCTCTAACAGAAGCTTCTCTAAGCCTGGTATTCATCTGAACCTGCCTACCTGGGGACCATGAAGCCAAACCCGGTTAGCTTGGCCACAGAGAACTCTGTGAGGACCACACTGTGTGAGGAGAGGGCCCTCATCACCAGCGCCCCCTTGTGGAGGAACTGCAGACCCTCACAAACCTGAAAAATCACTGACAGGATCCAACTTTCCTTTAGGAGTGGAAACGCTGCTCGCTGCTGGGGCAGGGAGAAAAACACACAGACCTTAAAAGCGGTGATTTAATGTAGCCTCTGCAACATTAACACTAACCACTGTTAACCAACCAATGACCTTCAATTACCAATCATTCATCTCTAAAAACAACACAATGACCATAATTAACCTATCAATGACAAAAAGTAAAAGAGCACAGCACTCTTACACGAAGGGGAGGCAGACTCAGATTTTTCTGGTGTTACAGGCAAGACTTTTCAAAAAACAAAATATTAAACTTATAGGAGATAGAAAAACAATCATAGAGCATAAAAGCTGCAGCTGGACTGGATTGAAAAACATGATTTGCAGAGATATTGAAGTTTTAAACAAGCCTGCAGCAAACTCTGCTGCTTCTTAAATAAAACACTATTAACACTGATGGTGGCTCCCCAGAAGCTGATCAGAGATTTTGTCTTAAATTTTGGTCAGTTTCAGGGAAAACATGAGGGCTTTGTGAATGAGTCTGTAAGAAAAGGGGTGAAATGCAAATGTGGTCCCAACTAAGTGTGATTATAATTGTGAAAAACAAATTACTAATCAGAAACAGGATCATCTGTTCTTTATATACTCTAAACCTCAATCATCATCCTCTGCTTCGAGACCTGCAAAGTACTTATGTGTGTGTTACACTGTAGTGTGCGTGTGTGTTACCTTGGTGTGCACCAGGTTGTGTAGTGTACCGACGTTGACCTGCTCAAACACCAGACTGGTACTGAGGAGGTCATCAGATACAGCGACTGCTATCAGCTGAAGCAGCTGAGGATGGAGCAGCTGGCTGAGTACACAACACACACATAAAAACAGATTCATAAGTCCACAGATTTATCCTGTCACATCAGTTGGAGGAGTGTTGGAGTATCTCTGGAAGAAGAACACACTTGCTGCATCAACCACAGTCGGGACCTTACTTCCCCCTCCACAAACATGTTTAACTCAAATTTCCTCTTCCAGCTGTGATCATGTAAATCACAGCCTACAACTCAAAAGTGATCACTGCTGTCTGGAAGACTTTAATCAGAAAAACAGATATCATTGACTTGAGTCTTTGAGAAGTTGAATTTGACAAAGTAGGTTTGGCTCTGTGTTAGCATGTCTGCTTCATGTCGAATAGAGTTTTATATTGAATGAGTCGATTTGTCAGGGACATTTGATCTCCATGCTTTTTATCAAACCAGAGAGGAGAAAATGAAACAGAAAAACAGAGAGCAGATCATGTTTGACAGGGGAAGACCAGGTAGTATGTGGTCTGACCTGCAGTACTGCAGTTCTGTGTTCAGGAGGTCCAGGTATTCTGTCTCAGTTTTTCTCAGTGTTTTTACCGACACTGTGGACCCCCTCCAGCTGGACCTGAAACACACAGCCGACATTATCATTATCTATCTATCCGAGTTTGTAACAATCTTGTATGTTTCTGTTCAGATCAGCTGTTTCAGTGTCAAACAGCTCAGAGCAGCTCCATCAGAACTAGACACACTCAGAAGATTTTATTTTACAGACATGGACATGACAGAAATAAAAGCAGAATAGCAGTCTGTACAGAAATGCTACATCAGCAAACACGCTGGAGGAGGGTGTGGTCAGGGCTGTGTGTCTGTGTCATGTTTTACAGATAAATTAAGAGTATATAAAGTTTGTATTTCAACTCCACTGTTGTTGAGATTGTTGGGTTTTGGTCCTTATGTGAAATTAACCCTGTGTGACAGGGGGTTTTCCATAATCATGGTTGAGGGTGCTCTCATAATGTAGTTGTTGGTTGTCATGTTCTGATGGTGATGTTATAGGGGTAAGTGGGAGATCTATAAACCTTTTCAAATATATTTTACATATTTTTTTTGTTTTATTGATTATTCAACAGACAAAAAGTCAAAACAGCTCTCACTCTCTCTCCCATTACAAACCCTCCTGTTTTAGAAGAGACAGAAGACACATGACTCTACCTCCAATTGATTGACACAACGTCAAGAAAAGCTGGTGTCGTGGCAACATTTTTTTGAAACTGGTTGTGTTTTGGTTATTTATCATATCCAGCTTTGGCTGTTGTTGAGGTTCTGTGAGGTGTAGTGGCAGTGTCACCTGGTCATGACGGTCAGAGGTCCACAGGGGAGGGTGAGCAGAGGCTGGTCATGAGTCAGATAAGCGTCTCTGATCAGAGGAACTGAGGCTGGGACAGAAACACCTAAACTTGTCTGGCTCACACACAGCTGGAAGAAAACAAAGAAGACAAAGAGCAGTGAACACAGGGACATCTGTGAGTGTGATTCTATGCTGAACACTCAAGGCAACAATATCAACCAGTGACAACATGAACTAAAAATCAATATAAAGACTGGTTCGGTTTGATTACCACTTTATAAATCCAACACAGACTTCTTCATGTCTATGTCATCACAGAGACACACAATGTAGTGTAATTTAATTCTTATTACACTGTTATTGCCGCTCATAAATGGTTTGTAACATTATTCTGTATACTATTCAAGTGACAGTGAGTGTAAACACAGGCTCTGTGAAGAAAGAGGCAGTAGGTAAAACACGTTCTTTATTCTCACACCTTCATCTCACATGTGTCACACGTCTATTTTTAAGTTATTTTAAATGTATTCAAAGGGTTGAAGGAGCTTAACTCTGTCTTGTACTGTTCCAGCTCTAACAGCAGTAACAACAAGTTGAACACAATGATTATGGTGTGTTTCATATTTGCTTTTACTGTTACAGCCTGTTTCAGTTATAAATCTACCTGCTCACAGCAGACAGATACAGACAACTACTGAACAGCTCCAAATAATCATTTTGCACTGTGTCTGCTGCCCTCTAGTGATAAGAACCTGATATAACATGTTTAATTTCAGTCTCAATGGTTACCAGAGTTATGAAGGTTATCAACAAGTTGTTTAACAAATGATATGATATCAGAAAACAACTGACCTGACTCACTCACTCACTCAATCTGTCTATCAATCTATCTTCAGTTCCAAATAAATGTTTTCTTTACCTTTCCAAAGCCTAAACTGAAGGCTTCTTTAGGAGAACATCTGCTCACTGTCTTCTTGTTGAATTGTTTGTCACTAAAGAGAACACACACACAAACAAACCACACTAATGTCACATACTTACAGATATACATGTAAAAAAAGGCAGATTTTTTCCCTTAATGATAGTTCTGTGAAAAATACTCCTGCCAATAAACATGAGAAAATAATAACAAAAATGTCTTCCATCTGTGTAGATTTCAATCATCAATACCACGATTTTATACGATCCAGCAGAGACACAGGCTGTAACAAAGAGAAGGTTGAGCTATAGAGGGCACAACCGCAGATCTTCATCTTGTCTGGACTCAAAAGCTGCTCCATGGAGGACATGCAGCTCTGCAGGAAATCCTCCATCTGAAGAGACAGAACCAGCATCATTTATGACCTTTCATAAATGATCTTTATTATATGTTTTGCATCGCCTCATACTTAATGTTCTTATTTCTCTTACACACACTCTGTGTCACTAATTTTATTTGTCTTAATATTTTTTAATGGTTTTCTGGATGTTTTTTTTATGTGCTATATAACTGTTTCATGTTCCTGTTACATGTGACAGTATTTATATCTGCTTAACGTCCTGTTGTCCTGTCCATGTTTTTTTATCTTCACTTGAAGGGTTGTCACAACACCAGAATTTTCATTTTAATGAGATACCAGAACAAAAAGTGAATATTTGATACCAGCTGTTTACCACTGTGAAAATATGAACTCTTAGGCTCCAAAATAGTCTATTTTGATTTGTAACCCATGCACAGTGCTGGAACAGAAAGATTCACTGAACACCAACATCAGGCATATAGTAAATAGTAATAAAAGTCAAGATAGATAAGATTTGTCATGAAAATAACATGTTGGCAAAAAAAACAACTTCCTCTGAACTATCACGATCCAGAGGAAGTGATCACTTTTAGTCACCTATTCCAGCCTCTGGTTGAAGATGCATGGGAATTTATTTTTTCACAGGCTTCAGTGATTTTATATATAATCAAATTTAAACATAATGAGTATTGTATCATTTCATCTTACTTTATTTATTATTTTTTTTTTTTATCTCTGTGGGAAGTGCATAGTTACCCTGCTCCTGCCCTCCTGTGGTGCAGACCTGAGCCAGTCAAAGGGGGTCCTTCCCTCCTTGTCATGGAGTCTCAGGTCTCCTCCAGAATCCAGCAGGCTGCTCACCACTAAGGGATTGCAGGAAAACACACCTGCATGAACCGGGGTGCTGTCATCCTCACAGCGACTGGAAGACAAGTGTTCACACATCAGGGTTTGTCAGGTGAAAGGTTTCATTATTATTGATCAATGTGTGCTGTAACACACAGTCTATTATGACATGGATAGATTTGGGATCCTGGTCCCAGTCTTGTTCCTCTTGCTAACACCTTATATTGATACACTTTCATGTTTTATTCTTTGAAGCAAAACCTCATTCTCATGACTCTTGGAGGCCATGGACTCACTATTATAACATTAAGTCTTCAGACGGCTTCTCAGGTCTAGACTTACTGGTTGGGGTTGGCTCCATAATTCAGCAGCAGGTCTGTCACTTTCACCTGTCCCCACAGTGCAGCACAATATAGAGGAGTCTGGCCCTGGTGGTTCACACAGTCCACATTCACACCTGGAACACAAAAAGACACACTCTGTTCATGAATCATTTTGATATAGTTTATCATCCATAAGCAGGTGATGTACAGAAAAATTTTCCTTTAAACTTAATCAAGTTTGCCTGAATGCAATGAGGAACTTGTTGGCCAAGATAAGCATGTTCCTCCTCACAGCACTGACCTAACCCACTAACCAGCTTGCTCCCTCAAGTCCAGTTCACTACACTTCCTGTCCATCCCACCAGCACAACTTAAAACCAGGACTAACTCAGAATAGGACTAACCCAGACCAGGTTATAAGGTTTTTATGTGTTTCAGTCATTGATGTTTTTAAAAAAGGAAAATACTTGTATCATGATCACAACACAGATGTCTCACCTGTCTTCAGCAGCTTCTCCATCTTGCTCAGATTCCTCTCTGCAGTGAATCTATGCAGCTGAGCATGATCCCCTCCAGAGGTCACCACCCCGATATGAACAGGGGCAGGAAATGGCAGGGAGGCCATCCTTTGAAATGTTACTGAAAGCACCAACAGGGAGCGCTGTCACAAAACAAAGCGATAAACCTGAATATCAAAGCTGTAAGTGGGAGGACCATAGACATAGTAATAATAATAATAATAATAATAATATAATAATAATAATAATAATAATAATAATAATAATAATAATAATAATAAATAAATAAATAAATCTATTTATTTATTAATCACTTTTATGTATTTATCATGTCTATAGGGAGGACACTGTGACTCAGAATGGTATGGCAGTGGAGTCCTACAGTCAGGTGTAGAAAGTCTTAAGAAAAAGGATCTTTCAAAACACAAATTCAGTTCTTGAATATCAACTGAAACTTTGTCTCCAGCCAATGTTTGCTAAGATATCTGCACATATTTGCTCATGTGATATTTTGTAATGACACTTGCTAACACTGGGATACTTCTGCTAATGTAGATCTGTACTTTAACTAAAATCTGATTTTAACATCAGCTTAAACCTCTAAAAATCTACTAACATTAGCAAACATCAGCCTAGAACTTTTAACATCTAGACAAGTCATTTAAAATGTACATGCTCAATGACTTTGTTGTCCTTTTTTAGGTCATATTTGTACAACTTTATATATATTATTTTAAAGTGGTATTCAGTACTTTTTTCTCTTCACCAAATGGCTGTGCTTTTATTTTAAATAAAGGTTTAGTAATCACTGGATAGATGTATGACTGGCATACTTAAGTATACCTATTTCCTGTTATACATTATTTACATGTGTCCAACTGTAACATACTATTTAAATGTGGTATCTCTACAAAATGTTCCTAAATACATCACGTCCCTATTTTTAAATGTGTCTGATTCAACAGTATGGTAACACAATAATGTAACACAACATTAGTTAAAGTACTGTTTTTATTTATTTTCCGTTATATCACCTGCTGCTAACAGGTAATTCGTTAGCATAAATGCTACTAGCACTCTGACATAACGGCAAACATAACGGCTAAAAGATGGCTAAACTTATTAAACTGAGTGATTTAACTTATCTAAAACGTAAGAAGTAACACTGACCAAATGGAAAATACACAAACACAATTAACACACGACACGGCTAACACCACACACTGATTTTCATAGAAAACTTCATACGAACGTATGTAAAACATCACATCTTTAATTCGCTAGCATGCTAACTTCACTTACCGTTACACCGCTAGCCTAATAAAATAAACACTAGTGAGATCAAAACGGTATATCTCGAGCAAAAACTTTTGTCAATAATTAAAAAAACTTAGTGCTGAATTAATATTTACCTCTATTTAACAGGAGTGTTTGTTCTCTGTTGTTCTTCTGTGCCAGAATGTGAATGAATATTACTGACAGCAACAAAACCAGGTAACATTTTATCACGATATCAGAACTAAACCTACGACATACAATATCCTACCATATGATACAAAATATTATATTATATTGTATTATATTATATTACATATTTTTATCTGATATGGAATATAGTTTAATAACGTTATTATATTATATTATATTATATTATATTATATTATATTATATCATATTATATACAACACATAGTCATACACAGTAAACTTACAGTATGTATAAAAATGTACGATAAGCCATTTTAGCTTTTTATCGCCTATCTGTCATAACTTATTATCATAATATAACCTTTGATGATTTGGGTGTTTTATAACACTTTTCATGTTTTGTCATTCATATTTAGTTTTTCTTTTAATATTTTTTAACTTTTTCCTTTTTCAATAAAGGTGTAACTTTAATAACTCAAATGTGTAATTTACCTAGATGAGCGCACCGCTGCCCATCCACACACGCAGCTGAATGCGTGTATATCTAGATGGCTTTATGTATGTGTTGCTTGTGTTCGTGTATTTGCGTGCAATTATTTGTGCATATGTGTTCCTGTGTGTTTGTGTTTCTGTGTCAGTCACCACAGGTGCAGTTTATACATTTGTAAATAAATCTTCATTAAAATAAACAGGGATGTCCACTAACTTTTGTCCACAGAGTTCAAACTGTCTCTTGTCTGTTAGCACGTGTTCTGTGTCTCTGAAATCCGACATTTCCCGCAGCACGTGAAGGCATCATCAGTAACAGAGCTCAGATTGACAAAAGCCTCTTTGTTATTTTTCTCTTTTCTCCTTCTTTTTCCTGTTTCATCTGTTTCTCTGTGTTGGGTTAGAAAGTTGAGCTCATACTCCTGGATCGTGATACCTTAAACTAAGTGAACTCACGGTAGATTTCAAACATTGCATCATGAGAAACAACTCTGTGAAACAAGTTCAAAGTTTAAGTTTCTACGACGTGCCTCGCATTGATCAAACTAAAGTTTAACCACAGGACAGGATATTTTATTCTTGAGACAGTCGGCAGATTTGAACTTTATTAAATTATGAATCTTACTCTGTAGTTAAACTCTAAGTGTATGTCTTCATAAGAGCTGTATGTGGCACTTTATTTTGGTTAAACTCACATTTATTCAGTGAAAAAATAGACCAGGGGAGCAGCGAGGAGGAGGAGGAGGAGGAGGGATTTCCCTGCTCCAAAAACCCTTTTCCTCCAGTTTCCATGAGGAGGAGAAGGAGGAGGAGGAAGAGGGGGAGAAGGGGGGCTAGGAAGGAGGGACATTCCTCTCATACTGCAAGCCAGGCAGGGGGGAGAACTTCCTGCCTCTGCTCTCGTACCGCTTCTTTTCTTACGGTTAAACATGAACCTAACGGGGAGAGAAGGAGACTTGGAGGCCGAACATGAGCTCCAGTTCACGAGGGAAGGATCCAGAGCTGCGGAGAGGATGAGGAGCGAGCTTTCTAACTGTAACTGTGAAGTTTGAGGAGTTTTTGTGCTGCTCAGAGCCGCTTCAGATCCTCACAAACCCCGAAAAATACAGGAGAAAAGATGATTAACTGAGCGGAGAGACGCAGGGGAACAGGAGGAGCTCTGCAAAACTGAGGTAAAACTGAGTTACTGACATTAGCACAGACACAGATTACAGATTATTATGAGTGTCAGACTGTGATGTGTTCATGAGGTTTGATTTGGAGGAAACTGAGTTGACTAACAGTAAGTTCACATTGTAAAGTGACATAAATCTACCGTGTCTTGAATGTGTTCAAGAAGTAAAACTTTGAGTGCATCAAACGGATGTGACAACTGATCCAGGTCTGTTAGAGTCATTTTCCCTGTACCGTGAATGCATCACGAACATGAAGTTTAGTGAGATGAAAGCTGAGACTCAGAGGTTTGAACCCTCGGTGCTGCTGTGTTTTCTGACTCAGAGTGAAGCTTCTGAAAGTTTCTACAGACTGATAATGATGATGATAATGTCAGCTGAGATCCTCCTGTTTGCTGCATTAAATCCTCATCTCTTCTCCAGCTGGGGGGCACAGAGGGGGGGTGACAGGAGAAACATTCAGGTTGTTGTGTCACTGCTGATCTAAACTGCAGCTTTCCCCTAAGAATGTTAATGTGCTCACTGTAATCTGCTTAATCTCAGGTTTATCACACTGTTTACACAGAAACAGTATCAAGATGGAATTTGACAGCCTGGGCACAAAGCTCTAGATTCCTGCACTCTTCTGGGTCTGTGAAAGCAGCAGACAGGGTACTGCAGCAGGTAACCTTTGACCTGTGGATCAGACTGTTGTTTTACAGTGGTGCACAGAAAAGGGTTTAAATCTGCTGAAAAATGCAGTGGTATTTAAGGGGTTTGAGCAGTTTTTCGGTCTGTGGTGTTGAAGGAGTGGGTGTGACAGTCGTGATGTCGAATGCAGTTTAAAGACTGAGTTAAGCATTTTGCTTTTGTGAACCCTAAAGTGACCATTTTCAGTAGAGAGGGTGGATACATGCGGCTGGTCGACAGGTCTCCATGTAACAATTCTGTCAGTCTGGGGTACCCCCTGTGTACATCCTTCCCCCCTTTCTCTTCTCTTTGACATTTAAAGGGATATTCCGGCGTACAATTAATTCAGGGTCAAACACACCGTAACACCGAGTTACGGTGATGAATGTTCAAGGAAGCTCAAGGAAGAACATTTATGGTCATGTCTTCATGGAAATACAATCAGAACGAGACACTAAGGCAGAAGAACTACTGCGTTTGCAGTGCAAAATGATTAATATGATGATTATTACTTCAAGGAAATGATAAAGTAATGATCATAAATGTTCTTCCTTGAGCTGCGTCACCCCGCAGAAGTTTGTAATGGACTGGCCTGAGGTCTCGCTACAAACAAGCAGCTGCCGGAAGAGAGAAGGTGAGTTGTGTTTAGTCTCTTTGCTAAAGTAATTAGGCAAAGTTAAGATGTTTGGTGACTAGTACTATGGCTGGGACCCTATATGTATTGTTCTGAGCATTACTTGTGGCTATAGAGTGGCTTTTTGGTTGAGGTTTGTTTATGGCTCCTCAGACCGCTGTGTATCGCTATCATGTGGTCATTACTAAAGTTGGTATGACTAGAGAAGCAAGCGGTCGGCAACATTCATCTCTCAAGGGGCTGTCTAACTCGGTGTTATGGTGTGTTTAACCCTAAATTAATTTTACGCCGGAATATCCATTTAATGGGACCACAATTTACCAAATGAACATCATGCCGAGTTTTACTGAAGAAGACTTGAAAATAGAGATTGAGACCCTAAATTTGTCAGGAGTATGTTCACTGAGGGAATAAATCAACTGATTTTATCATAGACCATTAGGAAGACTTCTTGATACAACAAGGGTGTTGCCCCTTGCTCGGCTGTGTCTTCTGTTTGTGGTGGGTATGTGACAAGTCTTTGTAAACACCAATAGCATCAGTTCATTATCTGTGTAGCTGTGTTGAAAAGAGACCATGCTTCATTTTTTTACTTCCAAAAGCTCTATTTTACTTTGGATGATATATTATTAAACTAAAAATAGAATTTTTTTGACTGAAATAGAAAGAATCTGAGCTCTTCCACCACTTACATTCTATCACATGCTGGCAAACTACTAGTATGAACTCTGTTGTCATGCTTACGCTGTCCCTTGGCTTTTCAGACATACAGGTATGCACACACCTGCCTCCTCTTACTCCTCTCCCTGCTCTCCTCTCTCCACCTGCGGCTGCATGCTTATCTGTATACCACAGCAGAACAACATGGTGAACATTTAACCATTAAAGACATTAAACAAGTTATATGCAGAAGATGGCAGAATTTCATTCAGTATTGATGATCATATTTTCATGATCGTTGGGAGCCATCAGTATTATTGCAGTTTAGATTTTAATCAGCTGCTCCCACTAACTGTATGGTCATTGTGCTTTCATGCTCCCCTATTGTGAGATGTGTATTGAAAAGGCTGCCTCTTTAGCTGCTGACATATTGAGCTGGTGCAGTCAAGGCATGTGCAGAAGTGACCTGGCTAGTGGAGTCTAAAGACTGACGTCAAACCCTTTCTGTCCATACAATACAGTCACTGAGCAGCTGAGACAGAAGTTGATCGATGTAGAGCAGTATTTTCTCAAACTTGGATCCTAAGTGCTGCTGCAGACAAAGTTGTATCTGCTGTCTCTCTGAACGTGGTTAAGTACTTTTTTCAGTTTTCTTTTCTTCAGTCAAAGATATAATTCAACATGAATCTGCTGTGAATTTTTTTTTTTTTAAAGCCATGGTTTCATGCTGTAACTCATTTTGCCTGACTCCTCCCCTGCAGCAGTGGTTACATCATTAAAAATTATCATAAAAATGATCACTGCATCTGCTGATGGTCTGACTTGCTTATATTAGTCACACATTGACACCAGTATTAATTTTAGCCTGTTTCATAACCTCCAAAAGAAGTCCTCATTGGAGCTTTGATGAAAGTTGGCCTTTAGAGAGCACAGAGGCTCTGACTGAGAAAATCTGGGCTGACACTGATTTAAATGTTAAAGATAATAATTTATCCTATGGCAGATTTCAATATTGATTTTTTTTATATGTATCGCTGATTTTTTTAAGTTATTATTTATTCCCCATCAGGTTCGGGGACCCAAAATAATCTGCATTTAAAACACGTGAGTTGAACAGAGTGAACATATCATGTCACTATCTTTGAGTGATCCCTAATTCAATCATTTAATCAATTTATAAACTAACCTTTAAGTTAACCTTCTTCAAATGTAAACCGGAAATCTTACTTCAGAAAAAGTTCTTCTTGACCCCAAAAGACTGAAGTTTAGTAGATTTAGATGTTGCTGCTCTTTTGAGTTACCTGTTAAAAATCAAAATTATAAACAAGAATCTAAATCTTTTTTTGATTCCTTTATATCATGTTTTTTATTACATTTATGTTTATTTTTTTATATAAGATATGGCTAGTGGAGATGATACTCCAAGATTTGGGTTGAGCTTTAAATATTTCCCACGCCTGGTCACCAAAGTCCCTGCCCTTGTTTGGCCACCCTATTAAAAAAAAAGGTCTGGCACCACCACAAACACTCAGTGAGAAGACATTTCCAGACCAACACAAACCTGATGCCAACTGTCACCTGTGCTTGTTAGTATCCAGATAGCAGAGCTTTATATCATTTTGACAGTATGATATAAAATGGAGCTAATATGAAGTGGATGGCTGCAATATTTACAGAACCAACATTACGATTTATTTCTTTAAGCAATATTTATTGCTAAATGTTGCAGAACAATAAACCATGTTTTAATTTTACATATTTACAATGAAATTAACAGCTGTCTTTGTCATTGTTTGTGACTTTAAAGTATATTTTCCTCCAAAAAATCAAAGCTTATTTCTCAGCCCTACCACACCTGCTTCAGCCCTTAACCTGTAAATCTGACAATCGGCCTGCATGATCTGAAAGATATGCAGTATACAATACCGTCTTTGAATACTGTGATTTTGATCAGAAGTGTAGTCGATCTAGAAATATTAGTATCATTATCAGCATAATAACATATCAATATCACTTCTATTGTCTGTCTACTGCTTTTCATGTTTTATAAACTACCAGCGTTTGCAAGAATTTTTTTCTGAAACCAACAGCCAAAGACATTGTTTTCTCATCTCTAAAATATCATATGAAAATAAATAATTAGTAAATAAAATAAATTATTAGTAATTCATTTATCAAAATTGCAACATGAACATTTGCAACAAACACACTGCTTAAGTCTTGATTTTCACAACATATTTGGAATGATTACAATTATAAAAACAACAATCTATGTGACCAAACAGTAATTTTGGTAATGCTTGTGTGGGTGATAATTTTTGGTAGGTTCAGTTGACCTAATCAGCACATCACCAGGTGATTCATATCTGTACATTCCCCAGGAGGAGCCATTGAGCAGTCATGTGACTATGATTAAGCTAGCCACCTATTAGCATCTATGCTAACAGTTAGTGTGCTGTGAAGAAGTCTGATAGCCTGCATAAAAGATGAACATTAATCAGATTTATTCAAACATTAGCCACCTGTATCTCTGTGAAGGTTTTGTTTTATCAATAGGACCCACAAAAACCAGAGCTAAGCTAGCAGGGAGAATAAGCGCTAACATGTGATATCCAGTCAGCAGAGTGACTCAATAAGGCTGCTCTGCTTGAACCAGCAGCAGTGAGTCTGTTCATCTTAATTCTGTGAGAAACTTCGTTTAATTACTCAGTGTGAACAATGAGTTAAAACACATTTTAACTGATGTACTTATTAGATTCGAGTTTGATTTGAAGTCATTTTCAAAAGATCAAATTTTTCTTATTTTGTTTACTGACAGAGCGGCTTCTTCAGTGTAGATGTGTTGCAGTTAGATATTCATACGGTTCTATGTGGATTATATAGAAAACAGCCCCCCGCAGACACTCACTGTTAAACTCTGTTACAGTTTCCTGGGATGGGGAATGACAGTCATATCTCTCCTCTAAAATGATGTAAGCCATGATTTCAGCTTCATGACGGAGGTTTGTCTCTGTTCTCTCAAATCGCTGTTACTGTCCTAAATGTTAAATATGTCCTCAGAATCAGAGGGTTGTCTCGTGATGACTCTGAGTTTGCTCTGTGAGGTCTGAGAGAGAGAGAGAGAGAGAGAGAGAGAGAGAGAGAGAGAGAGAGAGAGAGAGAGAGAGAGAGAGGGTTCAGATTAGAGAGAGGGGCCCTCTGGGTTTGACTCACAGCCTGGAAATTCCTGTCAGAGCTCCTCTGTGATATAAACACTCCTCTTCATCTCTCTCTCTCTCTCTCTCTCTCTCTCTCTCTCTCTCTCTCTCTCTGTGTGCTCGGTCACTCTGACTCTATGAGTAGTCCTAAAGGGACTCCGTCTGTGTTGGTATGAGGTGACAGCCTTTCAGACATAGTTGACCAGAGCAGAGGGAACAGGGAACTATGAAGATCATCGTCCATTGCATGCCCATCATTCTTTGCGCTCCTCTCACAGCCTCACAGGTTACAGTGAAAATAATGTACACCAGTGTAAGTGACGAGGAACAGAGTCCTGACATGTGGAAGTACTGCAGTTTTACTGGGTCAAGAAATAAGAAGGAGCAAAGATGATGGATAAACAATAATAAGCATTTAGGGATGGTTTTGAAACCAACTTCTGTTAAGGACCTGGTTTAGCTTTTTTAAAGCGTAGCTGACTGCAGACACAGCAGAGTCCTGTTAACTTGTTAACAGTTGATCCTCAGTAAGCGCTCACCAATGAATAGTTGGTCTTCCACTTTCATCTCAGTTGGTATTTAAAAAATAAGGGGATGTCATCAGCTAAAGTTGTTCTTTGTCTTATCTGTCTTGCAAACTTTAACTCTACAAAGAAAGTCAACTGATTTTTAGAGTTCGATATCTTAACTTGCAGTTAGACATTAATCCACAGATGGGCAGTTAAACTCCTCTCGGGATCTCAGCCACCATCAAGTGATCTCATTTATATTGTCGATGATCTCACCAAAACGAAAAATTTCCTCTTCACTGTAACTTGCTAAATGCCGTATCGTGTTACACTCATGTAGTTGAAGATGAGATGGGAGTGGGTCTGATCTTAAGAGATGGGGCCTAATCTTACCCCATCTTCACATTGGATCTCTGTGAAGATCTAGTCTAGGCCAGCCTTTTTTATTAAGTGTCTTGGGATAACACTTGTTATACATTGGCACTATATAAATACACATTAATTGATTGACCAAGCAGCAACCTCTGGTCATGAGAAATAAAGCCTATGTGGAAGTGCTAAAAACCGCAGTTTCCCAAGTGTCCACTTAAGGCTGACCGCAGAAGCACCAGAAACCACATACACACTAATTCAGAAAAGCCAGTTATAGAGCAAACATAAACATGTTTGAAGCCTGGATCAAAAAGCAGATTTGGTCTTAAGGCTCCCACAGCACCCACTGTATAGGGATGGACTTGATTTATAACACATTTGTTTTAAAGTTAAGGCTACAAGAGGCATGGCTGACTTGACTAACAGGAAGTCACTGCTGCTGCAGTACCCAAACTTTCCTCCTTTTCCACACAAAGAAGCTTTAGCAATCACACCTAAACTTTGTTCCAAGTCCCAAAAATTAAAAATATTAAACCAGTGATGACATCCGAGTTATGATCGACAGAAAACAGCCAAGTTATTTAAGCAAACTAGGTGGTTACACCGGGCTGAGTTCAGTAAAACAACTTTTAAACATACCGTTATAGTGTTTAAATGTATCGTCAAGAAATGAAAATCAAAGTTTTAGGGAGAAACTTGAATGACAGTTGTTGTGGGGGAGATTTTTTTGTTTCAACAATATGAAATAGCTAGATCTAATGTAATTATGACTTGTTTTAATTCCAAATATGAGCTCTATGGGGAGACAAAGACCAAAGTTACACAGAGCCCAGAGCAACAGAGAGCATCTCACTCACCTTGGCTGGGTGGAGTTCACATGCCTTTATTTGTCTGATTTTAAATCAAAAATTGTCCTATTGTGACCTCGATATCATGATATTTTGTATCCTGATATTGTTACATCCCTCAGACTCTGCTGCTATTACTCACATTGGAGATCTTTTTTTATTAAGTGTGGCTGTTTGAAGTAGGCCTACTTGGCAGCAGTAAGAGTATTACACAGAGAGGATCCTGGTCAGCTTAGCCCTTTTGTTGAAGAACCAGAGCAGGATCTAGGCCATCAACAACTGCAAACAGTGTCAGCTCTCCCTTGCAGTATTGATAGTTTTAAGACAGTCTAACCAATCCTCTTGTTGAATTAATTCATTTTGGTACCATATACAGATGTAACACAGACATTCCTTTAAGACACCGGAACAGGCAGGTAAGACGAAAGAAATTGTTAAAATGACGACTAAAGTTTTTGTAGGATTACAGTAAGCGCCATTATATGCAGTTATATGATATTTGCTGGAACAGTCTATTACCATCCATTCTCTCCATATTTTTAGGAGTAGTGGTGGAGCTCTTTTCAGACACATTTCAGACCACTGTCAGGTTTACAGAACATTTTTGGTTGTAGTAGATGTCGCTGTATTAGTTGTCTTCCTTGAAAGATGAACAGTTTACACTGAAAGTGACTAATTTGTAAATATTTCCAGAGATGGGTGTCCCCTTCCAGACTAAATCTCTCCCTTGTCCTGTTACAGGAGAGAAGTTTTCCAACCTCAAATATGCCATTTGGTACTATTGTACTTTTTCCAAACCATTGAGCCCAACAATCTTATTTTTCCTGTTTTCATTTAGTGTTATTTCATGTGGATGCATACTTTTAAATGATTAGAGAGGTTCTTGTTCTATAATTAGTGTATTATGTTCATTATCTTTGAGAGTAAACTGTGAATTGAGTGAATAATCACCTAACTATTAAGATCATTTTGTTTTTGTCAACTTAGAATTAGCCTTTTAAATCTACATTGGAGCGAGGCCCCTTCCATGGGTGCTGCTATCCTGCACCGCCATGTTGCTACAGTAACACAGAATAGACAAACATGTGAATGGCCGTCTGGAATGGACCTGGTGGAAAACAAGGAAAAAGGGAGTTGTTGCTGTTGTGCGCAAAAGAGTTTGCATAGATCAGATGTTTTTGATGGTATAAAAACTGGATTCCTAAAACTGTTGCTTCATTGATGACAGGGGTGAGCAAGGGAGTGGTTGAATCTAGGATGTGACTGCTAAATATTGATAAATGTTCCTTTTCCTACACACAGTACCTTAAACAATTTTTTAAGAGGTTTAGGCTTTTAAGCAAAAGTATCAGCAGCTATATTTAGAAAGACACTCTGATTCATGCTGGGCCTCTTGTCGCTGTAAGTATGAAAGCTATAATATTCTAAAACTATGACATATCCAAATATGTATTCTATGTCATAAATTAATCAGAAATCCATCCAGAGCATTTAAATATAAATACTGCTACCATGTGTAATATAATGCAGTTTAATACTGATTCTGTCATAAATATCAGTACAGCATGCACAATGTATTTTTCTATTTACTGAACTGATTAAAAACTAAAAATTAAAAACTCTAAAACTCACAACTGGCCAAGTTCAACATGCATACTCAATTGTTAAGTGCATGGAACAATCGAATAATACATGACTGCCTTCTTTAAGGGTTATTTAGCCCACATGTTCATATATTCAAATTTTTTTTTTTTAATGATCACAGATGTCTGGACAAAAATGCAAAAGTCCCTTGCGGCAAATTTACTGAAATATTTTACTTTATTTATGATTTACTATTTATTTTGTCAAAAAGAAAAATCAAGATTAATGTGATATCAACATAATAAATCAGCCACCTGCTGATCTGCTTCCTCAAAATCAACATCTGCCATTAGAAAACAGTATTGTCAAACCACTAGTCTGTGATGAATAATGCGTCCGTTGATGGTCAATGATCCATGAGTACAGACACACACTTTCATGCATGTGTCTGCTGGATCGTATAGAATGTAATTCATATGAGTATACAGTATATAAACCTATGACAGTATTTATTAGCTCTGCATGTCCTGAACCAGCTGTTTGTGTCATCATTAGAAGATTTAATGTTTTCAGTTGCAGTTTCTTTGTCTCTCCTGTCAGCAAACAGTCTTTTCGCGTGTCTGCTCTTATTATAAGACATAACAATGACGTGATCTGCTTCTAAAAGGTGTCTGCAGTGAAAAACAGCAGATAGAAAAGCCTGGATCTGCCTCCACTCATCTCTTTTCCTTATCATAACAATAACAATAAAACCATTATGCGGGCACAGCTCAGCAGCAGTCTAAGCATTTTTCTCTTTTGACGGTTGGCAGAGTAAATGCTGATAGTTACACCAGCACACAGGTATGAAGGAGTGGCTCAGATCCACCTGTCTTGCCCTCCCAGCCCCACCTGTTGCAGAAAGGGAAGAGGAGGGGGGTACTGGAAAGAGAGGTGCGCCGCCTCAAACCTGCATAGAGCAGCTCGATGTCAGTAAAACACAGACTCAGCATTGTGCGTTTCACCTGGTATTGAGAGAGGAGTCAGTGATTTCTACACAGGTAGGATTTTTTTTATTAATTTGATCTGTAAGAAAACATGACAGTGTGAGCTGAAGTCAGATTTATGTTGTGAAGCTTAAAACAGTGGATCTAGTCTTGGGTCTGTGAAGGACGAGTTAAAAAAAAGACAAGATTTTTTTTTTTACTTTCACTTAAATGGTCTTAAAAGCCACACAGTTTTAAATGTAATGTGAATGTAAATTTTTCACATGCCTCTGAAATCCAGCTGGAATTTACTCTGTTCTTTCCCTCTTTTTGTCTGGCTTTTTCTGTTGTTTCTGGGAATTTACTTTCATATTCTGTATATATTTTAATTTACAACTTCAAACTTTTGCAGAAGCAACCGGTATTGTTTTGGTGTAAGATACAAAAGTTCATGAAAAAGACAAACAACAGACGGCAATGATTAAATGAGTGGTGACCAAAGAATGTGGCACTGTGGAAAACATGTGTGAACTTGTCATTGAACACTGAATGACATTATTCTCAGCTGACTTTAGTTTTACTTTTTGCATGTCAACTCAATGGAAATGGGCATATAGTCAAATCCAGGAGGCCTGGTTCAAGAGAAAGAGAGAGATTTATGTGTAATGGGTCATCAGAGTCCAGGACTTCATCCAACATACTGGTGAAAAAGATTTTACTGTGTTACTTCAAAACTGCATGCAACAAGGGAGAAAATTGATTGTTTAAAATATTTTATCATGAGACATAGTACAGGGTTTGATTTGCATTATTTGGTTATAGAATCTGAATACCCCCATCATGCAACATAACAAGACACTTTGATATTAATTATCTTTTGATACCTAGGTACATAATGTGGCAAAAAATACAATTTCATGCAAATAATCATTTGTTATCTTTGTAGAACACAAAATGCTTTATTTTAATATACTAATAGCGTTACTGTTATTCCCTAGAAGTCAGCAGACAGATACAGCATGATGTGCATTATGTTATTTCATTGTACATTTTTAACAGCAAAATAATATAGTTTAATGTACATTATCTTGGACTTTACTCTATTACCCCATCATGTAGCACAATGAAACAGTATGAAGTTTATTGTCTTTTGATAATAACTACAGTATAATGTACATTGTATTGAGTTTTACTGCCAATCCCTAGAATGTAGCAGACATATTCAGTCTGCATTATCTTTGATATTTCAGTACATAAGGCAGCAACAGATTCAGTTTGTTGTTAGTTATTATTTTATTGTTCAGGACTATACTTTAATTTCCCATAATGAAGCACATAAGAACAGTATGATGTACATTTTCATATTGCTATCTCTGAACAGCAGACAACAGATATGGTATGACATACATTGTCAATAATTGCCCTGTATTTTTTTACTGAAATCCAGCGCACAGAAATAGTATTATGTTCTTTATCTTTACAGGATGCAGCAGACAGAGTTTTACACACATTATCTTCAGTTCTCCCTTAAATCTTTGAAATGTCGCAGATACAGTATGATACTGTACTTGAGTTACACTACAGGCCAAAAGTTTGGAAGCAAGGCCATTACAGGCCGAACAGTTGGGAGTAACTTCAAGTTTTTGTTCACAATGCTTTTTTAAAATCCAGCATGAGTTTTATGTACAGTATTTCGGGATGTATTTACTCCATGATCAGATGTTGCTTTCATGGAAATGCACCATTTTACTCCATTTACCTTTAGATATACATTGATGTTAACAGACCATTGCTAAATATATGTCAGCAAAAGATAATTAGGGCTTAGTTTTAGGGTTGAAAACATTTGTAAGAGTCACAACTTAAGTGCAAAAGCAAAAAAACAAATCACAGTTGGATTATTCACTTCAACTTTTTGGCTTTTGAGAGTCTGCATACAAAAATCGTAATAAATCTCAACTGCATTCAAACTAACACAAAAATGGCTAGAAAGAAGCAACTGAGTAAAGAAACAGAAGTACATATTTGTACATTGAGGAAAGAAGGATACACAGAAAGAGGAATTTCAAAACACCTAAAGGTGTTTAACAAAGGAGTTCACTACACTCTGAAGAGACTATAGGAACCTGGAAGTTATGATGATAGAAAAAGACCTCGACGAAAGAGATTTACTACAAAAGCAGAGGATAAACATAGCATTGTCACCAATAAGAGAGATCGGCAAAAAAGACAGCACCAAAAATAAGGAAGGAAATCAACATGACAAGGTCAAAACCCATATCTCTGACAACCGTGAAATGACGTTTGAGAAAGGCTGGTCTGAAGGGTTGTGTATCTGCAAAAAAACACTACTTCATCCACAGAACAAGATAAAGAGATACGAGTGTGCAAAAGCTCACAAAAATTGGACTTATGATGACTAGAAACAAGTTTGCACTGTTTGGTTCAAAACGCAGAGTCTATGTCTGCAGAGAAACTGGTGAACGTCTGAAAGCACCATGTTTTACACCCACAATTCAGCATGGAGGTGGTAGTTCCATGGTATGGGGATGTTTTGCAGGTGATAGAGTAGAAGTTTTGTTTGAAGTAAAGGGTATTATGAAGAAAGAACAGTACCACTCCATCCTCCAGCACCATGCTGCTCCATCTGGACTCAGACTTGTGGCTCATAAGTTTGTTTTGCAGCAAGACAATGACCCTAAGCACTCTGCCAAGCTCTGTCAGGGTTACCTAGACAAAAAAGAAGAGGAAGGTGTTCTTCAAAAGATGGTTTGGCCCCCTCAGTCTCCAGACCTTTCTCAGTTGGGCTTATGCGGGATGAATTGGATCGATCGGTCAGAAAAACGCATCCCACGAATCAGCAGTCTCTTTTTGATGAACTTATACCTTACCTTACCATACCTTAAAAAAACTTGTGGAACGAATGCCTGGTATATGCCAAGCTGTTGTTAAAGCCAGAGGAGGTTACTTTAAAGAAAGCAAAGTCTAAGCAACAATAACTCAAATACCTAATAATTACAGTCAAAATGTCCTCTGATAAGTTACTCTTTACACAATAGTCATGTTTATTGTGTTGCAAATTCTATATATGAAACTATGATCTTTTTTTGTACGAATCCGATCTTGCTTCCAAACTTTTGGCCTGTAGTGTACATGTGTGCAGAATGATGCAGAAAGACACAGTATGGTGTTCATTATCTGTAGCCATGTCCTCATAGTATTCACCAAATACATCTAGTATTGTGTGTGTTCTCTGGAGCTGTAAATTATCACTGAATGTATTAGCAGGTGTTATATGATGTGTCTATGGGGTCTTTGCAGTCTTGACCTGGATTTATTATTTGTCCCACAGTGATAATCTTTTTAAGGTAATGTATACATCAGGCTACACCCACTGATTCATCATGAAAAACACGTACGGACATGTGAATGTTTAAAACCCTGCTGCTGAATAAACTATTTACATGATGGTGGGTGAGGAGGGGGGGAAGTTTGGGGGAGAAGGAGGTGCAGAGGGGGAGTCACATCTGGAGGTGATTATTTTTTCTCCTCAGAAGAGGAGGGTTAGTTCAGCTGTCATACTGATCGTCTGACTCACACTCAGACCTTCTGTCCTGTCCCCCAATACTTACTGTGTGTGTTATGATGTCCCATCAGTAAGTTTCCGTCATACATGAGGAGAATGAGATCTGTTCAGTGTTTTAATTAAGCGTCTCTCCCTAACAATGAAGCAGAGACACAGGAACACTGTGGAGGATCAGCTGATCACAGCAGGAGACACAAACCACAGAAAACCTGAACCTCAGACCAACAAAGAGCAGCAAATTCTGCAGTTGCACTGATGTTAGCTTCAGGTCAACTGTTTGACTCAAATAAAATATGTAACAGCTTGACCATTAAGATTTTTCCCTCTGCAGAATCCAAAACACAAGGAAAAACAGATCCCTCTGATCCTGATCTTAGACACTGATCAGACTGTAACTGCATCGTGTGAAAGTTCACAAAGCAGATCATCATCAAAAACAGCTTGATACATTATCTCGCTCCTCTCTTCTGCAGAGCTTCCAACTCAGCCACATCAAAAAGAACCAGAAAACCTTCAGGATCTGCTCATACGCCAGGACCAGGAGTTGGGCAACATCCCACCAGACCCAGATTGACCACATCATCCAACCACCCCCACCCAGGACAACTTCATCATCACTACCAACATCACTAAGCCCCGCCTCTGCCTCCAAGTGCTGCCCCTGTTGTAATATCACAACATGAGCAGCTCCTGACGCCCCCTACAGGCAGAGAGCAGCGTGCGCAGCCACACAGGTAGGTATGGTGATTTGATCAATGTATTGACATGTATGCAAACAAGTTGTGTGTGTGTGTGTGTGTGTGTGTCTGTGGGTGTGTGTGTGTGTGTGTCAGTTGGTATGATTGGCTGGTTTGTTGTTTGTTACTTTTCCTATCAGTACCAAACTTCTACTGTTCCAAAAGTAAGAGGAAATCTCCATTACATGATAAATTGTCTTGCATATTATTGGTTGATTTGTCTGTGATGTCATATTAATGATCTCTTTGCTCACTGTGGGTCTCTGCAAAAAAAGGTTTCCTCTCATGTGACCTATAAAGGAACCTCATAGACTAAAAGACCTGCAGTACATTAACATAAGGACTGTTGAGTTGATAGATGTATTATTTCATCAGTAAAATGAATTCTGACAGGGCGCGTGAAGTATCTCTGGAATTATGGAGAACGGACTTGACTCATATTGACTTGCCTCATTCTGACTTGACTGGACCCCCACATGCTGGGGACTGGGCTGGGTTTATGCTGACTGGACTAGATACAAAGACACAAGACCAAACTTAGACAGCTTGGACTGGATTCAAATAGACTGGACATCAACAGATTTTACTGTTTGAATAGGCTGGACTGGAGTGGATTGGATTCAAAGACTGCACTCAATCCTGAGGGACTGGCCTTGGTTCTAAGACTCCACTGTATTATCAGAGACTTCACTGAATCCTTTAAGACTGGACTAAATCAACAAGGATTGACCTAGGTTTACATAGACTGAACAGTTTTCATTGAGACTGGACTGTCTTTTAATGTACTGGACTGGATTTTCATAAATGATGAAGAATGGACTGGAATCATGGAGAGTTTGTTGATTTGTAGGGAATTGACTTTATCATTACAGCTTGGACTTGACTTAAAAATTGGACTGGAATCATACCAAGTTGACTGGATTGAACTAGGCTGGACTTTATGTGGACTGTACTAGTTATACAAACTGGGCTGGATTTATAGAGACTTGACTGGAGTCATACAGGTGGACTAGATTTGAAAGTAGGGCTGGAAACTTGGAAGATGGACTGGAATTATACAGACTGGATTAGATTGAGATTGATTGGATTTAGTTAATTGAAAAGGGACTGGATTCACTGAAAGTTGACTGGATCCCTAGACACTGGACTGGATTCATTGGGGTCGATAGCCTTTACCTCCAAAGTATTAGTCCTGAATTCTGTAGATTACAAGAAAGAAAAATAATGTGAAAAAAAAAACAGGATAAATCTGCATGTGAACTCAGTGTTTTTTACCTGTCAGTCCCCCTCTCTCAGCTGTCCTTTCCTCTGTTGTCTGCTGACCTCTGATCCCTCCTGGTCCTGCTGATTTGGGGTCAGAGGTCAGCTGAGTTGGTGTTAAACTGCTGTAAAAGCGGTAAAAGTATGGTGGAGGAAGTTTGGACTGGGTGGAGGAAACACACAGAAACATGTAGTTGAAACTGTGAAGATGAAATCACAGAAAAGTACTATCCCCACAGTCACGGTGATCGTTATCTATGTGTATCACACACTCTGCCAAAGACAGACCAATAGCTGTGGAAGCAGTGATGCAGATTTAGTTAAATATTGCAAGTTCAGGTGTGTACTGTCTGAGTATTATTGCAGCAAACACTTACATCTCCATTTCTGTGCCTTCAGTGTATTTCCCTTCAGTCTAAGTTTATCCCTCTCAGCTTATTATCTCTGTGTGTGATATTTAGTGTCTCTGTGAACTGTTTTCACTGTTAGTCAGTCACACTTAAGCAGCATAATTTCTATATTTTACAAAGTAACTTGGAGGAGTTTGGATAGTCTTGTCTTGGAGTGATCACAGACATGAGAGGTGATGACACAGAGAAATATCCCTCCCATTTCCCCACTAGCAGACAAACAGCAGGTCAGCTTCATCTGTCTAAAGATGTCTTGCCTTGAATTCTCTTAAGAAAACCAGATTTGTTTCCTGTGAGTGTGTTTCCTCTTCCATGGCCATCTGCCTCCTTTCATACTTTGTTCTGTATCGTCTCTTCAGCTGGAAGAGACGTGACTTGTTGTTGACCAAAGCTAACATTGTTTCTCTTGTCCCATGATTTTATTTACCTGCAGATGTTTCGGAAAAAAGCATCTTCCTCGTTGAGAATGAGAAGGATAACAGAAAGCGCTAGATGTAATAATTTATTTCTTTACTCTGTAGACAGAGGTGTTCAGTGTAACAGTTAACATTCAGTGTTGTCAGAAGAAAACATGCTGATACATATACATATAAATCCTATAATAATAGGGGTTATGCTTCTCCTGCAGAACAGGTAAAAGTTTATCGTCTATTCAGTCATGTTAATGAACAGCTCAAACCTTTGTCAGTTCAAATTTCCCAAGTTTGACTTACTAGGAAGAAATAACAGTCCAGCAGACACTGCAGCTGGTTTTCTTCTGACAGCTTTGGATGTTAAACTGAATACACAAGCTCCTGTTTCTTCCTCTGTGTGAAAACTTGAAATCACTGGGTTTGAAGTCTTTCTAATTGTTACCATTTTGTGATGTTTTTTTTTTTTTACATAGCCACAGTCAGAGGGTTATAGTCTCTCATACTTTCATTAAATAACCTTCCTCCTGCTGTATGGTCGGTGTTGAGGGGTCGAATGGAGTCGCTGTGATCCTGTGTGATTATCATGAAATGATCCTTGTCCTGATCGTAATCTGACAGCAGAGTTTGTGACTGATGTGGTGTGGTACAGTTGGTGAGAAACATCATAGAGACCAAAGACTGATCCCAGATAACTTCAGGTTTGATTAAGCTTTTAACCTATTGTCATTTAGGCACATATAAACATAAAAACAGATACCAATAAGAGACAGATTGAGCAGTAATCTAGATTCTGTGCACAGAGCTCTAAATAAAGGGATCTAAATAAGGTGTGTACGTGTATCAAGCATTAAATCTGAATAAAAGCTTTCTGAGCAGAGCTGTCCAGTCAGTCTACTCTGCTGGAAAATCAATTTAAAAGTTAACCACAAAACCATCAGACATGTCAAATCACTCTTATTTTGTCAGCTAAGGATGAGTTTTTTGTAACGTTTGTATTTCAAGCCATTCTGACAGGAACAAATGCAGCAATAAAAACTAGGGATGGGAGAAAAAATCGATACAGCATAGTATCAGGATATTTTGTCTGGTGATATATTGTCTCATTTACCAAGTATCGGTTTTTAAAATTAATTGCTAATGTGAAGTCAAATCTATGATAATAGAAGAATAAAATCAACTGTTTGTCCAGTGAGGTTGGCAGAGGTGACATCATAGGGCAGGAGAAAGTTAGTACAACAAATATACATAAGGTTTGCAAGATGTGCTACATGAAAATAAAATACAGCGTAAATAATCATCAAAAAGGAAAGCCAAATTAGCTAAACTGTTGAAAAAATTATATAAATCACAATATATTGTATCCCAATACTCACTGTATTGCAAAATGTTAAAAATCGCAATAATATCGTATCATCGCTTAAGTATCGTGATAATATCATATCGTAGGGCCACTAGTGATTCCCACCCCTAATAAATAACATCACATTATGTGGAGCTGGCATGCTCAGAAGGACTAGTTTTACTACAGCAAGTAAAAACAGATCAGAGCAAGTGTTGGCTCAGCTATCGATCCAAAATACAATCAACTTAATCCCTCTAAAACTGGATCAGACCAGATTTTTTTCTGCTTGAGGTGTCTACATGGTGTGTTTTTTAAATCTGATCAAGCTATCCATGTAATTATTATAATGTAAACATAGGAACTGCTTCATCCAGGGCCAAATGTCACAGAGGTGGTTTTGAGACTGTTAAGATCTGTGGATTCTTGTTTGATATGGCCAAATCATATGCCCATCGAGAACCAAAATGGTCTTTGAGGAAAGACTTTAGGAACATCCAACAACGTTACATTATATGTATTTAAGTAGAAATCAGCATGTTAGGTTTCCTTTAAGAGTTTAAAGTCTATGCTTGCCTCTGAAATCTGGTGGTGTGAAGTAAGCAAGTACTTAACTTTTAGCTACATGCAGGCTAACGTTATCGGGCGACAAAGTTCATTAGTCAGGCGTTTTGTGTGGTGGGACAGGGAACTGTACGGTCAGTTATTAGAGAAATGGTTAACCAAATACTAAATGCCAGCCACAGTAATGGACCCCCAAATGAGATCTTCCGACACTGTATCCACCACTCAGTCTGCAGACCTCAGCGGCTAACAATGCTAACCTGCTCCTGTAGTAGCATTAGAGTGAACATTACTAAAGTCTAAGACTCCATGTTTGGTCATCACACAGACATCACAGTCTCATATCTTTGTTTGATACCCTCTGACAGTCTATTCAATCATGCACTTCTGCATCTTCCTGGGCTTTGGGGGGTCCATGGGGGTGGGCAGGGGAGCATAGAGGTATGGGAGACCCTCCTGTCTCTGTGTCTGTGCTCTCACCTGATCTCATGTTTCTGAAATAACATCATGTTCTTCACTTTTGATACAACTCTGATCCCCTCTGACGCTCTGCCCCCCTCCTCCATCTCCTCCTTTTTCTCCTTCTCCTCTGTATCCACCTCCTTCTTTCTCTGCCCTACCTCCTCTTCACAGGGAGTATTGATCGTGGCAGGAGTTTGTCCTTCCATGAGGTGCGCAGTCAACGGGAGGCAGAGATGAGGGCCGCAGCAGAGGAGTCGTCCAACAGCAGCAGCAGTGTGGGAGGTGGAGGAGGAGGTGGCAGCAGCACCGTCCTCCAGCGCCTCTTGCAGGAGCAGATGAACCGTAATTATGTGCTGCAACAACAACAGCAACAACAGCAACAACAACAGCAAGGAGGTGGGGGAGGAGGAGGGGGAGGAGGTGGAGGTTACTCAGGTCAGGGTCAGGGTCAGGTCAGCCTCCCTGATGATCACTCCATGACTCCCCATATTGCCCGGCAGGAGCCCCAGGGACAGGAGCTGCAGACGGATAGTGGTGTGGAGAAGCTGGGCTCCACCAGAGGAGGTGGTGGGAGCAGTGGAGGGGGAGGAGGTTTGGGGACTGGAGGAGGCAGCAGTGGAGGAGGTGGGGTTCAAGGGCAGTGTCTTAACCCTGAGGACCTCCCTACATATGAGGAGGCCAAAGTTCAGTCTCAGTATTTCCGTGGTCATGGTCCTCCACCTCCTCAGCCTCCACAGCAGAACAACCCCCCTCAGCAACCTCCCCATCCCACCTCAGTGGGCGCCGCCTTCTACGTCACCGGTGTGACCAATGCCAAGGTGCGTACTGAGGGTCGCCCCACGGTGCAGCGAGTCAGTGGAGCGGGTAAGGTGCACCAGGACGACGGGCTGAAGGATCTCAAGCAGGGACATGTGCGCTCTCTTAGTGAGCGTCTGATGCAGCTCTCCCTCGCCACAAGTGGTGTTAAAGCTCATGCCCCTGTCACCAGCGCCCCACTCTCCCCTCTGCTGCCTCCCCCTGGGCCGCCAGGCGACTACTACAAGCCACAACATCGAGGTCCACCTCCGGACTACCCCTTTAAAGGAATGAGCTCACCCTCCAAACAACAGGACTCTGGGGGCCATTTTTACCAGGAGCAGAGAGGGAGGGAGCACTCAAGGGAGGTGCCTCATGTCCGGTACCAGCCCCCACCTGAATACGGCTCCTTCAGGTGAGCCTCCACTCAAACACAACCATATGAAATAAATTCATGTGGTATGTGCTGAGTAAGAGAATCTTCTAAAGAGGTCAGATTGGAGCTGTTGGTGTTTCTTTGAACATAGTCTCATGTATTAACAACAGTAAAAGTCCCTTGAAAAGAATAAGTACTTTCCAAGGCTTCAAATGACTCCATTGTTCCTCCTCAAAAGATTTAAACAAGCCCATTTCTTGACTGAGCTTAAAAAAAAAAAACTGAATCCTGGTAATTGTGAATCAGGGGTGGAAATCTGGGTTTTTCTGTACACTGGGAGGACATCCAGAGGGCACGTTGTTAAGGAAATCAGCTGAAAGGGCATTCAGAGAGCCCTTTGACCTACTTATCTTTATCTGCTGAAAGGGCATTTAGGGATTTCTTTTTTTTTTTTATTTAGTTCACTGAGACATTTCTTCAACTGGTTGGACCTATAGGGTGACTTGTACTGAATTTTTATTGACTGGTTGGAGATTTTGAGGATATGTCTTTTTTTTCACCAGCTTGAAAGGCATCCAGAGGCTCTTTATAACTCTATTTAGTGGAGGGCATCCAGAGGTCATTTTTGTGTTCAATTCACTAGAAGGGCATCCAGACTGCAATTTTTGACATTATACTCTCTGGAAAGGCACCCAAAGCATCCTTTTCTTGGTCGCATTCATAGGAAGGGGATCCAGGGGCCCTTTGTTTGATGTTTGATCTGCCGAAAAGGCATAGAGCAGGAACTTTTAATGCTTTTCCCTGAAAGGGATCCAGGATCACATTTTTATATATGATCCATTGAGGAGTCCTCCAGGGGGGGATTTTTTTACATTTTCATAGACAGGTAGTGGAGTGAGAGCTTACGCCATCACTTGGAAAGGCATCCAGAGGACACTTCATTGCTTTTATGGCACACAGCCAGAGCAGATTTTAACACATTTCTCTCTAGAAAGGCATCCAAATGGTGCATTGTTTAAAGGAATGCTAAAGAACTCATTCTGGTTTTCTGACAGTGTTTTGGTAAATGATGATGATGATGATGGTGTGGATCCTGTTGGACCTGTTTTAACCTCTTTACCTGGAAAGAACCAGATTCACACAGACTTGAATACCACAGCATTAAAATCATCAGGCAGGACATGTCGGGACTCGACCTGCTCGGCTCTGATGACGTTTTCTTTTTTCTAGGATAAAGGCAGGAATGTTAGCTCCCAACAGAGCAGGTTTACAGAGAGTGTTTTCCCACATCACAAAGAACCAGACACAGGCAGTCAGACAGGTGAATCAGTCAGACAGGTGAATCAAACAAAACAGAGGTTCACAGGTAATTAAAAAACGTAGGCACTCTTTCGATCAAGTTTTATGGGAGGAGCTTTGATTGCTTGATCTTGTATGCAAATACAGTGTGCGTTGGTATTTTTACTTTTTTGTTAAGTAATTTCTATGAGTTTCACACCAGTTAGCAAAAACCCCAGGGATTATTTTAGCTCTTAGAGAAGAGCTGAAAGAGAAAAAACACTCTGTTCATTGCTGTTGATTTTTTATGGACCTCTGAGTGCCTGAGGAGCTGAGACTGAGAAAAAGTGGGTCGTATTCTGATCAATACATTGGCAGTTCTGTCCTTGGTATCTGTGGAACCTCAAGAAAGACACTGTGCCCATGATGTCTCTGAAGGCAGAGCAGTCAGTGTGTGTAAGATTACTACTGAGAGGCAGACTGACACTGAGGGGTTATCCTGACCCGGTATTATCATGTATCCTGGATGATCTGATCAAAAGTTAAGTGCTTTAAGTTCTTATGAGGGTCCACACTTTGTATTGTTATGTTTCCCATGCATCTCCAGTGATCACCTGTGATCAGATACCACCATCATGCTCTGTATGTACATAACAAACTGAGCCCCATTCACCTTCATATGACTCTAAATCACTTCAAACTACAACAAAGCGGCCATGCAGGGGGGAGGGAGAGTTACAAAGGAGTATTGAATCACGCGCCCCACCTCCATATGCAGACAGGATGATGGGATGTTGACACAGTGAGGTGTGTTTATGCCAGCAGTTACGACTGTCTGCATGTAATTCAGATTGTTACCAGGTGTGAACAGCCTCTTATAAAGATATATTATTTCTCTAATATTTGAACAGGTAAATGTGAAAAGAGAACAGTCGTCAAAAAATGAGAAAAGTGTTGTTTTGAGTGTCGATTTACCATTACAGTCTATGTTATTATCACACATGTAAGACTGACACACATGAATCTCAACTAATGGTGTACTTTGGACCACTGGGTGCCCACTTGATATATATATAATATTATAACATTATAAAATGCCCTCTATGGGGCGCTTTCCATAGAAGATGCATGAAAAGTCGCTAAAGTAGCTGCTCTTCTAAAGAATGAAACATGGCAGCTTGCCCTCTGGGTGCCCTTTCAGTTGATATCAGGTAAACATGGTGTCCTTTCGATGCTCTCACTGTATAAAAAGGACGTTTAAAAAGGGTCTTATCAATACACTCTCAGCACATAAAAAGTTAAAAAGGTGCTCTCTGGCTGCCTTTCCAATGGGTAAAATGTGAAAAAGTGCACTCTGGATGCCCTTCCACCTCTTCATGTTGCATAAATACTCTCTAAAATGCAGAAAATCAAGTGTTAGACGCTCAAAATTTCCTGGGGTAAGACTCCCAGACTCCCTCTTATTATATGTGCCTTAACATGTTTCAATGAAGTTTTGGCTGTGGGTATCGGGGGTTTGAAAATCTGTTTCAGTTTTGAAATCTCCTGGCTACCAAAATAAAAGTTTTAAAGACCTTTATTTTTGACAGGTAGTCAGAAATACCAAGGAGAGACAGAGAAGTAAAGAGCTCACAAAATGGTCCTCAAAATGCGGCTAATAAACACCCTAATCAAACGCTACTTTGCAGGGGCTGATTGACTCAAACATAAGAGGGTTTTGTTTTCACTTGAAATGCATGTGAAAGACAGGGGATTGTCAGGTATCTGCTGTAAATTACATATTACTGTTGAGTTCACTATTTCAGCTGTAAAAGTAGAATAATGGAAAGCAACTTACTATAAAATCCACTTGTTATGTGAGACCGACAGCTTTCAGAAGGGTAAACTCTGTGTATTTCTGCAACATCCAGGGGTTTTTACCCTCTCCTAGAGGAGACCAGTGTATTTTTGTGCTTCATTAACACATGTGATCAACAATTTTTCATTGAACAATTTTATTCTAAGACATAAAAAACAGTATTTTATTTATGAAATGTTATAATACCCTTTATTCAGGTAGTTATCCCTCCTGTAAAAGTCACATCTGTAATAATCACACCTGCAAGAATGATCACTTATATATTAGTAATACTTGTTGTGATGATCACAGCTGTAATTATCAGTCACCCCAGTGATAATTATCATGCCTGTAATAGTCATATCTGATATAGTTATAGCACCTGTATTAGACCTGTAATGATGCCACTCTGTTCTCTGACCAGGTCCAGTAAGGAGGGGTCCCTTCACTCCCAGAGGACCCTCCACCAGCACAGCCCCACCTCCTCCGTCACCTCAGTAGGCTCCTTGTCTCGTACTCAGTCCTCCACCCTCAGCAGCATGCTCAGTGCTTCCCATGCCTCACACCCCTCCTTCCCGCACCAACACCCTCACAATCAAGGGGAGCCTTACCCCCCCATGGGACCCCGCAATCCTCAGGCCCCTGGCCCACACCTAGCAGGAGACAGCTTCACCCTTGGGTCTATCCACCCTCCTCAACCCAGAGGTCACGCTTTAGCTCACGACCCTTATGGCTCCACACCCAGGATGCACCATCACCAGCAGCAGCAGCAGCATCATCAGCAGCAGCAGCAGCAGCTGCAGCATCATCATCAGTACCAACAGCAGCAACAACAACAGCAGCAGCAGCAGTTCGCAGCTAACCCCCCTCCTATGCTCCAGCCCCCAGTCCAGGCCTCACATTTCCCCCACCCTCACTCCTACTCTAACCAGCAGGGGGAGCCTTACGCCATGATGGGCCGCGCTCACCAGATGGTGGACATGCTGACGGAGGAGAACAGGATGCTGAGGCAGGAGGTGGAGGCCTGCCGTGAGAAAGTCACCAAGCTGCACAAGGTGAGGTGAACACATGAACATATGAGCACATAAACACACATGCAAATTAATTCATGGGGAGTACATCAGGAAATAACAGGTACATTAACACTTTAACACGAGTCAATGAACACCAATGCTGTACATGAACACTTGAGCACATGAACACATGAACACATGAGTACATCGACAAATAAAAACATGAATACTTAAATGAAAGAATGTTATAGTGCATGAACTCATCAGCACGTGAATGCATGAACACATGAGTCCATCTTCAAACACATGGATTCAAGAGTACATGAACACATTAACCCATGAGTGCATAGACATGAGTAAATGGATGAGTTGAAACACAAGTAAATGAACAGCAACTCATGATTGAATATGCTTAACATGAACACATGAAAACAAATAAATAAGCACAAGAATGAATAAATACTAGAGTGAGTACATAAACACGTGTACATGAACAATAAGAAACATGAATGTACATATAGATAACTACATGAACAAATGAAACTATCAATAGATGATTCTAAGAATGCACAAGTATATATGCATGAACACACAATCACAAGTCCATGAATACATCAATAAGTAAATGAAAAAGTCAACAAACCAACAAATGATTAAATAAATGTGAGTGGACATGTGAACACATTAATACATAATAAACATACACATGTATATAAATATTAAGACATGAGCACATGAAGATGCTGCAGAATCTAAGTGCAAGTAAAGTCTGAATACCTGGTTTACTACAGTACAGTGCTACATAGTGTGTACAGTAGCTACAGTGTATTTAGTGTGTGTAGTTGCTGTATTCAGGACAACTGCTTCCTCACCCTCCCCAAACTGTTAAATGTGTGCCTTCAGTTTGCAATTATTGTACAGTAATGAGATGATTTATTAATATTTCCAATGTGGTCTCTTCATTCCTCTGTGTGTGTGTGTGTGTGAACAGCTGGAAACTGAGATCCAGCTGGTGTCAGAGGCCTATGAAAACCTGGCCAAGTCCTCTTCTAAGAGGGAGTCGCTGGAGAAAACCATGAGGAACAAGCTGGAGCTGGAGGTCCGCCGTCTGCACGATTTCAACAGGGACCTACGAGGTAAGGGAGTGGGGGGTAGGGGTTACCAGCTGTTTTCACGGGGTGTTCAGCTGAGGGTCTGTCTGGATTAATATCAGACCTTGAACACAAATCAGGTCTGGAGCAATCATTATGTGTTTATGTGATCTTTTAAAACCCACCTCCTCTGCTACACACTGATTCTTCCATGCTGTTGAGAGTCAGCGTGGGATTTCTTCTCATCCTCTATGGTCTGAATTAAAGCCAGATCCTCATTGTGTGTGTGTTTTTTGTGTCATCTAAAGAGCGCATGGAGACGGCCAACAAACAGCTGGCTGCCAAAGAGTGTGACGGCTCAGAGGACAACCGCAAAACCATCTCCCAGCTGCTGACTCAGAGTAATAATCACAAACGCGCGCGCACACACACACTTTATACATAATAAACACACAATAAACTATACACATTATACACATGACATTTACGGTGCAGATGTTAAACATAATGCTCATACATGGAATAAATAAATCAAACTCATATAACACATGCGCATCATTTACTGTGGTCAAGTGTTAATCCTCTTCAGATGATTTTGTCCTCTTGCTTTTGTGTTCATGTGTTCACTCTGTTCATGTTTTCACTCAGATAAGGAGACTCAGCGTGAGAAGGAGAAGCTGGAGATGGAGCTGAGTGCTCTTCGCTCCACCACAGAGGATCAGAGGAGACACATTGAAATCAGAGACCAGGCGCTCAACAACGCTCAGGCCAAAGTTGTCAAACTGGAGGAAGAGGTAGTCATACTGGTTTTTACTGATTATACTGGTTTATGTCGATACTGGTTTTTCCTGGTAAAAACAGATTTTCACTGTTTTAAATGATTTTCTTTTACTGGTTTATTTTATTTTCACTAAATGTATACATAATACATACAGTACATACATTATTCTTTATATAAACTGTATATGTTTATATGTGTGTGACAGTGCCCTGGGAAGAGATTTCTGAAAGGAAAAAGCTTAGATATGCAGGATTGGCTGCAGCGTTTAAGCTGTGTGGATGGAAAGTTAGGGTTTTTCCAGTAGAAGTAGGATGTGGAGGGTTTGTTGCACAATCAACTATCTCATCTCTCAGATGTGTGCTATACAAACGAGTCTGTGGATCTGAATGAGAAAAAAAAGTTAGTCAAGGGCCAAAGCAACAGAAAGGAAGAAAAGTTCAACTCCCAACTCTCATTCCCTCCTTTTTCTTCCGCCTTTCCTTAAAATTGGGGAGAGGGGGAGATAGAGCGTACAGTCTAACCAGGTACAGGTGTGCTCTAGCCTAAACAAGCTCTGCCTGACCAAGCCTCTCTTCAGTTTTTCTCATGAGACTTTTTCCTCATTTTTCCCTCTCCACTGCCAAATCCTCCCTCATGAAAGGGTCATTTATGTATTTGTAGGACAACAGCATTAAGACGAGGGCACAGCTAGGGGGTAGTGAGGTACTGATCCTCTGACTTGTGTATCCTTGTGACTTTCAACATGTGACTTTTGTTTTTTTCAACTCAAAGATTTGTATTTTCTTAGAAGGTTTTCATTGATTTACTAACTGGTTTATTCAAGAGGAATCAAGGTTTACACTGTTTTGTTAGGGCTGAGCTGGTCAACTCAGTGATTTCTGGATTTACACTAAATTATTTATTATTTCTACTGCTTCTTTGATTTTATAATGGTTATTTTTCACACAGACAAAAGATTAAGCATGGTGTTAATTTGTTAATGGTTTTGGTGTGTGTGTGCAGCTTAAAAAGAAGCAGGTGTATGTGGAGAAGGTGGAGAGGATGCAACAGGCTCTGGCTCAGCTGCAGGCAGCCTGTGAGAAGAGAGAGCAGCTGGAGCATCGCCTCCGTACCAGACTGGAGAGAGAGCTGGAGTCTCTGCGCATGCAACAGGTAACACACACAAACTCACACAGAGGCTCACTGACAGCATCAAACACAGTCGAGGTTTCCTGGTCTGTACATTCATAACTCTTTTGTCAAGAGTTTTCAAACATGGCATATTTTATATGATGATGATGATGATGACATTGGTTTCATCGCATAACTAGATTTGGAAGGAAATAGAGGTGATCTGCTTTAACATGTTTGGTTTCAAATTCACTCATTTCCTCACCCTTTGCTCCTCCTCCCTGTCATCACAGCGCCAGGGTGGCTCTCAGAACAGCGGTTCAGTCCCGTCTGAGTACAATGCCACAGCACTTATGGAGCATCTGAGGGAGAAGGAGGAGCGGATCCTTGCTCTGGAAGCCGACATGACGAAGTGGGAGCAGAAGTACTTGGAGGAGAGCGTGATGAGGCAGTTTGCCCTGGATGCTGCTGCCTCTGTTGCCACCCAGAGGTAAATGTAGAAGAAATAGCAGACGTTTGAGTAACTCTCAGAGCCTTGATTGTTGAGGTGTCCTGATGCTCAGAGAAGACCTGACTGCCTTGACCTGCGGGATCAGGTATAAGATAGTGCACAAATCCACTGCTCAAAATAAGCTCCAAGGAACTCAAAGGAAAAAAAGGCATGTTGATCTTTAGAAAAATGACTAAATTTTTGTCTGAAGTCTTTAAATATATTTCTAAATCTTTAAAAGGAATCCCTAATGTGGCCCCAATACTCCATCATAATTTACACAGTTTATATATTTTAAAATTTCTTTGTTATATCTGCACAAAGAGATCAGTTATGGTGTAAGCTAGACTCTTCAGGTGATACATTTAGGACAGGTGTAGTAAGCATTTTTATGGACATCTGTGTGCTGTAACACAGATTTATCTCTTTCCATCAGGGATCGGACGGCCACTGTCATCGCTCACTCCCCCAGCAGCAGCTACGACACATCAGTGGAGGCTCGAATCCAGAAAGAAGAAGAAGAAATCCTGATGGCTAACCGGCGCTGTCTGGACATGGAGAGCAGGTAATGTCACTGAGCATGCTCAGACATGGACACTAAAACACTGATCTGTGAGGTCCATCAGGAGCTTTTATTATGAAAGGTTCTTTTAAGAAGTGATAGTATAGACTGCAGCATGTCCATGTGTCTGTTGACTGTGTATTTTAGTTGTTATGAAACACGTGAGTCTCTGACGTGAGCTTTTTAAGTGATAGTGTCAGGCTGAGCTTTTTAAAGGCAGCACACACTTGGTTCAGTTCTTGTTTTAAAGCAGTGGTTCTCAAGTCCAGTCCTCGAGGCCCACTGTCCGGCATGTTTTGGATGTTTCCCTGCTCCAACACACCTGATTCAAATGATCAGCTCGTTATCAAGCTCTGTAATGGCTTAATAACGAGCTGATCATTTGAATCAGGTGTGTTGGAGCAGGGAAACATCCAAAACATGCAGGACAGTGGGAGCTCGAGGACTGGATTGAGAACCACTGCTTTAAAGGAACATTATATATTTCAGCTGATTCTATTTCTCACACTCATGTTGCATGCTGTTACAACACAACATTAGGGTAAAAAGGCCCTGGTCTAACTGTGGCTCTCTTCTGGTTCTGATCCAGGATCAAGAATCTCCATGCACAGATCATAGAGAAGGACGCCATGATTAAAGTGCTCCACCAGCGCTCCAGGAAGGAGCCCATCAAGTCTGATGTGCCGTCTGCAATGAGGCCCTCAAAGTCCCTGATGTCCATCTCTAACACAGGCTCAGGAGGCTCAGGACTACTCTCCCACAGTCTTGGACTTAGCAGCTCCCCTATCACAGAGGAGCGTAAAGACACAAGCTGGAAGGGCAGTCTGGGTAAGGAGGCGGAGCTAGTCAAAGCTCTGATGAGTGACAGCAGCTTATACCAACACTCTCTAACATTTTCTCAATTTTGGTTTCTCCAGGGGTTCTGCTGGGTCCAGAGTTCCGTACAGACTCTCTCAGGACTGAGTCCATCTCCTCATCGCCCTCCCCGGTGCTCCCCTCCACCCCAATGACGGCAGGTCACTCAAAGACGGGCAGCAGGGACAGCTGCACGCAGACAGAGAAAGGCCAGAGCCAGGAGAGCAGTAAACCCAGCACCCCAGCCCTGCAGAGCATGACGCTGCCTGCACGACTGTCCAGCCCCAGTCCAGTCTACATCCCAGACCGCATCACAGGTCAGTCTGAACCAGGGTCCACTGTGTTCCTGAGCTGCAGGGTTCAGCATGACTGAGCCCTTTTCTTTAAAGGGATATTCCGGCGTACAATTGATTTAGGGTCAAACACACTGCAACACTGAGTTAGGCACCCCCACATTTATGATCCTAAATGTTCTTTCTTGAGCTGCTTTTGGTTGAGGTTTGTGTGTGGCTCCTCGGACCGCTGTGTATTGATATCATGCGGCCGTTACATAAATTGGTATAACTAGAGAGGCAAGCAGTCGGCAGCATTCATCTCTCAAGGGGGTGCCTAACTTGGTGTTATGGTGTGTTTGACCCTAAATTAATTTTGTGCCGTTATATCTCTTTAAGGTCCGGTAGATCACATATGTCACATACAAGTTCAGGTCAGGAGCCTGGGCCAGGTGTAACTCTCTCTGTGTCTCTCTCTTTCTGTCACACACAAACACACACACTATCCAGAAGGTATTATGACATCAAATCACTCTTGATTTTCTTTATTTTTCACAGTTTATTTCCAGTATGTTTCGGAAAGTTGCTCATATTTGTTCTTTTGGTTGTGGAGGAAAGTCACAGCTTCTATCTCTCCTCAAAAACACCATGAGGTTGTTGTGTTTTCTGGACAACAGCCACATCACAACTGTTTATGCTCCCCACTTTATGAGGACTGCTTTGTAAACAAAGGCCAGTGCAAGCTCAATCAGAATTCTGGGACTGTCTAATAAAACCTTCCTTGAAGGTTCAGGACCAGAGGCTGTCAGTAATATCTTTTGGGTCATTTATTCCTCTACAAAGCTGTGTAAAAAAGTAGCGCCCATAGGCTGTGTGAAAAAGCAGCAAAAAATGAGGCAGAAGCTGAAGCCGCTGACATGGATTTTTGTGGACTCCAACAAAAAATTCAAAGGAGTTTATTTGAGCTCAAAATCATGCAAAACCACTGTAGACCCTCCAGACATTCTAGACTGATACAGTGTAAGGTGAAAATCAGTATTATAACGCTCTTTTGAATATATCTTAATTCAGCTGACCACCTCATACTGCCCACAGAGTTGTCTGTTATTTCAACACTTAAGTTAAGAACCTTTTCCTTCCTTCTTACTGGATAAATCTTATCGGTCTAATCTACTCTAAAGTTTTACAGTAAATATAAGTTAATATACCTGCTAAAGGTTAGCCCATGTGATATAGTTTGTATAACAGTGGGTGCAGCACTCAGGGAGTTTAGAGTAACATAAACCACGAGATCAGAGGTCACTGTGTTTCTCTCTCTCTCTGTAGATGTCCCAGGGTTTCACAGCAGCACCCTGGAGAGGAGGCTCCCTGTCCAGTCCCACCCCCAGCAGCAAGCCCCTCCCCCGGCAACTCCCACCCAACAGGAAGTGGATAACGACATGGTGGAGATCCTCATCTGACCCCTTGACCCCCAAATCCCTCCCAGATACGAATGATTGGACGGCAGCTCCATCAAACAAACACACTCCCATCAAACATTTCTAATGTTTACATTGTACTCACCCTCTTTGCTTCATCCCTTTATTCTTCTTCTTAGCAGGAGACTGGCGCCCCCTCCTGCCTCATCTCAGCTCTGCAGGTTTCTAAAATGGCAGTGTTTTTACCAAGTTGTTACTGGAACTCGAAAGCACATGAAAAGTTGACAGCATCATATTTATTTTTCTGATGCTTCCTCATTCAAAGTGATGAAGATGAAAAGACAGATCAGATATGAAACAGTTAAAAAAATCTGATTGGACACATAAAGTACAAATGTAAGACTAATGAGCGGGCTGAGCTGATACCAAAACCTCCCAGTATGTATTAACAAAGAAAGCACACACACAAATAAACATGTCTATATAAACATACATACACACACATGCACACACATGCTTGTATTAATACACACACACACGTATATGAAGGTGAAGGATTTGTGCCTGTGGTGCTGCTTTGAGGATGCATTGTCTCTGACTGCAGCACTATTTTAACACACGAACATGTGAGCTTGGTTCAGCATGTACAGCATCTGTTTGTAGTTTAACCTGCAGACAGATGAGGATGTGATGACAATTATGATGATGACAATGATGACGATGATGATGATGATGATGATTTAAAGTTGTCTGTATTTGAGGTTGTGAGAGGAACAGAGCAGCTGAGATAATCATCAGTGTTTCTTAACGCTGCTCAGCTTCATCGGACCAAATGTATCCGCCGTCTCTCTGTTGCATTAATTGCACTAATAATGTTTTATTAATAATGTAATAATGTAATTTCTTCGTATCATGTAACTTTATATTCATTCTTGTATTTAAGTGTATTTGTGACAGTAGTCAGACATGGCACTAACTGTGTAATAATGTTTTGACGTTGTGTCTGTGCTGTAAAGTCCTGTGTTACTCTGCCTTACATTTCCATCTCTTAAGACCAGTGATTTAGGCCGTTACTTTTTCATCATTTTAATCCAGGGTTCAACTTTAGGTCCAGTTTGGTACTGAAACAATCATTTTTAGTGCTAGCACTTCATACTGGGAACCTTTGTGGTACATTGACTTCAGGTAGAAACTCTCCCCTTTGCAGTCCTTATTTTTTAGTCCACCCCACTCTGCATATCAGGAAGAAATATATGCCCTGCTCCTGTACGCTGTACCGTTTGCATATTAACACAAACACACATAATTACATAGATATAATCATTCAAACACTGTAATATATATTCAGTTACACAGACTTAACTGTACACACACTTGTAATCATGCATACATTATCTTATGTACATCATTATAAACATATTATAGTACACACATAACTACTCTCACAGTATTAGAAACATTACACACATAAACTCAGCTCATAGTACTAGAAACACATCATAAATACATTATCATTACTAAGTGAACATCATTACACATAATTGTGGATACGCATAAACTTTACACACATTGTCATTATTTGTATACTTTTACAAACACATAACCATAGACACATCTTCATACATACATACATTACCACGGCAACATATTAATACACATTAGAACACACACATTATCATTCACATTTATGCACACTCATAGGTAAACACACTACTGTATGCACATTTGCTCTTCTACACACTCTATTATTCAAACATAACACACTGTTATTCATACATTACCATACACACCTTACTATGACCACATTTCATAACACTTCATAACACTATTTCGCATACATTACCACTAACTGATTTTCGATACAAATTACAAAAAAAATTGTAATGCACACATAAACATTCATGCATTACCTTGCATCACATCACTGCACACACATGCCACACAACAAACAAAACTTAAATTAATCTGGCCATACACACATTATCATGGACATATTTTCCTTTTTCTAAACATTTCTCTACACCTATAAATAATACACACATTATCGTGTACACAATTTTAGACATCTTAGACACTTTATTTTATACACATTATCATTCGTACAACTTTACACACACTTAGTTATGCACACATGTTCATATAAATATTTCCTAAACCACATATTCATTCACATTCGTATACACACATTACCATACAAACACAATCATAGACACATTTCTGTGATTACATATACATACACTACTAAGTTAATGCACATTACCACATTAACATTATTCTACACACCTTACTTTGAGCACACTGTAGACCCAGATCAGTATGCATGCAGTACTAAGCACACATTACTGTACTTACACTTCAGTCACACACCTTATTTGGCACATATTACAATCAGCTGATTTTCAGACATGCATTGCCAGACACACATAATCTAACATGCATTATTTGGCACATATGACTATGCACTCATTAGCATACATACATTACTGTACACACATAGCCATACAGATAAACACTTGAGTGCATACACATAACCATACACATACAGATGTTTATACACACATTGCTTAAACATAAGTACACACTTATCAACATGCATTGATGTTTTCATAAACGCATTTCTTAAACTACATTACCATGCACACATTAAACCATGCTCATTATCATATAATTTGCATTGTAAGGCTTGTATTAACTGATATACATTATCACACACACCTTACTGTATAAACATTTCACATGTTGTTCAGAAACACAATAGGCCACATTTTACTAAGCATTCTTATCCTCTGCTGCTGAAGATTTATATCTAGGATGGACCAAATGAAAGTTTTTTTTATCAACTTCATCAGAATTTCAAGAAAAATCTGCACCATGGTCCACAGCTGATGATTGAACACAATAGTCAAAGATCAGTGTGTTGGGATACATTTTTTGTTTTTCCAACAGGAAGGAATTCAGTGATACACCTGGACACAGTAGATAGTGTTTCATTCAGAGATCACTCTGAGGAGACATCTTCATTTTGGCAAACACTAAGATATTTTAATAAGACTGAAAACATTCAAGTTGCTACTTGAAGTCAAAGTGCTGCAAAATTCACCATGAAATTTCCTCTTCACCCAATCGACCTGGACAGACTGCATGCTGTTGTACAGAGTTTGCACCAGTGCTGTCTCTTCCTGCCCTCCGTACGACAGTCTGAATGTTCACTAAGCTGTCTGCAGGACCACACCTTAACCAGCAGTTGCTCTCATTCATTCATTCTTTCTTTCATCCATTCATTCAACATTTCAGTCCTAGTGTTTAAGAAAAAGCTGGAGGGTATTCATCCTTCTGTCTACATGTTTTCATTGTATAGAGACTGTTGAATAGCACTCCGTGAGTTAAGTATCTGCAGACAGGTGTTGAGGTCTGAAGCAGCCTCAGACTGTCTGGATGTTAAAAGACTCTAATACAACAACAGACCCAGTCTGCTGTCAGTCACCCTGTTAAGGTTCATCACCAGGCTAACAGGTTAGCATTACTGTACACTATGCATAATGGAGTGTTGGTGATTGACTGTGAATGTCTTCCATTGTTTTGATGACCAAAGCTTACAGAATGGATTGGTACTCATCCCTGTAAACAAAATGCTTGAATACATTAAAATGTTTTGAGATATGCAGTCTTGATATCAACTGAACCCCCAATCCCTGATCCCACCTTTCACTTTGCCTATTACAATGATGATTGTACATTCAGGTTTGGCACAATGTGCTCCTCAAGAAATTCAACTGCCAAGTTTAATACAGTGTATTCTGTCTATGAGTTCTTTTTCAACCTGCTCCACTCTAAAGCAACAACCGTAGACTGTATATACCATTATGGTAACACTTTACTTTATGCCTGCCTATATAACTCAGTGTAAATATATGAAAAATCCGTAATAATCACGTTATAGCACTGTATAACTATAGTTATAAACACTCATAAATGATCATAATGCTTTATAGCAATAATCATAACACATTATAAAGCATTTTATCATGACCTACAAGGTCAGGTATTATAATGTGTCATAACTGTTAACAACTCACTGACAATGCCCACATAGATGACGCATCATACATATATTTATGATGTGTTATAATTTGCTTATAAACTTGTGGAATTATCATTATGAACACTCATTAATTATCATAAGGCTTTATAACAATAAGCATAACATATTATTGTACCTGACCTTGAAAGTCATGATAAAATGCTTTATAATGTGCTATGATTATTGCTATAAAGCATTATGATCATTTATGAGTGTTTATAACTATAGATATACAGTGCTATAACATCATTATAACGCATTATACATATATTTATAATGCATTATAGAGATGGGCACAAAGTAACCACTATTACTACATACAGTCTATGACAACAACCCTGAAGACAACTCCTCTGTTAAATCAAGATCACCTGAGCCTTTACTGAATAATATCTTTCAACAATATTAGTTACAGTTAGAGTTTCAGGCTCACGATGACCTCTAAAAACAAAATGTTGGACCAAAGGAGGTAGGAACACCTATGAATTTAAAATGGTCAGAGAGCAATAATGATAGCTGCCTCATCAGATGCAATGACTTCATTTAAGTAAAGGGAAATGTATAATGAACAGGTGGTTATGTTGTCCCCAGTGTCACTTTTGCTGCTAAAAATTAGTCACTGTTGTGGGGTTTTGATTAATCAGAGTCAACTATGTAATACAGCAAAGTGACTAGTTAGAAAGCTAGTTGATAAACAGTCTTTTAGGCTTTTTGGACCTGAATGCTGGCAGTTCCTGGTACTGATGTGTTTTGATGTTGTGCCTTGTGTCAGTATTTATTAATAATATTCTATTTTCTTGTTGACTGTGTCGTTACTGTGTGTGCTGTGAAACATCCTGATCGGTTTATTGAGCCCTCTTTAAAGCCACCTCTCCATACAGCCCACAAACATGATTCCCTCATACAGAAAAAGCCTTCATGATGCTTTTCTAACTGAGGCAGTTAAAAATGGAACAGGCTAACTTGTTTCTTAAACAGTATAACTATTAACTCTATCTCAGGAGACATTCATGTGACCACAAGAGAGCGATAGTTCAGTCCAAAATAAGTCTGAGCTCATAGTCCTGGAACCCTGCAGGAAGTGAAAGGTGTCAGGTGATCCCTGCAGGACTGTAATAGAGGACTGCTGCCACACAAACCAAAGTTCTGAACTTCATGAGCTTCCTTAGACACCCCTCCCCTATCCAAACAAGCACTGAGGTTTAGAAGTAAAAAGGATATAACACACAAAGCTCCACTGATCCAGATATTTCTGATATTCCAAGCAAAACAACTTCCTGTCCCACTAAAGCACACACAACTCTGTATTACATCAAACTCTTGTGTGTGTCTATGAGTTGAAAATCTGGTCTCACAATCCCAGCGGTACAATATAAATTGTCTGAATAATTTAATCAGAGCATCTCAAACCTGAAAAGCAGACAAAGAGAAACAGACTCAGTGATTCGGATTATTCAGTGTTAATGTGTTAAAGGCAGATTTAGGCTTGTCAAAGTAAGAGCTCAGAGGTCAGAAAAGTTTTAAATCCTCACCGTCAGAAATCTTTGTGCACTAAACTGCTTTATATATTGAACAGTCTGATGGCCACCAAAGTGTGTGACATGTCAGGTGCTCTGGAGACATTAACAGGGTTACAAACATGCAGTCTATGAACCATAGTTAATGGTGCTGTGAGAAGTTTTTAATTATAGTGATGCTTTTCTCCTCTAAAAAAATAACAGGTTGAGGATTTTGTCTGAGGTCCCCACATCAAATGTACACCACGTGAGACAGGAGGTATCATGTTGTCCACACGGGGCGCCAAAACCCACACTAACCAAAAGTTCCTCACAGCAGCTTTTATATGCAGCGTTAGCTTGCGAATGAGTGATAATCTGCTGTGAGAGAGTGCGAATCAGAGACTGAAGAGGTCACATCTTTCCCACAGTTCAGCACACACATGAACACACACACTCCTGTCCTGTGTTTGAACTACTTAGCAACTGTTCCTAAAGTCAAACCCCCTACAGTGCTTCTCCACCTGTCTCTCACCTGTCAGGTGTCTCTGATTGTTTCTGTCTTTAACAGGGTTTGTCATTAAATGTTCCCACGCTGCCTCTGACATCTGAGAGCGTATCGTTAGTGTTCATTCACTAGATGAACGATCAGTTTGAGTGTGATGGACACCTGGTGAATTGAAGCCAAGATCAGTAAGATGAGATGTTTTCAGGTGAAGCTAATGATATAGCAAATTGTAAAAATGTCTGTTATTTTCATTTTTTGTTTGTCAGTCAACTATTGCTGTTTTCATTATTAATTTTATTCTTGTATCATGTCTGAATTTACTCAATCATTGCATTCATTAAAAGGTGTGCTTCCAGGTTGACCCTGGTGTCATGCTGTAAAACCCAGCAAGACCACAACAGACTGCAGCAGGAACCACACCTGGATGTGACCTCTGACCTCCTTCAAGTACCACTACAATGATCAAATGACCTACAGTGACGCCACGTGTTAAGAAACCACAAAATCAAACCTTTACATACAAACTCTGCTTTATTAAATAAACTGACATTAATAACATATTTATATATTCAACCTACACATACACAAACAGACAGCTACAACATACATAAACTCTACATACAGATGAATGGCACAGCTTTTAAAGACATGTGAGGGGCTGTGTTACTGATGCTGTTTTGAGCACTGCCACAGCCTGTTCTCTGTCTTAAGTCAGTTCAGTGTTTTCAGTCATTGTGCTCTCAGCACTGTCAGCTAAAAATACTTCAACTTTAAAAACACCACCATGCTCACCAACCAATCAGAATCAAGCATGGGCACGATTCCTGATAACTTCACCAAAAGCAATGGCAGAGGAGACAGTCATTACATTTGTATTTCTGAGGTAAAATTTCCCGGTCTAAAGCTGCTGGTAATGCTGTGACATGATTTCTAGATTCTGTTTTAACATTTTCCTGTAAAAATAATTGAAAGTTAATATAAAGCATACAGAGGATTTCAAAACAGACCCAACAGTCTCTATTGAATTGAAGCTGCAGCTGCCTTTAATATTGTCCGATACCGATATTGATCCGATATTAGCACAAACTTTTGCATGACAAGCTTTGCACTCAGCTGCAACATCTTTTTTGACTTTGATGAAAAATACTGCCACAGTGCCGACATCACTCCTCCTCCTTGCTACTTTCGTACACTCTAGTTGTGATTACATGGGCTCTACATGCTGGATGTGCTGCTAGATAGAGGTGCCAGAGCGAAGTGTGGAATGGACTGCCTGTATTGGAGTGCTGATACCGGAGATTTTAGATGCAGGCCGATGTAATCTGATATTCGAATTTTTGCTGATATCGGACCGATATCAGTATCGTATTGGGATACCCCTAGAATATACTCACTGTAGACTCAGGCTACATCTACACATTCGCAGATATTTCTGAAAACAGACATTGTTCTCTCCCAAAACCCCGTCTACACCAGATGTGGTTTGTAAGATATGATAACACAGAGGTGGTTAAAACTACTTACATGAGCATGTCAGGCCAGTGCATTGAGATAATGTGCCATCAGTGTGTCTCAACAAACACCAAAGAAAAACAGTGTGTGCGTGCTTGTGTATGCAGTGGTGACCCTGATATTTATTTTGCGCTGTACTGCAGTAAAACACACTAGCATTCCCAAATTCTTAGTTTCAGTCGTCCCAAAAATACATACAAAACAGTGTTTTTAAATATCTAAAAGTAGAAAAGGACTTTTCCAAATCCTTATTCTTCACGGCCTAAAACTCTGAGACTCCCACAAATGTTGATTTCAAAAAAATCCTCATCTGAGTGGATGTGCCACAGTCTTGGACCAGCTGTTCACTCAGTGAGAATACAATAACTCTATGATTCATCTTTATAAACACTCCTTGACTTTCAACCTGTTACCATAGCAACTGACTGAGCTACCTTTAGACAGAATTACACCAGTATGCAGGTGTATCAGGTGTAACAGTGTACCACCATGTGACTGACAGGCATACTTTACCTTCAACATGCAGTCAAAGAAGAACAGATTCTGGCATCCTGGTCTATTTCATACTTCTACATATATCTCTCTGCAGAGTGCATGTGTGTATGTGAGTGTATATATGTGTGTGTTGTGTGTGTGTGTTATCTACGTATCCACAGCCAAACATTTATCATACAGGCCGACAACAGCAGAGAAAACAAAACCAGCTCAGCATTCTTCCTCTCAGCGCTGTGACGCTCCAGAGCCGCCAGACGACGACTCATCTTTATCACCTTAGAGAAAACAGGGAAGGATGGTTAGCCTGGACAAAGAGAACAAAGCGATGAGATGAGGATAGATAGACAGACAGACAGACAGATGTCTCACCTGTCTCCGGAGGATTATGAACTCCACTGCAGCTCCTCCATCCTCCTCAGGGCTCCAGCTCTCCATCATCCTGAACAGAAACTAGAAGTCAGAATCTCAGAGCTACAGACAGGTTACAGAGAGCAGCACTGTGACAGACTGAGCTCTACAAATCACAGAGATTCACAATTTGATATGGGGGGGTGTCTGGGATAGGCAGGTCTGACAGGTAAAAACCTGAAGAAAGACACATTCACAAGTATGCAGAAACCAGCCTCCTGATTGTTGTAAATGACTGTACCGTTATAGTTGTGACCTCTTACCATTACATGGGCTTCCTGCTTATCAGCACTAAAGGTTTTGTCTCTATAGGGTTCCTACCACAACTTTTTGAGGTAGGAAAAAAACACACTAGGCATGCCTCAGCTGTCTGTCAAATTGAATCAAGAGTCCTCTATTGATAACCAATTCAGTAGATGCAGTGATTCATCGCAGCAGCATGATAACTAAGAGGCAACTTGCAGTCTTAAAATATGAAGCCAATGTAGAAGTGCTAAAAACTGCAGGTCCTCCAGTGTCCACTTGAAGCTCAGTGCAGAAGTGCCACATACAGACCCATTAAAAAAGACCATCTTTACATTAAAAATAAAAATACTTAGAGATGGCGCCAAGAATGATTTTGGTCATGTTAGCTCATTTCTCTGTCTGCACATTCGGAATTAAGAGTCCGGAGATGAAGTGAGGTGATGAATGGAGGCCCGCCTCAACTCCACCTCTTTGCCTCTTGTTGGGCTGACATAAGTTTAGGTTGAAATTGGGGATGCACAGAATTCAATTTTTGCCAATATCTGAGATGCCAATTTGTCACTCATTTTGCCAATACCAATATACTGAATACATACTTTTTTGTTTTTCATGGTAAAAAAAAAAAATTCTCAAAAGTTTCTCCTGTAATAAAATCTACCTGTTGATCTTATTTAGACGCAGAATATCCCTGTACAGCCAGAACGTGTAAGCTATTATTGTGTGCTCTCAATAAATGCATCACTTTTAGTCAGATAACTTTATCAGCAGACATTTTGATATTTTCCAACACTGATAATTAAATTTTCAAGCTATGATCTGCCTATACCAATATCAAGCTGATATTAAGGTGCATCTGTAGTTGGGTCAGCATTTACAAAATTTCAGTCACCATCAATAGACTTCAAGTCAGCCCTTCAGAATCCACAGGGTAACATAACAGAGATTAAATCCCTGTACTGTACAGTTTATATGACACAGCCAATACAATGTTTATGTACAGTATGTCTTTGTCTTTGATACTTTATCAACAAGTTAAATGTGTGTTTGGTTTGGAGGAAGTGGTGGAGCATCAACAACATAACTCCATCACCAAATCCCTACTGAACAGACTGACTACAAACAAACTACAGCCATGTCAACAGCCATCAAACAGGTTTATGTAAAACCTGAACTTATTCTATCATAAATTGAATTTCCCTTTGGAGATCGATAAAGTTCTTCTTCTTAATCAATGAGCTGGTGGAGACAGGATGACCTGCTCACACAGCCACCTGGCTAAAATCATAATAATCTCCAACAAAGCCTGAGGTTCAGACATGCAGACAGTCAGTAATCCCCACCTGTACTCTCTGACCTGACCTGAGAGGAAACACTGATTTCATTTGCTTCTCCTTCCTCAAGATGAAATAAGACACAGAATCTTCATTAAACACAAACACTTTGTGCAGATGTGACACACACACAGACAGTTTGTGTTCAGTCACCTTCTCTTGGTGAGCTCCACCTGTGCTGCAGCAGGACCCTCCCCTATGAACCTGGCCGTTGGGGGACTCTCTTGGTTTCTAAATCTTTGCACCAATAAGACAAAGAGAAACTGAATGTCTGCCTCACAACAACAGGTACAAGTGCTAACAGGCAGCTGAGACAAGGTTTGCTAAGCTAAGCGAAGCTAACAGACTGAGGCGCAGCTACGAATGAGCGAAGCAGCAGTGCTGAAGAAACATGTTAGTTATAATAGGAGTCAGGAACATGGAATTCACTGTCATATCTGCTGACCAAAGCATGCAGAGAGAAACAGCAGAGCAGCCATTCACTCTGCTATCAGCTGTTAGAGCAGGACCAGCAATACAAGAGACTTCTGCCAAGGTTTGATCAACTATCCTGATCAAAAATGATACTAATATCTAGGGGTGTCCGAATACAACACTAATATCAGATATCGGTCCGTTATCAGCAAAAAAAACAAATATCGGCCTGCTCCGATATCAGGTCTCTGATACAAGCAGTACAATCCAGACTCTGCTCCGGCACCTCTAGCTAGCAGTACCCGGATCCAGCATGTAGAGCCCACGACAACAAAACAACAGTGTGTACTAAGATACTAACAAAGTAGAAAGGAGTAGGAGTGATATTGGCCATGTGGCAGTATCTTTCCTTAAAGTCTAAAAAAGACGTTCCAGCTGAGTGCAAAACTTGTCATGCACAAGTCTGTGCTAATATCGGATCAATATCGGTATCGGCCGATACTAAGGCTAAAATATCGGTATCGTATGGGAGGTAAAAATGTTGTATTGGGACACCTCTACAAATATCATAAAAAAGATGGAGTATAAACTGAAAGCTGGACTTAGATCTGTTTCTGTGATGTGAGCAGCCAGGAAACATTAGCCAAACAGCATTAATTGGATGTTAGTACCGAACAAGCAGCAGGATTTAATGCTTATCAGACTTTATAATTGCATTAAGAGGAAAACAGCGGACTAATAAATGAGTCATGGAAAGGTCACACATGCACAAGTTAAATAACAAAATCCTTTAAGCAACACGGAGAACAGAAGTTCTTAAATGACAAAAGGGTCAAAATGTAAAACACAGTTATTTTACTTTGTCTCTCAGGGAAAAAGTTTCAAAATAATCAAGTGTTTGAATATGTGTGTAGTTATTGTATCTAGAAGACTACATTGCTATACAAACACTAACAAAAATGTTTGTGAGTATCATCTGCAGACCTTTATGTTGTAAATTAATCCAATAAAACTAGAAGATGAATAGTTTCATCATTGGACAGGTTTATCTGTACATTTTGCAATGCATGACTCAGACCTGTATTTCTGGCTGACTGCCTGCAGGAGGCGCTGAGAGGCCTGCAGACCAAGCGCCTTGGCTGACTGCAGGAAGGACTGAGGAGACGAGAGGCGGGGAGGGCTAGAAGAGGGGGGCAAGGCCTGAGAGTCGGTGGTGTGGGCAGAGGAGAGAGGCTGAACTGGAGAGTCACTCCTGCGGGCAGAAGGAGGAAATCTCTGGAGGAGAGGACGGCCTGAACCACGGCTGTAGGGAGGTGGAGAGGACAGAGGGTAGGAGTAAGGTTACAAGAGGGGACAGATATGGGATCAAAGTGGAGTGGGAAGACATAGTTTCAGACTGGAGTCGGACAAAAGGGGGTACTCTGATTATGCTGGTAGAAAAGGATGCTGTAGTAGTCTGGTAAAGACTGGTTCTGTGATATTATATTACAATAACTGGGTCTGAGCCCCCTGACCACCACAACTCAATGTGATCAAGGTGTTGTCAGTGGCGATAGGCCCGGGTAAGATCTCTCAAGGCAAACTGATCTGAGGGGAATCCAGACTACAACAGGGGGGATTCAAGAAACACTTGCACATCAAACTGCAAAATTGCTCAAGAGTCACCTCACCTATAGGAGGGACACCACCTTCCTACCCTGCAGCTAGACTCAAAAGAGCTTGATCACCAACATGTGGTGACTGGGCCAGACGGGGAGACACTGTCTTGTGGGCCCATCACTTGCAGGGACAGGTATGAGGGTGAGGTGCCGAGGAAGCTTGGAAGACAAATGATCTAGAGGTGATCCCTGTCTACGCAGACTAGAGCTTGGTGTATGAAACATAATCCATCTGACAGAGACCATATTAAAGTCCATGCAAGAGGTAAAGCATTACTTTCCAGATGCATGACAGTTAGACTCTCATCGATTCACAAGTTTAACACAAGCAAAGATCGATACAGAGGGAAACATCACGAGTAAGAGCCAAGAAAACAGCTTCAAGTCCATTCAGGCGTAGTGCTGCACTGTGTTTTTTAATATAATTTCTTTATCCTCACCACAGCAACTAAACAACACCTCATCATCAACATGAAACCACAGTATTATCATCAGCAGCAGCAGCACTGCCACTGTCATCAACATTTTTAATTCTTTAAACAAAAACCAAGAGTTGAGGTGTACACATAGACCTGGATCAAAAAGGGTCCTAGAAGTAGGAAGGAACTGTGTCAATCAAGTGTAGTATCATAACTGAGCTGTGCTCAAGTGTTCCCAAGAGAGCTGGGTCTTTAGCTTTTTCTTAAAGGCAGAAAAGGTCTCTGTGGATCTAATACAGTTGAGTAACTCTTGCAAGTCCAACTGTAAGGAGAGGCTTGGGTGAACTGAGATCTTTCTGGAGAGATTACATATGTCAACTGGCCTAGAAATACCTCTGAATCCCCCAAGAGGAGCCACTGAGAAGTGAGCCCAGATAGGTGAGAATGGGCAAATGGGTAGATGTGATTCCTGAACTGAGGTGTAATACTGGTACAAATTTATCATTCGATATTAAACTTGAATAAACCAGGTGTGTGCTGTGTCAATACTCACAGGGCAGACGAGTGTCTGGGCAGAGTCAGAGTCTGTTTGAGATTTGTTGGAGTCCCGGGTGGTGTCCTGCCGAAACTTTGATCACTGTAAGATCTTCTGATGGGACTCTGTTACAAAGGAAGAAAGTTTCATGTACAGATGTAACACAACTGAAAGAAACACCATGTGCACTCTATAACTGCAGAAGACAGAGGGTAAATCAATTTAAAACTGTCATAAACATAAACGCCTGATTTTTGTACCAATGACAAACATATTAGGACCCCCTCAGTAATCAACAGTGAGGAGAACATTTTTACATGCTAGATAAAATGTAGCATGTGTGCATAAATACGATAACACAATACTTTGTTAAAAGATTCTTAAGGAGCTTTTTGCCTCTATCAATTGGATGACTTGAGAGAGAGAGGGGTGCTGACATCCACCAAATCATGCAGTGATCGAGAACTAATCTGACCAGTGCAACAAGAACCATAGCCTGTATAAATGAGACACACATCCATACCATCAAGCTAGTGCTGTACCAATCCTACATGTTCTCAAGCAGCATGTTTGTGCACATTAGGGCCAGGTTCCACTTAGAAAGGCCTCTTATTAACCATATATGCTCATGCTTATGAAACCCACATATCATCACTCTATTAAAATAATGGCCCAAGTTATTTTTTGACAAAAATGAGTTTTTGGCAAAAAATGACTTGGGTCATTATTTTAATAGAGTGACGATGTTATTTTCAGAATACTAGCAAAACAGCAAAGAAATGGCGCTGCACAGCAACTGAAAGAAGGGACTTGAGATTGGATCCAAGTACAATGAATTGATTGGTTTAATGATGTAGGATTAGTTTGACATTAAATTCTTTGTTATGTCAGTCATGCTAACTTCCTTCAGAGTTGGATTAATGAGAGAGAGGTTTACAAGTGTGTCAGCACTTCTGTGTGCATGGAGGGTTTCCATGCTCACCCTATAAGCAGCTAGGTGATAGCTGTTAATAATTCAGCACTGAGAACTTCTCCTGTCTACCTGAACAGGCTGCCGTTAACTACTGGTCACATGCTTCCTCTGTCAGTGTCAGCTTCACCTGAGGGAATAACAACTGTCTCCTAGGCAGGAAGGTTTTATGAGGTTGCCTCTAAAAGCTGTCTATTTAAGCTGATGATCTCCTTTGTGAAGTCAAACATGGGAGATCTCAAATGAAATGAGGCTGGCTTTCAAAGAGAAAAACTCTGACCTGTTCTACTCCTGGATAAAAACAGACCCTTAAGCTCTGATCTTTGTAAAAGATGTGATGTTGGTTAGGTAAGACCTGAATGGAGAGACTGTATTATTCTATGTTCCAAAACTCAGAGACAGATATAAAAGACCCCTGATAGAAGAACACATATGTATATGTATGTACATGCTAGGGTGAAGACTTCAGACAGACATCGCACAAGGACAAGGTGAACACAGATAATGGATGAAACAAATTTATTTTCAAACCTATTCAAAGTTACCTGTTTTAATTTTCAAAGAGGGGGACATATTTTAATTCCTTTGGTGAAGTAAAAATCTCTTTATTTTAATTCAATAGAGTATAAATCCTGTTATTTAAAGCTTACAGGATGAACACCTGTGTTCCTACCTGCAGAGCTTCTCTGACGAAGACCTCTCCCTGTGAACTCTCCCAGCAGGGGTCCAGACTAAGCGGTCCACAAATGGTCAGTTTTGATGGAGTGAACAGAGAAGAGGGGCTCATATCGGGGGCTTCTGTGGGTTAAAACCTTAAAAGCTTAATGACATTCCAGCTCAAAACCTACTTTTTCGAAAAAAACCTACAATATCTGAAGCTGACTGCCTCTTCTTCTGTTGTTCTTTATATTTCTGTATAAATACTCTCAGCAGTGATATCTCCTGTTTTTTCTCTTAAAGGTTAAACAATGTTCATGATTATTGTTCCTACATGTTTTTATGTTCAGAAAACTAGAAAGAGGACAAGTGATAAATCATGACTGATCATGTAGATGAATAATCTGTAACGGATAATGTCTTACATGCTAAGAAAACTGGTCACCCTCCGTCTGAACAGCTGTGTAAGTCCCACAGCCTTACCTGTATATGTCAGCCTATCAGGCACCTGCATGGTGGCAGCAGGAGGAAACCCTTCCTCCCTCTTGCTGACCTCCTCTTCCTCCTCATCTGTCCTCCAGTGCTGCCCTGCCCCTACACTCAGACGATCAGGGACCCTCATGTGTCTGTTGATGGCCTCCATGAAGGCCGGGTCCTGACCTGGGATGTGAGACATTTACCTGAGGAGACAAGATAATCCCTACATGACACACCTGAACACAAAAACAACTATTACACCTCACCTCACTCTATACAGCATCTGTCTCTTTGTTTGTTATGAGTCCCTGTGCACTTATACAAGAGGCTCTGATAGTGTGAGCGTTGAGTTGCTGGAACTATTAAGGCAGTAAAAGGGGGGCTGGGACTGTTGTATGTAAAATCTTTATCCAGGTGTTTAATTAAAAATCTAAAGATGATTCAAAACCACTAGGTTATCATAATGTAAGGCCTGTCTAATGACTCAGAGCCCCTTTCATTAAAGCCAATATTTTATCAAAGTTAAATATAAACCACTGTTATTTCTGGAAAATAGTGCTCAGCTTCTGTTGGATCTATTTTTGTTCAAGACACTCACATTAAAAACAGTTTTATTCCACTGAGGATATTAAAAATATTCAGCCAGTTTAAACATGATCATATTTACTCTGAAAATATGATATACAGTTTTCTTTTTCAACATTATCACATTGTTTTTGTAGGAAATTGTCACTACAACCATCATCAAATTAGCCTTATTAAAATAACTACATTAGATTGACCACATTAATTTTACAGCAAACATAATCACATCTTATTTCATAGAGATAACCATACTGATTTTTAAAACATGACACATGATTACATTTACTGTTTACTTTAATTAAAGCCCAATTAAAGAGTAAAACACTTTTTACTTTATGGATATACATTAATCATTCATTTATTTGAAACATTCACATTATTTTACAGATATCCACATAAGGGTTAACTCTTTTCAACATTATAATTTTAACATTAGTTTGACTATTGGTAAAAATCTGCCATTTTAAATGTTATCGTTTTAACTACATACAAGTTTCTATAAATATCCAGTCCATCAAAACAAAAACAAGAAAACATCAATTTTGCAAAGAGTATGTTAATTTTTCAGTTATTTCAAATATTATGATACATACTTTTTAGTTTATTATAAATATTAAGTCAGTTAACAGACTGTAATATTAACTTTATAGAGTTTATTTTCAATTTACAGTCAAGTTTATACATTGTTAGGTATAATTTAAATATTCACTAATTCCAATCATTATCCTATTAATCACCATAGTTTTTGTAACCTATGGTAATATGTTATATTTTGTTATTACTGTACACTGATGTTGTTGTTGACTTCACACTGACTCGTCTGTACCTGCACTGTTTTGTGGACCTTTGTTTACCTGCTCAGAAAGCACCTGTTGTTGAACGGTTAGTTGGCAAGGTAACGACAGTTAGCAGGTCAGATAGCCACAGGTTGCCAAAGACAGCTAACTAACAGACAGGTCACATTAACAGTTCACTGCTAAACGCAGCAGGCTTTCTGTAACATGGCGTTGTTGGTCGTATTTATTGATACATTTATAGGAAGAAAAGGTCAAAACGAAATAAAAGGTTAACATACCTTTGTTAAAAGAGCTCAGAGTTGAAACTTCTAGTCCTCCTCTTCTTTCTTTTCTTCCTCTTGTCTGCTGGTGCCGGTAAACAAACACCGATTTGGCGCACTGCCGCCATCATCTGGTAGAAAGAGTGGATAAGCAATGACGAGTATGTCTTCTTCAGTAGGTAAAAAAGAGAGGAAGTTAAGTGATTATCAAGTAGGCCTACATTGCTCGCTTGTCAGATTTGAACCTACTTGATGATGGTGTTGGAAACAAAACTGATTTAAAAAAAAGATAAATATTTGTAGCATCAATAGAAAAACAAAAAATGGTGATAAACAAAAGATGGTTTTTTTGCGTCTATAGGTAAAAAGCTATCTTTCTATGAATCATATATCTTATATACTCTGTTTTAATGTTCATTTTTATGTACAAATCCTTGACTATACGGGGGAAAAAAATCACCAATAATTATTTCAGAAAATTTGTGTGGAAACAAAAATATGTTATTTGTGAATTAAAGTAGAAACTGAAGTATAAAGTGTGTTGGGAAATTTTACACATTTTTTATTCAATTTTATCTTGTTAACACAGTCTGATATTTGTCAGTGATGAGCAGCAGAATTGATTCGGAAGAATTTCTATCTTTAAGTGTCACAAGTTTAAATAAATATCCCACCTGTTGTCTACAAGGACACAAAAAAGTCCAATCCAAGCCATTTTAACTGCCATTCAGAACAATACTTCTTGAGGTTTGGCTTTTGCTGCATGTTTATATTTATAATCTGGATTTACACAGGACCTCCGCTGCATATTTATATTTATATTTATAATCTGGATTTACAAACGACTTTTGCTGCATGTTCATATACAGTACAGGCCAAAAGTTTGGACACACCTTCTCATTCAGTGTCTTCTCTTTATTTTTTTATATGACTTTTTACATTGTAGATTATCACTGAAGGCATCAAAACTATGAATGAACACATGTAGAATTTTGTACTTAAAAAAAACTCTTTTGCTCTTGATGACAGAAGTACTTAGTGAGTTTGTCAGTCACGAAGTAACCCTAACAAGGCACACCTGTGAAGTAAAAACTATTGCAGGTGACTACCTCATGAAGCTCATTGAGAGAACAGCAAAAGTTTGCAGCGCTATCAAAAAAGCAAAGGGTGATTACTTTGAGGAATCTAAAATATAAAACATGTTTTCAGTTATTTCACACTTTTTTCTTAAGCACATGATTCCACATGTGTTCATTCATAGTTTTGATGCCTTCACTGAGAATCTACAATTTAAATACTAATGAGAATAAGGAAAATGCATTGAATAAGAAGGTGTGTCCAAACTTTTGGCCTGTACTGTATATAACCTGGATTTACACAGGACCTCTGCTGCATATTCATATTCATAGTTATAATCTGGATTTACAAAGGACCCCTGCTGCATATTTATATCATATATTCATAATGTTGATTTACACAGGAGCTCTCCTGCCTATTGATATATATATATATATATATATATATATATATATATATATATATATATATATATATCTATTCTGAATTTACACAGAACCTCTGCTGCATATTTATATTTATAATCCGGTTTTACAAACGACTTTTGCTGCATGTTTATATTTATAACCTGGATTTACACAGGACCTCTGCTGCATATTTATATTTATATTTATAATCTGGATTTACCTCTTCAGGGGCCACTGGGTGAAGTCACAGAGACTATGTCCATATGTCATACAGTCTATGGGTAGAGCATATTCCAAAAGTACAGACGCCTAATCCCTGACCCAGCAGCTCTTGGATGGACTCTAACTGTCCGACCTTGGCCTCACATTACCCTGCTCTTTCTTCACATGTAACCGTCAATCTCCACTCCATCAATCTCCATCAAACCCCCCTGAAAAATAAATTCCTATTCCAAAGACAGAGGCATTTAAAAAGTAAACGTAAAAGCAGTTTTTGTTAAATGTTTGTGTGCATGATTGTCGTGTGCGTCCACATCAATTCCACACCAAGTTTGCATCAGCAGGTTTGGAGGTTAATTTAATGTCATAGCAGCAAGTTGTAATGTAAAGTAACAAAGACACACACACTTGTAAGACCATCAATGAAGGAAACAAAGTTTGCACAATATTTTTTTCTTCAGTCACGGTTTATGCTGCCTATTGATTTTCGACTGTTACTGTTATAACATAGTGGAAAAAAAAATTCCCCCTTTGTGTTTCATTGAAGTGATGGTAAGCAATCAGTTAAAACGCACATGGTGATGCGGGCTAAATATTTGCCATGAGCGATGAATCAGAACACATACAGCTACATTCAGTGATAAAAACGTGTATTGCAATGACAGGCTCACTGTCAGACCTCAATCATGTTTCAATAACCAGTCGCTCTCTCTCTCTTTCTGAACCCCAGTTTTAGCAATCTGCATGACATGGCACTTATGTAAAAAACAAACAGTGAGTGACAAAATGAGAATATCATTCACATCAGTACATAGCTTATCTATTCTCATTCAGAACATTTGAAGGCTGCAGTGATACAGACAGACACAGAAACACCGTCACTACAATCGTTAAGTCAGTGAATTCAAATACGGCTGCATCTGAGATCAACTTTTGGTGTTTTTATAGAAAGGAAGACTTTCTTCAAGTCATTTTTTAAACATTTTTGAGGTGCAATTTGAAAGGATGGAAAGGGAAAACAAACTGGAAGTACATTTAGTCTCAGCTGCTGTCTCAGCTGCTGTCTGTGCTTTACTGCACAGTGCTCCTGTCTCAGTGTCTCATGTGAGTGCCATGTGTTGGGAACTACGGAAGCCAAGATTAACAAATGAATTGAAGAAATCTGTCAATCAATTTTCTGAATTGGGTCTGATTTTTGTCATCTCCTGTGCTCTCTGCTTAAGTATGGATAGAAAATATGGTTCTTCTAACTTCTTAGATTGTTTGCGCACATAAAAAAGTTTAAAATAAGAGAGAAAATATATTTGAACTATGTACAATTTTCTGAGCAGTTTTTCTCCATCTGAGAAAAGTTTAAGCAGGTGAAATAAAGTGGCAGCAGTAAAAAACTAGAAGATAAAACTTGTGTAGTGACAAAACTTGGAGAATACTTGGCTTAGCGATTAAATCGCTCCTCAGGTACGGAGGCTGAACTCCATAAAGCAGTTGGTCTTGGTCCTTTGTTATGTCATCCTCCGCTCTGTCCGAAAAACAATTTAATCTACTGCCCTACAGCACAGCACAAAAACACTACCAAAAAACAAAAATTAAAAAAAGTAAACAACTAAGATTAGATTGGGTTGGGCAAGTTGAAAATCATTATTTGTGTTTTGGAGATTGATTAGTTACAACCAAATACTCCATGATATTACAATAAATATAATAATACTCAGCCTAGATTTGTGGAGGAACCAAACCTTTTTTTTGCTTGTTTAAGATCATTATATCACTAAGCTCACACCTCATTTAATTCACCACCTTCTCCAGCACTTCACAAAGTGTGTCTAAATCTGCTTGATGAACTGTTGGTGCTGTCAAGCTCTACTCTTCCCAGCTCTGAGCGAGATTTTTCTTTCAAATCTAAACCAAGTACAGGGTTGTGTTTGAGCTTTGGAGTGCCGGTCTATCTTTCTCAGGTTTACAGTCTTGAGTTTTGCTTGCTTTATCCTCTGTATAGTAAAAACACGCTTTTATTTTGAAATGATGTATGTGCTTCTTCCAGTGGTTTGTAAGTTGAATGATGACAGTAAAAAGAAAGGTTAGAAAGTGTAATGTATCAAAGAGGCTCAAGCTTGTACATCATTTTTGGATTCAGTATAAATCGTGTTTTTAAACTATCTGAACATTTTTCTGAGGCCAGCTAATGCTGCTTCTTCTTCATCTCCATATTATGGTGGGTGGCAACCAGTACAAAGAGTCAGGACCCTTCTCTACTATGGGCCAATTTCTTCCACTTTATGCTTAATTTTGCTGGACTTTAGCCTCTTGGTGCTTGAATTTGCATTAAAACAATATGTATCACAAAAAAAATAATAATGCCATACAAGACTTTCTTTTCAACCTGCCAAAAATTTGGGGGTAAAAACGGTAACCCAGATGGATTATCTTGCTAAATCTTTTGAGAGGAAAAAGCTTAGGCCGCCACAAAAAAAGAGATCAACGGATGTCTTTCTGTCTTTGTGGCCTCTCAGGGCTTCCGTAGAAACGGCCACATTTACTCACATGAATTGTACTCCTGTCGTAAAAAGAACAGACAGAAATGACAAACACACAGTAAGTGGACTAATGCCTGTTCATCTCTGTGATCACAGCAGACTGTACATCACTTTAGTCACTAGTAGTTAGATTTTCCAGAGCAGCATGTACTGAACCACTCAGTTTTTTATAATCTTGTCTGTAATATATAAATTTAGCACACCTCTCACAGACACACAGACCACTCAATCAGCTATTAGTATTATTACAAGTTTCTTATTAGGGCTGCGGGGCAACTCCTGACTCTGATATGAATTAATATAGGCTTATAAAAATACAACAAGCATACCTACAGTACGTCCTGCTGCTCTTCCCTGGTAAAAGGTGTTTCATACAACTAGATACTGGTGTACGTATATACACTATGATATTTAATAGTGACTCCTAATTTGCATATTCTTCATTTAGATGTAATAAACATTTATATATTGAAGTGATGATTGTTTTTATTTGTGGATTAATACAAATCTTTTAGTTTTACCCATTTCAGTTCAGAGTGTTGTTTTTATTAGAGCACAGGATTTATTGGTATACATACAAAGATAGATAAATACAATTCATGACAGTACATTCAGTGGAAAATGAATTGCAGTAATACAGTACAAACAGCAGAGGAGCCATTTGGCTTTTTAATTCATGTTACAGATCAAGCCCCCCTACCCAAAAGAGTCACACCTTTCTTCTCATGCTCACTGTGGAAAGAAGACATGCTTACACCTGGATTTTCTCCCCACTCACCTTGAATTATTGCAACTCCAAACCACCCAAATTGTTTTAAGAAAATCTATTCCTTAAACTCACGTCTCTGCAGCACACCTAAACCTCTGTTTATCTCATATGTTAAGACTCTCCCCCTCATACAAGAACAAACTCGAGTGCTCTTACCTCATCTTTTGCATGGAACGCAACCTGTTACAGAAAAACCAACAGGCATGTTAGTTTTCTGACAAACCAGAGGTCTTTTATGACTACGGGATTTGAATTTTCTGCACTTTAAGCACTTTATTCATATTAATCTCTCAAATCTAGACAACAACATGAAACATGTATTTTTCCACAGACAAACCAATGATGACCCAGCACTTACTTAAGGATGAAGACATACTTCTTCTTCTTGTATCCCATTGTAGGATCAAATGAGCAGATACTGAGGTCAACTGAAGGCTCCTCGTTGTACGTTGTGGTGTGGTTTCTAGCATCCTTGTAGAAAGTCAGTTTCCCGTCTTTCAGCACACAGTACATTTAGGCCACTCCTTGCTTCTCCCCCAGACATAGATGTGCAAGACTAAGAAATGCAGTTGTGCCATCTACAGAAATCTCCTGAACATGCTCACCAGGTTTTACTTCTTCTATCACAAGAGGATCCACGTTCAGAGTGGAAGTCACAGTCCTGCAGCCGATTTGTGATTGCTGGTCTCCCCTGCTGCAGCTCCTCAAACTCCTGTGCCTGTGCAGTAGCCAAGCTCCCTGTAAACCTGTTTTAGAACAAAAACAATATGTTGAAAAAGAAAAAAAAGAAAACACAAATACCAACCATAACAATACCAGCATTCCTTTGCATGAAATAGTTGCATAGCCAGAAAGAGGCTTTGGGTGTAGTCTCGGTCAGAAAAACAGGGTGTGCCACCTTAAAGTTCTTTACAACCAGTCCCTGCCCAAGGATAGAATAACTTAACAGGCTTTTGATTTATTAAATTAACATTGTTTTTTATGAAGCAGGTTGATTGGTTACCAAAATGGATGCCTTTAGTCAAATATCAATACAGCAAATCATAGTAAGGCTATAAATGTGTTTGTAGGTTTCCAGAGCCTTTGTGATCATAATAACAAAACTGGAAATTGAGAGGCTCCCTGAAAGTAGAACTTACGGTAGAAATGTTGTATTTAATTGCATTAAATTGCCAAAGTGTTCACAATGTTACGGCTGGGCATGGATTCTGCAGTAGGGGAGAGTGGGGTAAGTTGAGCCAAAGGGTAAGCCTCAACTTACCCCATACATGGGGTAAGTTGAGCATGGGAGACCACTTTTTTTTGGCATGCTATACACTCATTCTGTTGGTTTGCAGGGATGCACAACATCTTAAAATATATGCAGATACACTAGTTAGAGACAAAACTATGATTGCCTTGATGTAGTGATCCGAAATATGAAAAATGGCTCATCTTACCCCACTCTCCTCTACATCCAAAGACAGACTGCTATCACAGCACAGCCCAGAGGATGTCAGCAATGCATCAATGGGGCTACCGGCCGTTGTTAACGCTCAGCGAAGAAGAAAGTGCCTGAGCAGCACCAGAAAGCGACGTAGAAGAAGAATGACGAGAATGCTAAACGGAAAATAGAGAGGACGGAGTACCGCTTTGTGACCGTAGAAATAACGCTGTTACCTCAAAATATCACCTTTGAGCATAGCTGCATTATATCTTCTAAACAATGACAGAGCCCCAGTCAGCGCTGTTACTCAGGAGACAGCTTGCAGGTAATTGAAACATGAACGGATGCCGAGCAAAGGACGGCTGTTTGTCGTCGCCGTTAGCCGCGATTCAAAGTGTTTTCTTGAACCTTCCGCACAAACGTTAATGTCCCTGGACAAAACATTGCGTTCAGATTATAACACTGATAAAAGGAGCGTCTTAAGGGAGCTGACAGATCAGTCAGTTTAGATAATTTGATGTTACAGTCAGATTTGTGCTGAAAGCTGCTGTCAGAAGTCTGAGGGACTTTGTATTGTGGAGCAGTTAGCAGTTAGCGAGCGATAGCCTCCATCCGCTCCGATCTGTTTACAAACGCTAGAACCGACTCAACAAGATGCGTCTCGTTATTTTTACAGTGTTTTATCTGCTTTTGAAACCAGCATGATGCTTTTCACTATATTTATGCATATATTTATGTAATGTTGCAGTAGTTGACATATTTTTTCCTCGCTAATGGAACTGGATTGTTAACATATTTAACAGACTGGCTTGTATCTGTGTGCAGGAGTCCGCCGCTGTCACTGTTGTTAGCTAAAACTGTCCAAGCTAACTCATGTTCATCTCGCCTTTTCTCTGCAGTTTCCTCAGAATTTGAGTCAGCCTTCCTGATACCAGACACTTTTCTAAAGCCTCCAAATCAAACCCCTTATGGTTTCTGTCGCAGATATGTTTGATATCATGACTTGGTTTGTTTGCATTTCAACTTCATGTTCAATCTGTCAGGGACATGATGTACTGATTTGTAGTTTTCCAGATATTACCCTTTGGAGATTGGTGACTGATCCGGACCTTATGAGTTATTTTGTAAGATTTAGTAAAATAATTAAACTCATGACATTTTTTGATAAATAATAACAACTTTTTTATTGTCAATCAGTCAATCACTGTTTATATATGGATAACTTCAATTTGCAACAATGTTATCTTAAGACACACCACAAAAAGAGCAAGTCTATCTCGTCTAGACTGTACTCTTTGCTGTGGAGGTAGACCGATTCACCGGTGAGGCTGGCTGATGGCATTTTGCAGTAATCGGCATGGGCCGGTGTCTGCTCTCAGGAAGCCGTTTTGATAAACAAACAAATAGTGTCTGCTGACTCTGCAGGCAGCTTTGTTAGTGTGGCTACTTAAAGAAAATTTCCTCTGAAATTGATATGTTTTTCTTATTCTTCAACAAATCTAAAACAGTAACTGTTCAATAGTTATTACAACTTTTGAAATATGCTGTTTGTTGTTGGTTTTTGCAATATCATCAGTAATATACTGAAATCTAAAGCATAAATCAGTTTATTCTTCTATTCCTTGAATTAATTTGAAGTCTACAGGGTCAGATAACCATGTATATAAAATTTTAATGAGCAGAGGTTTTACTGTTGTTAAATTGTTTTATCAAAAGCAAAACAAACAACAATAACTACATGATATTGGCATTTATTGTCCAACCTGCCTTTTAATTAACAGCATTGATGTTGACCAGCCACTACATATTTTGTACAGACCCAACTTCAAGACGTGATAACATTCAGTATTACCTTATCTTGATCTACTATGAACAGAGAACAAACTGGGAAAAACACTTCCCTTCATCAGACAGAAACCTAAAGCAAAGGTGAACAGCCATCAGCTGTCAAATACCAGTAATCACAGTAGAAGTATGTGTACTGTTTAGAGGAACAGCAAATTAGTGGCAATAGACTGTTCTTAATGTTTATGGCAGTTCAAGTCAATGGCTCTACTGTTAGCTAGGGGTGTCCCGATATATCTTTTTTTTTTTTTTTTACCCCCGATACGATACCGATATTGCAGCCTTCAATATTGGTCGATACCGATATTGATCTGATATTAGCACAGACTTGTGCATGACAAGTTTTGCACTCAGCTACAGTGTCTTTTTCAGACTTTAATGAAAAACACTGCCACAGGGCCAACACTCCTTCTTGGTACTTTGATACACACTGTTGTTGTGATTACATGGGCTCTACATGATGGATCTGGGTGCTGCTAGATAGAGGTACTGGAGCGGAGTCTGGAATGGACTGCCTGTATCTGAGTGCTGATTTCTGAGATTTTAGATGGAGGCCGATATGATCCGATATTCCATTTTTTGCTGATATCAGACCAGTATTGTGTGGGGACACCCCTACTGTTAGTATTTCTAGAAATTATGGTGATAACAGGGATATGAACGGTAATATTGACTGTTGCAGTTGGAGTAAAGTTGACTTAGGACTAACATTAGCTGATAACGGTGATAATAACAGTGAGGTTGTCATCAATGGTTGTGGTGGTAGGAAACAAGCAGGTCAACAGCGACATACCTTTCTCAGCAATAATCCAGAAGAACCTACGAAACAAGGGGGATCAGGGACCTCCAGAGAGATGTGTGTTTAGCTAAATAAAGATTTAAAGTTAGTGACATGCAGGCGGAGAAGAGAGGGAGGGAAAAGACGAGCTAAACATGCCAGTCCTCCTGTCAGTTATGTAGAGAAGAAGCCCAAAGTGCTTCAAAAAACAAGATCAGTGACACAATAATGTTTTCCCTACTTGGGCTCACAAGGGCGGGCAGCTGCAACTTATCCCAGCTGACCAAATGACAAACATTTGAATGAAAATATGAATACTTGGGAAACAGTCAACACAGCAGTAGCCAAAAAAGTTAGAAAAAAGTGAAAACAAACAAACAAAAAGATTCTTGTTAAAACAGGTTGTTAGTCAAATAAACAAAATGGCTTTTTAATTTCCTTTTAAAAATTATGTAAAAGAAAAAAACTTTGATTCCCTGACTCACGGGGGAGATGATCCACAAGCCACAAGCAAACTTTCTAAAAAGGAAGTCTGCAGAACATTTAAGGAGGAGACATAAATAGAAAGGCACTTAGTGATTTAGGAGGAGGGTATAAAATTATCTAAACCTTTTGTAGTTGAGTAGGAGAACTCTCTAATTCAAAGAGAAGTAAATTGGGGAGTCAGTATGAGCAGAGGCATAGTGTGATATGTTTTCCTTGAAAAATTCTGGTGTTGTAAATAAATATTTCCTGAGGATCAGCTCTTGGAATGTCAAGCGATCACTTCAGAGTGTCAGTATCGCTTCTAGCACTGAATCAGCTGTTGTGAAACATACTCTTAAATAAATGTGAAGAAAGCTAGAATAGTGGTTGTTGCTGTTCTGAAGGATTCTGCATTAGCACTGCTCTGCTGCAGGATCAGAGCACACTTCTAAGTTTATAGCTTTAGTAAACTGGATCTGCATCAGTATACACTTACGTTTAGAGAGGTTTTTGGAGATCTCCTACAACCCAAATTCCAGGACTCTTCAAAATGTAAATAAATAGATAATGAAGATTTGACATTCTTCTTGGCAAATATCTAAAAGCAAGTTCAAAGAAATATTTCCTACTCAAAGTGGTAAGCAGTTTTTTTTATTGTGTGCTCTCATTATGAATTTGATAAAATACTTTTTATCTGTTCAGTACCCACACTGGTATAGAATCAGTGGCGCACTAAGTTAGAGCCAGACAGTGAAAATTATTGCTATAGTGCCAGATGTTGACCTTCATTGTCAGTATGCAAATGTGATCCATGTCACGTTCAAGAATGAAGGTGTCATATAAATGTGAAGTGCTTTTGGTGTGGCAAAATATATGGGGATATCACTCAACACAGGGCTTCTCCAAATATGTTCAAACTCAAATAAAACAACAACTCTCCCCTGAGAGACACAGTGAAGGCGGGTTTCCTCTTGATTTTTTGAATCGACTAATTTTTTGTCTTTCCTCTGCCACAGTATTGTAATTTACTACTAATGAGCAATCCTCATACACATGAACAGCACCAAAGTAAATGAGGTCATCCTTGAGTTGTTGTGGGATTTGATTTTGAAGAGTGTTGTGTTTACGGCATTCCAACACCACATCTGCAAGTGTTTAAGTAGTTTACTACTCATTTTATTAATGCCTATGTTTTTTTTTCCTTTTAAATAATTATATAATTAAATATAGAGAATAGCAGTGTGATTCAGTAGGTGTGGTTGGCTCAGGGTTTTTATTTATTTATTTATTTAGCTCTATGTTGCTCTTATTTGGGCCCCATGCAAACCCTCCTGAGACATAAATATACAATGAGTAATAACATTTTCCTTTTTTCTTGACACCTAGAGCTGAACAAAAACCCAGTGGAGGGATTCTCAGCAGGCCTGATAGAGGACAACGATCTCTACAGATGGGAAGTCCTCATCATCGGGCCTCCAGACACACTGTAGTGAGTCTGTCTCTGTTGCATTCTTGAAATATGATGGGGCGAACTATGTTTTCCTCTGAACTTCATCGCTGGCATGATTTATGAGATATTGTAGTGTTTATTTTGTTGTCCTGATTACCTCTGTTCACAGTGAAGGGGGTGTGTTTAAAGCTCATCTGACATTTCCCAAAGACTACCCCCTCAGGCCACCCAAGATGAAATTCATCACAGATATTTGGCACCCTAATGGTAGGTACAGGTTCAGAACACTCTGAATGATTTTTGTCTCTATATGGAAGTGGTTACATATCTTCTGAAGAAGTAAATACACCCTAGTGTAGAGGAACTCTTTTCCAAATCAAGGTTGTAGGGGTCTAGCTGATTTAAGAAACATACAGAGAAGTACTTTTGAGAAGTTTGTGTTGGTTGGATAAAATACACATTTGTTATGTATATCAGTGTGTTACAAGTCTTTTATGTTACATGCACGTTAGAATATGTTTGACTAGTTTTCCTTTTAATTTTGGTCAAAAGAATTCCAAATTGTGTTGTGTCGGTACATTTTTATTTACTGATATTCTTGAACAAGCTGTAACACAACTCAGCAAAACGTGCTTTTAGCTAAGTGAACTAGTTCCTAGACTCTGCTCAATTAATTATAGATTTCAGTCCTTGTTATTCAGATGTTTATCCTTTCTAGTGAATATGAGAGGACTTAAAAATTGCTGTCATGTCCAGCTCCCTTCTCAGCACTGTCCCTGTTCAGAACTAAAGAATTGGAAGCAGTTTACACAGAACCATCCACAGTCTGTAGGCTCAAGGTGGCAACAGCTGGCAAAGGTGCCTTTGCTAAACACTGATGCAAAGTGGAGCCAGATATCAGTTTGGTCGTTTATTGTCCAAGTGTTAATGAGTATGAGAACATTTACACTTAAACTACAGAAATAGAAGAATAAATGTCCTTTACTGTTTTTTTTTTTCAGTTGACAAGAATGGAGATGTATGTATCTCTATTTTACACGAGCCTGGGGAGGACAAGTACGGCTATGAGAAACCAGAGGAGCGCTGGCTGCCTATCCACACGGTGGAAACCATCATGATTAGTGTTATCTCTATGCTTGCAGACCCAAATGGGGACTCACCGGCCAATGTGGATGCAGCGGTGAGGCTTATTAAAAAAGTTTTGCTCTAAAATGGCATTTAGGTTGAGCGGATGCATTCCCTGTAGTATAACAATAATGGCCATACCATTTTTGTCTTACTTATACCACGAATTTGAGATTATTCAAAAAGGAGAACTTCTGTTACAGCTCAAACTGTTTCTGTATGACATTTTTCTCATAAATGAGTTAAATCAGGTCTTAATCTGCATTGATGGAAATGAAACAATGAAAAGCATTATTTGACACATTAAAAAGTTTTAGCAAAATTGAAGTGAATTCTCTGTTTACCTCTTTTCCCTCTGCAGAAAGAATGGAGGGAGGACAGACATGGAGCATTCAAAAGGAAAGTGGCCAGATGTGTACGAAAAAGCCAAGAGACTGCGTTCGAGTGATATTTAGCACCGATCTAGCTTCATGTTTTCAGGGTTAGTATTTCTGACTTCAGCACTTATAAAACCTGAACATACAGTTTTTATACTCTGTTGCCATTCTGGAGGACACACTTCAGCAAAAGTAAAGCAGGGTGTTACAACAGCTCTCAAGTAAAACCTGCTATCATTATGATTCCATTGTTGACAATTTTGCAGACTTGATGTGATCAGCTTGAAGTTTGTGACGCTGCTGAACTTAGAGAAGTGTCTTTTTTTTCAACCTCATTTATATCACTGAGTTGGAGCTTAATAACAGGTACTCACTTACACTTTGCAGAGACCCCCAAAAATTATACCGTCTAAAATTGTCATCAAGTTCAAATAACAATTTTCTACAAGAGTAAAATACTGAGTATTGTAACTCTATGGGCAGCCCTGTTGTTTTGGGACTTATTAGTTTGAAAGTGATCCTAATAAACTGACAGCTAAGTGCATTTACAGGTTTATGTATTACCCCAGTTTCTGCACCAGTGCTTAGATTTAAGTTGTTCGAGTACAAGAATTTTGAACTTGAATGCAATACTGAAATCAAACAACATCAGTACTTGTTCCAATACCACAGCCAAGAAATGATTCATAAAATAATGTAAAATAAGCAAATTATTCATTATTTTGCCATTTTGGCATGTGAGACCTGCATGCAACTCATGGGAAAAAATAGACGAGCCTTGTATTCTTTAGGTTTTAGGCACGAGACAAGCTTGAGATTGACATGAGCCACTCTACCATTCAGTCTCTGGACATGGATGCTGAAATGAAAGTCAAGCTGTACTGGAGCAATCATGTTTGTTTGAAGCAGCTGTCATTCTGTGCTAATTTTGTGGATGTAAATCATTGTGCAGTGCTTTGAAGCTCCGTGTCAACAGTCCAAAGGTTTACTAACCTGTGAATTAGAAGAATTAATGGTGTTGGGGCTGTGACGGAGGGCGGAGCAGAGTGGCATACAGTAGGCAGGCAGGAAGAGGTGTGACTCCAGAAGCAAAATAAGCTGATTTTTTTATGTGGAACAGTGAGATAATAATGTATTGATTTCACTACCCCCCGCCTGCCCATCTACAATGAGTCATAAAAAGTAACCGATAATGTGTTGTTCTAATGCATGTGGTATTGAAAACGGTCAATGTATGGAAACCTTACTTTAAAAGTGAATGTATCGCAGTTATCACCTCTTTCACATTGTTTAGGAATCCTTACATATTATTCAGGTCTATACAAAGCTAACCTCTGTTGCTATTACTGAGTTTGCCCATTTCTATGTAGATTTTTCTCATGCAGGTAGGGAATTGAGGTTAATTTAACACTTTTCTTATTTCTACACTGTGATTGTTCTTGTTTTCATTGGAGAGTGTTTTGTCATTAAGTTGATATTTAGTTGATTTCAGGACAAGATATTTATTCTGAGTGCTAAGATGACACTCTACCTTGGTTAAAATAAAAGCCTCAAATTGTCATCAAATCATTGTTGCAACTCAACAGATGTTTAACTGGCTTGTTTAGTAACTATGTAAAATAATGTCTGAATAGCTGTAGACCATACAACTTTATTTTGAATTGTACACACATCCAGCTGGTCTGACCTGCTGCAGATCTTAAGTTTTCCTGTTTTCTAATTTCATATTTTTGCCTGCTGTTGACTTATTCCACTTGTGTGATTGTTCACACTGCTTTTTACTCTGTGGCAATTTGTCTCTCCCACAGGTCTCCAATTGAAAATCAACACGGCACTGTTTCCTGCACTCTTCCACCCTGTCGTCAGCCTTTTTTTATCCTGGCAGGAACAGACTGGCTACTGTAGGCTGCAATAGAGCATCACAGTGACTACCACGGCTGACAGAAAAACCCGCCAAGAAAGTGCCAACTCCAAAAACATGAAAAAACCCAGAGGATGACAGAAACATTTTTCAAGTCTGTGAACTGCTTCAATATTCAGGAAGATATTGTAAAGACATGTTAATAGAACAGACTAAACTGGATAATATATAAACTCCCTTTCCATCCATCAGGACACTTAGACCAAATGAATAGAGCTGTTCCAGATAGATTTATTTTTGTTCTTTCCCCCTTTCTCAGCTCCAGCATGCATTGGTTCTCTTTAGTTTCTTTTAATAGGGGGTCTGTAGAATGAGGATGTTTTCCAAGGAACGTCAGCGGTGAAGAGCTTGATTGATTCAAGCCAAACGTGACCTGACTGAGGAAGTTTTTTTTTTTTTTTCTCTTTTTTTTTTCTGGAGGAATACCGCCATATTAGAAAACACCAATGTTCTTATGGGTTCTCAAACACTCGTGGAACTCAACATCAAATGTTCCTCAACTAATTTTTCGTGATACGTCTCACCATCCTGCTCTGCTGACTTAAAGAAAGGCATATTTCCCCATCTTTTTCTTTTTTGCATGTCAAACTTTGTTCATCTTTTTTCAAAAGTGCCTCCTAATAAATGCTAGGCCACTTCACCCTGCATTGAACAATGTTAAAAATGTTGAAAAAAGGATAGAGACATGTGTACCACAAGTGTATAAATTTATTTAATAGCGAGTACACAGGGAATCTGTATAATTAGGGTATTGGTAATAATTTGGTGTAGCAATAACTCCTCTAGTATTAAGTGTACACAAATTAATTTTTGATATCCTGAGACAGTTTGAGGTCCTCTTCTGATTTTATTTTAGCAGCCTCTTTCCTGGTCTGTGTTGTTCTCAGTAGGAATTGTTATGCATGCTTTATTGTACCTTTTTTGTCTTTCTCCCTTTTTTTTGCAGGATGTTTCTGGGTTTTGTTTGCGAATGTTTGAGTGTTTGTTTTCGTCACCCTCCTTCTCCCTGGTCCATATTCCCATCACTATTCTGTTCACTGAACTATTGCAGATTTGCCTAATGTACAAAGACAAAATACTGATGTATATTTTTCATTTTATGAATCCTGTTACCTGTTGTGAGTTCTTCTAAAATATGACATTTTTCAATATTTACTGGCGTATTTAATTCAGCCGTGTTTGTGGTACAACATGAACAACAGCGTGCCCATGAGAAAGACAGCTAAAACCTGTTCTTTTCACTAGTTATATCAAAAATATGAATCAAGTATTAAACATAAGTAGGAAATTCAGAGAAAAAAATGAATTTATAAGATTATCCATTTTTTATAGATACCTTTTCAAACCACTGTATTTTGTTCCAATACTTTGCACAAGAATAGTAGATCACAGATTGAAGTGTTAATTGCTACTGCCGAAAGCACAAGTGTTTGTCAATTGTTTCAATTCACAGCCCTCTGTGAAGGTCAGAGCCACTAAATAAAACTAATACACACGAATGTAAAGGATCAGACCTAATCTTACAGTGCAACATGATTTAAAGTGTCTAGGCTAAAGATTTTAGATGCTGTCACTGTACTGCAAGTGTCAGTCTCCAGCTTTATAGGTATGAATGATGAGTGAATATTTGATCTGGTTTTAGTCCTGCACTTGTAAATAACTGAAAACTGTTTTAGATCAACTGGAAATCATGTTTCCACAAGTTATCTGAATATTTTGTTCCCCTAGTATTTAATAATGAAGCAGAGAATCTAAGGACTACCTTTCAATGAAACACCCTCCAATATACCACCAACACCATCTGTGTGTTCAATGATAAATAAAAAGAATAATAATCACCTGTCAGACGACATCACAAAAAAGTTAAGTTTAAACGCTTCCTGAGAGCAGAATTTAGGGTATAAGGTGGGGAGGTTTCTTTTTTTCTTTTTAATTTTTTTATGAACTTAGCAGATGTCCCTGAATGCAACCTTACTTTGACAATTGTCGAATGATTTCAATATTCATACTCTAACGGGCCACAAGCTCCGCTGGGCCTTATTTGAACTTATCTGGAAATAAACCTAGTTATTTTCAACGTTTCTAGTATAATAATTCGGTGCAAGAAAGAGTGAAAGGTTTATGAACGTGTTTTGGAAAGCACTTGAACGCAGCAGCGCTGCTCGCTGTCTGCCTCTCCGTCATATCGCGATAGAGACGGTTGGTCCACGGAGCTAACGTCGAGCAACATGGCGGAAGGTATGAGATTGGTTTTTTGACTATTTGGAACACTCCCTGTTACTCTCGTATGCTCGTTCAGCCGTCGTACTGAATCAACTAGTGTCTCGGCAGTTTGTTAAACATTACATTGTGTGTGGTTTCACGTATGAAGCACTTGGGCTCTTGTAATGTCAAACTCAGCCTGCCAGTGAAGCTCTGGCGTTAACGTTAGCTCTCGTTGATGTTGCTAGCTGAATTTTGAAGCTGGGAGTTTTTGTCAGAGCAGATTTCGGGTTTATTTATTTAGACACAAACCTGACCTGGAAATATTTAGCTCTTCTGTTTAAACGTAAATCTGAACGTCAATAGTCAGGATTGCGTCAAACTGCATACATAATCCAGCTGAGGTTTAATTTCCATGCCCGTGAACGCTCCCACACTGCTACTGCTTGGTTTATAATGACACACAGTTACAGCACTCTTAAACGTTAGTTATCTCTAATGGAGGGTAATTACAGGGACACTAGGCTTCACAGGTGTCCATCACTGTAAGACATCACCTGGCAGAGGTGCCATGGCTTAGGGCACCACCTATATTTGGCTAAGACATGGGCCAAATATATGCTGTGTGTTTCTCCTTAAAGAAAATCTACTTACCATCTCCAACCAAGAGACCAGATACAACAACCTGTGGTGGTTTGAATGAGGAGCTGCTCAATTGATACTGAGTGAAATACACGTGTTCTTGGACTTGTTGAGCGTCTGTCCAAGCTCTTACCTGAGTGCATTAGATAGTGGGGATAGTGCGTGTTGCAGTTATTTTCAAACCTGTGTTGGCTGATAAGGTTTACAACAACTCGCACCTTATTCTCCACTGTAAAGAACACCAAGTGTCTACTGTGCTAAAATAGACCTGTTACTCTTATTGTGGTTGTGTATTTGCTCTAGAAATGAACATTACATGAAAAACAACATTTACAAATGAAAAACATGTCATTTTTCTTTTCAATAATGTTCACTGCTATCCGCTGCTGACGCCTCCAAATATTACCACACAGCTTACATGTTGAAGCTTGTTGTTCGCTTCTGCAAGAACAATCTATGTGTCACCTTATTGGTCATACATACTGGCAGAAAACCTTTTGTCTGCTAGTATAGATACCATTTTGAGCTACTATCTTCCCATACTGACATTATGCTGATGATAATGTGCATCTCTGAAATATAAGCTTTAAAATCACAGTAGAAGTATATTTTAATGATTTGTGTACAAAAGACAGTGCTAGTCTCATTGAAAAGTCTTTGATTGCAGTGTAAAGATTGGATCAGTAGTATAGATGATGTATATGCAGCTGCGGTTGTGCAAACTTCCCAAAGCTACAGCAAAATAATTGATTTGCAAATAAGTAATTCCAGCTTAACCTTGCCAAATGTAGGTGGATTTGATCATATTCTGAGAATTTCTTCACTTTCTGGTTGGTCAGTCATGAGCTGCAGCTCTATGATGCCGCCCTTCCTGTGTTCAGCTAGTCAGGTGGTTTTCAGAAACACCCCCATCTGTTCCTCATGACCAGTAGCTTTGCCAATAAGGGTTTACAAGGGAGGACAAAGTAACGTGCAGCATCAGCATTCTTTCCCCACTAAAACTTTACTGGTTTAAAGGAAGGAAATGGGCCTCAGTGAAACTCAGAGAGTTCAGTTAAGAGTGGCCTAAGAGGAAGAGAGAAAGCCTTGACTAAACAAAAATGAGATCCAGAAATGTGTGTCTTGTGTGCCCATGATAGGGGATGACAGAAATCATTTTAGTGCAACTTATTTGATACAAAAAATAAACCAGGTTTTAAAAAGCTACAAGAACCTGTGTGACATTAGTCAGTAATGTTTTATGGTTGCAAATCAACGTAACCTTCTGTGGTGATGTTACGAGCGATATCCTACAGTCAGAGATATAATTCTAAAGAACATATTTTTGATGGTAAATCCTGCAAAATAAAAACCCAAATTCCTGTTACTTTAATGCACTCATTTACTTTGAGGTGCATTCTAACTGTGCTGAACTTGTCTTTCTAACTTCTCCTCCATCCCTTCATCTTGTTTTGTCCTCTGCCTGTCTCCTGTACCTTGATGGGGTCAGAGGAGGTGGCCAAGCTGCAGAAGCACCTGGCCCTGCTCAGGCAGGAATATGTGAAGATGCAGCAGAAGCTGGCCGACACAGAGCGGCGCTGCGCTGTGCTCGCCGCTCAGACCTCTAGCCAGGGCTCCTCCAGCCCTGCAGCTGCAGACACCTTCATCAGCCGTCTGCTCGACATCGTGGCCGACCTCTACCAGCAGGAACAGTACAGGTGAGGATCACGGTTAAAACTGAATTATTTCTTTTACTGCAGCAGTCTTACAAATGTTACTATAAACCTGAGGGTCTTGTGAAACATTGTACAATATTTCCAGTGTGTGTTAGTACATTTTGAGGGCTGTTGAATGTTCAAGAGTATTTGTCCCTTTTTGTGTGTCTCAGACATGTATGTGTTAATTTTGCAGTGATCTCAAAGTGAAAGTTGCAGACAAGAAGCTCAATGCCCATAAGTTTGTGTTGGCTGCTCGCAGTGATGTCTGGAGCCTGGCCAACATGGCCTCCACCTCAGAACTGGACCTATCTGGTGAGCAGCGCAAAGTGACTTTTCTACATTCTGCAGCAGTAGTTTATATGATGACTCAAAATCCAGTTTTTACTGAAGTCCTTTTCAGACACGCACAAAGATCTGAAAACCATTATACACATTATACATTATATATACATCATTATATACCACCCCATTGTCAAAGTAACTGAAGCACACTTTGATATTCTGTTACCTTATCTGTCATGGAGATCCAGAGTGACATTTAGCTATAGCTTCAAGTGGAGATGAGACTGGCTGCTGATACTGTGCACACCTTCACTTATTTGTAAGATTGAGGAGTTGAGAAGAAAAAAAAGAGATAATGGATATAAAGTGTAAAAACATGTGGAAGAGTGTAATTTGAGGATAAAGAATTCTAAATCTTGGATAAGACTGTAAAAGATTACACCATGGCTGTTGCTCTGTCAGTTTGACGTCCATGTCAGGCCTCTGAAATCCCAGCCTCTCCTCACATATCCTGCCCCCTCAGTTGAGAAGGAAGACCTCATTCTGTTAAGGTACATGAGCGGTCAAGTTAGGTAAACTTCGGGTAAAGAACTCCAAATATGTTCTGAAATGCGTGTCTGAGATCAGCTTTACTCATCCCTTGGTTGGTCAACCTACTTATGGGTTAATAGATGATGACTGGATATTTATTCTGGAGGAGATTATTTGGACTGCCAAAGTCCAGTATTGGACAGCTCTGGGTAGGTTTGTGGCTGCAGGCTTGTTTTACCCTGAAGTTAATCTATAAGGTTTGAATCCATGTAAAAATAGGCAAATTAAGAGTAGAGTAAAACGTTTCAAATTGTGTGTTTTTAAATTGATAATATATAATATATTTTGTCTGTTCTGTTGGTTTCAAAGGATTGGCATTTGCAAAGATTAATGTGTAAACAGGCAGCATAAACCTTTTACTCATCAATCGCTCCAATTGAAAAAATGGCACCCTGTCTAAATTTGATGATGGATTTCCAGACTGCAAACCTGAGGTTGCCATGGCGATGTTGCGGTGGGCATACACTGATGAGTTGGAGCTCAGCGAGGATGATGCCTTTCTTATAGACCTGATGAAACTGGCCAACCGCTTTCAGCTCCAGCTGCTCAGAGAGAGGTCAGCACAGTCAAGCCACTTATACTGTACAGAATGCTGCTTTGTTGTGCATAACTAAACTTGAATTGAAAGTGGCAGTGTTGATGTTGCACAATATTTAATCAAGCAAAATGTGTGGACTAAGGCCTCACAAACACATTAATTTCTCCACCGGGACAGGTGCGAAAAAGGTGTGATGTCCTCGGTGAATGTTAGGAACTGTATTCGCTTTTACCAAACGGCTGAGGAGCTGAGCGCCACCACGCTGATGAACTACTGTGGGGAGATCATTGCCAGCCACTGGGTGAGTTCATTCAGTCAGAGGCTGTGTTCCTGCCTGCCCAGTAATGTCATGGCCTTTGTGTGAACATGCATGATCATATATTTGTCAGAATTTATTCAGTTCTTTCATTGATTCATTCATCATTTATGGAATCTACAAAAATATGTAGACTCTGCACATGCTGTCTGGATTTCAGCATGGGAAGTGTTCTAGGTTTATGGCATCTTTGTAACGTCAGTATTGATCATGTATCAGCAGGCATCGGTGAGTGCAGCATTAACAGTCTGTATGGAGAGCAAAAGCAGGTGGAACACAATTCAAAAAAAGTAATCTCTAAATGTATTTATTATTGTTGTAGACAGATAACTGCATGTCAGTGCAGTGACAGATCCACCCCAGATTAAACACTTTAACGTGAGCCACAAATCAGCCTGATTCTGTATCACAAAAAAACAGTTCACATTTTGCTGATGTACCATTATAAATCTAAAATTATTGATCTAACTTCTATTGAACAGACATTTTTGAAGTGTTATTCTTCTATGAAAACAGCTAACATTTTTATTTTTTTTACAAATCTGAATTGTGATATTATTTTATTAACTAAAAAACCCATTGATTGCAAGTAAAGTGGATCTGTTGTTTGGGTTCTATAGAGCTGAAGCTGGCCTGATTGAAGCCCCTGCTAAATTTTCTATGTGCTGTGTAACTGAGACTCACCAACAGATGAATCAGCACTTCACTGGGAGATGTAATAAACCAAGAATTTACAGCGTTTACATCACCGACATAAAGGCCGTCCAGTCTGTAAAACACAAACCAACAACATCACAAGATCTACTGAGAATTGAAAATCATGTCTTTGAGGCATATCACCTATCAGCAGCAGCTAATGATAGATGACAAGGGCCACTGGATTCCAAAATCGTACATCACCAAACCTCATTAGCTCGCCATGAGCTACCAAAGTCTGCCTTTTTATTCTAGAAGTGCCACCTCTGAATCCTCCATCCACCTTGAATATGTTTTGTGTATTTCTGGGTCGATTACCCAGAGTTCTCTCTTCTCTCAAAGATCAGGGTTGTTGTGTTTCTCATGTGTTTCATCTCCTGCTTTATGATACAATAATTCCAGCTGTCAAGGTTGTTTTTATGAGTCTCTGTAGAAAATGGCTGTTTACTGTCACCAGCCCTGACACCTCAGTCCAATTTTTTTCTGCTTTTATTTGCTCTATTCTGATAAGTGCTTTCGAAAATCACCTCCCGAAGAGCCTGTTGACATGAGTTTTCTTTCTTTAGAAAATGGTCAACACTCATTCACCTCTTTCATGGTTAGTTATTTCTGAGAATTTACACTGATGTTTTGCTGTGCTCCTTGTCTGTCATTTATCAGGATGATCTGAGGAAAGAAGACTTCAGCACCATGAGTGCCCAACTTCTGTACAAAATGATCAAATCTAAAACAGAGTATCCCCTTCACAAAGCCATCAAAGTTGAGAGGGAAGATGTGGTCTTTCTTTATCTCATTGAGATGGACTCACAGGTATGCTCCTCAGACGCTTCACTGCTCACAAACCAGTGTGTTTTTTTCTTGTTTGTGTGATATAAGCAGCATTTCTCCCATTATGCTTTAATCAGGTTTTATATTTGCTCCTGGATGTTGTTATCTCTCATTTGCAGTTACCCGGAAAGCTAAATGAACTGGACAATAACGGTGACCTGGCTCTCGACCTGGCTCTCTCTCGTAAACTGGAAAGCATCGCCACCACTCTTGTTAACAACAAAGCAGACGTGGACATGGTGGACCAGAGTGGCTGGAGCCTCCTGCACAAGGCCATCCAAAGAGGTGGGAGACATTATTGCTGCACTTACATTTCACCTAATTCATTCCCTAGTCCTTTAAATGAAATCTATACCTGTGTATGTGTCCATACAAACCACACGTTTCACTGGTTGATACCTGTTACCATAGTGATGGCTGGTGTGCAGATCACACCACCCTCATCCAATTTTTTCAAATACTTTCTAATGTGCTCAGACAAAACTGTCCCAGACTAGTTTCTCATAAGCTCTGCAGATTTTCAACATGATCTCTTGCCAGTTATTTTGTTTGGCTTGCTGGTCCCTGTGCATCCATTGTTGTCACTGCCACTGTGTTGACTGTCACCGATCTCTTTTGTCTTTACTATCTACGCCTGTGTTGCGAACCATCACTGGGGATCTGCAGCAGCCATCATGCTTTGCTTGACACATAGTTAACACTAAGAAAATCTCCAGCCTCACACTTGAACTTAGTGCTGGGCGATTGGACGATATATATCGTTGGCACGATAGAAAATGTCTATCGTGCCATTTTTATTCTTATCGTTTCGGGCGATAGGTTGTATTTAATCCATAGAGCTTGTGCCATCAGATGATTCATAGTAACAACAACAATAATTGCACATTCAGTAAGTGTATTTGGTGTCGAACGGGAAAGAAAACAATATTTTCTTACAAAGAAAAGGATGCGTTGACATGTAGGCTTGCATTTCTCTTTCGATTTTGCGACATGACGCTGCTTTACGTGCCCTCTTTATGTCCAGCGCCTCCCGCCGTTGCGGGTTACCTGGGTTACACACGTGAGGGGATCATTGTAAGCAGTGCTTAATTTGTGCCGGAGCAAGTCGGAGCGCGATCCGGGACCTCTTTTGATCGGATCTGGGACCTATTTCAGCCGCTCCGGCACCTGTTTCATCTGCTCCGGGACCTTCCCTGTGGAGGATGACTTTTTTCGGGAATTCCCGTGGGTCACGTGATTCCCGCGGGATGGGAGTCATTTTTTTATTAATCTCTTGATCGGGACGGGACGGGGAAAAAAGGAACGGGAGTGGGCAGGAGCGGGAACAACATGAAAAGATTATCTTTTTCAGCCGTGTTTAACAACCAGATGAACAGGTGCGTCCATTTTTGTAGTCATCTCTCAGTGAGAGCCAACACTCTTGACCGCGCTAGCAACACAAAAGAACTACAACAGCGGTTTGACTTCCTGTCAGCTGGGAGCGCGGCTGCGCATTTGTACCCTTCAAGCAAGCAGCGAGGAAACGTAATTTTGTGACATTCTGTAGTTTTTCAATCATTTCTGGAGTCGTGGCGAATCAAATCACCTTACCTGTCTGCCCCTGATAGGCGAATAAAGCGCTCGGATTCATGCTCGGGTCTTGCTACGTGCTTCAAGAGTAAAGTAAACAATGATGGAGGCAGAGAGCAGCTTTGGAGGAGAAACATCTAGCAGTGTGAACAACCTCTTCAAAAGAGCCCTAAAGACCTACCTTTTTAATAAAGCCTTTGGTTAGTTTTCCTCTATGCTTTATGCTTTTACTACCTTGCCTCTTACATTGCAACTCTTTATATATATATATTTTTTAATTCTTTTTTATGCTAATCTGTGACTGTCATTCTATTGCTTTTTTTATTGTTGCTGCTCTTTTTTTACTGTGTACTATAGCACTTTGAGATTTTTTTGTAAATGTAAAGTGCATTACAAATTAAATTTATTATTATTATTATGGAGTGCTTCGGCTCACACTATCAGCGTTTTCTGTAAGTGTTGCATAACTTTGGGTGAGCACAGACATGAACGCATTTGTTTATTCATTTTTCTAGTTTTAAGTGCTGGTCTTGTACTGGTACTGTACTAGTGCAGCTGTATACACTTAAATTTTTCATAGAACTGAAAGCATACCATAGCTATATCGTGATATATATCGTTATCGTGATATAAAATGATCCATATCGTGATATACATTTTTTTCCATATCGCCCAGCACTACTTGAACTAGATGCAGCCTATAACTTTATCTCCTTTTTATTTTCAACAACTTAACACTGAAAAACCACGTCCTTCCATGAGAGGCCATCTGTCACCTGTGCTTGTCACTGTTTTAGTCAGGGAGCATTATGGCATTATGGTAGTAGACATAAACTAGGACTACAGCACTGGCTAGTGGTGGGTGGCTGCAGTACAGCTGAGACACAACATTTGACAGTATTTTGGGGCCTACACAAGATATACATCACTTTTATAACTCTTGTGATATTTGTATTCAGTTTAGTCCATTGGAAGAATAAAATTAAGTGAATTGAAACTGACTTAAATGTGATTTGTATTTTTGAGGAAATATGGGTCCTGGAATAGTCTGTAGACAATCATAATCATTCAACTGTTTCACTGGTGTTCAAAATGCAGACTAAAAATCGAGAAAACCGACAACATCGTAGCATTGCTATTTAAATCGAATCAGCACCCAAAAAATCGTAAAAGAATCGAACCGGGAGAAAAGCACATCTTCCCAGCCCTACTGTCCTTAGCATTTATTTTGGTAGTAAACATGAGGGCCCCTTTCCCCCTCATTATGTCTGATCTTGCTGTATCTGTAAGCTGCTGTGCACAACTCTGTATTCACTCGGGCATTACAGAAAATACAGAAGCATGATAGTCTGAGTAATGCAATTTCTGTAAATGATATTAGAGTACCTGCAGCCAGAGCTGTTCTCCTGCTGTCCATAACTAATACGTCGGGAATGCCAGTATCAGATGACAGCTTGCTAAACTTCATAGGTGTACATTGCTGATCAAACACATTGTGCCTGTTCTTGCAAAACCTTGGTAAGCTTGTTCTTGTACTACTAAGAAAAACAGAAACGTTTTTTTTTCTTTCAAGACTGTTAATCTCTCTTCTCTTCTGCTCTGCAGGTGATGAATTTGCCTCCATCTTCCTAATCCGCCACTCAGCTCAGGTGAATGCAGCCACGGTGGGGGCGGTTGAAACCCCTCTCCACCTGGTCTGTTCTTTCAGCCCTAAGAAACACTCTGCTGAAGTGATGAGCGGTATGGCGAGGATCGCAGAGGCCTTGCTTAAGACAGGAGCTAACCCTAACATGCAGAACAGTAAGGGCAGGTAGGTCACCCGGCTCTTTTTGTTTAGACTTAATCAGTTTTCCAAGATCACCAACTAGCTCACAAAGTGTTGTGTTACTTCAGCTGTGTCTTTTGTTGGTCTTAGGACTCCGCTGCATGAAGCTGTGGCATCAGGGAATGAGCCTGTGTTCAACCAGCTACTACAGTGCAAACAGTGAGTGACATTCTGCCTTTAAAAGAAGTCTGAATCTCACACCCACACACAACAAGCCTGTTCTTTGACAAAATAAAACTCATAGGATCAACACATAAAACCAGTTGTCTCAAATGGATAATGTTTGATTTCTTCTACTTGAAGCCAAACACATGTAAGATTGTGTGCCCCATGTTCATCATCTCACTTTGAAGATAATCCTGTTTTTAACCCGAGATAATCTGTCCTGTCCATGTATTAGACTTGACCTGGAGCTCAAAGACCACGAGGGCAGCACGGCTCTCTGGCTGGCCCTGCAGTACATCACCATGTCTTCAGACCCTTCAATAAACCCATTTGAGGATGACGCTCCAGTTGTGAACGGCACCTCTTTCGACGAGAATAGCTTCGCAGCCCAGCTTATCCAGAGAGGGAGCAATCCTGACGCTCCTGACACCTCTACAGGTGTTGTTTCATAACCTGGCATCACAGCATGTTCTTGAACAGCATGATGCTCGAGTAGTTCAACACTTTTTTTCCGTCTCTTTGTCTGTTATCCTTGGCAGGAAACTGTCTCATGCAGAGAGCAGCTCAGGCTGGCAACGAGGCAGCTTCTCTTTTCCTCGCCACTCACGGTGCGAAGGTCAACCATGTCAACAAATGGGTGTGTATGAGCATTTGGCCACAAATCTGCAAAACAGTTACACATTTTTGATGATCAGACCTATCCTTATTATTCACACTTTATTAAGTTTTCTTTTTGATTCTACTGTTGACTAATGTAACCCCTTCATTGTCTAAGAAAAAAATGACAATTGACTTTTGCTGAAACCACAAGGTATATGAATGAAACTGTCACTTCAGGGTGAGAGCCCGCTTCATACAGCGTGTCGCTGTGGTTTGGCGAGCCTGACAGCCGAGTTACTCCAGCAAGGAGCCAACCCCAATCTACAGACCCAGAAGGCTCTGTCTGATGATAACCGTGATGTGGCTATGCAGACCCCCCTCCACATGGCCATTGCTCACAACCACCCAGATGTGGTCTCTGTCATCCTGGAACAAAAAGGTCAGCTTTCATCAGCTCAAAGGAGAGTTTTGTACATTAAAGTGCTTGTGATTTAAAAAGGAAACATGGTTGTGGTTATTTCTGCTATATTGCCCTGAGACATCCCAATATGGATCCACTGATTTTTCCCTTCACATTTCTGTTTCAGCCAATGCACTTCATGCAACCAACAATTTACAGATCATTCCAGATTTCAGTCTGAAAGACTCCATTGACCAGACAGTGTTGGGCTTGGCCCTCTGGACAGGTACACACCAGTACATCTCCACAAATAAGGACAAGTAGAGTACTTAAAATGATCTCTGGAAGGCCTTACCTTGTGACAAGACTTGATCTGTGTATGTAATGTGTAATTTGTATCCCTGTCAGGAATGCACACCATCGCGGCCCAGCTGCTGGGATCAGGGGCTTCTATCAATGACACAATGTCAGACGGACAAACTCTGCTCCACATGGCCATCCAAAGACAGGATAGCAAGAGTGCTCTCTTCCTGCTCGAGCACCAGGCAGACATCAATGTTAGGTAATGTCTGGGCTGTTCGGCAGCTGTAAAACATATACATGGGCTTTCTCGAAGTTGTTTTTGACTGTTCTTATTTTATTTATTGTTAGCAGACAGTAGAGAAATGAGAGAATAAGGTTAGCTGTGAAAAGGGGACATTTTAGGCTGTTAAAATCATCAGTTATTATTTTGTCGTTAAATCCAGATTCAGGGGGGCATGAGTAACGTTATTTTTTTAATACCTTCATCTCATGTTTTGTACGTCACTGTCAGGACCCAGGAGGAAAAAACAGCACTGCAGTTGGCCATCAGTAACCAGCTGCCACTGGTGGTGGATGCCATTTGCACAAGAGGAGCTGATATGTCTGTGGTGAATGACAAAGGGGACCCTCCGTTGTGGCTGGCTCTGGTGAACGGCCTGGAAGACATCGCCTCCACACTGGTGAGACAAATATGTAATACACATGCAATTCATTTAGTGATGATAGTGACTGATAATGCTCCTTGTTAGTGTCGCACCAGGTTAAGATTGAGATTTTTTGACAGATTGATGTCAGGGAGAGACAAATGTGATTGTCTTGCCTAAAAACATGCTTTGTCTTGTTTCTGATGTTACTCTTTGGAGCTTCTGCAGTCATTCCTGCTCCCCCATGTTTTGATGTTATCTGTGTGCAATTGGATATTTTTAGATTTTCATTTTAAGGGTTTTGTTCCACAATCTAAATAATAATAAAAAAAAAAACACAGCAAAACGTCTCTTAGACATCCATGAAAACATCTCTTGCAGTCATCTGTCTTGTTAAAAGCACTTTGAACTGTATACTATATAGATTTTTGCCTGCAGTAAAATATTTTCTTTTGACTTTTTGATCCTGTTTGCTCATTCAAGGTCCGCCATGGCTGTGATTCGACTTGTTGGGGCCCTGGACCCTCAGGTTGCCTGCAGACTCTCCTGCACAGAGCTATCGATGAGAACAATGAAGTCACTGCATGCTTCCTCATCCGCAGGTGGATCTATATTCTTACTATCAGTCTAAATTGAGAATTTTTCCTTAGTACTGCCACTATTTTTAAAAAGAGGCACATTGTTTAATTTAATAATATACTATATAATATCTATAAATGTATATATGATAATTTGATTTATTGAATTTCCCTTCGGGGATCAATGAAGGTTCTTCTTGGTTTGACATTTTGACTCTAAGCAATCTCTACATGTTTGTTAAAACTTGGTTGTATGGAGAAAGATGTTGTCAGATATCTTACCTTCCAGTTTGTGTATGTGTGTAGTGGGTGCGACGTGAACAGTCCAAGGCAGCCAGGGCCGAATGGAGAAGGAGATGAAGAAGCCCGAGACGGACAAACGCCCCTCCACCTGGCAAGCAGCTGGGGCTTGGAGGAGGTGGTGCAGTGCCTTCTAGAGTTTGGAGCTAATGTTAATGCACAGGTCAGTTCCTGTGACTTGGTGATTTTCCTACCAGAGGGACACCTTATTATAGAGTAAGTGGCAAACAGCAATTATTTCTGTTTTGTTGATTTTTTTTTTTTTTTTTTTGTCTCCATCAGGATGCAGAGGGCAGAGCTCCCATCCATGCTGCCATTAGCAACCAGCACAACGTTATCATACAACTCCTCATATCTCACCCAGACATACGTCTCAATATACGTGACCGTCAAGGAATGACCCCCTTCGCCTGTGCCATGACCCACAAGAACAATAAGGCAGCAGAGGCGATCTTAAAGAGGGAGCCAGGTGCTGCAGAACAGGTAGAGCTGATGGAAGTGCACTGAAGCAGTTTTACCCCCTCAGTTAACAAGTGTTCATCTCCCCTGACCTCAAACTATCGTTTCTTTAAAGGTGGACAACAAAGGGCGTAATTTCCTGCATGTGGCTGTGCAGAATTCAGACATTGAAAGTGTCCTGTTCCTCATCAGTGTCCAAGCAAATGTCAACTCAAGGGTTCAGGACGCAGCCAAACTCACCCCTCTCCATCTGGCTGTCCAGGCCGGGTCTGAGATCATCGTCCGCAACCTGGTACACACCTCAGATTTTCTCGCATGATGAATTCCAATCAAAGTGTTATTTAAGGTGCAGCGCAGTCATCGGCGTTTTCATTTTGCTTCTTTCTGTCTGTGTCTAGCTGCTTGCTGGAGCCAAAGTAAATGAGCTGACCAAACACAGACAGACAGCGCTGCATTTGGCTGCCCAGCAGGACTTGGCCACTATTTGTTCTGTGCTGCTGGAGAACGGAATAGACTTTGCTGCTGAGGATGAGAATGGCAATAATGGTACCTTACACTGTTGTATCTCTACGCTTTAGATTCCTGATCATCTGGCTTGATTCTAGAAAACAAACGTGCTTACAAATACACAACACTCATGATAAAGAGTTTGGTAATTCATCTATGATGGTGAATACTACTTTTGGAAGTTAAGAATAGAGCACTCCCTTAGATTACATTACTGATTGTTTGTCGTGTTAATGTAAGGAGTCACTGCTTACAGCTATAAAAACACAAATTTCCTCTGAATGATATTTGAATCTTCTCTTTCTGTTCTTGATATGTTCTCCCCAGCTCTACACCTGGCTGTGATGCAGGGCCGCCTTAACAATGTCAGAACCCTTCTCACAGAGTCCAACATTGATGCTGAGGCCTTCAATCTCAGGTACGGTCTGTTTCTTTTAGAGTCAGACTTCTCAAGATCATCAGCCAAACTTGGCTCAAAACAAAAGTACAAACAATGTAAAAAGAGCAGACCATGACTTCAACTTTCCTGTATGTTTGTTCTATATGTTTGTTCTGTATCTGAGCAGGGGTCAATCTCCAATGCATGTACTCGGCCATTATGGGAAAGAGAACGCTGCTGCCATTTTTGAGTTGTTCCTGGAGTGTATGCCTGAGTATCCTCTGGACAAACCAGATAATGAAGGGAACACAGGTACTGGAGCTTGCTTTATTCCTGTTATTACAAACACATGAATAACACAGGTGGTAAACTTCGAACTAATGTGACCTGTGTTTTATTGTAGTCCTGCTCCTGGCCTACATGAAAGGAAATGCAAACCTGTGCCGTGCCATCGTGAGGGCTGGGGCTCGACTTGGCGTCACTAATAATCAGGGCATCAACATTTTTAACTACCAAGTTGCAACCAAACAGTTGCTCTTCCGCCTTTTAGGTAGGTTTCTCCCTTTTATCAACTTTCGGTTACAAACCATGAATGAAAATGACAGCCCCATATTAATCATTTAGTTTGCACTACAGCTACTGGGTGATTATTGGACAGTAAATGAACAGTACCTATGGTATATATTGCTTTTTGTAGTCCCCTGAGCCCATTTTGCAGAACCAGAGCACCTGAGTGTTTTTTCAGTTTCTTGCTAAAGGACATTTTGACATGTGTTCTGTGGGAGCTGGGATTAAACCCCCCAATCCTTTGATTGAGAGATGACAGACTGCCTCTTATCCTCAACCACTCCTATAACTGATCATGTCTATCCCTTTGTTTAGATATGTTGTCCAAAGAGCCCCCATGGTGCGATGGGTCTAACTGCTATGAATGTGCTGCCAAGTTTGGTGTGACAACACGGAAACATCACTGGTTAGTAGTCTAAAATTTTCATATACGATGCATCTCTTTCAGTATTTCATCAATATTTTTATTTGTGTTGACTTTTCTGTCGAACTCTGTCTCCTTTTCACTTTTTAGCCGCCACTGTGGGCGCCTACTGTGCCACAAGTGCTCTATAAAGGAGATCCCTATCATCAAGTTTGACCTGAACAAGCCTGTGAGAGTGTGCGACATCTGCTTCGATGTACTGACTCTGGGTGGGGTGTCGTAATACAGCAGACTGGAGCTCCTCCACTCTCTGATGCTGGCCATGCCAGGCTCAACGGCACAGTTATCCAGGCACACCAGGAGAAAAGGACATCAGTAGCAGGACAAACTAAAAAGAGATTCCTGGACAGTTATGGACCATCTTCTTTATAAAGTTCAAGTCTATGAAAAACTATTAATGTTCTAGAGGGACGTTGTCTCTTTGTTTCTGTTTTGATCAAAGTATCTTAAAGTGGATATGACAGATCTCCAGCTCTGTGATGGCTGGGCTGTTTGGTAATCAATTTCCCATGATCAATAATGTTTATGATTATCACAGGCAGGTAGCTTCTGCTTTATGTAGACATTTCAGTTCAATGATAAACATGTGAATGATCAAACCAACTTTTGAAAGCAGGGGTTACTGCTACCAGTAAGTATATTCACCATCTGCAGCCTTCATGCTATACGACCTGCCCAAAGACAAAAATTTAATGAGTTCCTGTGTTAATATGAGAGCTGAGGCTGCTGTCGATAAGAGCCAAGCAAAACTGTAATATGACCATAGATCAGTGGATCTACAGACTGAACTATCAGCATGCTCTCTGTAATCATTCATCTGTCATCCTGATTCTATATTAACTGGATCAAGTGGGACAGATAAGGAGGATTTAAAGGGAAAGAAACCCAACTCTGTTTTAAGTAAGCATCATGTCCAGTTAAGATCCTTAAAGGTAGATTCAAGTTTTGTCATTGTCGTATCACTAAATTGCTAAAAGTGAAAGATGTCACGGGTGAGCAAAGAGGAAATTCCATGTTAAGTTTGTTTTTGTTCTCTGATTGATCCATCGTTTGCTTTCCTTTTATAACATGGCAACATGGACAAATGTGACGTGAGAAAACGTTTCTTTTTTTTTTTTTACCAGAGGAACAAAAACAATCCTCAACTGTTGTCATCCTCAGTTACAGAGATGCCTCTTATGCCTATGCATGTGATTTAATTTGTAGCCTTTTCGTGTCATCGTCAATCATGGATCATATTTTAAGAATCAGTCATCAAATGATTACATTCCATTTTTGATCTGCCATTTGGTCCGTTGTTGGAAGTCCTGATCCAAGTCCCCAAATGTTGCCTCAAGTCAAGTTGTCGTCTTGACCCATCACATGTAACGCTTCTTGATTTCTAAGCCTAACAGGTGCACTTTATCAAAGATCACATGGCATTTCCGATCACTGGGGAGAATGTGGAGCGGAGGGACGGCCGGGTGGTGGCGCCTCTTTAAGTATTGTTAAATTGTACAGATAAATGTGTGATATTTTTGACCACTACAACTGTTTTGTACTTAAATGCAGTTTGTGCTTGTCATTGTGACAAACCTAAATCTTGCCTCTGTTAATCTTTTATGCACATTGTTTAATCTTTTATGCACATTATATTGTATCTGTATGCTCAGATATCTAGCCTGTCTCTTCCTGGTGTATCCTTTTAGAAAAAGGGAGGACAAATTTACATAAAGGTCATCAAAAACAAACTTACTGAACTTTTCTTTATTTGTATTGTGCACAAGTTGTTCACTGGTCTTCCCTGAGATTTGTATTTCTAAAAAATCAGTCTTTTCATAGATCTCTTTCTGAGCTGGACGCAGAGCCTACTGGTCTGTAACAGAGCATGACTCGGCATGAGAAGGACAGCCTTCATATCTCTTCAGGTTCGGATCGCCCTCTGCTGCAGAGGGGTCTTCAACACACACACACTGAACACCAGTGGAGCCTGCAGAGAAAAGTTTCCGTGGAACACCAGTCCAGCTTCTTTCCACTCCACCGCTAGAGAGAAAAATTCAATTAGTTCAAGTAAATTTTTATCAAAACATAAGTCTGTTTGTGTAACCCTCCTACATCTCAGGAAAGCATACACTGTAATGTTAATATTTAATTAGATCAGATCAATTTCCATACCTCTTAGTGGAACACCAGACTCTCCCTCCACTGGCAGAGCTCCACTCTGAGTTACAGCGTGGAAATCGAACTTTCTCAGCCTCAGCCTGGGCCTTCATTTTCTGGCCGTCTGCTAGAGATTGTTCTGTCTGCACCAAGGCCTCTGTGGGCTGCCCGGTCTCACTGTAGAATCGTCCAATCACCAGACCTACAGTATTACAAAGAAGAGGCAGAAGTCACAGGAAAGGAGGACATACTATGTTCTTATTCAAAATATTCCACAACTTGTGGCTCAATAGATCAAGAAAAACGTTTTTAATTATCGACATGAATAGATGGATTTATCAAGCTTCTGTTCAGTGGTCCAAAATCCTCTATTCAGATGGGAAGATTTGGGAATCGAGGTCCTAGATTTCACGAGATATAGGCAAAAATCATCGAACTTAGTGCAAGAATTATGGAAGTTTACCTTTCAATAAATTGTTTCTACTATTATTCATTTATTTGTTTGTATGTTTCTTTGTTTATGTATTTATGATTATGTCTCTCTGTGTGCATATGTGTGATTGCGTGTATCTCTCTCTTGCTTTCTCTAATGTTATTTATGCCAGTTGTGTATAGACAAAGCCTATTAACTAAGTTTTTTAAAGGCAACTTCTGGCAGATTTTGTCTAACATTTAAAAGCACAGTAGTTAGAATTACAGTAAAATATTTAAGGGTAAAAACACATACCTATGGCTTGATATTCCCTCTGGTAGAAAGCCAACCAGTCATACAGGGCCATCATCTGCGGTGGGGACAAACTGGACACATCATCTGTCAGACCACTGTCTGTGAAGTCCCCAGTAATGTAGGCCAGTGAGGCATCTTTACCTGAGGACACAAACACAAACAGTTTATAAGGCACAGAGCAGTAATCTACTTAAGCTGTTAATGGGCTATAAATAGACCGGAATGGGCTTTTAAGGTGTGTGGAGGCTTTTTGGGCTAAGCAGTAGAAGACAATGATTGAACATCAGCATATCTCTGAGTGGTTTAATACTGAAAGCTCAAGTGTAGCTAAACATTAACACAAAATAGACTCTGTAGAGGAGGACAGGAATCACCTGCCATGCAGTGATAAGCCCCACCAGGTCCATAGTGCTTGTGTCCTGTATGCACATCAAAAACGCGTCCCAGTACAGCAAGATAAAGACCCTTGCTGCCTTCCTCCCCGTCGTACAGAGATAACTCACGCTTGCTCAGGAGCCGCACAGGACCCCCATGATTTGATTTATTTACCGAATCGAAAAGCCAATCCCAAGGTAGAAACAACACTGCTACTGATAAAATCACGATAAACACATAGTTGAGCATTCTGTTCAGTCAAATGGGTTGGTACATCATTAATTTGCATTACATTTAATTTCTTCTCATTGAAAACCACAAAACAACCACAGTAAATCCATGGTAACAATGCAGGTGCTTCCGTGATGGTGATGTGTTGATCGCGTACGATCAGTTGCAAAATCCGACTCCCTTGTTTGAACAGGGGAAGCCAGATTCCGAAGACAGATAGTGTCGTGAAATTAAATGTTCATTTTGATTATTTTTCCATGTCTTTTTTTTTTTTTTTTTTTTTTTGGTTGGGGGTGGGTGGCACAGATTGGTCATTTAAAATTGGTCATTTAAAATATCTGCTGACAAGTCTCCACCTTGCACAGAGCAATTTCTTTCATATACTTATATTCATATTTTTTTTGTTAAAATTATATCTAAATTGTGTTATTTACCTTTTATCTAGGACTAGGATTATTATTCTTGACACTTTAGCTACAATTTTAATGCAGGACTGATAAGGGTTCTTCCACCTAATGTCTGGAAGCTAACGAGATAATAATCATTTCATGTTAAAATTGCAAGTGTTGATAATGTCTGTAAAAGTTTTAGCAGACAAACTGACATTGAAGTAGTATTAAAGAGACAAAAACAATATAACTGAATTAGATTATGCAGCTTAACATGATGTGTAAACTTACTAGAGGTAAAAACCCTGCTAAATGTGACCGTTTTTAACTATCAAAATGCTCTACTATCTAAATAAAACACCGTTTGGCCTGCGGCTCGTGTTGTTGAGCAGAGCCAAATGATCAAATTCATTAAAAAGAGCCGAACTCCCCCTCAATGTTCGTTGAGCGGAATCTCGAATAGCGCATGCGCATAATCATTACGCAAGGGACGTTTCAGGCAAACTGACGTACAGTACGTCAATGCGGTAGTAGTGAACGGCGGAGCCCTAGCTGTAGGTTAGAGAGAGGTCTGTACACAGACCGGTTCTCAAAATTGATACCCAGTGGGCCGCAGAGATTTTCGGGGGAGCCGTTGGACGGTGAAACAAACATGGGGAACGCGGAGAGCGGCTGCGGGGGTGGCAGCGGTGACGAGGAGGACATAGAAACGGAGAGCCCAGGGTTCGCGGAAGACAGTCCGGCCTCTGCGGCCACTGGCGTCGGCGTTGGAGGCGGAGGAGGCTCCGGTTCTGGGAGAAGCGGAAGGGGATCGAATAACCTGCCAGTGCCCACGGGTGGACCACCTAGCCCCGGGGTGCTGCTAGAGCAAGTGAAACTTAGGGAGGCGGCGGCTCGTATTAGTGACTCAGGAGTGGCTATTCAGGAGTCGGTCCTCGCTGGAAATGAGGGTGTCCTGGTGCGGTGGCTGGAGGACCGGCTGAACCGGGGAGAGGAGTCCGTCAATGTGGAGCAGTTTTGTGAAATGTTGGAGAGCAGAGACGCCCCTAGAGATGAATGTGAAGAGGTATACAGGCATAGAAACCTGCCTCCCACATGTGAAATGCTGTTAGTTTAAACACGCCATGTCAGTTCTGACTCTAGTCCCAGGTATGACACAGGTGTTTAGGGCCATGCCCATTTATGATGACTGATAAGTGACATGATCGCCTGGTAAGGCCATGAGAGGAGAAGACATGATATCCTGTAATACGTTAACTAATCTAAAGGGTGAACTAGGAAGCAGATAAAAAGCTGTCATTGTGGCCCTTGTGCTTGTCAGGTGTGCTGGCAGCTTTGGCCTCCTGTAGCACAACATGTTGCTTTGTGTGTCATCTGTTGTTTGACCAAAGGTTGCAGATGAATGGGTTAACTAATGAATGTGTACTTTAGTCCACAATTGGCTTTGTGTATGTAGACAGGGAATGTCACAGCTACATTTTGAACAAGCCTTTGTACTTTGGTTCATCTACAAACTCTACTGGTTTAGGATGCAGAGCTGCTACTCAATCTTTTATGTACAATCAAATTATGATTAAATTACTTTAACATCACATAACTTTATTAAAATGTCCAGAGGCAATTTGTGTGACGCAGCTTGTATACAGAAAATAACATAGCAATAAAATTACACCCAGGCTCAAATATTGAGTTTAGACTTAGATAAACACTGGTATTCACAAACTGAATAGAATTTATAAAAAGTAATGACTTAGAACAGTGCAGAACAAGTATACAGTCTGCCTCACAAATAGAGGTTTATGTCAGGGCAGGAATATGTGCTGTCATGTCAATATCAACCATATCCCAAGTGTAATGATGTGTGCTGTCCCTGTCTCAGGCCTTTGGACAGTTTGATGCAGAGGGAGATGGGGTGGTGGACGTAGAGAGCATGCTAATTGCTCTGAAGAACTCCAATGGAGCCAATCTCAAGGGAGAGCTGAGTCATGTGATTAGACAGCTACAGGCGTGCTCCCTAACTCCAGGTATGAGATGTGATTTGTTTACCAGGATAAGCAGAGCCTGCATTATTTGAATAGGTGTTATATAACAAGATGGAGAGGAGCTAACTCTGCGTTTCTTTTCATCTTCTCTTTTATGTTTTTTTTTTTTCTTTGCAGGTTTTGTTGACATTTTCTCCAAGACCAAAGACAGGTTAGGGGCACATGCCTCTAAGATCCTTAAGTTCCTACACAGGAACCGTATTCCCAGTAGTGCCATCCCTTTCCCTATCTTAGAAGGCTACAACAGTATCTGCACCATGAGGTCTAGCGTGGTCCAGGACTTCTTGGAGTTTCTCTTACAGAAAGAAAAAGGTGAATACGAGAGTGACAAATAAGAGCGGAATAATGGGTTTAAACTAAGAATGAACTCTTGGATATTTTGAGAGTAAAAGCTTAAATCTTATTTCCTAATGTGTCTGTGTTTCAGATTTAGATATCCAGTACCGAGCAGAGCTGGACCGTGACCCAGAGGTGGACAAGGTGAAGGTTGTCACACAGTGCTATAGCATGATCGAAGCGTCGTCCAACGCTTCAGACGTTGGCAAGATGACGAATGGGGAAACAACATCTTTCTGGCAGTCGGATGGCAGTGCACGCTCACACTGGATAAGGCAAGGATCTCTGCTATGTCAAATGAGACTCTGTGTCCATGTTATGTCGCTTGTTCATCCTTGTTTATATCATCTACTTTGACTCACACTTGTCTCTTTACTGTCCTCAGATTGAAAATGAAACCAGATGTGGTGTTGAGACGTTTGGCCATCGCTGTGGCTTCCAATGACCACAGCTACATGCCTCAGCTGGTCTCTGTCGCTGTTGGGAAGAACCGGCGTTCCCTACAAGAGATCAGAGACATTCGGATCCCCAGCAATGTCACAGGCTATGTAGCTCTCCTGGAGAATGCCAACATCACACACCCCTGTGAGTTATGGACTGACTGTCTTCTGCCTGCTTTTTTAAAGTTTGTTTCAGCTCTGGTTTGTTTTGGTCTTTGACTGATGCGTGTGGAAAAACCATCTTTTCCCCCTCCTGTGAGATCAGAGCGTGATGTAAACTTGAGAAAAGAAGCACAGCAAGCTTCCCTGAGCTCTGAGCTTCAATCTAGCCACAGTTAAGGAGTTATAGTAAGGCTCTTTGTGTTTTTCCCCTTTGCTGCTGATAGGGGTTAGAACGGGGATTTCCCTTCTTAGCTTCAGGTCTCAAAAGGTTTTTTGTGGAGCCTACAGGCCAAACTTGACCCTACTTTATTTATTTATTTATTTAGATTAACAATACAACATCAAGAAAATATCCATTAAGAGTGGCAGCTGTGAGTAAAAACAGTCAGATATTAGCAAAAGTTCAAACATGCTGAAATGCAGACTTGTCCATCACAGCCACATGTGGTTAACTTGATTATTGACACTTCTGCTCTGTCTGCAGCACATGTAGCTGCTTGTTGTCCTCTCAAGAACAAGATGACAGTGTAGTGTGTGATATTAAGGAGTACCTAGTTAGACACACTTTGCGGATCTGGTTCACTCATTTTACAAAACTCCAACCACACTCTTGCTCACTAAAACTCCTTTTAGACTCAGTTTGCACTGTGACGCATAATGGTTACCACAGATGTCAGGGAACAAATGCAGTCATAGCACAGGCGTCATATTTTTTGGATAACTTTTTATCATTTATTGTTGTATTCTTTACTTTTTTATTATTTTTTATTTTTTATATGTTCAAAATTAAATTCCATCAATCAATAAATCAATTTATACACTGGGACTCAGATCTAAAAGCACTTGTTGCTAATGATGTAATGACACCTGAATAATCCGCGTCAGAGAGCACAGGTGGGCTCCAAGTTGATAGCAAAGATGGATGAAGGCAATCTGAGAAGCAGAGGGGGAAGAGTGTTTGTGAAAAGAGGAAGAGGAAGACCAAGAACAAAGTAAGATTCTGTCTCTGCACAAACTATCTTTTGAAGTCTACTGCAGGTGGGTCATCTCACACAGAGAGACACGGAGGTCACCGCTCTGTTACTGTAGCAGACACACCACCAGTTCTGATGATGAATCAAACTGATGAAGGGACAATACAGGAAATCTTGACAGTGCAGTGTGCCGGAGTCTTTTTAAGTTTTGGTTTTCAACTCCAGTTGGACAAAAGTTTTCATTCTTTTGTCAAATTTATCTTCAGTTTTAGATATTTTATGATTTAGAGTCAGAAACTTAACTTACTCACCCACACTTGTCTTAAAAAGTGGCCTTTTTAAACTGGACTGACTGCTGTGTTTCCTATTCTGTGCCGCTGTGTGTACTGCCGGCTCAGTAGGGTTTTTATTCTAACTGCTGTGTTTACGATGGGAAAGCAGGGTTTGATTTTGAGCACAGAGAAAACTGTTTTGAAACGATTGCTTGATTTGGGTAAAAGAATCATGAGTTCTGTGTTTGTGGTTATGAAATTGAGTTTTGAAATTCTCAGTTTGGAGAAAAGGTTGGAAGGTTTAAGAAGAGTGTCTACTCAATTCAGAAAAACAGTAAATGATATTATGAGTAGACTTGCTTAGTTATCAAAGAACATGCAAAGATTATTGATGGTTTGAAATCTATTCTTCATCACCAGTTCAGTGGGTCAGTGTTGGCTTGCTTGTCACGTTCCTCCTCATTCATCTATAATGGTGACTTTACTCTCTGCACGCTGAATAGTCATGTGACCAAACTAACATGCTGTGCATACCACCACACACACAAACTGTCAGAGCAGCTGATGGGTGTAAGCATCAATCAGAAGAGGGGCTGCAGTGCTCTTACACATACATTAATTTAACTCACAAGCCTTTTGGCGCGGATGTAATTGCACATTCCCACAGCTTGCAATTGGTGTTAGATAAATCTTGCAGCGCTCATGTTGAGACTTATGTGAGGAGTTTTTAGCTGGTCATGAAACAGACCAGAATGAGACAGATGCTTGTGTGACAAAGCAAACAAGACCATGGGGGACAAGAAGAATAATTTCTCTGGAGTTGTGTTTATGGATGCCTGTAGCCCCTGCCACAGCTGAGCGTGTGATAAAGTGATTTACCACATACCAGAATAAGCCTCTGCTTACAATTTCATCTGCAAAGACCGATGCATTTGAGTGTTTAAACAAGAGAGTATAATATTTACTTCTAACCCCTTCCAAGGACAAAAGCAGCAAAAGGAAACTACCAGAAGATTATTATAGATCATTTATTAGTTTGTCTATAGGAGGCACCGAATTCAACAGAAACCAAAAGTTTATAAATCTTTTTAATAGTCATGCCAGTTAGGGCTGGGTGATAAATCAAAAATTTACTGATACCGAAATTTACGACAATAACCAATCTCATTTTGCCCATATCGGTATATTCGGTGTCAAAAAAATAAATAAACAATAGTCGGTTTTTGATGTGTGTAGGTAAGCTAAGGTCTCATGTCCCTTTAAGACACTGTCCTACGTCAGAGCCGTGACTCCACTCCATCTAATCTGTAACAAAGAGGGAAAGACAGGTGAGGAGATGGAGGTCAGTTCAAAAGTTGTAGCGGCTGGAGCGGCGGCTGAAGTAGACAAAGTTAATGTGGGAGGGGGTGAGCAGCTTGTGGAGTAGTTATCATCCATTTATCGTTAAAGAGGTGAACTATTCAGTATATCAAGATATAGATTTGAGGCCATATCGCCCAGCCCTAATGCCAACGTAAGTTTGTTTTGTTGTCAGTCTGTCCTTCTCAGTTAAAAAAGCCCTTCCTTGATGCCAGATCTGTGATGCAATCACATATTATAATAATGTTGTACTGTCGTTGGATTGTTGGTGTAAATTTCAGTCATTCTTGAAACACATGATGAAGTTATTTTTGTATCATGTATTCCATCAGTCCTCTAACTGCATCATGTCTTTCACCAACCCCAGACATCCAAATCAACATAAAGCGGTGCCTGAGTGACGGATGCGACACACGGATTCATGGTTTGAAGACTCTGGGTTATCAGATTACCAAGAGTAAAGAGGTGTCTGTGTCGGACGCTTCGGCCATCTGGTACCTGTCTCTCCTCACCTTGCTGGTCACTGCGTCCATGGAGACCAACCCTGCACTCGCTCAGACTGTCCTTCAGAGCACACAGTGAGATGAACAGCCCGTTCTTTTTCACGTGGATGTACTTATGGCTTTTAAACAATGACTTATTTTAGTTCAATTTCTGAAGTCTGTTTCTGTTGTTTTTTTTCTTGTTTTCCACAGAAAAGCCTTACGACACATGCCGCCGCTGTCCCTAACACCCTCATCCACAGAGTTCCCAAAGTTCTTCTCTCTGAACATCCTGGAGGAGGTGGATGGATTTCTCCTCAGGATAGCAGAGTAATGACGATTACATCAGCACACTTACTCATCACTGCCACACTGAGCTCATGATGCTGACATCATCACAATGAAAACAGGGCTGAGGCCAGAGTATTGATTCAGCTGGGCAATGACACACACACACACATTGTTTGATTTTATACCCCATGGATCCCTCACAGGTGGTCAGAGTCCTTATTATAAAGTGGGCGCTAAAATTAAAAGATTATTCAAATTAAAATGAATTTACTTTGTTGTAAAATAGTGAAAATGAACAAATTTCACATCATTTCTAATTATAAGCTGACTAAGAAAGTCAAAAGTAAATAATTCATTGTGACACTATAATCAATTCTTCTGATCACACAGATATGAGTAAGTGAGTGTATTTTAATGCTTTCTTGAGATTAAACACACATTTGATATGAATTCTGACCATTTTTATTCTACATGAATATAATCACCCGGCCAAAATCAATGCAACACAGTAAAACAGAGCCGCTTAAAGAGATGCTTGAACTAACTCTTGTTGTTTTGTTGCAGCTGCTGCGTGAGTCCTGATGCAGAGCTGACCCTCCTCGCCTTCGCCTTGGCCAGGGGCAGCGTGGCAAAGATCCTCCAGGCTCTGTCCTGCATCAGCGACCATTTAGAGGCCGAGTATAAAGCCTCTGCTCTCATCGTGTCCATGGCCTCCGTCAGACTGCGGCTACTTAATCGCAATGGTAACGCGACCAGCCTTCCTTTACTCTCACTCACCGTAAGACATTTGAAACCACAGACCTGGAAGAGAAAGTGCTTAGCCCACACAGAGGAGATGCATTAGTGAAGTGCGCTGTGGAAAAATTGCTAATTCTGTTACAAAGCTGCAGTTCAGTGCTTCACAGTACAGGAACGACATCCTAGCCTGTGTGGAAAATGATGAAAGGATAACCTGTGGTGTTAGAGAAAATGCATCGTCACACTGACTGACGTCTCATTACAGGGAAGCCTCTCCAGCTGCACCTGCAGGCCTGTGATGTGAAGAGTAAAGAAGAGAAATCAGGACCAGAAAACATGCTCACAGAGACCTCCACTGGAGACGGTACAAACAAAACTGGTCTAGAAAATAACAACTTCAGGCTTGTACGTCTTCTGGTCCTCAGTTATAACTGAATACTTTTGTTCCTTTAAAGGTTTTCTCACAGAGAGTGGCAGGAAAAGGGCCAGTGTGATCCTGTCGACAGAGGACCAGAGCAACTTCCAGGTCACTCAGATGAAGATCAAAGTGAGGCACATTTTGGTTTCATTGAGAATCTCGCCAGAAAACAGAGCTTTGCTGCAGATAAACATCATCTCTGGTTTGTGTTTCAAAGGTGCGAAAAGGAGCCATCGGAGCAAAATGTGGTCTGGTGTTTGCATACAAGGAAGAGGACTCTTTTGATGCTGAGAAGCACTTCAAGAGGTTCAAAAAGTATGACTCCTGGGACTACAAGGCTTACAAGGAGTTTGTACAAGAGAAGTAAGGATGTTTCAAATTTATCATTCCTTATTTTTGTCAACGTAAAAGTTTTCGAGCCCACAGTAAAAAATAAAATAAAATAAGCTACACCTAAAGAGCAACTTATGTCAGTGGATCACACAGTACACTAAGGGTCAGTTAGCTTGAGAGACGAAACCCCTCTTCACTTTGGTGGTCCTGTGGTTGTGAATGCGAGTGGCTAACCCATGCTGTTACCTGACCTGCAGTGTAAGGATTCCTGCACGGTCAGAGGACGAGCCGATTGGCTGGTTCGAGCTTGAAGATGACTGGAACGATGTTGAGATCAAACTGCAGCAGTGTCGTGTTGCAAAGGTACATAACTGCATCAAGTTGAAAGCTATGACACAGTTAGACATCTATTTTCTTCATGCATTATTCAACCCCATCAAGCATTTATTCTATAAAATATGTTTCCATGCCACCAGACATCCTGCTATTTATTATTTAAAGCTTCCCATATAGAGCTAAGAATAATATTGCTACTAGATAAAGTATCCTGAGTTAAGGCTGACAGTGATTTTTTGTTGCGATTGAATTAACAGTTTTCCCTTCTTTTCAGTTCTTGATGGTGAAGTTCCTGTGCACCAGGCAGGACTCTGCTGAGCGTCTCGGGGTGCAGTCCCTCACCTTCAGTGGCTACCTGTGCCCTGGAGCAGAGAGGCTCGCAGACCTGGACGACCTCAGTCCAGAGGGAGAAAGCTTTGAACATGACAGCGTGACCGGCCTTTGTCTTCTTAACAAGACACTATTCTTCATACAGCAGCTAACGCGAGACATGGTGAGAACAGAGGTCTCAAATCATCAAAGTTTTAGCTCACACCAGTGAGATAACTTTAAATCATGACCATGACTCATGACTGAAAACTTGAAAATCTTCTTTGACCTCTGCATGATGTCAGTTTATACTTGCAGCTACATGAAATATGACAAAGCGTAGTGACAATAAGGTGAAGATCTGCTGCTCGTGTAAAATAACATTAGTGTAATGGTTAGTGAAAGCAAAAGCAGAAGTACAGATTAAACTCATCATAGGTTTCAAATTGATGTCAGCTGTATCAGAGATCATGTGCCAACACAAACCGGAGAGTAAAACCACCTATCTTTCAAAATGATACTGCATGATAACCAGTATACTTCAGAAGACTTTTCGCCAACTCACAAACACGTGTAAGATGAAATTTTTTAAAGTTTTGGACTGGAGCTGTCTCAGAATGCAAACTTGATCCTAAATTAGAAACATAGACTGTTAGAAACCACATTCAAATTTCAGCTACATTTGAATTTATGTATATCTGTCACAGACCAGTGCAGGATGTAAATAATGCTGATTCATGCTTTTTCATTTCTGGTTTATGCTAGTCAGGTGCTGGTTCAGTTAAAGATTCAACTGGCTGTGGAAGTAGACAGTAGCAGTAGCTCTGCTGTTGTAGCTGGATTATAGTTTTGGCTCATTGTTATCCAGTCGGTGCTGTATATTCACTGGGCTTCAATTAATGACCTTCCTCATGATGTTTAAGTGAAGATTTATTCACAACTGATCAATAATTTTATTTCTTTACAAATATTTCATTATATTTTCTTTAACTTTGATATCGAAGTTAAAATAAAAATGTCTGTAATAATCTTTGAACTTAAAGAATAATGGCAATACCGCTGGAGTTTGTAAAGGCTTTTTTGCCAACACATGACAAACCTGCTAAAGTGAGTTTGGAAATGTGATGCAATGTTGACTAGGACTAATTACTCTTGAAATGTTCTCGTACTAAACAACACTAATAATAGACAGAGGGTGAACAAAGTAGAATCATCTTGTTTGTGGCAGGAAACTCTCACAGTTTATGAGAATTCATCACAATTTAACACAAAACTAACATATGAGAAAGACCTGATTGTAGTCGTATATCTGAGACTTCAAAGAGAGCTTGATTATTTTTTAACTTATAACTTTTAACTTATTTTTGTGCCTGCTTATTTTACTCATCCTATTTCACTTTCACTTCATTCATTCATTTCTTCATAGTGGCTGAGTCTGCCCACCTGTGGCCACAAGGAGTCATTACAACATCTCCCATTACTGTGCTGCTGACATATCAAAAGAAGCTGGTTTATTGTTTGTAGTTGTTTCATACTGCTCTTCTCTCTCTTTCTCTCTCTCCACGTCTGCAGGATGCCTCACACTTCAAGCAGAAGTATCTTCTGGACTTCACTGGCCTCGGTCTGGACCTTTTCTGGAGCTTCTACAATAAACTCAGGGAGATGTGAGTATTAGCACTTTCACTTGTGTTTTTAATTCATCCTATGTTCATCATTCATTCATTAGTAGATATCTGTTATATAAAATAGCATCTGAATTATCTTTCAGGCTAACTTGTCAAGGTGCAAGACAAGTATACACTCATTAATGATTTTACAGAGATTGTCAATGGCATATTTGCAACAGCTTTATGAAGTGTTGAAATTCAGGTTGAGGCCTACATCTATGGTGAGCGATTGGAGCATACGCTCAAATTAAAGGCAATTATTGTGAGCAATTTCAGTCCTGGTTAATTCCCCATGTCCAGTGGTAAAAAAAATGTGTAAAAACCATAAAACTATAGTAAATGACCTGAAATGCTATTTTTGTACTTTTGTTTGTATTAGACTGGAGCTGTTCTTCTCATTATTCTGAGTTCTGCGCTGCTTTAAAAAGACTGATAAGAGACAGGAGGATGACTGTCTTTCAAACACTATTTAAGATCAGTACAAACTCATTTGTTTTGGAGCACCTGGTTGATGGGAAGTTTGAAACACAGCTTCTGATTGGCTGGTAGACACTACAATTCATCTAAACTGATTTCTATCAGAATTCAAGACTTTTTACCTCTTTTAATGAATATTAAAGCCTCTGTACAGACGCAAAGTTTGAGGCCTGACCACTCTTAAAATTGGTCTAGCTGTTTTGTTTAGAACAAAATAAGTAAGCCCTGTGCATCCAGTGCCCCACAGATGTAAAAAACATTACAATGAACCAACATATTAGACCTAAAGGGATCAGTATTTAAAAAAATTAAAAGAAGAAAATCTGGTGACATTCATGGAGATAAAGGGTGATGAAAAGTTGCAGTAATGTCTAAAACTGACTTATCAGGGTCAACTCTGTGAACAAACTGTTTGTGTCTGTCTCAGTGAGGGGGAGGAGGTGCTGAAGAGCAGAGTACTGCTGCTCCAGCTGATGCAGAACTGTTTCCCCATGCTGCCCAACCCAGTGGAGCCCCGGAGCCCAGAAGACAGTAAAGGGCCCGATGAGGGAGCCAACGCAGGGGCTGGTCCGTCCACATCCAGCACTACAGAGCCCCAGTCTGAGTCCGTGAGGGCCGTGTGGGATATTTACACCCACCTCTGTCATGGTAAGAACCAGTTCAGTTTCATATGAGAGAGTTTAATGTGAGATTTCTCAAGTAACTATAGTTGATTTGTCAGAATTGATGAAACTTAAATTATGCACTTCTTTGGGCATTTTTTGCTTTCATTAGATAGACTGCTAAAGAGAGACAGGAAATGTAGGAAGTAGAGAGTAAAGGGTGTTAAGCAGCGAATGATGGTGTGATGATGTAAAAAACTGTCTTTGCAGACTGTGTAATGAAGAGGACATTGCTTTGCTTGGCTTAAAAATGCTGTCATTACACAGTTTGCAAACAGATTTTTTCAGTGGTTACAATATTCTCAAAAATGTCACAGCACATGGAGCACAGTGGATGAGGTCTGCAATAAAACTGGTTTAAAATGTAGAGTATTGTTTTATAAGATACTTGTTAAGGAAAGAAGCTTCCTGTAGATTAGACCATATTCTGAGTCACCAAAAAAAGAACACTAAGTTTTGAGGGTTTTTTGAGTGTTTGCTATGGGCTTCTAACTCAGTTAAACAGATATTCTGAATTACCAAAAAGACACTTGAGCAGGCCTCTTAGAGATACTGAAAAATACTCATGCAAAGTTATGTTTATAAACAATATATTCATTTATCTATAGCATTTCTCCTCAACAACATTATCAGTCACATACAAACATTTCTCCCCTTTTCTTTCGCTGACCGGCAGACAGTTCATGCGTGCGTCACATCAGTGGTTTTGCATAGAAGTGAGCGGCGGGGCAGAGCAGCAGAGAGCACTGATGCTCTGCACTGTTTTATAATATCAACTCTCGCTCATGGGCTCTCGAATAACATGTGAACACCTTGGCAGTGCATTCTGGGATTTGTAGTGTATTAGCAGGGTATGCAGGCCAGCTCTAATAGTGATCAGATTTTATCATGCGGGCCAAAGATAATTACATTGCGAGCCGGACCTGGCCCCACGGACCTTGAGTTTAACATGTGTGCTGTAGATGTTGACTGAGTCATATCAGCGTAGAAGTGGTGCACAGCATATGCAGAAAAAATGAGTATCTTATCAAAGTCTTGTAGTTGACTTTCCTTTAAACAGTGATTGTTTTTTTGTCTAAAATCAACATGGTATAGCTAAAATATCTGTAATGTTTGTGTTTCAGTTGTGGATGGTCCTGAGGGTGAGGCATTAGTGGAAAAAGCTTTGCACAAAGAAGCAGTCAAGGCCATTTTGAACGGAGCGGCTGTTTTCTTCCCTGATAAACACATCAGGAGGGACAAACTCTTCCACATGATGGTGAGTTAATTGAAAAATATACAGAGAAAAAAATGATCATAACTCTTAGTTTACTGAAATTTATAATGAAACTTTTCTGCAGAAAAATATAACAGAAGAGGATCAGCCCGAGTCAGTGAAGGTGACGTTTGAATCGCTTTGTAATTACTTCAGGTAAGCAGGCTGAACATAAACATATTCTCATCCACATCCAGGCTACAGTACGACATTAACAGATGTGTTTTCTCTATACAGTGACCAGGATCCAAGTGGCCTTCTCCTGCTCCCACCTAAAGGAGCTCCTGCAGATTTTGACATCAGCCCCATCCTGTCAGTCATGGAGACTCTGCTTCTGGTGGCAACAAGAGAGGTGAGACCTTTGTAACTGTCTCACGTTTATCATCCTCTTCCTCTCTACATCTCTGATGCTCCTCTGAATCCACCTGTTTCCTCTTCTCCTTCGTCTCCTAGTGTGAGGTGATGATGGTGGATGAGAGCAGTGGGGCAAGCAGGACAGTGCTGCTGTCCTTGTTCTGGGCTCTGCAGGGGAGTCTGCTCTCCTGGTGCTACCTGCAGCTCAAAACAGGAGCCTCCTCCACCATTGCCATGGAGCTGGCCAGAGACATCCTACTCAAATGTGAGATTGTGTTCAAAGATCAGCCCAGCAAATAAAAACTAAAAAGCACTAAAAACAGAATTGTTAAAGCTAAATCAGTTTAAGTCACAGATGAGAATCTATCATTGGCTAAAGTACGCCTCAAGAACAGCTAAATGGTACGTAATTTGTCTTTCAGATGCGGATCAGTTTTTGGGAAGTTTCAAAGCTATCCTCAGTTCCCTGCTGGAGAAATACACGTCTGCTGAAATCACTGATAAGCTCGGCAGCTCCATTCTTGCCACGGTCTTCAGACAGCTGGTACTGCTCTGTTATCTCATGGATTTGAATAGTCTCCATGCTGTGGTATAGAAGCATACATCCTGATCCTGAGTCATGTTTGTTGTGGTCTTGGCAGATGATTTTGCTTCTCGAGCTGTGCTCTTTGGACATCCCTCACAGCCTGCTGCTGAAGAGCTTCTCCTCTCTGGTCGAGCTGCTCAGAAACCTGTCAAGTGACACAGGAGACATCTTCTCAAAGGTCAGGCACATTTTCACCTCTTAATTCACTCTCACACAGTGAAATATGAGGCTGTATACATTCCTGCACAGCAAAGAAGTATTTGGGGCACAAATGGCTGTGAATTACGCTGACAGTAATGACAGCAGTACATAACATCAGTGTACCAAGAGCTGGCACACACTCTTGATGCATGAATGTGAGGTATTGTTCTGTGATTTGATAAACCAACATTACCTTTATCTGAAGTTAGTTTGATGTTCAGCTCTGATTCACACAAATTAAAACCGAGGGGTAGAGGAGAAATAGTAGGGCTTACAAGTCCAGGGGAACTCAATTCTTAGGAGAAGTTGGACCACTCAGCACACAGTTCAAAAGCTAGCATCTGTGTGGTGTACCAGGATACATTTATATTATCATTCAATACAATACAATAGTCTTTTCACCATTTATCATTTGATTTCCAAGTTGTACCGTGTCCTGTACCTCAGGACAGCCCCACAGTCATTATGTGTAGTTACATACAACCACTGTCTCTGACAAACTCTGGTTGTACCCATATCACTGTTAGGTGGATCAGGAGAGCTGGCATCAGCCACAGCAGCCCGTGGTGCTGAGGGTCTGGAACTTGGAATCGCCTCACAACTATGAGAACAGTCGGCACGAGACCAGCATCTTCGCCTGCCCTGGTGCTACGTCGTTTGAGGTGGAGTTTGATGAGCGCTGTGAGACAGAGAAGAGGTGAGCAAAGCGAAGAATTGAATACCGGGATGTTTTTTTTGTCTTTTTTGTTTAATGTAATGTAAGACTTTTTGTCATTATTCGCTCTTCTTTACAGATATGACTACCTAGAGTTCACTGATTCCAGAGGTGGGAAAGTCCGCTACGATATGAAGGTTGGGACTGAGAAATGGCCAAAGGTAGGATAAACAATATCATTTAGCCACTTTCACATGAAATCCTGTTGTTTCTTAATTCCTTAAAACACATATTGATTGTTTCCTTCTGCTCCCTCAGAAAGTGACATTTGATGCCGGCCCCCAGCTCCAGTTCCTCTTCCACTCTGACAGCAGTAACAACGAGTGGGGTTACAAATTCACAGTAACTGCAATGGGTCTTCCAGATATCACTATTTCTTGGATGTCGGATCTGCAGCTGCTAGTGGCTCGTTTGATGGGTCGACTTGCCTCTAGAACGCTCGCCCTGAAATCTCCTCATGGTGAGACTCTGAAAATCTCATTCCAGGGAGCATCTGACAACAACAACATTAAAAAAAATCTTCACTGTTTTTCTGACCCTTTATACTCGATTAAAATGATGCGGTTGCTCTGTTGATGTCTGTTTTTAGAGATCCGCACAGTTAAGGAGCTTCCGCCAGGGAAAATGTCCCATGTTCAGTCCTCTCCTCTATGGAAACCCATTTTGAGACACGGATTGTGTGAAACAAGAGAGTCGAATCGATCAAAAACACCTGCTGACCAGGTATGGACACAAAAACTTCATCTAGTCATTAACAATATGTAACATTATCACACTGCTGACACACTCATCAAAAAAAATCTCTGATCTGTAGACAAACTCTTGGACTCAGGATGAGCTTATGAACTTCCTGGAGGACTTTGCACGTTGGAACCCATCTCAGGAACCGGCAGACAGCAGAACAGAGCTGATGAAGACCCTCATGCAGACCTGCAGGAAACAGCCAATGAGGAATGAAATTGCTGCTGGGCCAAAGGCAGACCAGGCTGTGAATGCTATTTGGGCGGCCATGGTGTACCACACACCAGCACTCAACCACGCACTGAAGACCTATGGTAACACCCGACTACGATCAGTGGTCCATGAGCAAAAGTATCCGCTCATAATAATCCTGTGTGGTTTATGAACCTGATCGACTCCCTCCCTCTGCTTCTCTTTGTACGAACAGTGAACCAGGACTGCAGGTCGTGTCTGAGTGAAGAGTTTGGGCAGGTGTACTCGCTGGCTGACAGCATCAGAACCTGGATGGTAAGAGTTTGAGATTCTGATCCAGTATCTGCTGCAGAGCTGACACATTACCATAGTACTCATCTATTGTGTTTTTTTAATTTATCAGCTGGAGATGAAGCAGAGGTACCTCGTCGGTAAAATGAATGTTCCAGACGAGAAGGAAGGAGGTCAAGATGAGGTCACTTTGGAGTCACTAGGTGAGGACTGAAACTGTTGTGAATGTGAAACATCAGGAACACTTTGAATTCAGCTGCAAACATCCAACTGAGCTCATGGATGCACTAATTAGAACTCAGAGGTCAAAGGTCAGTGTGAGCTCTCTGAAACGATTTGAGCACAATTTCAGATTTCATGCTATTATAACAGCAAAACTGAAACCACAGATAATAAGGTAACAACAATTTTTTTTTTTAGTCAGAGGTCGTCTTGATTCTGACATCATGACTCTCTGAAACAAAACATTTTTATTGGTCTGATTGGACTCTACAGAGCCCGGGAGGTGACATTAACTTTTTTTTTAAATCTGCACATGCAATTTAGTGTCTCACACATGTGTTTTATTATATCTTTTATTATATTATATCTTTCTTGATCATCAAACTATGAGCGTGGTCTAGACCTGCTCTTGCTCTTTGAAAAGCGTCTTGAGATGACGACTGTTGTGAATTGGCGCTATATAAATAAAATTTGATTGATTGATTGTTTACAAACCGCATACGCAAGATACAAATAAAATGCATGTACGAGATACTAAATCGCATGTGAGAATTTAAAAAAAAGGAAAGTTCATGTCACCTCCCAGGCTCCGTAGGACTCCACAAAGACAAGATCAGATTTTGGTGGTCACATCAGTATTAATCATCAGTACCATATTTAGTTGAGTTAGGTGTGTCTGATACTGGAATAAAATAGCTTGTTCTCATGGAGATGCTGATTTAAGAAATATTTTGTGGGGTCTCTTAATTTCACCTCAAGCCCTATCATCAGCCTTGTTTTAAATTTGATCATCCTTAACTGCGACTGAACTGGTCATCAGAGACATGCAGTACAACCCCAGGGCAGCACTTCAAGAGTAGATATTAATTCTCAGACTTCTGTCTCTTTCTTCTTCTCTAGCTGAGATGTGCATCGAGAAGAGCCTCTTGCTCTTCAGGTTTGCTCCATGTGGAGTTCCGTATCAGGACAATGACTCTTCCAAAGCTGCAGAGGGAAGTACTGCTCCACTCCTCCGTTCGAGTTCAATCTCAGAAGGGGATTTCCAGCCTAGCCCCCCCCTGGGACCCCAGGCTGCAGGGCCCGAGGAGAGCGGTGATGCTAAAGTTGGACAGAGTCTGCCCTCTGGTGTCCAAACCCAAAACTCTGCTTCATGTGGACACAGCAAGCAGAGCCACAGGGGCTCCACAGAGAGCCTCTCTTCCGCTTCAGGGGACCCAGCCTCACCTTCCACTTTCCCCCGTAAAGCTCCTTTCAGCCGAGCTCGCCTCCGCCTCCTGTCCTGTAGATCTATAGAAGAACCCCGTATGACCCCATCTGTAAAGGATCGCTACCCGATCCTCAAACACATCCTGAACTTTATAAGGGACCAGGCTCTTACTACAGCAAGGTAACTCGCCTTCAGTCTTCTACTTTTTTTAAATCATTTGCCTTGTTGTAGCACACACAGTGAAGTAACTCAGTTCTTCCTCCTGTAGCATTCTGCAGACCCTGTCCCTGAGCAAAGCCCAGGCCCTGAGTGTATGTAAGGTCCTGGAGATGGTTCAGCAGTGTTTACATTCTCTGGGGAAGCCGCACCTCTTTCAAGCCCCCTGCATCCTGTTTCTGCAGGAGCTGCTGGCGTGTCAGAAAGACTTCACCAGGTACATACAGTACATAGATGTTTTTGTTTTAGTCAGTTTGTTAAATAGGTGTGTTCTTGGCTGGATCCAAAAGCTATGAAAACCCCATATTGGCTCACTTCATTGAATTCAAGAGTTTTTCCCCTGATAATTGTTGTCACTAGATGGCGCCCTTGTTTACGTATTTGACTGTTCTGTCAAAAGGTGTGCTGTGCATGCAGATGTGACATCATTACGCTGTATGTACACCTTGTTATGTTATGAGAGGAGCAGACACGGCACCTGCAGTTGTGTCTTATGCTCCTCTACTGGCCTCAATAAATGAGCCAAAGGCTAAAGAGTGAAGATCGAGTCACAGAAGAGAGTCACTGTTGGAATAAGTGTTCACATGGACGCGTTTTGGAGTAACGGTATAAAACACCCCTCTTGATCAGAATACAATTTCTTTCGGATTTAGCCGAATTGGATCAGAATTTTCCGATCGATATGTTTGCATGGCACTTTTTTTTTCCGATCGGGCCTTTATTCCTATTATTTGTGCCCATGTAAACGCAGCTACTGTGTTCTGTCACAGAGTCTGAACAAAGTGGGTTGGCCCAAAAAACTGTTAAATGGTGACCAACTTTATCTTCTGCATGGTTATACATTCAAAAAAGCACCCTAGACATAGCTGGACCCATTTATTGAAAATCTTTATCTCTAATGTTTGATTGTTTTCTGCTGTTGTTGATATTTGGTATAAAACTCCTTTTTTAAATGATTATGCTGGCTTTTTTAAAAATCTTTGAAAAGGTGGGAATCTTCGGGTTACACATGAAAAAACAACACTAGTTTGATTATTGAAAGAAAAAAATACTTTAAAAGGAAATGAATATTGTGTAAAAAATTCTAATTAATGCTGACACGAGCCTTTTCAGTGGAATCACAGTTAAGCTCTTCTTTTGATTTGTCTCTTTCAGTTATTTCTCTCAGCTGTCAGACAGCGGGCAGAAGCTCGGGGAGGAGGTGAGGCGTTCCTACCATCAGCTGGTGCTTATGCTGGTGGAGGCAGTTCAAGGTTTCAGCAGCCTCAATGAGAAGTAAGCCTATCTTTATGAAACCCTTCATTCAAACTAAAACAAAGCAGTAATAGATGGTGAAAAGTGTGATTTGTCCCAGAGTGTAATTGACTCTCATGACTGCTCAGCAGAGCTCTGCTGCCGGCCCTGTCCTGTGTGCAGACCTGTTTGTTGCACCTTCTGGACATGAGCTGGGAGATCCATGACCTTCCTCTCTTTCTGGATATCAAGCTGCCTGAGCTCCTGCTCAGCATGTCCCAGGAGAACATCAGTGTGCACGACATCGCTATCAGGTAGTACAAGACACGTCCCAGAAAATAAAACATTAAAAAAAAGACATTTTTTTTCTGCTAATAACAGTGACTCATGTTACAGTCTGAGCTAATTTGTGCTAAATGAAGCTGAATCATGTCATACAACACGTCGAGCAGTATCTCAACCGCTTAAACGTGCAGAGATGATGACACATGTTTTTCTGTTGTTCAAAATTCATCAGTCAATGGACGGAGGAGGATGAAATTGCAGACTATAAAAAGAACCAGGAGTGGATGGATGAGTGCATGGACGGGATGTTTGAGAAGTGGTATGACAAAATCGATGAAGAGGACTCCATGGAGGACAGGAGGAAGGTATGTCACAGTGCAAGGAAGACAAAAGTTCAAATGCTAGTGATTAAAAAAAAAAAAAAAGGAAAAATGAACTAATTTCCCTTACTGACCGCCTATGTTATCTATTTGTATTAAGTCTGACTGCTGATATATTTATTCAGTTTCATCTTGATGGAAATGTTTCTAATCTGAAATGTTTATTGTGTGCTATTCACAGATGCACATGTTCATCGCCCGTTACTGTGACCTGCTCAATGTTGTGATCTCCTGTGATGGCTGTGAGAGGATGGCACCTTGGCACCGCTACAGATGCCTGCAGTGCATGGACATGGACCTCTGCAAGACCTGCTTCCTCAGTAAGCACACATACTCTTCTTATACCGTCACACAGGAGGATCTGTTAGCCTCGGCTCCAGGGTAATAAAGAAACTGCATGTAATTGTGTGATTGATAAACAGGTGGAGCAAAACCTGAAGGCCATGAGGACGACCACGAAATGGTGAACATGGAGTACGCCTGTGACCACTGTCAGGGGCTCATTGTGGGCAGCAGGATCAACTGTAACGTCTGTGAGGACTTCGACCTGTGCTTTGGCTGTTACCATGCAAAGAAATACCCGGACAGGTGACCCATTTCAAATCACATCTAATCCTGTTAAACTGCTTTTCATTTCTCTCTGAGTTTGGTGGTTAATTATTATTTTTATGTTCTTTTCTTCAGCCACCTGCCCACCCATCGGATCACAGTGTACCCCATGGTGACGATACGAATCAGTGACCGTCACCGCCTGATCCAGCCCTACATCCACAACTACTCCTGGCTCCTGTTTGCTGCTCTGGCCCTCTACACGTCAGAGCTGAGCAGTGAGAAGCAGACAGAGGGAGAGTCTTTGGACAGCAACACTTTGAGCCAGGCAGCAGACCTGCAGACATGCTGCTCCCAGCTCATCACGGACTGCCTGCTAAAGGGGCAGACCGGCAAAGGTAAGCCTAATTTAGAGTTTAACTATCTGTCATTTTAAAACCTTTTGATGATGCTAGGTTAACTCTTCAAAGGTGCCATGTTGTCCCAAAGCTAGCAAAAGTTGTCATGATATTCTGATAACTCTGATTGATTAACCTTGATACCATCGTCATTGCAGGTCTACGTTCCTCTGCCTTGCTTGCTCTGCTGTCATCCAATGACTTGTCCTCGGAGAGTGAGCTGTGTCCAGTCTCTCCAGAGTCCTCTCAGGAGCTCAGTACAGCCACTGACACCTCCTCTCTGCCTGGATCCACTGCAGCAATCTGCTCCCCGACATCTCCGAAGGAAAAGGTAAGAAACAGAAGCAAGATCATGCAGAACACAAGTGATCCTACATTGATCCATTGTGATCCATTTAAGATCTGGATTTATATGACATGAGAAGCTAAGTAGAGACATATGGGTGTGCAGTAATACTCAGTTTTATAATGGTGATACAGTGGTCTCCTAAAGTCCACACTCTTGGTTGTAAACATACTAAAGGGCTGTCATTTCACCTCAAGAGCAAACCACCAGCCAAAGAGAAAAAGCCAAAAGAGGCGGGCTCACCGCCTCCAGCTCCTCCTGAGGTCTTGTCTCCTCCAAGCACTGGAGAAGGGGACAAAATGAAGCTTGTTACCCAGGACACCCTGGACTCCCCCAGCCTCAGCCAGACCCCTTCAGTGTCCAGCGAAGACCCCCTCTCCCCTGTGGTCAGAAGTAAGCGATCATATGACCTCCTTTTCTGTGAGTTAGTTAATTCGTGGAGAGGAGTACAGTGCCCTCAAGCTGTCTGTGTCTTTTCCTTGTTTTTCACAGCTTCAGAGTCCGGACCAGGAACAGTCATCTCACCAACATCCGACTTGGTCAAGGAAACAGATGAGAGGCTGCCGCAGGTCCCCCTTCAGGAGCACGTGTTTTCAGAGTGTTCCAGAGAGAGGATCCTGGGACTACTAGCAGCCATGCTGCCACCAGCCAAGCCAGTACGTTAAATTAAGACCTTTTTCTGTCTTTTCTTGACTAAGCAAGCCCAGTCCTGATGTTTCTTAACCTGGAGAGATAAAGCCAAGAAACACAGAGAGCCTGTTTTCATCTCAAGGTCTTAAAATGACCCCCCAGCAAACAAAACCAGCAACAAATCCAAAAAGACTTTGTCAAAACATTTGTACATGACATGCTCCTTGCTCCCCGAAAGGCTCAATTTTATTATTGCAGAGGAAATGACATTTCGTCCATTTGACAACGTATAACATGAATATGTTTTTTTTGTGTCCTCAGGGCTGCACCCTGTCACTGCCCAGTCTGAACTCCATCCTGCCCCAGCTTTTCAGAGCTGTCATCTCCAACGCTGGCTCTCTGAACGAGACCTTCCACCTCACGCTCGGACTGCTGGGTCAGCTGCTGCTCAGGATCTCTCCCACGGAGGCCGACGCTGCCGTCACAGAGGCTCTGGCTGACAAATATGAGCTGTTGACACAGGGAGAGGCAGCCACTTTAGACACCCAGGGCTGGAAGACCATACAACTGCTCTTTAGTCTGGGGGCTGTTTGTTTAGACAGGTAAGTGGAGGACAACCTGAGAGACATATACCATTGTTATTTAAAAAATAAAAAACAAATCCTTCAACCTTAACTGATAATATTATTGCTATTTTAATGCCTTTATCATTATTAAGGTGTCATTGTTCTCATTATGATCATTATTTTTGCCATTATCTCTTTTTTTCTGTTATATTTCAGTAGGTTTGTTTCTTTCTTTCTCTTCCTGTCTCCCTTTTAACACAGTTTTAGCAGTTGTCTGTTTAATATTGAGTCTGGTTCTGTCTGTGTGTTATCAATAACTGTTAAAAAGACATTTCCAACCCCACACTCATGTCGTTTTCATTTTTTAATTATAACTAGTCTCCTCTCTTCTTTTCATGTGTTTTGCAGTCGTATTGGTTTGGACTGGGCGTGCACAGTAGCAGACATCTTACACAGTCTGAATGTGTGTCCAGAGTGGAGCACAGTCATCGCTGCCTTCACTGACCACTGTGTTCAGCAGCTCCCACAAACACTGAAACGCACCAATCTCTTCACCCTGCTGGTGTTGGTGGGCTTCCCTGAGGTAGGTGGTGAAAATGCCAGCGTTAAGTTTTGTACACTGTGTTCCCGGACTCTCTCTAAACACTGCTGTGTGTGTCAGGTGCTGTGTGTGGGCACCCAGACGGTGTTTATTGACAACGCCAACGAGCAGCACAACATGATCCTGCTGAAACACTTCACAGAGAAGAATCATGCGGCGGTGGTAGACGTGAAGACACGCAAGAGGAAAACAGGTCAGTGAAGCTGCAGCATCACGAACAGCTCTGCCAATAAAACCTTGGATTAACCATCTATGGTTTCCTCTCTTTACAGTGAAGGACTACCAGCTAATCCAGTCCCAGGACTCCACTACAACTGGTCTGCCAGGGCAGTCAGAGGGACAGGGCTCCCAGAAGACTCTACTCAGCCGATACCTGAGCAACTTCACCTCCATTATCAGCCACCTGCTGCAGACCAGCCAGGACAACGGCTCTACTGATGCAGTGGAAGCATCCTGGGTCCTCTCCCTGGCTCTGAAAGGCCTCTACAATACTCTGAAGGTACCGCAAAGCTGAAGAGGCCTTGTTTTACACCATATATCTTAGGGGTGGAAGAAAAAAACGATACAGCATAGTATCGCAATATTTTGTCTGGTGATGTATCGTATTGTCTCATCTACCAAGTATTGTTTTTTTTTAAATTAATTGTTAATGTGAAGTCAAATCTATGATAATGAAAAAATAAAACCAATTGTTTGTCTGGTGAGGTTGGCAGAGGTGACATCATAGAGCAGAAGAAGGTTAGTACAACAAATATAGCTGCAACTTGGGAAAGACAATGCAAATAGGGCGCAAATGAGATGGACTTGACACATGAGGTTAGCAAGATGTGCTACATGAAAATAAAATACAGTGTAAGTAAGACAAACATAAAGGAAAGACAAATGCTAAATTAGCTAAACAGTCAAAAAAATTGTATAAATCACAATATATTGTATCGGAATCCTCAATGTATTGCAAAATGTTAAAAATCGCAATAATATCATATCGTGGCCCAAGTATCTTGATAATATCGAATCCTCGGGCCACTAGTGATTCTAACCCCTAATATATACATATAGTGAGTTAGATATATGAAACATGTTCAGTAGCAGAAACTGTCATCAAAGAAAAGCTCTCTACAGCAGCCTGACCAACACGCCACATTCAGATTCAGAGGTGTTTTATCTATCGATGATGTTTTACCCTGAAGGGGGATCACAAAGACGTCATCAGCTGCTCCAATGCACGAAGCACACTGGACACAAAGTGGATGAGTCTAGAGGCACATTTCCTTTTGACAGCTTCTCACACTCAGTGGATCATAACTGTACATTGAAAGAAAATGATGGTACACAATAAAGAAAATGAACCTTGTGGAGAGCTGGTTCAGTTAAAAAGCCTCCTCAGTTCAGGATCAATCTTGAACCTCACAGCTTTCAATGCTAGTTTAGGCTGCGCCCAACTAACATACTGGTGATGATGAAAATAGTTAAATGAGCTACACAGCTGCATATTTCTGAACAGTTTAAACTCAAAACCGACTACTTCTCCTGTTGTGCAGAAACACGGTGTGGATCAGGCTCAGGAGGACATCCAGAAGTCAGGACTGACCCAGCTGCTGGTGAGGAAGTGCAGCAAAGGAACAGGCTTCAGCAAACTGTGGCTGCTGCGAGATCTGGAGATCCTCTCTATCATGCTCTACTCCTCCAAGAGAGAGATCCACTCTATGGCCCAGGACCCTGAGAGAGACCAGAGAGAGCAGGACAAAGAGCATGACTCTGACCACTCCAGCTGCTGCGCTGATGAGACTGACGTCAACAGGCCCGATCCCTTGGAGGGACTGGATGAGGAGACAAAGATTTGCTTCCAGGTGATGACGAATGCCAATTATAATTCACAAAAACAAATAAAAGTCGGATTTTAGACTCTTAAGTCCTATTTTGTTTTGTGCAGATCACCCATGATGCCTTAAATGCCCCTCTGCCCATCCTGCGAGCCATGTATGAATTACAAATGAAGAGAACTGACTCCTTCTTCCTTGAGGTGCAGAAAAGGTCAGAGTCATCTCTCTCATTTCAGTTTGATTTAGACTCTATCTATACCATCCGCTCAGGTAAAGGTCATCTAATCCCACCTCTTTGTGTTGTACCTATGTGTGATTTTCAGATTTGATGGAGAAGAGATCAAAACAGATGAGACAATCCGCACATTGGCTCAGAAGTGGCAACCGAGCAGGCGCCCCCGCTCTGAGGAGAGGAACACCAAGGCTGTGGACACTGACATGATTGTGGTTTCATGTGTGGTGAGTTTGTTTGCCTTCGCTAGAACCAGAAAGATTCAATTCTTTTGAACAACAGTGGTGCATTTTGAAGGACATCTTCATCTGGGGGGTTCAAATTTGTTATATTTTAATGAGAGTAAAAAACAAAATCTCTGCTGTGTGGACTCATTAGTGCCTGTAGTTGCCCCCATGTAGACCTGTGTTCTCTTGTGCAGTCTGAAAAACCCACTCTAAAGATATGGATGTGATGTGCTTGAAACTGAAGAGGTAAAACTACAGAGGTAAAACAAAACAAGATAGAGGTTGGTACAGGAAACAGAAATAACAGCAGGAGACTTGGAAAAGGTTCTATCATTCTCACATGTTATATTACATCTAACCTTTTGGGCCATTTACCCAAACATAGAGTGAATTCATGAATCAAGCCCTATTTCAATTCTGATCAAGTACATCACCTATAGAAGCAGCTCTGTCATGTAATTGTAATTGTAAAATGTAATTAAAAAGAATTTTAATTTTCCACAAGTATTTCACCATTTTGAGTGCATAGTATCATTAGAATAGTCAGATAATCTGTGTGTTTGTCACATGGTACTGGTAAGAAGAGATAACATGTTCTTAGAAAAGTTTGATACAATCCTTTTTCCTGAGTTTGTGTTCTGATAAGTCTTAATCATCGCCCCTTTCTGCAGTCTAAACCCAGTCACTGTGAGAAGGCCACAGAGGAGATCAACGTCGTGGCTCAGAAGCTCATCACCAATTCAGAGAGCGACTTGCAGCTCAGCTATGCCAAACAGAGGCGCACCAAAAGTTCAGCTCTGCTGCACAAGGAGCTGGACGTGCGCAGCAATCGAGCAGTCCGTCAATACCTGGTAAAGGTTAACCAGGCCATCGCCACGCTGTATGCCCGCCACGTGCTGGCGTTGCTGCTGGCCGACTGGCCTGCAGAGGCCGCGCTGAGCGAGGAGGCGCTGGAGCTCAACGGTGCCTCGCACATGGCCTACATCCTGGACATGCTGATGCAGCTGGAGGAGAGGCCGCTGTGGGAGAAGGTGGGTGGCAGAGTGAGGAGTTTTTAATGTCTTCACATTTTGAAATAAGGTTTCTTCCAAGTTGTTTTTTTCATTAATTTGAGTGTGATTCTCTTTATTGATCAGATTTTGCAGAGAGTGCTGAAGGGCTGCAGCCAGAGTATGCTGTGCAGTCTGTCTCTCACTGCCTGCCAGTTCATGGAGGAGCCAGGTATGGCTGTGCAGATCAGGGAGTCCAAACACCCGTATGACAATAACACCAACTTTGAGGTGAGTACACTGTCAGCATCAAAAACTTAATTTGAAATAGCTGTTTAGGGAAATCAGTGTTTGTAAAGGAGCCTGTTCACTAATTTCTTATTCTTCTGTCAGTTTAGCTGAATACTAATGTATTGTCATTATCATTCTTGGCTCAAGGACAAGGTGCACATCCCTGGGGCCATCTACCTGTCCATAAAGTTTGACTCCCGCTGCTACACTGAGGAAGGCTGTGACGAGCTCATTATGTCCAGCAGCAGTGATTTCCTCCAGGATGTTCATAACTTCAGCGGTTCTCCTCAGAAGTGGTCTGATTTTGAGATTCCCGGTGAGCCATTTGTCATTTTAGGATGTGTTAACAAATTGCTCTTACTATGTTCGAATTGGGTTCATCAATATATGACTGTGCTGTGTTTTTATATCTCAGGTGACACACTGTACTACAGATTCATGTCAGACATGAGCAACACAGAGTGGGGCTACAAGTTCACTGTCACAGGAGGCCACAGAGGACGCTTCCAGACAGGTACTACACACCTGATAGATTAGACACAATGACAGCAAACACAGGTTTTCCTGAAAGTTTCCATCTTTCATGGGATTTCTCCGGTTCCTAATCAGGTTTTGAGATACTGAAGCAAATGTTGGCAGACGAGCAAGTCCTGGGTCACCTTCCACTGGCCGACATCTGGGAATGGCAGGTGGGCGTGGCCTGTCGACAGACGGGAAACCAGCGCCTCAAAGCCATCCATCTGTTGCTCCGCCTCCTGCAGTGTCAGTCCACAACGTAAGTGTTCAGTTCGACCTGAATATTTCCCTCTGTGCACTTTGTGGGCTCCTCCACAGTCCACCTCTTTCTTTATTACCTGTGAAATCATTTGATTATTATTAACATTCATCGTGTCACCAAGTGTGACCTTTTCATTTGGAAGAAAAAGACCAAAGTAATTCAGAACATTAGCGCAGGACTTTACCTCCACACAGGGTTTGCATAACAGCCTACATCAACGTCAGCGCGGATGTGAGGTAAAGGATGTGTTCAGGAATTTGCATACGCAGACTGACTCAGCTACCACCTGGTCCAGACTTGAAGGCGCCCTTTAACAAAACTCAAACCCACTGCTGATGAAAAAATATGCTTCAGTTATTGAAACCTAACTCTTACTTTTCTCAGGACAGTGCAATTCATGTGCTGGGCACCAGAGAGCTGTTGATTCTTTCAAGGGTCTAAGTTCCTCTAGAGTTATACAGTGTAGACTCAACATGGTAAGGCTGAGCGATAAACCAGAAATTTACCAATAATTAAATTTACAACAATAACTGACGTCATTTTGCCCATATCAATATTTTTGGTGTCTAAATAAATAAATAAATAAAAGTTGGTTTTGGATGTGTGTAGGTAGGCTATGGTCTCATTTCCCTTTAAGAGGCTGTCCTACATCAGAGACATGACTCAACCCTATTTAGTCCGTAGCAAAGAGGGAAAAGACAGATGAGGAGATGGAGGAAGGTTCAAAAGTTGTAGCGGCTGGAGCGGCGGCTGAAGTAGACAAAGTTAATGTGAAAGAGAGTGAGCAACTTGTGGAGTATTTATTGTCCATTTATCATCATCAAGGTGAACTGCTCAATATATCGTCATATTGATTTGAGGCCATATCACCCAGCCCTACAATGTTGTATAATCAAAATAAAAGTAGAGCGCATTTTAGTCATGTATTTAAAATGTTATTTGCTAATATGTCCAGGCAGAATCAAGGTTAAAACTTGAATCAATAATATGACACCATCATGTGCAGTATTGAACCTACATATGCATAGATATGCTCTTGTTTGTTTTTGTGTATGTTTTTTTGTTCTCGCCTTAAATCTTAACTTGCAATATGTGGGAAAAGTAAGACTTTTGTCACATCACAAACCAACCATGGACCGATAGATTTGCACATTATCAGTGTAGCATAGCAGTTTTAAATTTGTGTCTTCAAACAACATCATTGTTCTACTCCACCCAAAATTATGAACTCCCTTTTAGTGTCAGAGTTTCTCTCAAAGCCACCAGTGTGAATGTAGTTGTGGAGGTTTTTTTGCTAAATTCCACCTCAAAGACTTCATAAACACAAACTCCTACCTGCGACTCTCATCAAAGAACCTGACATCTTCTAACACCGTCAGCAGAGTCTTTGATGCTGATCAGAGCCGAAGAACGTCCACAACTAAGAGTCATGAGAAATTGTCCATGAGAGAAATGAAAGAGTTGAACTTCTATAACTGGGGGAAGTCCGAAATAAATATTCTCCTCCTGCAGCTCTAGGAGCAGCTTGCACAGGTGCGATAAGGTAATCTGGAGATCTCAAACACTGAGAAAGGGACTTTTCAGACAGTGTGGAAATAGGTGCACAGGCACGGATTCTGGATTTTTGAAATGAGAAAGTTAACTCTTTATTTTTGTTAGAAAACTTTTATTGTACAGAAATAGTTTCACAACATATTCAGACTTGGTGGCTTTTGTCAGTCGGGCAGCAAAGAGTCACCCTTGAATATCAAGTAATTTGTATGTGCCTGATAGTGCTTGACAAAACCATCTCCTTTGTATTGACTAACAGAGATGTTTTTAGTCCACTTTACTCCTCTTTGCTGATGAACTCTTTCTTATTCCTCTCCTCGTTGATCTGTTTTCACCCTAGAGCCTGTGAGCTGATGCTGCTGCGACCTCTATGGCAGCTCTTTATGTCCATGGAAAACAGCCTGAGCCAGGATCCCACCAGTATCACCGTGCTGCTGCCTCTTCACAGAGCCCTCACTGAACTCTTCTTCATCGCAGAGGCCCGAGCCATTGTGAGTGAGACACACAAAAACACAAACGTGTGCATCCTTGTGTAGTGTTTCCAGTGGTAAAGGTGGTGGAGTTCAAGCTGCAGGCGTGGCTGGGCGAGGTGTTTGCTTAGGTGTGGTGCTTGTTTTGGCCGTGATGACAGTTTTATTGGCTCTGTGGGTAAATTATACAACTCAGCCAACGAAGAAATCGTCTTTTGGTTTGGCGGTTCCTCAGTTCAGTCATGTATTTATCGTGAGGCTATTTGAATGTTGAGTAAATCATCTCAACATTTCATTCTGTACCTCCGTCTTTATCCATCTCTCAGCGAGATGAGCATGTTTTTCCTCCACCCACCTGTTCTGTGCCGGGCTCAGGGCCAAAGCGCGGCCCTGCCATCTGCCAGACAGACACACTGCCATAGCAGCTCCCCGCAGACTGCCTGAGAGAGGAAGAGATGCGATCCATTCTGTGATGTGATGCCCTCTCTGTGTGTTTCTCTCTCTCTCTCTCTCTCTGCGATTGTCTTGCATTATTGATTAAGAGAAGTCTCAGGGATTATGGGCACGCCATCAGCCAGGAGGTTCCCATCTGCAGGTGCAACAGGACCAGACAGCTTTAGAAAAGCACTGTGTCCTCGGCTCCCCACAGGTCTGCGCGCTGTGGCCCGAGGCTGCTGGTCTGACAATAATGTTACATCAGTCGACTCGTCATTCAGGAAGGATTCAGGGCTCCCATCTGCTCCAGCTGAATGTTGTTTTTATGTGAGGGACAAATGAGAGGCTGTTAGGTGGATAGACACCAGGGGGCAGTAGCAGTATGCTGCAGTTCAACCAATATGCCCCTCATGGACACTCCAGTATTACCACTGTTGACACACGCTGATTGTTTGAAAGAAAGTCCCCTCTTTTAACCTCTCCTTTATCAACACAACACAAAGAGATGAGTGTTTGTCACCTCTGGATCCTCATCCATAACTTTGCAGCAGTTTGAGGTTGAGGTTTGAAGAGAGGAAATTGGTGATGTAAGGACGCGCTTCTTTATGTTGAGGAGTGTTTTACACAAGGACACACACAGCATTTCAAGAGACAGTTTTACTTCTCCTATCCGTGTCGTGCCGGCAAACATCTTGATAAAATTTTCTATAATTTTTTTACCGTTTAGCCTCGATTTTACAAGCTGCAAATTCACTGAAAGGAGTGTGAGAGCCAAGAGAGCAGCATGAAATACAAATGATAAAACGACTGAGCAACGACACAGTGGTGTTCAAGAAAGACACAAACCATTGTTTTCCCGCACGCTTTTATTTTATTATAGTTTAATTTTAGAAACAAGGAAGCTAAAACTTGAATCACATCATAAATCACATGTCTATGAGACCAAAAGTTGCTGTGTAGGAATCAGCTGATATTGAACATGAAGGAGGTTCATGTTGGTTTAGGAAAACCACCCATCTGTTTGCTTTACACCTGCTGACACTGTGGGTGTTGCTGCATTTGTCTAAGGATGATCATAGGATGTATAAAAACTAGCTGTCAACTTAATCTGATTAATTACTGTGAATGTGATTCTTAACAGGCTGCAACCTGACATCCAGGTAGTGGTGCTCAGTTGGTGAGATCTCCCATACATGTTTAACATACTGTAGATCCTAAAATAGGAACTCGGTCCTCTATTTGTTTGTATGAAACAGGCAGACCTTTGTATTGAACTCTCTCTCTGAGATGTATGACTGGTAATATTTCAGTAGAAAGTGAGGTCCTGATTTACAACGGGATTGCATGATTTTTGTGCCCACTGAACCCGTGCAAATGAGCCTCATTCCCGAAGCACACACAAAGGGATAAATGCTTCACAAACTGCACTTTTGAGGAAGCACCATCTCTGTGTCAGCGCTGTTTGCATACAATTAGATGTGACATTATGCATTAATTTGGAGTAAAATGGGCCCATTTTATGCAAATGCACCTCATTGCAATGAACATCTAATTCCCTGTTACCAGCGCTGCAGCCACGCACCTTTAGAATGACTGTTTTAGCGTCCTCTGAGAGTCGGTGAGGACTGCCCTGGGGTTTTTATAACTGTTTTATGCTTAAACTTATGTCATTATGACAACAATTTAACTTCTGAATGACCAAAAAAACAATATATTTATAATAAATTTTATTTTTACATTTTATGACTGTTTTTTGTAATGATCAGGGTCATATCAGTCTAAGGCTGCCTTGTACAGAATGCCTTAAAATCAAAAGGTAGGGAGTTTCCCTTTTTATCCAGCTCAACAAGTATGAATATAAAATGTAGTGACATTAGAGCGCACAGGTGGCCAAGCGGGTTAGCGCGCCCCATGTATGGGGACCATGGTCCCCGCGGCGGTCGTGGGTTAAAGCCTGGCCCCGACCATGTGCTGCATGTCCTCCCACTCTCTCTCTATCTCCCCATGTTTCCACACTGTCCTTTCCATAAAGGCAAAAATTGTAGTGACATTTAAAATGAGGGTACACAGCTAATAAATGAGAGTGCTTACCATTAATTAATATTTGGAAGCTGGCCTCTATTAACTCATAAAAGTTATTATCAGGGGCTTGACCGCCAATTAAATCCTGGCCTTTATTCAAGGTTTTATCATCGGACCTTTAAGAGTCACTCACAGCACTGATGTTTGCTATACGTGACTGACTGAAAACTTGTCTGCAGAATCTCTGATTAACTAAAACTTTGGTGATGTAGAAATTGTGCCACCATCCTCAAAGCATGTTCTGACTCAAATATTTAACATCCTCCTTGACACTGTCTGCGACACTCAGTAAAGAAACTGATCTGCACTAGAATAGGTTGAAAATGTATACCACTGTTGCTTCCTTATGAGAAATTTACCATGGATGTGTTTGCAAAATTGTGCACAAAGAAAAAGTATATTTCAAAAACAGCTCTGAAATGCTGGAGTTAAACATTTGTTGTTTTGTGCCTTAAAACTGCTCGTAGAATTCCTCACATCTGTATTTTTGGAGGGTAAATGTTTAAGACAAAGCAGCTGTGCTGTTGTAAAGTTAATGCAAGAGTATAAGTCACTATTTACACCCACTCTAGTGAGGACCTGCAGCAGCTGTGAGGATCAGCACTCTGCCTGCAACACTCAGCACCATCTGTCACCACCCTCCAAAAAGTGCAGATTAGTGTGTCCTGAGGTTGGTGGCCTTCATGTCGCGTTGACTTACGAGTGTAACTGCAGTGATGACATATAGCCGACTTCACTGGGTCCTCTTTGGCCATATGAGGTCTGGACCCAGTACCAGCTCATTTTAAATGTTTAAGGGGCTCCAGCGCCGCTCACATTCCAGCATCAGTCCTTACTCTCTGTACACACACAAAGCTCATAGCCAGGTCCTCTGAGACGCCACGAACTCTTTACCCCAGGAAGTGAAAGTTATATTTAGGAATCAAAACAGCGTGTCATGAACTACTGACTGTACAAATGGTCCTAGGAAGTTCCTTGGCATAAACAGTCTGGGCGCTGTGAAATGAATGGAGCACCAAGGATCTGGATTGTGTCTCCAGTCCTGCTAAGACTCCATTTGGCCCGGCCTCAGCCCATTTAGCTGCTTTGTGGTCTTATCTGTGCTCCCCGACTCTGTATACTTGTCTGTCCGTCTACGCTCTATGATCTGTAAATAATTAGAGCGACTTTTTCAAAATATCACCGTTCAGTCTGGTGCTGAGAAGACAATGAAGAGTGGTCAGGGGACTTGGCCTCCTTTTATACCTGAACTGATCCCTCATTTAACCCTTTAACGGCCTCAGGTTCTTGATTGTGGCAAGTTATCTGACCTGTGATTAAAGCGGGGAAAAACCTGGGTCTGGTTGTTCTGATGGTATACTGTATTCTGTACAAAATGATCTGTATTTGTTAATCCACTCTTGTTATATCCAGGATCAGGTCATCAGGCTTACTTTTGCCCCTGTTTTTCCAAGAAAAAATTGAGGTGTCAACCTGATCCTGATACATGCTTTTTAAGGGTAACAAGTACTCAACGCCACCAAATATCCACACAGACCAAAAGATCCTGATGGTTGCTCTGCATAAAATACAGTTTCTGATATTAAACTGTTGCCTCAGGGTTTAAACCGTTACTTCTGAAGTCCACCGCAGGGAGAAAACTTGATTAAAATAATGTCTCAAGTATCGAAATATTCTTTAATCCAACCTGAATGCAAGACCCTGCTGGGATCAGGATCATTCTGAGTTTTTGGATTCTAATTCTAATTTACAACAAACTTCTTACTAATCCTCTCAGACCTGTGGGCTTAAGGAGAAAACCACAGCACCTTTAGGCTGACTGAAGCATGTTAAAGACAAAAGAAGACGAACACAAGAGTTTGTTCGTACAATGTTACTGTACAAGTTTGTATAACACAGATCAGGGCTTGTGTGAATGAATTGATTTAATATAGCCTATACAGACACCCTTATAACCAGCTTTTTGTCATGTTTGTTATTCAGTCCCAGGGGATCCTCCAGGAGTATCTGTTAGCCATGACCACTGACGAGCAGCTCCTCAACCACACTGCGATGGTAAGACCAACACTTTATTTTCATTCATCTCCAGCTTTTCAGATTTGAACCTTTCTACTTTCTACCGGGCTCTCAGGTCATCTTTGATGCTTTTCTACCTTACGTGATAATGTACAGTTGCTAACAGTATTTTTTTTAGTCCAACATGAGCATTCACAATGAACACGTTGCAAAAATCTGACACCCAACATTCATTGAGTCCACATTCTGAATGGAGATCTGCTCTCACACCATTTTGATGCAGTCAGATGGATCTAAAGCTAGCTATCAGTAACTTTTGGATGAACTGTCTCCAATTGAGAGTTTGCCTCTGCCTTTGTGATTCATGTGAAACACGTTGCAAAAAAGGTGTTTTATAAAGCATGATTATCAGACAGACATTATGACACGCTTCATATTGTGAGTTTAGTTTTAAAAGATTTAATCACACATCACGTTTTTCTCATATACAACAAAAAAATGTGACATTTATCTCGGATGGATGCCTGTTTTCTTCCTTTTATATTGCAGCATACTGCTGAAGTAAACAATATCCCAATGTCAGTTTTTTAATGATATCATGCAGCTTTAATATCAGCTTGCAGAAGTTGTCCACACGCCCTGAAGTAATGTCGCATAAGTCTCCTCCTTAAACACGCTGTCTTGTTAATTGAACGGCCTGTGAGTCACCCACAGGCTGACGTCTCTGTTTGCTAGTGAATCATAAAGCTGTTGACACCCGGCAGATCCCTCAGAACCCCCCTCCTTTTGTTTTGAGTGCGTGTGGGCCTCACTCAGGACTAATGTATTTGATAATTACAGTCCATTAGCATTCGCGGCAGAGCGGGCCACAGTGCTCTCCGCTCCGTGGACCCTGAACACATCAGAGGAGCCTGAAGGCAGATAAGAGCAGCAGAGGATGCGGGGATGTGAAAAAATAAAAACATTGTGGGTGGTTATGTAGGGCCGTTATCTAATACCTGTCAGGTTGAAAACTAAACCACAGGTGAGCTAGTCATAACTATTATGACATCACTGATGGAAAGTGCTTGAGTTAACATGCAGACCCTCACTTTCAAGGGGTTGAAACATGCTAAAAAGCCACCAGGATGGTCTTTCAACACCTCCCCTGATAGCCTGTTATTTTCTGATGAGTTAATCACACAACAACACGAGTCTCAACGTTCAGAGGATCATCCTCGCTGTACTTCGGCCCGCCTTTTATTCATCCCGTTGTTCGCACAATTAAACACTAATAACAGTGATAGATACCCCTGTTTTTGACGCTACTACTGCAAAGGAATTACAGACCAAACCCTCCAGGCGTGATAACACAATCATCGGGTACAGCTGTGTGTCGGAGCATTACCTCGGAGGAAATCACTTTTTCTTTGGCGTGGGAGCTCTCAGCATTAAAAAATGACACATTTCTAAAGAGGCACTAGAGTTTAGGTCCAGGAGGCAAAATGATTATTTACCCTCCAACCCAAAGAATAACAATTCAATTTTATCTCCTCTGAGGGAAATAAAAGTATCTTTAAGTGCAGCTGTAATATACAATAAATAATCATATACAATGGTGTTTATTACAACAACTGTCATAATTTTATACCAATGGATAAGACGTGTATTTGCATCATCTGTAAACTGTAAGAGAATCCTCATCCCGCTCTGCAGTCCACCTCACCAACATCTGAGTCTCTTTCAGCAAATGTTTTCTTGCAGTCTCTCTGACTCATCAAGCTTATTAAAGGCAGCCCAGAAAACATCTTTTTAAAATCAAATAACTAAATCAAAACTTCTCCAGAATCTAAAAAACTCAAATTATTCAGCTTAGGATGATGACAAAAAGCATGCTTCTAAATTGAGGAGGGGGGGTTTATGACCTTTTACTATACCAAGGCCAGTCACCAGGAGGTGTTTTATCACAAGGTGTTGCTCCATGTTATCTTGGGGAGTAAATAGTTTAATTTTGTGCATCAAAGGGTGATAATGTTTTAGTGTGAAGAATTTAAAGCTTGTTTCTCAGGTAGCTCAAATTGTTTCAACTTTTTAATGCTCTCTGTCAACTGTTGTATCGTTAAGGTTTGAACTTTTTCATCAACTGTACCAATTATAAAGGAATTATGATTTGTTTCATTTACCTCTGAACCCGTGTTATCAGCGTTTCAGTTACAAAGTTGAAAAAAAGTGTGTGTGTTTTCTAACACCAAAACAACAACAACAATAACAACACTGATATTGGCAAAAACAGTAACCAACACTCGGTGAACAGACGCCTATTAAGGCTCATTAACTGATTACCGTTTTAACCGTTGGTTAAAAAAACATTCAGAAAATTAATAATTTGTGCATCCATAATCCAGAAGTCATTTACTACATCTTAGGATACTATTTATAACCCTTCTATAACAAGTCACTGAACAAAATTTAAAAAACACCGGCTGAAACTACCAGGCTACAGTTAGTTGTTGTTAGCATGGCCTGTTTTGTAGTTTGTATATACACATGAAAAATGTAAATTACACTATGGCAGCATTTCCATTTATATACGTCTAACAATACTATTGTATATGGCTGACTTAATGTGACCACGAATAGTAAAAAGTGTTGATAAAAGGATTATTACAGGAGCATCTGCTTACTGTTTACAACTGGCACCGTTATTTTTAAATGTCAACTCGGGGGTTGTGTGGATTGTCTGACTTTCCTAGTTGGAAATCCGACCTCGGGGGTTGTTCCAGTTGAAAGTTCCTCGGAGCTTGGAAATCCTGACTTCCGAGTACAACTGGAAAGCATTATTATAAAAGGCAACTCAGTCATTGTTTTTTTATAACCTTGTTTCTTTTCTAATCCGTTAAGTATTTAAGTTCTCTGACACTGTAGAGTGACCTGAATCATATAGTGGGAGACCAATATGAGAACAGAGGTGTAATGATATCGGGACTGTGTGGTGACGCTACTGGGGAGTGTAAAAGGCTAGTGATAAATTATTTTAGCGAAAAATTTTCATCAAAACAGATTTTGACATGGTACAATTGTCAAACAATATTTTTTTAAAAATGCCCAAAAGCACGATAAAAACCTGCCTCCGGAGAGTCATTCAGGATTCAATCAAATCCTGTTCAGAGCTGCCTGAGGATGAAGTGACACATCTCTTGGTTGTTTTAAATGAAAATTTGAGTTCTGACAAGTCTAAGGGAAAGAAAGTACTCAGAAAACAATCAAAATAGAGAAATGTATCACAGTAATTCAGGAAATCAGAGTCTGTGGGTTGACAATGTTGAATTTGTCTACAGAGTGTGGCTTAGGTTAGCATTACAAACACAACCAGCTGTCAGGACTTCCTGGCATGTGCTGATTGGCACAGCCTACAGAGCTTCGACATAGTCTCCTTTCTAAATCAAAATACTGCCAAACAGCACTGTGCTGCGAGATGCCACCTGTCACAGGTCTTATTTACATCCTGATAGTCAAGCATTGAAGCACTATGGCTGCTGCTGTTAACTGCTAGTGGCCGGTAGCTGCCCTACAGCTTAGACACAACATGGGACCAGCCTTTTGGACCTGCATCAATAATAATATGAATAAATCTAACTGATTAGTTATTCTGGTGCAGACGAAGGAGGGTGATGACATTGTTATTATTTAGAGAGGAACAGCAGCTACTCACAGTTATGGGTTAGCTAATGCTAGATAAGGCAGGAGGAGAACAACAAACTCTTCCAGGCACTTTTATTCTCAAGTTTTTAAAGAAGTTCTGGCATCATTGGTTTAGATTTAGTATTTATTGTGCCTTTTTATCACCAGTCAACATGCAGTGCAGGGCCCAGGTGAAAAACTCGGCTTCTGTCTTCGATTCAGTAATTCATCCACTTTCTTTTTTTTATTGTGCAGGCTCTGAAGAACATCGCTGCCATCAGCCTGGCCATCAATTACCCCAATAAATCTACCAAGCTCCTCAACATGTCTCCTTGAGGGAGCCACCGGGAGACGGAGAGTCGAGGGGGGGAGTACATCCTGACTCAGCTGGATCACTTTGAAAAAGGTGTGGAGAGGAGGGGGAGAAAAACACCCTGACCAGGACCCCCCCCCCCATCCTCTCCTCTCTGCACTGATACGTCTCTGCAGTACTCTGGACTCTGGAGCTGTGGAGGATGACACTCAAAGAGCACTTTCCACACTTACTCACAATCCTTTTTGCCTTAGGAGGTAAATCCAGTATATCAGCATGTGCATTCACTGGAAAAGGAATCATTTTGGGGTCTTTCTGTTTTTTCCTTTATTATTGAGTTTTTACTTGAAGATGCCGTGCTAAAGGACATGCCGTGTGCCAAATTAGCGACCTTCAAGGGGAAGTTTATTCTTTTTCATCCTGCCTTCCTTCCTCCTAAACAGCAGCCACTCTGGGTTACATAGTTGATCGCGGTGAAAACAGGTCACCTTGGTGACTCGCGTGCCTCAGCGGACATGTAGAGCATCCTTAAAATACTGTCCAGGACAGTGGAGACTCATTAGTCACCATAGGGAGAAGGTACTGACCTACTAGCTCATTCCACCCCCTCCTTCCTTCGTTCAATCTACCTTTCTTCCTACTCACCTTTTCTCCTCTATCTTCCCGTCTTTACCAACAGCAGACGAACTGATGGTATTTTTTAGGGCTCTTGTTGAAGGATAGGATTAGCACTCTTCTTGAATATTCTTCACCTGAATCTGTCATGTTGACACGTGTTATGCGCACTAAAACCCACTTGAGACTTGATGACAGTTTGATCGGGCTGCACAGGATTAACATGATACCAACTATAGCCATAGTCTCTGCATAGGATGAGAATTACAGCTGAGGGAAAACTGTGATAAAATACTATCGCAATGCATTCCTTCCATGTTATTCTACCAGTATGTTGAAGTATTTTCACTCCTTAACTCGTGAATGAATGAATGATGTCAAATTATCTTTATGAAAATGATTAACAGCAAAAAACAAAAAAAAGAGAGAGAGAGAGTAAAGAAAAAAAAGACAGTAAGAAACCTGGAAATCTCTTAAAGGCCTTGAGTTTTAGCCACTTATTTATTATTTTATCTAAAGTTTGATTAGATTAAAACTCTTAAGGAGTGTCATTTTTCCTTTTTTTACAGCAGGGAAAGAAATATGAATAACTCTATCATCTCCCCAGATTTAATGTACGGCAATGAATGTGAGAATATGTGAGAGGTGATTCCCACAAAGACACAAACTGTTTCCCCCCTCACTCAACTTAAAAACACATTATAACGCCTTGAGTTCACAGATAAACATTAATGTGATTGTAAAATAAACACATTATCCCACCTGATCACAACACAAAAGAGTTGGATTATTACTGAATTACCTCATGTTTTGTAATTACACAGATAAATAAATGGTTCAATGCTTTTTTTAACATTCAGTGTGACTTTGATTCGCATCACATGTTCCACTGAACCCACAGAAATCACCCACTGAAGATCTGTTTTCACTAAATCTCAAATTCAGTTAAGAGAGGGACTAAAGATGGTTGTTGTTTTCCCGTCATTACTGTATTATTTCAGATTTAGAGGTTCTTTTGTTTGTTAGGACAACATGGTTATTTATACCAAAGAAACCAATCATTGTGAGCCATGAAACATCTCTGAAGCAGCTCCTGGTCGAGCTCCTTCTCTCTTAACCACATATCAGATGGTCACCCTGTGAGACGCTGGATCAGAGGAAACCTTTAGACGTTTTTCTTTTTTTTTTTCTTTTTCTTTTTTTTTTAATCATTTTTTAAAAATTTTCTTACTTTAACTTTTTAAAGCGGTCTCTGTGCAGACCGCGGAATAGCTCGGTGGTTTTGTTTACACAGACATCAGCTGCAGTGAGGAGAGAGGAAGAGACACACATGGCCTCAGTTTGGCTTCTACGACGCCTCACCTATCTACGACGTGCCTATGGTTAAAAAATGAAGCAATCATAATTTAACTCATGTTAGCCGAATAGTTATTAATTCTATTTTAAAAAGAGAAATATATTGTTTAATTTGAAGTTTTTTGTAACTTTTTACTTTTAATGTCGGTTTCCTTTTTGTTTTGCAAGGATGCTTGATATTTGAGGCTGACTAATTTGAATGTACATATCTGTGAATATTAATTGCACAGGAGAAAGACTTTGATATCAACCCCTTACAAGTATATAAACCTTATTGGGCACTATAAGACGGACACTTTGATTCTGATTTTGTATGCATGGCACATTGAAGGTTAAAAAAATAAATATATATATACTGCTTGGGTTGAAATGTGATCCGTTTCTAATAAAAATAGAAATGACTTCACTCCTGCTGTCATGTCTTTTCTGCGTCAGCTCCACCGAGAATCTTTGGGCTTCTACAAAAAACATATTGATCACTCTGTCCTCATTGATTAGGGCCCACACACTCACCCCCAGCAAAAACTGTACTCAGTGATCCATCAATAGTTCCCTCCCCCTGCTTGTGGATCTTTTCCCTCTTAAGAAAACAAGTACATCTTTTGTACTCTATTACAAACATCCCACATATTCAGCAGAATAGATCCTCCCCGCTCTTCCTCCATTTGTCCAAGAAAATGCTGCTGTCTTCTATTTATTCACTTCCTTTTTTTGTACACTGTATTTCACCTCAAAGCCCCCCCACTCATCCCTCCTTCCAAGTTTCCTCTCTGCCTCCTCTACCTCTCCCCCGCTTGTGATCTGGAGTCTCAGGGACAGGGCTGATGATGGCAGTGAAGATCACTGGGGCGATAATGACATCAAATGCAGGAAATATTCAATAAGGACTCCAGATGATTCAGTGCCCCTCTGCGCCAGCAAAAGCCCCCACACGGAGGGTGAGTCAGCTCTCCTGCCTCCCCTCCACCTCCTACCCCAGCTCCTCTCCCTCTCCTTGGTCTCCTGCTTCTTTTTTAACTCAGGATCCCAGAGCTCTCATTTCATCAAGGTGAAACGAAGCAGAAGCGTTTGAGGCAGAGATAACAGAATAGCTTACGGTAACTAATGCCTGAACAGGGGATCTTCTGGAGCTGCATGATAGGCCTCTTTGTTGAGATAAGGAATTTGTTATTTATTTCGGTTTGAAGCAACATCCTTTACCTTGCAATTAAGTCACACATCTCTGTAAACAGCTGCACCATTAGTCTATCCTAATATGATAAAACCAAACAAAGAAGAAGAAAACAAATGATGAATTCAACTTATTTGTTCAGCACCTCGGGTTATCTCATTGAAATTACACAAATTAAAGGGGTAGTTTCTGTTTAAATGGGGTTGTATAAGGTACTTGCAATAGAGTATCAATCACAAGAGTTTCAAGACAGAGCCCCTGTTATTAAGAAATTGCTGGAGTACCAGCATGGATGCCAAGCTTTAACCTGTAAGCTAGCTAATTCAAGAAACTTCCACCCAAGCACAACAAAGGGGCCAAACTGACTGCCATCCTCCATTGGTTATTACTATAGACAAGTGCCTCCTACAACCTTACTTTAAAAAATACAAACTGCCCCTTTAAGCTTCTGCAGATATATACAATCAGCAAGGTTTTTTTTATTAGGATGAAAAGGGGAAATCCCCCCCCAACCGTAACCTTTACTAACCTCACCCTAACCCCTACTATGGCTTATAACTCTCCCCCTTTCCTATCAGAGGATGAAAAACAACAGGCGAGCGAAGAAGATATGCTGCAGGAACCAATCAAATGGGTTGGCATTCAATATACTGAGCTGCTAGAAGCTGTTAGCTAGAACAACCATGTCAAAGTATGTGACTATCTATCTATCTATCTATCTATCTATCTATCTATCTATCTATCTATCTATCTATCTATCTATCTATCTATCTATCTATCTAATAAAGAAATGCTACACTATACCCCTCTGTAGTTGTGCTAATAGCCTCAGCTTGCAGTCTAAAGGACAGTAAAAAACATGTGAGCTTGTATCCATGAACACTGTAAAGGACAGTAACATTATGTCACAGACCTCTTCTGTTTTTTATGGCCTCTTTCAGCTGTTTACACTTATGAATCACAAACCACCATGAACATCTCATGAATCATATTGTTAATGTTTTCCAAAACACTGCCTGCAGCGGTACCACAGCTCACACACATGCTCCTAAAATTTATAGGCCGTCCCTCTTGCCTTACATCATTTTCCTGTAAGATCATTCTGATAAATTAGACAGCTACAGTAAGACTGTAATTACAAGGGTCAGTTGTGGGACAAGTTGCCTATTTGAATCATTTATTTCTTTCTGTCTCCTGTGAAGCTTTTGCCTCCTCCTTTCTCTGGAGGGATCTGACTGCTGAGAACACTTGCTGAGTATGTCATTTGCTTTATTTTAATTAAACACACAAGGTTAACACAGAATACTAAAGTTGTTTTAGTCAGAATCAATAGCTTGAAGTATTGACAAGCTATTGATCAGAGGAAGGTCACTTAAAAAATGCTAAAACAGGATAAGCTGCAAGGGTGATGAACTGGCCAGTGCACCTTTACACACGTCACAGTTAGGAGCACATTGTGGTTTGGCAAATCTCAGTAAAGCAGCCCCAGTTTATATCTGTTATAGTGTCCTTTTTTTGATGAAATAAGAAAGTGTAAATGAAAATGGCTCCAGAGTTTTGTGTTTGTTTGAAACACAGCATGAAGTGTGAAACACACCATTTAATATCCTCCTAAATCACGCCAAAAAAGACTTTCTTCATCTTTTAAGCCGGTGAAAAGAAGACAAAACTGCAGCAATGAAAAAATAGAGTTGATTTTTGACTACGTCTGTGATTAACCACCAAAGACAACAGTTAGGTAAAACATGTTTTCAAATGCTGAACTATGATAGCTATGACCTTTGTCCTTTTTTACTTGAAGCTTATGTTTTTTTTAATGATGAGATCTCTTCTATCTGTAAATCAGAATTGTGTTAGTTTGATTACAACTCAAATAGCAGTTATATCAAGAAGGAGAAGAAAATTAGTTTGATTTTACCAAATATTTCTGATAATTCTATGATGAAAGTCCAAGATTCCTCTGTTTAAGGGTCTAGGTAAGACAAATAAGCCCACTAAAGCACATCAAAGACATAACCACAGAATTTTAAAGAAAGGTGGGCGTGGCTAAATGAGACAGTAAGGCCACACCCACCAATGCTCCCGCTGGCTACTGTGTGCCATGTATGCTGGCTCCACAGGCTGTAATCATGTAATCACACTGTTGTTGTATCTAGTGCATAATATGATAGATTTCAATAATGTGACGATCATGTGATTGAGGTACCCTCATCAGCACCAGTCCATCACTGACTGAGGCGGGGAGGTGCAGCTCAAGGAAGAACATTTATGATCATTTCTTCATGGAAATGCAATCCGACCGAGATTTTAAGGCAGAAGAACTACCGCATCTGCAGTGAAAAATGATTAATATGATGATTATTACTTCAAGAAAATAATAAAGAAATGATCATAAATGTTTTTCCTTAAGCTGCACCCCCCACCTCAGTCAATAATGGACTGGCCGAGGTCTCGCTACAAACAAGTGGCTGCTGGAGGAGAGTAGGTGAGTTGTGTTTAGTCTCTTTGCTAAAGAAATTAGGCGAAGCTAAAAAAATGTTTGGTGGCTAGTGCTGTGGCTGGGACCCTAATTGTACTGTTGATGGAGTTAGGTGCTGTTCTGAGCGTTATTTGTGGCTATAGAGTGGGGTTTTGGTTGAGGTTTGTGTGTGGCTCCTGAGACTGCTGTGTATTGCTATCGTGCAGTCATTACTTAAGTTGGTATAACTAGAGAAGCAACATTCATCTCTCAAGGGGATGTCTAACTCGGTGTTTGGGTTTGTTTAACCCAAAATTAATTTTACCCCAGAATATCCCTTTAAGTTTTCTCTACAGCCATCCATACCGCCTTCACAGTCAGCAGACAGACAATCGCTAAGTTGCCACCGCTGTAATTGCTGCTATGTCACATGGCTCTTTTCATCTATGACAAAAATGACTCAAAAGTGTTCATCATAATCAGGCGTCAACCTTGATAGCAAAATCAAGCTCATCCAGAGTGAACCTCTGTTCATGTTAGATTTTTTTGAACAAAAACTTTCTTTTTCTATCATTTCATGTTTCAGATATTCACACGTGTGCCTCACGTGTCCGTTCTGCTCACCTTTGACCCCTTCTGAACCCACAGCCCTGCTGCCGAAAGCACTCCCACGCTAGAGGAAACTCCTCCTCACCTTGTCATAATGAGACCTACTTTCTGTCACCCTCCAGGGACACAAGGCCAGTGTGGGTCAGCTCTCGTGAGGCTCAGGGATAATTGGGTATTTTATATGATCCAGAGAGAATAAGGCACACTGAGGGGCCTGCACCCATATTTAGCAGCTGCACACATGCTATTGTGTGATTGCACTGGGAGAGAGGAGCTTGCTGTTTTTGATCTCATTTCTTGCCTTTCTCTATCTGGGTTAGAGGCGGGCTGTTATTGGAGCAGCCACCTGAGGCTCTTGGAGGACGAGGATTGTAATGGATAGGTGGGGGTTCCTACATGACAGCCACAGTGCCGGTCCTGTCGGCTAATCTGGATCATTAGGACATGCTGGGTATGACTAAAAGGAAATACTAGCTTATTTTGTTGAGGTGAGAGGAAATAAATACTCTTTGGTACCAAAGCTTGAGTTAAAAAGCAACTCAACCTTTTTTTTTTTTGACCTGGTGAGAAACTGGACTTTTCAGAAAGAGCCTTAGGACAGAGTGGCTGTAGAAATATTGAAAAATTTACTAAAACCCTTCACTTACTTTAAGGACAGTTAATTAAATTAGCTCTCACAAAAGAACTTAAATGAAATCATCACAATGACAATATTTTCTCAAGATTACATATTTTAAAATGAACTTAATTTATTCACAAGAACCGACACGAGCATTGAAATCAATTTAGATCAAACTGAATCGATTTCAATAGAGAAATGAATAAATGAATAAAACAACTGAGAGGGATAAAACTCTAATATAAGTTTGGTAAACACAAATCTTAAACTCATATCTCAGTTTACTCTTAAATAACTAGAGTTTGAATAACCAGAATGATTACAACATCATTTGCACCACACTCTAATGAATATTACAGATTAAGTTAGCCGTCACTGGGTGCTAATAACTTTCCAGTGTAATTAATTATTGATCAGAGGAGTTTCTTATGACTTAGTGGGTGTCAATATTTGTTGGTGGAACTCAGCATTTGTTGGTGGATGCTAATGTCAGTGGACCTGAATGTCTTACCCTAACCACATTTGTCAGTGGAATCTGTGCCTAAGTTCATACCTAAACCTAACCATCAATAGACCTTACATTAAAGTGGATCCCCTAGCCCACACCCTTACCCTAACCTCAACCACTCAGGGTATGTGATTACGAAAACCCTTAAATATCAGTCAGCGGATTTTATCCCTTTTCCTTGACCTAATCCTAACCCTAGAATGAGATCAGCACCCTTTGACTCCCTCTTTATGTCATGTGTGTGGAAAACATATCAATGGATTTACCTCAATGCTGTCAGTCAAAGAAGAATATAAAGTGTATATAGTAAAGTCAACATTATTAGGTTTTAAAACAATCTTAATAACAATTTTACTAAACTACCAAAATAAAATTCACATGACCAGACATGACTGAATATTACCGTCATTTATTTTGTATTGCAAGAATCTATCAAAACTAAGTGTTGAAGATTCTAATGTGGCTTATATTCCTGATTTTTTTTCCTAACCGTATGTACATGCTCTGTTCAAGTGGCCTTAAAGCCTGATGCAGTCACTGTTGATTTTGAAGCATGTATGAAACTGCTGGCATCGACCGGTTTTCACAAACACAACTCCAGTGTGTCATGTTATGCTCTGTTCATTTAGTTTTTCCTAGGTTTAGTGTATTTTCTTTGTGTTTTTCCCAGTGTTTCTGTTCCCTATTGTTCCTGTGATCCTGTTTTGTGAGTTTTCAGTTTGAATTGACCCTGTTTCCCTCCTGTTCTCTGTGTTTTATTCTTTAGATCAGTTCTCAGTGTTTCCTGTTTTATTTTGTAGTAATTTATTCCCAGTGTTTCTAGTCTGGTTGTACTTCCCTAGTTTTCCCTCCCTAATTAATCACCCAAGAGTTTCACCTGTGTCTCGTCTGCCTCACCTGTTGCTCGTTTCCCAGTGTGTATATAGTCCCCGTCTTTCCCTCTGTCCTGGTTGGTTCATTGTTTGTTGGTGTGTGCATATGCCTTTGTCTCCAGTTACTCCCTGAGATTTTGCCCCAGTGATTTTTTGTGGATTTTGGATTTTTCTCTTTTTTGTTGCCTTTTTATTTTGTTCTCTTTAAATAAATCTTTTTTTTATTTTTGTTCTGCATTTTGGGTCCTTTCCCTTTTTGTTTAACTCCAGACTGTGACAGACTGAACCAACCAAGAAACGGGGGAACAGGAACAATGGGGAACAGAAACACTAGAGAAAATCACAAAGAAAATACACTCAAATAATAAAACTAGGGAAAAACTAAATCAACAGAACATATCATGACACAGTGTTCTTTTTAAACCATAAAGGTACCAAGGCTGAATGAACAATGGTACTTTTCGTCACAGGGACAGAGTGTTTTCAGGAATTCAAGCTCGCACTGGTGATAGTTTGGCAGTTCACTCCATATAGTTAGAAGATTCAGTGTTTGAGGTTCAACTTCACACCTCTATAACACTTTGCTCCATATAAACACCAGAATAATAGCTTGACTGTGTACCGATATAAGGAAAGCTGTGCAAACAACAGCGATTGTGTGTGAATCACCACTGTGAATGAGCTGTCTGAAGTCTCAGTTAATCCTGACAAGGCCTTCAAAGACTTAAAATGTCCTCAAATGCTTTCAGACTTTTGTGCTTGGAGGACTCATTTTATTTCCTCTGAAGAGCAGCTGGCATGAGTGAAAGGTTTGAATATATACACCCTCACAAGCTGTGGGTCTGTTTGGTAAAATATGAGCGGGCTATGTGTTCATTTTTTTGTTACAAAAACCTTAATACTGTATCTTAAGAGCAATTCAAATAAGTTTGATTTGAACTTTTATTACTGATCAGCAGAAACTAGGTTAAGGTTAATCTTCAGGTTTTACTTTTTGAGGAACATATTAAAGGTCTTTTTTGAGTCAAAACTAGGAGCTACACACAAAAAGTTTGCCTTATCTTTGTGAATGACAAAAAAACACTAAACAGCAACAACTCTACAGCGCTTTAATCGACAGTTTCTTCAAGCTGTTAAAAATATCTAACAAAGATAACACTGTTGGTTGATGTTGACTGGAGATTTTTCTCCAGAATGAATCTTTCCATTGAACTCACAGATGTATGAGTGGTTAACTTTGCCTCTGTATCTGTCAGATAATGATCACAAGAGGAGTAATCTTGCCAGGCTTAATGGTAACTCTGGGTGTTTATCGAGATGTGAATAATCTCTGTTAAAAAGTTCTGCATAATATAAATGTCATATCTCTATTTGTGCTGGACCAGATCTTGCTTTCAGGGATGTTCTGGTTTGTAGTCTCAGTAGCCCACTGGCATCTCAGTGGGCACTGTCAGTAGGAAAACCATCAGTACGGAGAGTGAGAATAGCCAACATACTGTAGTTCACGGTATTTCTACCTGCGATCCCATCAGTGTTGGTCTAATTTAGTGATGTCTTACAATAAGTGTCATCAAATGGTCTACTTTAAAAAAAAATCCTGATCAATCACTGATTATAATTCAATAGTGGTGAGTCCAACTTAATAATGCAGTTTATTTCTCGGATAAAATGATCTCCCACTGATCCCTTGTTAATACAACAGTAAGGTGACCAGACGTCCCCGATTTCCGGGGACAGTCCCCATTTTGGATGACCTGTTTCCCGGCTAAGGCTGTCCCTTGAAATGTCCCTGATTGAAGCGTCTCATGTATGAGTAAAAAAAATGTTGCGTGTAGACTAGAACAATGGTTATTGTGGTATCTGAGTAGGTAGGAAGTGCAAGTAAACATGTTGCGCGCAGTCTTGAACAACAGTTTTTATGGGAGGTTACTATGGGGGCATTCGTTGCTTCAAAGTCATACCAAGTTGTTGTCTGTGATCACACAGCTGATGCCCCCACCACTCTCCAGAAATAGAGGGCCTGATTTCACATTTTGTTCAGCACCGGATTTCATAACAGAAATCTGGTCACCTTACACAACAGTATTTTCACTTTTCAGGAGCTCTACTTTGGTTGCCTCCAAAAATGCATTAAAATTGTAACCCAAAGGTTTGTGTCAGTTTGAACACGCCAAATTAGCGTGCTGCTTGTTTTTGTTGTTGCAGTTTTACTGATTAGCTGCACCTCTTTGTTTAGCCTAAAGATGGTAGCTCAGGCTCAGAGTGCTTTAGTGATGTTTTAATTCAAACTGACAAAATGTGCATAAATACTTTTGACTCGTCAGCTGAGCCATCTGGGAGTTTTATAAAGTGAGATGTGCCGCTGCCAATAAAAGGTGCTGCAGCTTTTATCACTGTCGCAGCAGGAAGCAGGAAGCTGCACTGGCTCAACGTCAGTGTGCTAAAAAGGAACAGTTCAATTTCAATAAATGTGCTAATACTGACAGCCGTTAAGTAAAAACTGCAAAAGATGTTGCTTCCTAAAACCAAATCCAGTATTGCTTTTAAAGTTGCTACCTAGACTGCACTGCAACTGAGCAGCAACCTCTGATGTTCCAAAGTGTTGAAGCAAAACAAAAAATCCTCTTTGACAGTTTATTGATCAGCCAAAACTTAGCTGCAATCTACATTTGCATAATGGCATCCTGTAGTGACGGCCTTCAGTGACTCAGCTAAAACCAACAGATGACATCAGTGAAACTACAGCCATGGTTTATGCTGTATGTGATGGTAATTTACAGAGAAGGGCGTCACAGCAGGAGGTCTTTCACTACTACTAACCAGTACACCAAAAGCCCCACAAAGCTGGCCTCCTGATCGGCACAAAAGCTGTTAGCTGTATAAGCAGATGGCTGATGGATTTCAAGATTTGGCTCTGATGGGAGTGTATTCCACAGACACAGTAAGCACATTGTCTCTGCTCTGGTCTGGTGTGCTGTTTTTTAAAGCTCCTGTGAGGAACTTTTGGTGTGAGTGAATTTTTGCATCCCCTGTGAACAAACAGTCTTTGTTTTTCTTGTCCGCTACATGCTGAATGGGAGCCATCTCATAAAAAAACCTCATCACTCTGACCTTTGACTGCCAAATATGCCATTTATTTTGATAATACTTAATGTGGAAAAAGCATTAACAAAGCCTCTTCTCCAGCTGCTTGCTGCGAGGATGACACCTACCCTCTTGTGCAGTTTTCGGGCATTAGAATTTATGACAAAAATAATCAGTCTTGTTTCTGGTGTTCTTGTTTATACACCTTTCTTTGGCTGATGTTTCCATTCTGTTTCTTGAGTCTATCTCTCTTATTCTTTACAGTTTACCCCTGGCACTGGAGTCCAAACTAAGGTTAGGGTTGATTGGACTCCAGCTCTGCTGATTTGTTGAAGTTAGTCTGTGATTAATGCTGATAGACAGATGGCTCATCCAGTCACCTGCCAAGTATTTTTCAGTTTCCAAGAACAACTTCTCAGATGGTCTCTGTGAAAAATCACCCTGCGTGTCAAGTTAAGAGAGTGGTATCGATCTTTTGATTTAACTCTTGGCAAAGCAGTGAATTAGTGTATTTCATAAAATGTTGAACTTAAAACTCACATTTTAACAGCAAAGCCAAGTGTAAGCTTCACTCCTACAGTGTGATTATTCTTCATCCATCTAAACACTTATCCAGAAGAAACTGGTGACTCTTAAACCTCAAGTGGGCCTTCAGTGAATTTTCTGTCTTTTTGTTTTTCACATTGATGTCAGTCAGAGTTTTTGGTTTCCTCCTCTTTAGTTGAAAATACCTCAAGGCCTGTAACAAGCGTAACAAAGATCAAGAGAAAAGTATACCCAGGATCCCGAGTCCAAAGCTGCGTAGTCTGTGCCCGGTTCTCTCCTCAGAGCTCGTCTGCAGCAGGAGGCCTGTCTATAATGATGTCATCTCTTGTAGGAGGCTGTCAGGTGCAGAGAGACGGCTCAGGGCTGGTACAGAATCATAAACCCTGCATTAGTCCCTGCAGTGTGTCTCCACGCTGCAGAGCCAGCTGCCCACGCCAGGTGAACCAGCCCACCTGAACGCCTGGAGGACAGCAGCATCTCTGCCTCATCTCTCGCTTCCTCCTCCTTTTTTTCATAATGCTCTCTTTATTTTGCTCTCCTCTTTTCATCCTTTGTTTGTACTCTTTTGTTCTCAGCAGCTCTTTTTTAACAAACGAGTCTCCTGTAGTTACAGGATCCTGTGATCCTGTAACTTTGTTGTCCTGCCATTTCACCAAACTTCAACTAAATTCTCCAGTTATTCGCAGACTCGAGGAATTTATCAGATCAAATTCAGACTGAACCAGAGAAATACAGGTCAAGGAGGTCTCCATGAACATATCAAATAAACAAACGGCTAACAACATACCATTACTGTTGCCTTTATTATATTTTGCTGTATTCATATTCAAAACAGTCCAAAATTAATGTAAGAAGTAATGTTAGAATGTAAGAAAACATAAAATCTGTGTGCTGTTAGTAAAACTAAGAGTATGAACTGTACAAAAATAAAGCTTCACCAAAGATACTATGAACAGATGCATGACATGGTAGCTACCCTAAAGTGAAGTCAAACTATTTAGAGCTCCCTCTACTGATTATCTACAGTTTATGTTACAGAGCTTGACCCTTCAATGTGAACAGACCATAGGCTGTATATACTATGGACAATTTGGTTCCACCTTCCGCTAGTATATAGATTTGAGCCAAAAATGCCAAAAAGCTCTTGGTAATTCTGCATTTTTTCTCCACTTCCTGAAACCAACATTGCGCAGTAGTGTTGTACGCACTCCGCCACTTGTGCATTAGCATTGTACGCATTTGGTGGGAGAGTCGCTGTGATGGTGCTTGCCTCAAACATCGTATCCCCCAGGTGAACTACGTAAACTTTGTACACCCATGGGCTGTATCAGGTGTCAATCATAGAAAACATGAACTTTTAATAACTTTTAAAAATGGAGCTGCATAGAAAAAAGAGGACTTGAGCACAAAACAGTCTGACAGTAACTACATGTCAACATCGCAAGCAGGGGAGGGAAAAATTTATATTCTGTGTAATTAAGTTTTAGGCAGTTGAGGAACCCAAACTCAACCAGCCAATCAATACTGGGTAGACTCTGAATATTGAAGATGGCAGCCCCCATTGGAAATGGTATTCGGTTTTGCTTTTGTATAATAGGTGAGAATTAATACATCTTTAAATATGGGCAATGAGCGTTATATCACAGGTGTTAGAGCAGATGCTTCAGATTGCTCTTCCTCCAACTCACTTTCACCTACACATTTCAACCCCTGCTATACTTTATACTTCTACTTTTTATGTTTGAGAGGAAATACTGAGGCCTGCCTGTCCAGTGCATTTGTATGAGGCACGAGAACCACCTTTTCATGCATCTGGTTTCTTTTCTTTTTAATGTAAAACACTATATGCTTCAAAACCTCAAGTGTTTCAGGATCAGTTCAATTGAAAACGTATGTCAAAGGTTTGTATAAAATCAGTTTTTATCTGCTGTGCAGCCTTTTTCTGTCAACAATGGCAGCACTGAAGATTCTTTTTTTAAAGAGAGAAAGTCAAGGATATCATGAGAACCAGAGGCCCAACCCTGGACCAGTTTCGCCATGACTGTGGCCTCTCTGTACATGGGGTGCCGGCCTCGCTCACCCCCAATTTCCACCGCATCCAAAATGGCTACGAAGAGGCCGTATTCGCAGATCGTAGCTTATCTTAACCATTCAAGTTAATGTGTCAATTTCCAACAGCTTCTTTCCGTTCCACTGCAGATCGCCGGGCTTCGCAGCTGATCGCAAGAGTTCTATTTGTTCCAGACACCGGAGCATACCGGGTAAAATCAGCACAGATTAACCTGCACTGGAAAGGAAGATGGGCACAGACACAAGATAAAACATCCGGCTTCTTTTCAAAATAAAACAGGCAGATTGTATTTCACACCATGCAAACGGGTGGAGACAAACGAGTAAAAGGTTTTTAGACAGCATCTCACCCTGAGATGCTGATTCTAGAAGTCTAGAGGTGGATTTCCTCCTCTGGAAGGACACAATCTACTACTTTTATGGTTAGCCTCTGTGGTTCTCTTTATAGAGACAACTTGTTATTGCACGATTGCATGTGAATCCACGGGTTCTTGTAAGTTCTCATGATTACTGCTGTCCGTAATCCGCCACAAAATTCGCCTTACCAACAGATCTAGTAGGAACTGGTGGACGGTGACAATCGCCGCCATTCTGGATCGGAGCCACTCCCGATGTGGTGAAAATTGGGGTAAGGGAAGTAAACTGGTGCTCCAAAAATATCTTGTTAGTCCATAGGCAAAACAAGAGCTCCCACTTTTGATAATAAGATGCTATCCTAATTATACTTATTTGATCATGAACTTTTTCACAAGATAACTTAAATTAAGGATCTTAAATCACCTCCACCACCTCATGTACAGAGAGTTTTACAGTGTGGGTCTACAGGAGCTGCACACGTGCACATTGTGTATTTTCATGAATCCAAAACAGATGCTCCTAAGAAAATATTGGCTGCTCTTTTACAAATCTGCCTCCTGTGGGGATACAGCTTGTTCAACTGAGCCTCAGGGATCGCAAGATTCTCCTCACCCCACAACACCACACTGGGGTTTATTAAGGTGATAGATAAGACTGGAGGACAGGGGGAAGGAGGGATGCTGGGTAATAGGAAACAGAGGGGACAATATTCATGGAAAAATCCCAGTCTGGGGGACCTGTTATTCTTTGAGGACTGAATATAATCTCAGGCGCATTCACTCAAAACATGGAGAAGAGTAAAGTTTCAGGGAAAGCTGGAGTATGTGAAGAACACAAAGGCCAGTTTAAGTTCAACTGAGCCGTATACATGACTGAGGAAATCTTTTCCGACTGCATTATCCAGGTATGTTAGTCTGACTATGAGGAGTTAGATTTACTGTGAATTTAGTTGAGCTAATGTGTTTTTTAAAAGTACAGTTTTAGTCTGACTAATGCAACGAATTGATTCTTTTGAACTGCATGTAAAGGTAATGACTGCTGTAAGGTCTGTTTTCTCTCTAGAGATGTTGCATTTCAGTCTGAGCCACTGCAGTGTCTGATCAATGAATTATATTTCATACTGGGGCGTGTCTGTCAGTGAAAAGACTTCTGTGATGGCCGCTTTTGTACTCCATTGCTCCTCTAGTTTCCCTCCTCTCTCCTCAATTCTCTCTCCTCCGAACAGGATTAAAGGCAAGAACATTGCTAAGCATGGGCGGACGCTAAGTGCAGTTTTTCAGATGGGGACTGAGGGGAAATCAGTCAAGGGCTTTGGGATCTGAGAGAAGTCTTTGAACCTGACCTGACTGTAGCCATGTTTACATGTGCAAAATTTCTCAATCCGATTAAAAATTTAAGGGATCGGATAATCTGAATCCACTGTTTATATGGGTGCAAAATCAAATAATCCGATCATGTCGTGTGCATACATGCACCCAGCTTTGTTCAGATTAGAAGCATTTGGACATGTGCAGAGTTGTCTGATTTTGCTAAAAAAACCGCAGAAGAAGAGTTGTATTTACTGTTTTGTCAAAGGTTACACTGTGTGTGCAGATGTGACATCATTACGCTGTATGTACACCTTGTTATATTATCGGAGGAGCAGACACGGCACCTGCGGTTGGGTTTTTTGCCAGAGTGTTAATAATGAAACCTCCTGTACTGACCTCAATAAATAAGCCAAAGGCTAAAGAGTGAAGACGGGGTCAGGTAAGAGAGTCACGATCGGAATAAGTCTTTACATGGATGCATTTCAGAATAATGATCAGCATAAACCACCCCTCTTGATCAGAATACATTTTCTTTCTGATTGAGCTGAATTGGATCAGAATCTTCAGATCGACATGTTTACATGACGCATTTTTATTCCGATCGGGTATTTATTCCTATGCAAACGCAGCTATCACACGACCAAATTGACTAATGAGAAATGTTAGCAAAAATATGTGGTCTTGTCTTTGAAATGCTCTCCAAAGACCAGCAGGGAAAAAGAGGTACAAGTGCTGTATTAAAGCTATACAGCTAAGCAAACTTGAACAAACTTTTTACATGTGAAACAGGAGTTTGTCAGTCGTTTTCTGTGATTATCGCTGCATGTACTTCAATCCACTGTTTTTCATCTTAGAATAACAACTAGAGCATCAACTTGAGAATTGAGGGCCACATTTTTCTCTTATTTTCTAAAAACTAATTTCACAGATCATGCTGAGGCTGAGTTCAGTTTGGTTGATAGGCTGTGCACATCGTCAGTGACCTTGCTGAGGTGTGTGTTTTATACAAAAATTCACCACACGTGCAGGAGTCAGAGCCTGTGCTAGAATAAAAAGTGTGTCACTCATTGCCTGCATCATCTTATTTTAGCCCATGGGCTTTTGGTTAAACTGGGGAGCTTATACACGTGTGCAGGTGCATGCACATGGAACCTACAGTCTGCGTAGATATCCTGACATCGGCCTGCGTATCTTATATGTACTTTAATGTGGAAGTTAAACCCAGAAAGCTCAACAAAACTCGTGCCTCACTTGTTCCTTGTCCCCTCTCCCCCACATTCAGGTCACACTTTGATGCACAGCAATGTGCTGCAGTGGTCTACTTGTAACTCTATCATTAACTCGCAGCCCTGCCTGCCTGCTGCACAATGTGATCTCCTTAAGTGTTCACTGCACTAGAACTCATTCAGGCCCAGGATGTGTTCGGTCCAGAGGAGTTGTAAGATGATATTTTAATTTGCCTCATTTTTATGGAGCTCTCCTGGTCCGGTATCATTTCTCACTGAATGACCTTGACAGACAAAGAAGCCTCAGCATGAATGAATAAGAGCTGGTTAATAGTTAATGCCCACCTCCATTATTACTTGAACTTGGAGCAACCAAGGCCACATGCATGCAGGCTATTCTTTGTGTACCTGTGTAGGTTTGGAAGGGACTCTTTTTCTCTTTGCAGATGACTGGAGGTGAAGTTTAAATTATTGTTAGTTTAATTGCTGGAATTTCAGTGTCAGCAGGAATAACTGATGAAATAATGGTTCAATAAAATAAACTCTAGGAAGATGTCATAAAAGAAAACTAAGGGTAAAAAACTTAAGCTGGATGGTAATAGTTTGGCAGAGATGGATGATGTACCTGGAACTTTCGTAAAAGTGCAGACTTCACTTCAGACGATGTCATAAGTTAAAGTTAAAACTGTCAGACAACTCTCAATTAAATAGTTTGACAAGTTCAGCAGAACTTTGTTTCTCTTTGGTGTTTCTACCTCATTGCTTCTTGCAGTTTCTTCTATTTATACATGCAGAATTTAAAAGTGTAAAATTAGAGCAGCTTGAATTGCCTGCTTGAGCTCGCTCATGGACACTGCTTATTTCTATGTTAAATTTTACCCATGAACTGTAAAGTCTTACAGTACCTGGCATAAACAGTAAAATCAGCAACAAGACTGAAAATTGTTGCAATGAAATTTCTAATGCTTGTAACTGCTGCCAGGGGTGTGTGTGACAGACAACATAACTTAAAACTGCTGAAGAGTCTGTTTTACTTATAACTTCAATCAGTTACAATCAGCCTTTGGCTGTCAGGGGAAAGTGAGCTGATGCTTTTTGTTAAAAAAGAAATCTGTACATGTACAGGAAAAAAACAGCCAAAAGTTAAGAGGGACATCAATTATGTGCAAGTCGACATTAAAAATGAGCTTGCTCAAACTTCAGTTCACTTAGATAAACCACTTAGAGAACCTGGTCATATTTATCGTTAATATTTAAAATTTTGTACAAATTCATGAAGATTTTTTTCAGCTGTATCTAACTTCTTATTTCCTAGACTAAATGCATGATCAAATTCTCCTGGAAAATCATTCAATATTTAGTTTAAAAACAAAGAAAATCCAATTTCAACAATTTATCATGGGGAAAAAAAATCTGCAGTTTTGAAAACTTAGTCCGTAAATACATCAACGATGCTATTATAATCCATTGCTTAATGGATAAAGCCTTGGCCTGGATGAGAGTTCATCAGGTGGTCCCCAACCATCATGGGGTGTTTCGACCCTTAACCACAACACCCTCAAGTTGGCAGGTCCGCAGTGACTGGCCAGGTCACTGCGCCTCTCATCCAGGCTTCCAGCTATTGTCCTCTCTCTTATGCCAGAGCCAACAGGAGGCTCTCTCTGCCGCTTCTCCCAGCCTACGAACGGCTGTTTTCCTCAAGTGGCCTCTCAGTCCCACCTTAGTCAGGAGATTCCACACTGACTGTGCTGGAAATCCTCGACATCCTACTTCCACTGTCATCAGCCATGTTGTCCACCCCTTGTCTCGGCAGTCCTGGACAAGCTGCTGGTACTTGGTCTTCTGTCGCTCTGCTGCTTCCTCGCATCCCTCCTCCCACGGGACCGTTAATTCCACCAGGATGATCTTTTTTCCCTCTGGAGACCACATAATTATATCTGGTCTCAGAGTGGTGGACAGTACCGCTTCTGGGAAGTGGAGCTTCCTCCCCAGGTCAACCTCCATCTCCCATCCTTGGGCCAACTGCAGGAGGTTTTGCTTGGTTTGGCCTTGGACGACAGGTCTGTTGCCCTCTTTTACGAAGGTGATGTTACTCAGCTGTGGTCTTCTCTTGGCCGGATATTTCTTTCTCCTCTCTTGCTCCAAGATGTCTGCGAGCAGTGCCAACACCTTGTCATGGCGCCACCTGTATCTCCCCTGGGTCAATGCTGTTTTGCACCCTGAAAGAATGTGCGCCATGGTTCCTTTACTGCCACACAACCCACACAGAGGGTCCTCCCTCATTCCCCACCTGTGCAAATTGACTGGGGTCGGTAAGGTGTCGTACACTGCTCGGAGCAGAAACGAGATCCGAAAAGGCTCCAGCCTCCAGAGTTCACTCCACGTGATGGTCCTCTTGGGAAGGTCCCACCTTGTCCAGGCGCCTTGAGATGCGAGCTCGATGGCTTTAGCTCTTCTTCCTTCCTCCTCAAGGTTTCGAACTTCGTCCTGGATCATGGCCCTCCTCTCCCTGGGAGTGGACTTTGACCACTGCTGGAAGTGTGATGTTCCTAAGCCCTGTCTTCCAGTGCAGGGGTTACCAATGGTTTCCTTGGTCCTGAGAGAAGCTTCTGCCTGGTGAACTGCAGTGCTGGCGGCCCACTTCCTGCCGGATCTTGTTTGGATTCCAGCTTCATGAAGATTTTTTTCAGCTGTATCTAACTTCTTATTTCCTAGACTAAATGCATGATCAAATTCTCCTGGAAAATCATTCAATATTTAGTTTAAAAACAAAGAAAATCCAATTTCAACAATTTATCATGGGGAAAAAAAATCTGCAGTTTTGAAAACTTATAAACTACTGTCATTTAAAGAAAGAAAATTTTACTTAAGTTTTTGACTTTTAACCTAAACACATGGAAAAAATCAGCCAAGCCACTGACAATGTGGGAGGGATGATTTTTAGATCCTCTACAATAAAATGAAACACTGAACAAACAAATAAACCTAAAAGTTGAAACCATACAAGTTTGTGGCTGTTAGGATTCGTCCTGATTCGTTCATAAAACTACATCAAACTTTTAAACGAGTGGTATCTTGGACTTTGTGATGTTAGCCACTGTGTCCCAATTGTTAGTCAGTTAAGACTTAGACAATATATAGACTTAATGCTCCCAGACTGTACTGAGCAGCTTTCTGGCTCTCTGTCAGTAGCAGCTGGTTTGTCACTACATTTAAGAGCCTAGTGTCTGAGCCACCTGTGTGACTGAGAGACCATGCATAAAAACAAAATTTTCTCTATCACACATGCTGTAGTGAAGCCCAGGGATACAACGTGCAGATGGGGAATTTCCTTTTAACACATCTTTATACTGGATTTCCTCTAACACATCTTTAAAGGTATCTTATTCCATCAAGACATGCTGGATCGCCGCTCTGTCACATCAAATGAGCTCTGGTCTGAGCTGGACAATTTATTCCCAATGGCTGGGCGCCAAGAAAGCAGCTTCTGAGACATCTTCAGATCAAAAGCTGGGCCTCATCTGAAGGCTTATCCTGAAATGAAACCCCTGGACTCATTAGCATCCAAATTAGAGTCTGATAGCTCCAAAGTTAGATTACAACCTAAACTTCTCCTTGTGAGACTCTTCCTTTCAAATCCTCAAGTGTTAAGCTGAAAACAAACAGATGGATCAACAGTGTGGGACTGTTTGCTCATGAGGAACAATAAGCTTAACTCACTCTCCTGGAAGTGTATCCAAATTAAACCAAAAGGCCAAATCCCAAACTGGAAACACACCTGTGATGTTATTACTGCTCAGAGGATAGATGTGCTTTTGTTACCTAGACAATACAGATATTATATCCATGAAACTCAACTTAAACAAAACTCAATTTCCTAAGAGATGAAGAAAAACAGAATTTAATAACATGGGAGTAATTACAAAAGACCATGACAAGAAAAAATACAGGAGTTCAATCATCATTTAAATCAACCACAAAAATACTTGAATAACTAAACAAAACTTCAATTACAGTGTATCCACGCAGGCTAGCTAAGCTTCATGTGTGAATGCAATCACCCAAAATTATTACCCAAACTTAACAAAGACTTTTGCCAGACAGAATCCTTGTGAAATTTCCACAAGAAGTCAGGGTGGGTCGATGTGAGGTCAGCGCAGAAATATTTTACAGGGTTAGCATAGTTGTGGTAACTTATTTTGTTATTAGAAGAGGTCCCAGGATGGAGCCTTGGGGAACCCCACATGTAATTTTTGTCCCCTCAGATTCAGACTTATCTTTAGACACAAAGATTTTGTCCTATAGGTAAGATTTAGACCAAAGGTAGAAAAACAAAGGACAGTCACGACTAATGTGTGCTTCTGTGACACGCTGACCTTATACATGTGAGGCGTCTTTGCTTTAGGTTTGAGTCCATTAAGGGGGAGAGTGAAAACAGCTGAACGGCTTGCAAGTATGCACATTACTTAAAATTTGGTGTGCAAAAGGGCGACAATGTTATGGTTAACCTTAAACTGCTCCCTAGCTAGAAACAACATATCATAGTTTGAACTTTACATCAAATTGTGTTGGCTAGTGTTAGCTGTTGTTAGCTGTGGTTAGCCGTTGTCAGTTGTTTTTTGTTGTTGTTAGCTATACCAGCTGTAGACAACGCATAACAAAGTATTTTACTCTTACAAAGACCATAGCACTGTGTTCACAGTTAGACATTGGACAGTCAACATACCACCAATTTAATTTCACAAAAACAAAACAGAAGTGCTAATAAGTAATACATTACAAGAGCTTTCACTGTTACTCTTAACTGTTGATGCACTGACATCTTGGAATATGATGTCTTCAAGTCGGGTTGGTGAGGATTGTCCGACTTTCCAAGTTGGAAATCCAACTTCAATGGGGCATTCCAGATGAATTTCCGAATCTGAGTACAACTGGAACGCAGCATAAGACCATGGGACACTGAGTGATGTCCAAGATAACAGCATTACATCAACACCAACCAACTGATTTTCAACAACAGGAATCAACAAAAGTGTGATGCTGCAGGTAAAAGTGACACCTAACAGGATGGTTAAAGATAGACAGAGCTTTATTGTCAAATAACTGTAATAGAACAATAAAGATTGTGCAAATGTGCCACCATCTAAGGTTAAAGAAGGAGTATTATTTTCAAGAAAGGGACAGGAAGATATAAATGCAAAGACTGTGATCACAGCATGGGTCTCTCTTGCCCTGCTGCCATCATATCGGCTTTTGTATCATCCTTTTGATGCCATGACCTGCATCCGACTCCAAGTCCCCTACCACCAACCCTTTATTTTGACGAGAGACTTCACCCTGTGAGGCACATGCCTGAACACGCAATGTCACGGGCACTTGAGACAGAGGGTTCAGACATACAAATTACCAGGATTAAGTCAATGATCTCAAGCTATCGAATTGAAAACCACAAGACAAAGATAGAACCTGCAATTTTTGTTAGAAAAACACAGACCTAGCCATATTCATTTACACTCACTATGAGTTTATTACCATACTGATCATCAGTTTGTTATTTGCCTGATCTGAGTAAACACCCATATCACGACACACTATACCAGAGAGTGTCACACACATAAACCAGCCCCACGCAGTCTCTATGATCACAGCCTAGTTTTGCATTCAGTGTCCAGTCCTGCCTGCCATCATTTGTAAGGCAAATGTTGTTCAGGTTGACCAACTCTCTCCTAATGTCCTACACACAGCAGCCTGCATGGCACCAAACACAGAACACCCGCATTGTGAAATAGGTGCTTTTGCTTTTATACACATCTGAGAAGATCTTAGGCTACTTCAGTACTTCAGTATGTAAAACTGTACTGCCATTTTTCCAAAGTTTGGTTGTAGATGCAGTGGACACAAAAATAGCAAGAAATCTAAACACATGAGACAGATAGTAAGAGCCAAAAATGACCATCATAGGTCAAACACAGGGTGGGGTCTGTGGCAAGCCAGGATCAGGTTGCTTTTTTGTTCAGATGAGCTTGTCAGGTTCAACTCAGGAGTCTGTGCTGCAGAGGAGGAAGATGCAGGGAACCCAGTTTGCAAATAGGACAACGAGGATCCTGCTAACATTGTCTGCTCAGCTGGGCCACAGTGATGACACACTGTTCACTGTGTAAAAAGGCTGTTAACCATCTAATAACATTACTATTTGACAATTTTATCAACTTTTTAATGGATCAACATTGGATTAACCTGTCCCCATCTTTTCCTGATATGCAATGTTTCCCTCGACAGGTGCTGACATCTTTCTCAGACGAAGCCAGTCAGAGCAGTAGGAATCAGCTGGTGGAGCCATAGTATTGATGTCCCGCCCCTTCTGCTTCCCAAAACACACATTTAACTCAGCAATAAAATGGCAAAGATCCCTCCGGTCTCCACAGCAGCTTGAGTGGGTTTGAAGCAGACAGTCAGGTTTATAGAAAGTTCAATGTCTAATGTCTCATGTCCATCTTCTTTACAAATCCAGCACACCCGGCAGATCTATTGCTGTGAACAGAGCTGTCAATCATGGTGTCTTACCATTGTTTAAGCATTCTGATAACTCAAAAAAGTCACTTTGGTAGAAACCAATGTGAGAAGAACTAGTGTTCATAACAAAAAGCATACTTGACTCTACTTAAATTGTCTAATTTAATCCCTTTCTAGTTTCTAAACATTGGGACTTAATGATCCAAACTGAAGCAACCTACAAGGGGGTACACTAAACACCTCTGCTTCAATTTTGTGGGGCTAGCATGTAGCCCATCTTTTTATACAGTCGGTAGCTTTTGTACTATATCACTTTTATTATAATAATGGATAGACAGGTGAATGGATATGAATGGCTCTTTACGATACTGGTTGTACATAACTGTCTCTGTTTGGTGGTCCAAGGGTGCATTTGTAACCCAAGCCATGAAACAATTAATCAAATAGTAATAATTAAAATGTTTGTGTGGTGTTAAAATATAAAGTGAAAGTATTGTGTACCACTCAGGTGTGGTATAATAACTGCATTTATCTGATGTCACTT